CACACAGAGGTCAGACGCTTCTTGTAGCTGGTCTCCAGGTCTGTGCACATCTCAGGAAGGATGTTGGTCCACTCCTCTCTGAAGATCCCCTCCAAATCCTTCAGGTGTTGAGGCTGATGCTTGGCCTCTGGAAGCTTCAGCTCCCTCCACAGATTTTCTATGGGTTTAAGGTCCGGAGACTGGCTAGGCCCCTCCATCACCTCAATGTGCTTCTTCTTTAGCCACTCCTATGTTGCCTTGGCCGTATGTTCAGGGTCATTGTCCTGCTGGAAGACCCCTCCATGACCCATTACAGTGTCCTGGCTGAGGGAAGGTGGCTATCGGCCAAGATTTTACGCTACATGGCCCCGTCCACCCTCTCCTCGATGCAGGAAGTCCTCCTGTCCCCTTAGCAGAGAAACACCCCAAAGCAGAATGTTTCCACCTCCATGCTGACGGGGAGGATGGGGGTTATAGTCAGCATCTCTCTTCCTCCAAACACAGCGTGTCAAGTTGATGCCAAAGATCTCGATGTTGGTCTCATCTGACCACATCACCTTCTCCCAAGCCTTCTCTGAGTCATTCAGAGGTTCATTGTCAAACTCCAGACGGGCCTTTCATGTTCTTCTTGAACATAACCGTTGGAATCTGATTGGTTGATTCTGTGGACAGGTGTCTTTTATACAGGTAACAAGTTGATATTAGGAGTACTTCTTTAAAGGAAGAGGACTTATGTAACTGGTCTGTGGGAGCCAGAATCCTTGTTTGTTGCAAGGGGATCAAATACTTATTTCACACAGTTGAATACAAATAAATTGTTATCGTTTATAAAAGGATATTATTTTTGATATTCTGTCTCTCATTAGTGAAATAAACTTACCATTACAATTATAGACTGTTCATTTATTTGTAAGTGGGTAAACTTACAAAATCGGCAAGGGATCAAATCATTACTTCCTTCACTGTATATGATTCTGAAATGCACCAATCTGCACAATGACTACTTTTGGTACTTTAAGTATATTTGGATGCTAATACTTTTTGCACACATTTTGAATGCAGGACCTTTACTTGTAACAGAGTATTCCTACACTCTGGTACTTCTACTCAAGTACAAGATCTGAGTAGTTCTACCACCTCTGACTGTGACATCATCATTCTATTATTTCTCAGGTGTTTACACTCTTTCAGTGTATTTACGTTAATGTGAATTTATTTGTATTTGTTACAAGCCTTTTATAGAGCACTTGAAACCCGCTGCTGAAACCAGCCTGTGTGATTACCTGGGAAAAAGTTCTGGATTCCATTATTCTGAAGTTTCTTCACGAGCAGAGCAGAGAGTCCGTGGATCTCGGAGATGTTCACCAGGTGCCCTTTAATGTCTCTGTGAATCACATCCGGCTGAGCCAGCCACTGAGGGAGCACTCTGTGCACCTGACACACACACACACACACACACACACACACACACACACACACACACACACACACACACACACACACACACACACACACACACACACACACAACACACACACACACACACACACACACACACACACACACACACACACACACACACACACACACACACACACACACACACACACACACACACACACACACACACACACACACACACACCACACACCTTAATATTTATCACTACAATAAACAGTATTAATTTGATTTCACTGTACAATATTGAATGTTACATTCTGTTGTCGTCTATCTCATTCTATGAACATGTGTGATATAGACTCCTGCATTTACTTGGTCACTTACAACATTCTCTGCATTATTTAGCTTGTTGTATTTATTTATTTTTCTGACATGTATAAAGTTAACTTCATCTGCATTACTTGCACATTGGTCTCACAACATAATCTGCTATATTTGATTCAACTCAGTTTCTTCTTGCATTTTTTAAATGTGTTTTATATATATTGATGTTGCATTGTTGGAGGAGCTTGGGACTTAAGATCATCATTGCCATATCTACACTGTAGCTACTGTGCATATTGAATCTAATAGCATTAGAAACACGTGTGTGTACCTTTTGGACAGGTTTGTTGTCAAATCCTCCCAGGACCGTGAACCCGGTTGGAGCAGGAGTCTTTTCCGCGGTTTGTTCTGGTGCGATGTTTTCTGTCTCCGTTTTCTCTTCTCCTCCTCCTGTTTCCTCCAGTCCTGCTCTTCCAGTCACAGGAGTGTCAGGAAGACTTTTCACTGAAATGCCTCAAATCCAGAGACAAAACAAGTCATTATCAAATGAATAGACCAACTGGTATAATAAGGACAGTGAGTAAGAACTGTCTTCTTACTCTTTATTATAGTCTAATTCATCCATACCTCTCATATTGTAACACAGTATGGGCAGTACTTTTCCCAACTACTTTTCCAAGGATTGCAACAAGATCCAAGTCCCACATCTCATCTGCTCCTTTATTTAACAGGCTTCACATTCTTACAGTTTACAACATCAACGTTTATCAGATTTGCGTTTTTATTTACGAGATATATTCAGGAAAAGGGATTATTCCTATAACCTTCAATACATACTTCATTTAAACCGTATTAGCCATATTCTCTTTGTGTACATATGCACTTTACAGATCAATAAACCACTGCCGTGAATGTCAACTCGCTGCAGTGAGTGGAGGAAAAAACCCAGATATCAGAAATCAGCAAAGACTTTTAGCTCTTAACCTGCACAGTGATTGTCTGGAGATACAAAGTGAGGTATCCAAAGTGGACTTTGTTAGACCAATAGCAATATTTGAAGGATTTAAAAATCTCAGGTAAATATTTTTATAACATTTTACACCCTTTTCAAATGAAATTGGTATGAAGCGCTCACAAAATGAGGAGAGGTCTCACAGGAGCCTTGTTCAGCAGTATATTGTAACACTTCACTGTCTTCAAATGTAAACACATTTGTTTTTGTCTTTTTGTTCATTCATAACTATTTATAACCAATACATTTCACCAGACATAGGGACAACAATTCTGAGCTCTAAGTGTATTCACTTACTTGTGTTTATAGCAAATTCCACTATTTATAGTCCACATATTTCAATGTTATTACAATAAGTATTTAATTCAACTGTACAGTATTACATTATTATCTCATCTCCATTTTTCATGTAGATAGTCGACTTATTCCTGTATTTTATTTGCTACACTGCTGGAAAAGCATAGGACTTAACATTTTCATTGCCAACAACTAAGCTGAATCTGACAATATTGTTCATACCAATGTATTGTTAGGCCTCAATGAGAGGCATCATCTCACAACATCAATGTATTGCCCAATTTGGTGTTATCCTGTAAATACATACAAGAACAAGCACATACCTGACTGATCCTTCTTCTTCTTTCGCTTCTCATTTGCACTCGTCTGCTTCTTCTTCTTCTCCTCCTCCTCCTCGACCGGCTCGTCGTGGTTATCCTTCTCTGAGACAATAACAGCTGCTGCTTCAGATTTCCGTTTCTTGTTGTGTTCAGGCTCCTGACTGCTGTCCTTGTCAGCTTTTCTTTTCTTTTTGACATCCTTTTGCGTCCGTTCTTTAGGTGGCTTTTGTGTTTCTTCCGTCAAACTCTGTCTCTGCTTCTCTTTGGCCTTCTGTTGCAGCTTAGCCAGTAACGCCTGAGAGCGAGACTCCTTCGAGATGCTCCCATTTTCCTCCTCTCCAAGATACCTGTGAGGACACATGACAGATGTTACTCATTCTTCTGTCCACTTCTTCAGCAAAAGCACAGCACATACACTTTTGGTCAATTGAGCAGCTTGTAGCCTTACAAATATATCATCCTACCTTTATTAGGTATTCACCCTCTTCTCTTTTACATTATGTAATTACATTCATATAAATGCCATTTCAGTTGAAAGCTATCTTTTATCTTAGGATAAAAAAGGAAAACAATCCAGTCATTTCAATATAAAATCAAGAAACAACGGGGAAGAATATATAAAAAACGTTTATTGTAGAGACGTAATCATTAAAAAGGCCAACATGTTTTGACCACTGGAGAAGAAGGGGTTTTAACAAATAGAAAAACAGGAATGTTTCTTCCCTATAAGACCAAAAGCCATGATAGGTGGAACACATTTAGATCAATAAAAACATGTCATAAGATTAAACACAACATAACTGACAGACAAAGTGCTCATTTTTAAATAGATAGATGATAGATAGATATATACTTAAATCCAAATTGGGGAATTCTTGTGTTCAAGCAGCAGTGTTAAGCATTACACGAGTTACAAATGTTTAAAGGATAGAATAAGATACAAATAAAATGTACATGAACGGAAAGTATATACAGTAAGAATACAAATTAAAATAGTAAGAATAAAAATGAAATATAACTTCTTCTTCTTCTTATGACTGTGATGTGAAAATCATATACTTATTATCTTAATAGCTTTAAAAAGCAAGATACAACCATATAACTCCAAAGTCATGTATTTATGTGACAAAACAAACAAATACCAATAATGAAAGCTAGTAGATAACATGAGCCTACCTGTTTACAACAAACAGAGACATTCCCTCAGAAAGGTAAATCACTCCACGACAGTTTGTGTGTTCTTTTCAGCTATCTCGAGTTTGAAAATGGTTTTCGCTGAATATCAATTAACCATGTCTAGATTCGTTAAGAACTCTGATTATTTAAATGACTATAAACGCTCAACTTCAAATGAACTAGAAAAAACACAAAATTCTCATGTGTTTTCCACACTTACAGTACAAAACGCAGTTTGATGACGACACTCAAGCAGCGGCTATTTTGTGCGTCACTAGTTGGGCGCTACCATATTTACTTGACTTTTTGGTGCACAAATTGAAGTAAGAAAAACGTGTTTTCTCTTTGACACCAATTTGCCTATTTAAAACGTTTTTGTCAAAATAGATTTCTTTTTAAATAAAGGAAAATCTCACTTAAGCCAACATCCTCAGTTCACATCCTCATTTGGATTTGTCCACCCGATGACGTTGACCAATCAAAAACAAAGTGGGAGATTTTAAAACCAGTGACGGTTTTCTTTTGAAACTGAGGGAGGCATTCCATTCACATTTGAGTCCACCCGTGTCCGTTTATACGTCTTCAGGTGTGTTTTGGGGCATTTATGAGAGATGTATTAGTTTGCCTTCCGATTTAAGGTTGGACAGGTCAATTACTATTACAAAGAACAATGGCAGAGGAGTCGGCTGTAAAAGTATGTGTTCGGGTCCGTCCACTTATTCCACGGTAAGTCTGCCGCCAACAGCTAAGTTAGCATTAATAAAATACAAGTTTGGAGCTAACGGTAGGTTACGGAGCGTTAATGCTAATGCATGCTTATGTTACTGTTTGATTTTTCATTTCATTCATTCGTTAGCTACAGTTGGACGTAAAATACAAGTATTTTGTTCCAGTAAATACGTAGTGCGTGCCTTAAAGTGTTTGATAACAGTTACATTATTGTATTACTTTATTCAGCTAAGCTATCGATGTGGAGCCAATTGTTAACTTTAGACTTAATTTAGAGGTAACATTCTCTTTATTATCTGCATTTACTGTCACAAATAGAATACTACTTGGGAGTAAAACTTATAACTTAATTTTAAAATGTTAAATTATATATCCTTATAAGCATATTAAGAGCTAAAAACACCGTCTGTTGTATTGATAGGTCAAACTAACTGTCTAGCAATTGCTCTACAATAACTGTTATTCTTTGTTCTATATACTTTGGAATGATGCTATTGTACTGAAACTATTACATTACATTGCATTTAGCTGACGCTTTTATCCAAAGCGACTTACAATAAGTAACTATCTATCTATCCATCAATCTATCTAGCTATAATTTCCCCCCAAAATGATCTTAATTATGTGTAGCCTATTTTCCACAATACAAGACCCTGGTCCGTGTTGATATTAGGCTTTGACTTTTCATGGCATGGTATTGTAGTCATACGGAATGTTATATTTCTCTTCTAAATATTACATTTTGATTAAGCTGAGCTTCGAAAGTAGTATTTCAGCCACAATTTCTTTCCCACTAAATGTGTCACCTGACAATGTTAAAGGAAGAGTCTGTTAATGTTTCCACATATGTCCTGATTGTGTGTCTTTGTTACAGGGAAGACAGTGCTGCATCGGAGAATGCAGAGCCGGTCCATTATTTTTGGAAAGCTGATACAAAATCAATTTATCAGAGCGATGATGGGAATTCCAGTAAAAGCTTTAGTTTTGGTCAGTTTTGCAGCATTTACAGGATTGAGAAATATGTTTGACTGGTTTTTGTGGCTCCTTTGAGATATGTTGAATAGAACTTGACAACAACTACTACTACTGTACATGAACCTTCCTTCTCTGTTCATAGATCGAGTGTTTACTGCAGAAGAAACGACCAATCAGCTGTACCAAGCCATTGCTAAACCTCTTGTTGTTTCCTCTGTTCAGGGATACAATGGTATGTTTTCGAAACTGAATACTTTGACATCTGTTGTGTTGCTCCAAACACTCACTGCAGTGGTTTGTTTTTTGGACACATCTTTTCTCTGTTTGATCCACAGGTACCATATTTGCTTATGGACAGACTTCTTCCGGAAAGACTTTTACTATGATGGGGAGTGACCGTTTTCCTGGAGTGTTACCGATGGCTGTGGAAGATGTCTTCCAAACCATTAACAGTGTAAGAATTGTATCTCATATTTAGAAATAACTTTTTTAGTAAGCAATTACTGTGTTTTTTTTTTAACAACTTCTCTTTTGTCCAAAAGTGTCCAAAGAAGGAGTTCCTTCTTCGAGTTTCTTACATGGAAATCTACAACGAGACTGTGAGAGATCTGCTCGTTGATAGCTGGAAGAGAAAACCTCTGGAAGTCCGAGAGACAATTAATGTAAGTGGGCTTTCTAGAAGTTTGCATATGACGTTTTCATCAAATGTTTCTGACACATTTTAATACTAAATTTAGCTTTTCTAATTTCGGCAGAAAAATCTGGCATCAAAAAAGGAAGCAATTTTTCCTGTGTTTCAGACGTACAGCTGTTCTTTGTAACATTATATGACTGAGTGCTGTTTTAACTGATTTTAATGAGTGTATGCGCTAACCAAAGTTCTGGGCAGTTTTCTACAGATCCTCTGATTCAATTAATTTCAGACGCGGTACTACTACACTCCCTCAGTTACACACACACACACACACACACACACACACACACACACACACACACACACACACACACACACACACACACACACACACACACCGACCTCCATCATTATAATATGATGATACTTCATGTCTGAGTGCTAAAGGCATGGACATCATTTTCTTTCTCTTTAAATGATCATTGTGCTTGTGTCTTTTTTTAAATGTGCAGAAAACCATCTATGTGGCTGACCTGACGGAGGAACTGGTCACATCTCATGCACAAGTCTTGGCCTGGATCCGGAAAGGAGAACGTAAGATCTGAGATGACTGAACACGAGACTGGTTTCTTCAGGATCTGCATTGTGTCTAACAACCATTTGATTTCTGCTCTCTCCCTCTGCAGAGAACCGTCACTATGGAAAGACAAAAATGAATGAGAGGAGCAGTCGATCACACACAATTTTCCGAATGGTGAGTAACACCACAACATTAGGTACATGTTGATTTCTGGGGAACTCTGGATTTTTCATGATTCATGTCTTCTTAGATCCTGGAAAACAGAGAAAGGAGTGACCCAGCATCTGGTGAAAATGCTGATGGAGCCATTATTGTGTCTCATTTGGTAATGAGCTGTTTTTCTTTTTTATTGGAAAGTTCTTTCTTTCTGTTAATTGTCTTCCTCATTGCCTGTTTATTATTATTTTTTGAATAACCATTTTGCTTATCTTCTAGAATTTAGTCGATCTAGCTGGATCTGAGAGAGCCAGTCAAACAGGAGCTGAAGGTAAGGTGGAGTTAAATCCATAAATCATATAAAGTTACTGATTTAAAGCCTTGTGAAATGCAAAATGGATCTGATGACAATTGTAAGTACACTGTACTGTGTGATCAGCAAACCCAAAATAAACCATCTATTTTTTATATTTTAGGCGCACGCTTCAAAGAAGGTTGCAATATCAACCGCAGCCTGTTCACACTGGGCCAAGTGATCAAGAGGCTGACTGATGAAGGCCAGAAGTGAGTTAACATGATTGCATTACATAACTGAACATTTCTGGTTTACCCGTTTACATTTCCAAGTCAATAACTGTCTGTGTTGTTATCTCTAATATTAGAATATCGCCATCCTACTGCTCTCTGTCTGAGTTAGCTGTTTGATTAAAGTAGGCTAACATATTGTGGCTAACATGCTGGTTCCTAAAGTGAGAACCAGAGAACAGAACTGGGTAAAAAAGCTTTTAAATATGCTGCCCCTTCTGCTTGGAATAATGTATTGTCTGTTTTATCTGTTGTAACTTTGTTCATGTTGCCCTCTTGGCCAGGTCGCTCTTAAAAAATAGATTTTAATCTCAATAGCCTCATCCCAATGTTTCCATAAAAGAAGACGGAGAAGAAAGGAACATAGTTTTAAAATGTTCATAAAGCGCTTAGTTTTATGTGTAAAAACATTTACTCAATTTCATTCTCTCACTTCAGGGGTTTCACAAACTACAGGGACAGTAAGCTCACCCGCATCCTGCAGAATTCGTTGGGCGGGAATGCTAAAACAGTCATCATCTGCACCATCACTCCGGTCAGTCTGGAGGAGACCCTCAGCACTCTGCAGGTTGGTCAAATATGCTGTTTACTGTCCTGTACATCAAAGCTTCTACCTCAATATTATTCACATGTTATATTGAAATACTAAATAGTAGGGATATAACGAACGTCCCAATACCGTCGTGAGACTGACAAAATCTACCTAGAGACATTGACAAGTACCAACAGTATATTTATATCTCTGTCAATAAGCCTCACCTTCTTGGCAAAAACTGTATTGTTTTTGAAGTGGTGGAGAGACAATGCACAGTTTGACCCACTGCTGTCACCCATGGCCAAAGCATATCTCTCCGTCCCACTGAGGTGGCGTTAGACTTTTTCGCTGTCCGTCATTTTGACAGACAGGATCGTAAAATGTCCGTCATAATCCCTTATTACCCGTCGGGTCTGAACAGTTCACGAGAGAGCACGCTCGTGAACTGTCAACGGGGTGGGGGGCGGTGTTATGCCGTGTGTGCATGCACCTCGCGGGAGCGCACACAGCGTAAAGCAAAACCTCCCAGACATGTATTGATCTGTAGGCAAAGTACGGTTTGGAAACTATATCATTTCCTTTTGGAGGGCATGCATAACACGGCATAACACCAGAGCCTCGCTGCTTTCAGATTTTTCCGTCATTGATAAATAAAATATTCGGTTAACGCGACCACTGCTGTCCCAGCAACATCAGTACCAAGCGAGAGAGTTTTTTCCAGAGCAGGGGATATTGTAAATGCCCAAACATCCCAGCTTATAAATACCTGGAAATGTGGACATTCTCATATTCCTAAAAACCTGTCTGATGGTGCTGAGTGAGTGACTAGTGAGTTTGAGTTGAGTTACTTGAAAAACTAAAGTGAAACTTGATTTATTTGATTGCAGGGTCTGATTATTAAATGTCCTTGTTTATTTGTGAGGTGCAGTGGCACAAAGAAAATGCCTACTTTGTTTGGTAGTACTATAGCAGTGCTTCTCAAAGTGTGGTCCGTGAGCGCCCCCTAGTGGTCCGTGAGTATATTGGTAACATTTCACATTTTACATAAATTAATTAATTTGAGTTTTTCCGCACTCTCGCGGGAATATCTCCGCAATGGAGCGAGCTTAAGTTTCACTTTAAATTGCATGATATAGCCCAGCGCAACACCTTCATCACACATGTTGCCACTTGTTTGTCCCATTTTCAAGCTATTTGTAATCTGTTCTAGAAAAACGATGTGATTTTGGATATTTGTGGAGTTAGGTGGTCCGCGAGTGTTTTTTTTTTTTATTGGTTAAGTGGTCCTTGGTATGAAAAAGTTTGAGAAACACTGTACTATAGGTACAAAAACACTGGGTTTCTTGTTCCAGTCTTTTACTGTCACTTTGTTTTTGACACTTTAAAATACTGCTATCCTAATAAAATGCTGTACAAATCAGATTTATTATGTAATAAAGAAACATTTTCCGAGTAAAACATTTTTTTTATTGAAAACACTTTTTTAATTTTTATTTTCCTTTATTATTCAATATCGCGATAAATACCGTACCGTGGACTTGTTATCGCGATATTATCGTACCGTGAGTTTTTGGTATCGTTACATCCCTACTAAATGGTATTTTACATTCCAATCAATCAAAGTTCATTTATATAGCTAAATGTGAAGATTTTTGTTTAGGTAATCACTAAATTATTTTGGACTGCTTTCTCAAGGATTTTAGAGAAGAAATAAGATTAGAAATAGGTCTATAGTTGGCCAAAACCTCTGGATCAAGGTTGTGCTTTTTAAGAAGAGGTTTTATCGCAGCTACTTGTAAAGGATTGTGGTAAGTTGCCTGATAATAAATAAATTATAATCATATTTAATAAACTAGGGTTAATGAAGGGAAACACTTATTTCACAGCTTAGTTGGAATTTGGTCTAATTGATGGTATAGAAGAGACCATCATTGAAGTTGGTAGTTTTGAGTTTTATGGGAGAAAAGAAGACTAAATAACTATCTGGTGTTGTATCAGATCTTAAAGTTCTGATGGATGAAGATAACTGATTGAAGGCAGGAGGTTATTAATTTCAGCTCTGTCAGCCTGGTCTCGGTGCTGCAAATAAATCTGGCATTGTTCTTATCTTCTGAGTAATAAGATGCTCTCGCTTTACGGAGAGCTTTCTTATATTTAGTGAGATTATCATGCTAAATTAAACAAGATTCTTCAAGCTTAGTGGAACGCCATATCCTTTTAAAGGGGACATACCATGCAAAATGCACTTTTTGATGTCTTTTATACATAACTATGCGTCCCTGGTGTGTCAGGGAACTCACGCAGTGTCAGAAAATAAAACCCTCTCTCTTTTCCTCCGTACCCAAATCTCTAAAAACGGGGTAACAACGGAGCTGATCCAGATTTGCGTCCGATATGACGTAATATCTGAAATGTGGACCCACGGCGCTATCGGAAACGTTGCTATCAGAAACAATGCCCGACTATTTTGGACGTAATATGGTCGGTGTTTACATTAGCATCGCTAACACTCAGAGCTAACCTGTACTGGAGAGCATGTGCGTGTGAAGAAGCAGGAAATAAAAAGGAACTCACCTTGTGGTATAACCGGCAAGAGAGAAAGCCTTTGAGCTCCAAACTGTTTCAGAAATAATCCTTGATAATCCATGATATGGCGTTTCATCACGGCAGCATTTAGTTTAGACAGTAGCTGCCGGGTCCCGCATGAGCTCAGCCCCTACCTTTTTTTAATTTGTTATCAATTTTTTAATTTTTTTTAAAGCTTTATACCCAAATCAGCACTTTTGAAATAGGAAGTGAAATAGAGGGATATGAGGCATGGCTAGAATGGGTGATCTGTTTGGTATTTTGAGCAAAACACTTCATAGACATGTTTTTTTGTATATATCTGAGACCCATGCTATTAGGCGCTTTCACACCGGAGTACTTTTCCCCGTACTTTTCCCATTTAGTTCCGATAGTTCCTGGAATTTTGCGTTCACACCAAAAAGAGAACTTAGTTCATGAGAACTTTTACCCCCTTTTTAGTGCCTCCTAGAGAGGTAGTACTTTCCTGGGAGAAAAATGTTCCAATTTCTGATTGGCTGAGCTTATTGCAAACCACGCCCCATAAAACTCGGAAACGTTTTTTGAAGCCTCCATTGTATTTGCTGGCATTATCATTATTAGCATTAGCCCCGCGCACCAAAGCAGAGAGACTAACTTATGGCAACTCAAAAGAAAACATGGGAGCTGTGGAGTGATGAGGAGGTGTTGGCGTTTTGGTGATTTACTCGGAAGGCTTCAGTAGAAGCTGCCGGGAGTCCCAGCAGCTTCTACTGAAGCCAGTCCCCAACTCCGGGGACTTCGGGTGGCAGTATACGCCGTGAAGTTGTTTGTAAACCCAAAGCAGAAGAAGAAGAAGTGACGTCACCGGCTTCATTTGCGTAATCTTCCCTCGGGGACTTATTCCGGTGTGAACGCGATCGGCTCTTAGTTCGATGGGGGTACCAAGTAGGGATGCACAATATTGGTTTTTTGAAACCGATACCGATAACTTCCTGCTTCTCAAGACCGATACCGATAACCGATAATAAAAAAAAATGTTACGCCACTAATTATTTTAACGCGATTAACGCATGTGTATTTTTTTCCTTGGCCGCCCCGTAGTTTCAGAGCGCATCGAGTTTAAAATACCATCTACAAGCTGATGCTGACAGTCCCGCTCCTGCCGCCCGCTTGTGGCAGACCACACTTCCACGCTCACCGGCAGGCACCGACTGGCCATCTGGAGGACCGGGAGCGTGTGTGTATGTGTGGTCCGAGCGAGAGAGAGACCTTACGTGCATTGTTGTTGTTGTTAGCATCTGGTGCTAGCTAGCTGCGCTAACGGATATAAGGAGCTGTTTAAATGAAAACAGAGGAGCGACATTTCGCCACAACTGCGCCGAGCACTTGACTTTATGCAGGAAGCCAGACAGTGGGACATTGTACGAAAAGTCAGCACACTCAGCATGGATAGTTCGCAACATGATTGCAGCGTCCAGGCAGCTCCGGTTCGAGCATATGCCTTGAGTTACACATAGCTCCAACGCCCATACCACCGACGACATGTTTGTTTACTGTCCTGGCTTCACGGCCGCACACCATTTACGTCACAGCCAGGCATGAGTTAGGGAGCGCTGGATTTGTGAAAAACTCCCCTCTTCCTAAACCACTAATACCACAGTACTGGCAAAACGGGAGGAGCCGAGTGAAAAACAAGCGCCCCTCATCCCAATCCACCCACACCGCAGTATTTTTTTTTTCATTTTTATTACCCAAAAAATATATTGTATATTATCGGGGCTATTAATACTGTTATCGGGTTTATCGGGATGACGTCATAATTCCTAATATCGGACCGATAATTATCGAGCCGATAATTATCGTGCATCCCTAGTACTAAGTGCTGGGAACTAAGTACGGCAAAGTAGCGTCTATTGCCTAAGAATAGTGTGAGAGGTGCACTTTAAATTGTCTCAACTTTGCTTGAGTTTGCGGGCTTCAGGATTATGCCATGCACTGTAAAAAAATACAAGTTGACTCAACTTAAAATAATTTGTAACCCTGTTGCCTTAAAATTTTGATTAGGGCCAGGAAAGTATCTCAAGTAAATTCAACTTACAATTAAGTTTAGCCAGGAAAGGATATCTAGTAATTTCAACTCTCAATTACGTTTCTCCAACTTAAAAAACCAAGTTCACAGGACTCTAAATAAAGCAAGTAAACCATTCGGTGAACTTCTTTTTTTTTGTCAAATGAACAAATATTTTTGTTGCATCAACAACTTTTCTCAAATTCTCTCAACTCACCCTTAAGTGTCTTAAACTTAGAATAATTAGTTCAATTGATAGACTACCCTAAGTCTCATCAACTTATTCGTTTTAGCAGTACCAACAAAGTTATTAAAGTGGTTTAAACTTGACTTTATGTTCAGTGAACATAGAAAGTTGTCTGGTCTAGCAATCTTAAATTCAGAAAACTTTTTTGAATTAACAATTGCTCTGGCTACCGAATCCAACATTTTCAAACTGGTGAAGTGAATTTCTGAAACAATTAACAATCAAAAACATACATTTATTCATAATGTAGTAACTTTGTTGAAAGTGCAGTAGCTCAAGGCGGAACATCAGCAGTACATTATTAATAGAACAACGAACTATGCCTCGAGTAATATATGTTTAAAGGCAACGCCTTTCTTTGAAACATCTATCCAACTGCAAACAAGCCAAACTTAAAAACATGCTACAGTTCAGCAAACAGATATTGTATTGGTTCATATTTACGTGGATAAACAATGAAAAGTTGTGCCTTTAACCGAATCTGTATAAACATGTATAGAGTGCCACAGTGCATATAGAGTGCCACAGTGACGCGTCCTAAAACTCGGATGTAAACTCCTTCCGGTTCCTTCGACAAAAAGCAATGCAATTTCTCCATAGAATTTTGGAAACTAGCTCGAAATAAGGTGTGTGGTTGAGACACATTTAAGAGACGGATCAAATTTTGTTCAGCCGGATAATATCATGTTTACCCTACTTTCATGATTTTCTAATCATAAATCTATCGATTATATTTATGATTAGAAAATTATATAAATAGGGTAGACATGTGGAGATTATCCGGCTGAACAAAACGTGATCTGTCTCTTAAACGTGTTTCAACCACAGACCTTATTTCGAGCTATTTTCCAAAATCCTATGGAGAAATTGCATTGCTTTTTGTCGAAGGAACCCATGTGCAGCTTACTTCCGGGTTTTAGGATGCATCACTGTGGCACTCTATACTTGACAGATATATTATCATTTCATAAAATAACAAGCTAACATATAATTCCAAAATTAACAACAGAGGGAAAATCCAGCACCCTGTTTAAAAGGAAATTGTTAAACATTTGTAATGCAGTTTAGCTGGAACAGAACAAGTCTTGCTGGCTGCCTTGGAGTTGTGCAGCACATCAAATAACCACATTAAATAACCTTAAGGTGGAACCCAGACAGGGAAGGGAACCACATCTCTATATTGTGCCCTGAAGCAATTTGTTTCGCAGTCCATGAGCCCGAGCAGAGCAGGGGCCTCCCCCAATGTCCATGATTACCTTCTGAATGACCTCAAAGGTATTTTTCAGTCCCTTAGGATAATCAATGTTGAGGCTGTAAAGTATGCCCATCAGCACAGCAAAGCCGGTTGGTACATCTCGCAGCTTGCGCAAAACAATGCGCCCCTCCAGGATCACAGCAACATCCGCAATATTCCTTGGTAGGGCTGCCGGCTCCCGTTCTTCTGTGACGATCAGTACGCCAACATCCACTCCGTTTACAGCTGCCGCCTCCTCTGAGTCAGTGACCTGAATTATATCAGAAAACATTGAATAACTAATCAATCAATCAACAACTTTATTAATCCCGCAAGGGGCAATTGGTTGTGAGCAGCTTATGTCATGTACAGGGAGGAACATACAGGAAGAAAAACACACAGATAGATACACCCGGGGGCAGAGATGTGGATCATTCCAATTTACACGATAAGTAGTTTCATAGCATCACAATAAATAAATAAATAAATAGTCAAGTTAAAAAACCTACCAAGAATGTATAAGTTTGAGTGCAGAGGGGATGAATGATTTTGAAAAGCGATTAGTCTTAAGAGCAGGTAGAGCATATCTACGCCCTGATGGCAACAGATGAAATTCATCTGCAAGAACATGGCCTGTCAAGGTGGGTGCTACATTAACACTAAGGAACTCATCTCTTATTAAGTTTGAAACGTACCTCGCAGAACTTGATGAAGTTGGAGGGATCCTTCATGAAATATGGCAGTCCAAGAAGTGCTGCAGACCTTCTGTTCTGGTTGGAGTTCTGCAAAAACATCAAAACAGGCATCAAGAAAAGAAACTAGACAGACCAGGGGCCTGTACTACGAAGCAGGATTTGAGGTTAGCGAGGTCACTTCAGGTTTAACCCTGGGTTTTCTGTACTACGAAGGTGGTTCACTTCTTACTGGGATAGATCAACGCGGTAACTTATGCTGAATGCCTAACCTGCTCCGGAGCAGGTTATGTTCGTGATATCAGATCAACTCGTACAAAAGCGCCGCCTACTGACCAATCACAGCATGGTGCTCGCGGATCGTAAGAACCAAGAAGTTAAAATCATAAACCGGCTAAAAGCAACACAGTTTAAACGGACAAATGCAGAAAGGACAGCTGGCAAAATATCACCGACTGTGTGAATGCTAAATGAATAGGCTTATATATCACTGCCCACCTAGAGCACGATAGATCTGACTATATTACATGTGATCTGTTACATTAATGTGTTGCTTGGATGTGTTTTTATGGCATTGTAAAGTCCAAAAGTCAACATTTATTGTAAAAAAGATAGATGTATTAATTTTCATCATAGACAACATATTTTTATCAAACAAAATATTCTGCTTCAATCCATATTTATTAGCTAGTCTTTCAAAAACTAAAATGTTCACCGAGATAAAAAATAAAAGAGTTTGGTCTCCGGCATGTAAAGACATCACTGTATTAACGGGGCGGTCTAGCAGCAATCTAACAGCAACTTCTTGACTTACTTCAGACTCCAGCAGACGGTGAATCTTTGTGTCGCGTCTCTCTCGTGCTTTGTACAACTCGAGCAGTCTTGGCAAATGCCGGTCGAGTCCAGAAAGAAAGGACTTGGGGAGGTCAGCAGCCACAAGACGCGTGAACTCAGCAGCAATCTGTAAGGACCAAAACAGAACCCCAATATTAAAACATTCAGAAGAATAGATTGCTCTCCTGTTCGTCCCTGACCCAAGATTGGACAGGGAGCGGCCCCTGCAGACACCCACTGCTCCTGGCTGCCCTTGGACGAAGGACAGCACAGATGGGTGAAAAGCAGAGCACATTTCATTGTACATGTGTTTTTGTGTTGATGTGTCGCCTCCCACTGCACGCATGTGTTGATGTGTCAAAGCTGTATGACAAATAGGGCTGCAACAAACGACTAATTTGATAATCGATTAATCTATCGATTAATGAAACGATTAATCGATTAATCGGCTCGTTAAGGTTTTAACTGTACTACTACTTATATCGATACTGCTTATCGATCCGGTCCTTTTAACGATAGTAGGCTATTAACGGTTCTTTTGACAAGAAATAAGGTAAACTAACTAAACAAATTGTGAACAAAACTAACATTGCTTTTTATTTAAATTAAATAAATAATATTTCGCATCAAAAGAAACAACAATGTTTTAACAAATCATATTAAATAATGTGATGACAGAACTGTAAACAGAATAGCTGAAACTTTAACAAAATAAATAACTCTGTTACCTCTAATCATTAACCCATGTTTTTATAACTGAGTTAACTCTGTGTGTTGCTGCTAGCATACATAACACCTGACGTGGAAACGTTACCCTTACACGATAAACTGTTATTGCACTTTTGGTAACAAGCATTGTTCACATCGAGACGGCTAAAGTTTAACCACACTTCGGAGCACGTTCTCTCAGCCATCTCCTCCTGTGTGTGTTGCATGCATGTAGCAGCTGCCTGTGTGTGTGTAAACTGCCCCGCCCCCTCGCAAGCAGGCGGGGGAGAGATCTCTCGTCTGAATTGGGAAGATCGAAAATACATTATAGACGCATTTTGTAGTCATATTGCATATTAGAAACGGAGTTGGCGACACTAAGACTGCGATATAATGTTTATGTAGCAATAATACATATGACATATGTTTTAAATGTCTCCTGTATCGATAAAAAAGAGCGATAACGTTGGAGTTTAACGGGGTGTAGAACACATGTGATGACGTCACCAACGAATCGACGACTGAATTAGTTGCCAACTAATTTGGTAATCGATTTTAACCCCTTGCACCCCTAATGACAAATAAACAATTCTTTAAAATTATTCTTCAATTATAAAGAGGGGGTGTACATGTGAAAGCTTTATACTCACTTGTCTTTCTGAAAACAATGCTGGCCATCTGCTTTCAACCTCCGCCACACGCAGCTCTACATGATCACCGCCGCAGCTCCTCCTGTTGTGAGGGACCGTTGAGCGGAACACACACACACACACACAAGTTAGACCTAACACACTTAACTATTTTTATCTACCTCTGGAACAAGCTAAACTAGTTATAAATATGTTTATTCGTCACTCATTACCGGATTAGCGAGCTGCATGAGTCTGAAACTGACTGGCTGTCGGAAGAGAGAGGAAAATAGAGCCTCCGTTTCTCCCGTGTTATTATCCAAAGTGAATCTAAACTTTTGAATGATGTACTTCATCTATAAGTAGTTAGTTTGAATGTAATAATTTGTTGTTTTGTTTGATCGGAGCATCCCTAGTAAACGCCATAGCAACCCCACCCAGTTAACCGTTGGTCATTTTGAAAGTAGCTGGCCAGGTGAAAAAGTTTGAGAACCACTGCCCTATACAAATTCCTAGTATGTGTGAAGCATGTACATGGCCAATACAGATGTTGAATCTTGAATATATCCCAGGAAACTAAACCATTCTGAAACCCCCATTTTGGCTCTTGCAACGACTGAATTCACTTGCTAGCTAACGTTAGCTAGCTACACTAACTAAGAGGGGAAACACGGCCACCGTGGCTAGTTAGGTTTAGCCTCTAATAAACGTTATACATATATAGGTACATTTGAACATTAAACTCGGAAAAAAGCAATTATTAACTCACCTTTTGTAATTCTTCTTCTAATTCTTCACAATTTCAACCGCACCGCGCAGGCTTAGTTTTCAATTTGTTCCATGAGGTGAGGGAGGATGCTGGATGCACGGGTTGACACACACAATTTTGCAGGGGCAGTGTTCTGCGCATGTGCAAAAGCTGAGCAAACTCATCATTCTGAATTGAGTGTACTATTTTAATTTCACAGACAAGTTGAATGGATTCAAACTTGACGTTTCTAGTTGTCTCAACTTTTTGGCCAAATGTAGGTGACCTGACTCACATAAATGAGTTAAAGGAACTAAAATCCAAAATATTTTTTTACAGTGTGGGGCTATTCTTTGTCGTTATATTTTCTTCTTTTTAAAGGCAATACAGTTGGCTTATTTGCCCTGCACATTTATGCAAGATTAAACATTGCACATTTTCAGTCGAAGGCCTTTCCAGAAAGTTTTATTTTTATGAGACTTTACAACATGGACTATTAGAGGGAACAGACTGAGAAATCAAAGCAGATCATTTCTCAAAAACATTTTTTATTTGTGTTAGTTTGCCAGCACTGCAAAGAAAATGAAGAACGACCCTCATGTGACAGAGGTGTCCGATGAAGGGGCCCTGCTCAAAAGGTATCGCAATGAAATTGAAGACCTGAAGCGTCAACTTCAAGAGGCAAGTATCATCTTTCCTTTTTTTCTTAAGTCTTTTTTTATTTTGATGTGCTTATCACCACAATTCTCATTTTAAATGCACTTTCTACTAACTACCCATGGGTGATCTCGCTACAGGTGTCTTCAGTCACACAGAGTACGGCCAAGGAGAAGAAATCTCTCTCCCAGGGGCTCCAAGTGAAGGATCAGCTGCAGACAGAGCAAGAGGACCGCATCAGAAACCTGACCAAACTGCTTGTCACCAGCTCAAACCTGGTTCCTTTACAAAAGGTGAATAGACTTAAAATAACGCTGGTTTCAAAGGAGACCTTTTTTTCTTCAGCATCTTAGTCATGCTTACTCTCATCCTGTTTTTCCAGGTGCCCAAACGCAGAGAAACTTGGGGAGGGAAGATGCAAGGACTTGCCCGTACGTCTCTATGTGATTCTTTCACTGGGAATAGAAAAGGCGACCTCTCCTGTCTGAGTGAGCTGTGTGAATGTAAGAAAAAGCTGATAAAATGAAAAAGTTAATGCACTCTGCAAATCATCATTCCAATCATCATTCATGATTTAAAATGAATTCAAATGATTAGTTTCATACATACATGGTATGTTTCAACAGCTGGTAAGGACTTTGATGCTCCCTGGGGGATTCCTGATGAGCCTTCAGATGAAATGGACATGAATCAGACTTCTGTGACTGTCCGAAGCTTTGCAGACAGGTGAATGTCTTAAAACTACTAATGCTTATATTACTTTTCATTTTATAGACAGCAAATGTAACTACTCTTATCATCCAGGACAGCGTAATGCTGCCTTCACACCGGACGCGATGCGATGTTTGGGGGTGGCGCGATTACATGTAAAGTCAATTCAGGGATGCGAATTCTCTCCGACGACGAGCGTGAAGCGGTGGACGCAAATTCCGCGGCGCGATTGAAGGGGGCCGCGGCAAACGCTCAAGTTCAATTTTTTGAACTCGAGTGTCATATTCGCGTGATGCGATCTCGCGGTAGCCAATCAGCGGTGAGGATCTCAGCCTGCCTTCACTGCCGTTCAACCAGAAAACATCAGCTGTTAGCAGTTAGCACTCAGAGCTCCTCATATCTGTTCAGAAACTGGACGAAAGTTAAACAAGTACAAACCACAGACTGTCTGTGTCATGGCGAATACAGTCGCTGGTTTATTTATGTCTTTAGACCGTTGTTATGAGTGTGGACGGTCGGAGCATATACTGCATTAGCTTAGCCTGGTCGATGCGATCTTCATTCAGAAAACGTCTATCTGCAGACTTGTCAAAGCATTAATTCATGGTTTTTACTAACCGGTATCAGTATGTTGTTACTTCGGCATCATTTAGAAACGTGTATTACTAGTTAATACACGTATATTATTAGTTTTTTTTTTTTTCTCATACTGATATTCTGAACAATCTGTGCTATTGTATTAGCTGTAAAGTGTCTCTACTGTAGGCTATTTTTATTATATGTACAGTACTTTGGCTCGACCAAAAATCGTTTATAAATGTGCTATATAGATAAAACTAGATTTGATAAGTTGTGACCACTTTATCATGAGTTGAAGCTTGATATCCCTCGTTTTCTTCTATGATCATATTCAGGTTCATATTAGTATGTAGTGCCTCTACAGGGACATGTCTCCATGCTTTAATGTTCAAAAAGCTCTTTATTTTTCTCATACTGCCTGTGCTTAGAGGTGCAACAACATATTTTGGTCATGTTTCTTATGCGGTCCTCAACTAATCGACCAATTAATCGATTAAAATAGATGACCAAATTAGTTGCCCACTAATTCAGTCGTTGATTCGTTCGGTCTGTTGTTACTCTCTGTTTGCGGAGCTGGCCAGGTCACTCGGGGAAGAAAAAAAACATTCGAAAAAATGGAGGAGGCGTAGAGAAGCACGGTCCGAATAAAATCTTGAACAGCGTGGGAGCACTTCACTTTAAACAACAGTAAAAAGTGTGTTCCCTGCGAACTGTGTAAAATGTAACTTGCACATGGGAGCACCACAGTGATGCGTGAACATCTCAAACGTAAAAAGAAAAAACACCCGATCAAGATCCCTCCGCTTCACGTCGGTCTCTGTGATCATACTGTCTGTGTTTTCTTTCCCCTATAATGACTGCACATTATCCGGCTTATTACACGGCCAAATACCAAACTAACTAACAACTAGCTTGACTTATTTAAACTATGCCAATTTATTAATTCAGCTATTTCAAAGTGATTGCACATTTGCAGAAAATAGGTCGGGTTGAGACACTGTGCTGTATTTATGTGTGTTTGTAAGGAAGTGTAACTGCAGAGACAATCTACATATTGGTTGTAGCAAAGTCTGTTATCACTTTTTGCTTGTGATTCACAATTTTATTTTTTATAATTTGTTATAATCAGGGCTGCACATAACTGGTGCGCAGGTGCGCATGCGCACCTCCGCCAAAAAAAGAGCACCGGGTCATTTGAAACAAAGCGCACTTGCGTACCAACATTGAGAGAGGGAGAGAGAGAAGAGAAAAGAGAGAATAGAGGAGAGAAGAGAGGAGAGAGAGAGAGAGAGAGAGAGAGAGAGAGAAAGATATTTGCGAGTTGCATATGAACTCGGGGCAGGCCCGTAGCACTGGCTAGATGTTCGCCAAGGGCGCCAGATCTGTGGAGGCGCTGCGCTGGCAGTTCTGGGAGGGAAAAAAACATTTTGACCGTTGGGGCTCATCCTAATTTTCTGCCTTGATGTAACAATATTCATAATTAAGTAAATGTAACACCCTTTTCACCCCGGTTACACGTTTCATTTGCCCTGTACGATGGGCGCTGTAAGTGATGAAAATGGGGGATGTTGGCTTATCTGGCGCCCGCAGCTCACAGACAAAATGCGAGGGAGAGAGGGAGGGTGCACCGGTACCAGCGCTGTTGTTATTAGAATCTGGTGCTAGCTGCTCTAACGGTAGAAGAAGATGTTTCTACAATGATGTGGAGGGAGAGTCCTCTCCAGTCAGACTGATAACTACAGCTCAGTGAGGTAAAGGACTCTTATGGCACGTTTCCACTGCAGCGGGGTAGCCCCGTTTAAGCGTCCTCGCTCTGGCCTCGGGCTGCCTCGCTGGCCGGCCCAGGCCGTGGCGCATTTCCATTACAGTTTAGGACCTGGGGTAGCAACGCAGTGTAGGCGGGGCGATCGGCTTTGTTTTTGTTCACATTTCGAGTTGTTCCGTCGAGCTCCCGCTGGATTTGATCATCCCCAATGAGATGAAGGAACGTCGTCACCTCCTCGGTCGACCACGGTGTGCTTTTCTTAGAAGTAGCCATTTTTGTAGCTCCTCCGTTTACAAAATGCTGTGTATAAAAATGCTGCAAGCTTGCTTCTAGATATATATGCGACGCTAGGGATGAACTCGCACGCAATATTGTGACGATTCTCTCTGACCAATCAGCAGTCTAGAGTGTTGACGTCACTAGTTCAGCCCAGGCCCTGGTCTGAGGGAACCACGATTTTATGAGGCCGGAAAAAGAACCCGCTGGCCGGTACTAGGCTATAGGGAAACGCCACCAAAAACCGGCCTGGCCGCTTGAGGACGGTTAAGGACGCTTAAACGGGGCTACCCGCTGCAGTGGAAACGCGCCATTAGTCTAAGTTCAAACGGTTTGGTCGCAATTTATGTAAACACATATTTCCAAGGCACTCCTTTATAATTATTGGGATAAACAGGTTTGAAATCATTCCAATGTATACTATAGGACAGTAACCAAAAATATCGTTTAAAACTGGAGAGATAAAAAAAAATGCATAAATAAATGTTAAGGTAAAATAAGATATGAATGAAAAAACACAAATAAAATAAGTTACATTTGTTATTGGCTATGGTAGGTTATTGGTGATGTTCACATACTTATTTGATTACATCCACTTGTCTAAGATGACAACAGAGACTTTCGACCCAAAACCAGCTGTTGACTTGTGGATGCAAGCAGCTAATCGCAGACTCAACCAGAGAGAAAGTAGTAGGCCTACATCATCAGCTACCATGTCTGACAGAGAGGAAGACAGTGAGGAGAACAGTGAGGAGGGTAGTGATGACAGCTTGTAGGATTACTGCTCGTGCTAATGTTGTCTTGTGTTCACCTCTGCATGTGTGTTCTGTGTTCACCTCTGCATGTGTGTTCTGTGTTCACCTCTGCATGTGTGTTCAGTGTTCACCTCTGCATGTGTGTTCTGTGTTCACCTCTGCATGTGTGTTCTGTGTTCACCTCTGCATGTGTGTTCTGTGTTCACCTCTGCATGTGTGTTCTGTGTTCACCTCTGCATGTGTGTTCTGTGTGCACCTCTGCATGTGTGTTCTGTGTGCACCTCTGCATGTGTGTTCTGTGTGCACCTCTGTGTGTTCAGTGCCGTGTGTCTGGCAAATAAAGTCAAGACCCCCTCAAAAGTTACGGTTTATTTCATTTTAAGGATGAGCACCAAGCAACATCTCCAGGTGCTCCTTTGAGAACCAGGGCAAAAAAGTTATGTGCACCCCTGGTTATAATGTATTATTTATAACGGCTCAGGTCCATTAAAGCATTACAAAAAAAAAAAAACAGTTAGGTTAGTTATAAACAATGATAACTAACCTAACTGTGTGCATGAGGGAAAGGAAAACCCCAAAAAGCATTATCGGGCCGCTTTTAATAAAGTATGAGGTTTAACGGTTCATTTGGAAACTTTCATTACACTTATTTTTGTTTCATATCTGCTCAAGCTGTCACTTTATCCTGACAGTAGTGCATGAGAAATAATCTGCCACCTCCCACCACGTTTTCAACCATTTTTCTGATCAGTCAAACTGGACAGCTCTGCTGAAATATGGTAAAAAAAAAGACATGGCCTGCCTCTCACCTCAAATGGTTTGAGAAACCTATTTTAGTGTACGGTTTAGCTGGTGAATTGGATCTTTTGGTTTTTGTCAGTCTGAAGGGAGGTACATGATTTTCAAATGTTGTTGAACACATTTAGTCATCTGTATGTCATACCTTTTTATTTTTCAGCCCCAAAGACTTTGTGTCTCCAGCCCGTATGCACGAGCTTTCTGGGAGAGTCTCCTTCTTAATGATGCAGCTGGAGATGGAGGCCCAACAGAAAAAAGATGCCCTCGACAAATTACAGTCAACAGAACTGAGGGCAGCGCAGCTGGAGCTGGAGCTGCAGATGGAGGCCGAACAGAAAGTAAAGGCCCTGGAACAGGTGGAGATTTTGGGCGGCAGATTGGCAGACATTGGGAGTCACAATGAGGACCAGAGCAACACTCAGGTATGCTGTGTTTAGATATACCTCCTCTCTGGCCTAGTAGAGAAATCCATTATTACACATGAGAGAATCGCCATAGCTAGCCATCATGCTCATGGCTTGGTTATTTTAGCTCCTTTTTTTTTGAAGGACAATCATAGGTTCACAATTGTGACAATGATTTTCCTTCCATTTTCATTTTTTACCACTTAGTAAAAAAACATTACAAGCCCTCACCCATCCCCTCTCACCTCGATAGCCGATGGAGATATAGATTTAATCAAAGAAGCACATTGATTCCATGTTATCAAAGAACATATAAAATGTAAATACATACTGTATACGTTAATACAAAGATGAATACGTGGGTTGATTAAAAAAAAAAGAAAGAAAGGTAAAGTATAGGAAAATAAATGGCATTAGGTCATTTACACTATTTGGTTGGGAGCAGCGTTTCCGCCAGTGGGGCGTCTTGCCGTCATTTGACGTCCTTATTCAGCTCGGGACGCCCTGAACGCGAGCCGAGGGCGTCCAAAAATATTAATAATTCGAGAGAAGATCGAGAGTTTTTATCGCTTGAAATGACGAAAAGGAAAAAGGACAAGGACATCCCTCTGTTGGAGAGACAAAGGAGTCTAGTGGGATTCTTTTCGGAGTATTGAAGATCGTTTCCCCGACATCGGCGTTGCTTGCTACAGGACAACACGGAACGTGCGCAATTTAGGCGCGATGAGCGGTGCTAGTGGAGCACGCGCGTTGAGCTGCGAGCACCAGAGCCTCGCAGCGGCGAAACTGAGGCTCCGTGGTAAACTGGTAACATGAAGAGCCGTTTGGTAGCCGAAACAGCCGGCACTTTATCCGGCTCACTAACGTAAAAAGATAGTATCTATAAGGGACGGCTCAAGTCAAAATTCACCCGCTCTCGGGGTGGACGCCCTCTCAGCCCTGGTCTGGCGGAAACACTGGTTGGGAGTGTATGGATGTTGTTGAAATAGTCTATAAAGCACTGCCATTTCTTATAGAAACAGTCTACTGAGAGTACATTTGATCTTGTCCAGTTTGAGAAAGAACAATAGGTCTTTGAGCCAAATGGAGGACGATGCGGTGCTTATTGGAGTTTTTAGCCGCCTTTAAAACTAATCTTCAAACCTTGTTTTCCAGATGAAAAAAAAGTTTGCCGAGACGATCCATCTGTGTGAAAGCCTGTCTACAGAGATGGTAAGGCTTGATGGAGCTCCTGTGACACAACTCATTCTACAGCGCAGCTTATTTTGCATCTGAAATCTGAGAAAAGGATGTATTTATGATTGTAATGTTCAGTATTTAGGTATGTGATGTTATATAGGTTGTGGAGAAACTCCCAAGGATATCAGATTTGTTCATCCCAGGCTAAATGAAGGAATATTTCAAACTATCTAAAAAATGAAATGTTCGTATTCTCTTTGCAGCTATCTCGGTTTGCATCACTGCTTTTATTTATTCGTTTGTTTATATTTTTAGCTGCATAGAGGGAAGCCTGCAAAAGCTCATTTTAAGAGTATAATGACGATAAAGATCCTCTGATTTGAAATTTACCTAACTTTTTTTAAGACCCAAACAAACCATTTTATATATTCATGTTGCACAGCGAAACAATTTTTTATACCCTTTCCACACAGATAATTTGTTAAGCATGATACTAGCAGTTACAAACAAACAACATTAGGGCAATGTGTTTCACTTGGAAATGTTTACTGCATTAAATGGTACGCTTACAGGACAAGGTGCTTCTTGAACGGAAATATCTGAAGAATGAGCTGGGGATGTTCCTTGAGCAAATAAAAATACTGGATAAGGAGAAAGCGTCTCTCTCTCAGGAACTGGAGGAGAAGAGAGAGGTGGACGAGTTCAAGGCTCTAGAGGACGAGTGCAGGAAAGACCAAGAGGTAATTCATTTGATTCCATTCAGACTCCACAGATACCCCTTTCCCTCCAAACCACTGCAGTGTTTCCCCTAGGTTTACTGCCTTGGCAGGGTGCTGCTCGGGTACCCCCCCAACACGGGGGTGCCCGGAAAAAATGTTTTCCTCTGGAGCAGAGAGAGGAGCTGTGGATTATTGTTATTGATATCGTACAGTAACAAAGTATTTGTACATTATAAAGTACAGTGTTACACTGTACTTTATTACTTTTATTCAAACTGTATTCCCTTATCATGTAGACTACACTTCTTCCTTTCATTGATACATTTAAATCACCTGACTACACTTGCTGGAGGCAGCTCCACCTCATCTGATCTCTGATATGAAAGCAATCGTGTTATGATCATATTGAGCTATTGGTGTGAGTCTAACATTAAACAAGCAGTCTGTTTGTCATACATTGCTGACGATACATTTTAAGTGGCAATTTGTTGAGTCACTGCCGCTAAATGCCGGTAGCATCAAGCTAGCAAATCCTGCATTAGCCTCACATCAACAGGTGTAGACAGAACATCCAATTATCCTGAGCCAATTTACTGAATAAACCAACTCACATCTCCTGTCTTTTTTTTCAACTCATTAGACTATTCTTCTGCTGGCGTTTCCTTGTTGTTTTCTGTCAAATTCAATACTGTAGTTCAAAACCGCGGTACCTGCTCACCATCTGTGAGCTATTTTTAGAATGCGCACGCTACGTTCGGTGCGCGTCCACCTGGGCAGGCTGTGTGTGTCCTTCTCCCGTGACGATAACGGCTTGCTTGCGGTTAAAAAATAATAATAAACGAATTTGAAACTGGGGGCGCCACAAACCGGCAGAGCTTGGGGGAATAATGCAGATTTGTTTGACTTTTTTACACTTTGTTGAAAAAGTGAGCAAGAATCCCAGAACCACACTGGAAGACCTAGTCCACGGGTGGCCAACCCGCGGCTCTCGAGCCGCATGTGGCTCTCGAGCCGCATGTGGCTCTTTGCCTAGTTTCATGCGGCTCTTCAGTCGCATGTGGCTCTTTGCCTAGTTTCATGCGGCTCTTCAGTTCATATCGAATTGTGTGAGTTTGGGGGAGAGACACTGACTCCTGACTAGTGTTGCACGGTGTAGCAATACTTGAAAGGCACCCGCGATACCCTGCCGTTAAAAAAACGTTACGATTCCTCCGTTTCATTAGTATCGGTACTTTAAGAATGACGGGGGAAAGTACTCCGGTGAGAAAGCGCCGTTTTACTAAGAGCCGTGTGTGTTCAGCGCTCTGCTTCCATATGCTTCCACTCCCTGCACTGCAGCCATGCCTGCAGTCCCTCCCTCTCAAGCACGCTCTAAGTCCCTCCCCTCTCTCGTGCACGCGCTAGCTGCCAAAGCATGTGAGAAAACGAGAAGCATGGCTGCAAGTGGGAGTGCAACTGCCGCTGCGCAAAATGTGCAAAAAGTATTTGAGCTATATCTCTGACAGTGAGGGCAAGCCTACGGACACCACGAGGCCTGTCTGTAAGAAATGTATTAATTTTATTTAATACGAATTCTTGTCATTTATTTTATTTATTGTTCTCATTGTTTAAAAGTTTGTGTTATGGTTCTGGTGTGACATAAAGCACAATAATTAAATGTAAGACTGTTTCCCTTTTTTTTTTAAAAAGTATCGAAAAACAATCGGAATCGCAATTCTTGACTTGGTATCGAAACCAAAATGTTGGTACCGTGACAACACTACTCCTGACAGTTAAACCTGATATTTAGTAGGTCTGTTAAGTATTGAATGCTGATAATTCTGATGAATTTTGGCCGGTCAAAGTTGTTTGGGCTCGGTTAAAATCGCTCCGTTACTTTCGTCCCGTGTTACTTTCGTCCCGGTTACGTGTGTATGTGTGGTGTCAGTATGAGAGGATGACAGCGTGTCTAATTTTGATGTGGCCCAAGAGCCAATCACAATAATACCTGCGATGCAGTGAACCAATCACCTTTGAGGGGGGGCAAACCTATCGTTGATTAAACACTATCCAGTGTTTCCCCTACCATTATCTTGGAGGGGTGCTGCGCCCCGCCAACGGAGCCCCGCGCCCCCCCTGAAATTCAAGGTGTTTAAAAAATATATATCATTTTTTTTTTTAAATATAAAAAACCAAATTGCAAATAATCTATAACTACTGTCACTTTTCACATTGAACATGTGCTCTTTTATTAAAAAAACTAAACGCTTTCATTTTAAGTTGTGAGTTTAGTGTTTTTGACCCTAAGAAACACTGATGCATTAATCAATAACAATAATCCACAGCTCCTCTCTCTGCTCCAGAGGATTTAAAACATATATATCCCAATGCCACAAAAATGCATCAGTGACGTGGTTGAAATCTTGTCTCCAGAAAACAAAAAACTGAAACAAGCGGTATCAGTGACTGTGTGTTTGATGTGGCTCTTTGCAGTAACATAGAAAACATGTGGCTCTTAACCTCTGACTGGTTGGCCACCCCTGACCTAGTCAATGACCTGCAGAGAGCTGGGACCAAAGTAACAAAGGCTACCATCAGTAACACACTACGCCGCCAGGGACTCAAATTCTGCAGTGCCAGACGTGTCCCCCTGCTTAAGCCAGTACATGTCCAGGCCCGTCTGAAGTTTGCTAGAGAGCATTTAGATGATCCAGAAGAGGATTGGGAGAATGCCATATGGTCAGATGAAACCAAAATAGAACTTTTTGGTAAAAACTCAACTAGACGTGTTTGGAGGAGAAAGAATGCTGAGTTGCATCCAAAGAACACCATACCTACTGTGAAACATGGGGGTGGAAACATCATGCTTTGTGGCTGTTTTTCTGCAAAGGGACCAGGACGACTGATCCGTGTAAAGGAAAGAATGAATGGGGCCGTGTATCGTGAGATTTTGAGTGACAACCTCCTTCCATCAGCAAGGGCATTGAAGATGAAACGTGGCTGGGTCTTTCAGCATGACAATGATCCCAAACACACCGCCCGGGCAACCAGGGCTTCGTAAGAAGCATTTCAAGGTCCTGGAGTGGCCTAGCCAGTCTCCAGATCTCAACCCCATAGAAAATCTTTGGAGGGAGTTGAAAGTCTGTGTTGCCCAGCGACAGCCCCAAAACATCACTGCTCTAGAGGAGATCTGCATGGAGGAATGGGCCAAAATACCAGCAACAGTGTGTGACAACCTTGTGAAGACTTACAGAAAACGTTTGACCTCTGTCATTGCCAACAAAGGGTATATAACAAAGTATTGAGATGAACTTTTGTTATTGACCAAATACTTATTTTCCACCATAATTTGCAAATAAATTCTTTAAAAATCAAAAAATCAAAAAAAAATTCTTTTTTTTTTCTTTTTCTCCTTTTGTCTAATAGTTGAGGTATACCTAGGATAAAAATTACAGGCCTCATCTTTTTAAGTGGGAGAACTTGCACAATTGGTGGCTAACTAAATACTTTTTTGCCCCACTATTGGATAAATAACATAGGCGTTTAGTTTATTTAATAAAAGAAAATGGGAAAAGTGACCGTAGATAGATTACTTCAGTTGCAATTTGGTGCTATATATATATAGCTTAAAAAAAACACTTTGAATTTCAGGCGGGGCTCCGTTGGCAGGGCGCAGCGCCCCGCCAAGACAATGGTAGGGGAAACACTGCACTGCCAGTTTAGGCTCAAAGCTTGTGCTTTTCTGGTTCCAAAGCAGTTCTTCTTTTTATCCCCAGTTGTGTTTCCACTGCCCTGAGCCCGACTGGTGCTGTGTCTTGAAATCACCATTTACGTTGCTGATTTTCTCCCCAACGCCGCTCACAAAAACTGCGTTGGGTCGATGTTCTATTAATCAGGGTTCGTGCGGGTGCTGGAAATCCTTGAAAATGCTTGAAATTTAATGTGGTGTTTTCAAGGTGCTTGGATTTTGGGAATGGTGCTTGGATTTGGGACAAAGTGCTTGACATTGTAAATGCTTTACTTGTACAATAAATTGCTGTCTGACTGAATAGTTTGCTCTTTTTCGTGACGTTCTTGGTTCTTGATGGGCAGTCCAGTGGGGCTAGATAATAACCGGTTTTCGGGCCAAAGAGCCGGTCCTGCTGCGGTGGAAACGGGAAGAACCGGTGCTTAATCGGACACTAGCCCCGAAATAGCCTTGGAACTGCTTTGATGGGAAAGAGGCAATAAACCCCTTCCCATCAAGCCGATTGTAGTTCTAGCTCCGCGCTACGGCTCTTTTGGTTCGGAAGTGGCTCGCCTTTTTTGCCGCAGTTGTGTCTCCACCGGCCAGAGCCCGATTGGTGCTACGTTATGACTAGACCGTTTATTTAGCTGATTTTCTCTGCAGCGCCACTCACAACAACAACAATGGAGGACTGCGTCGGGTCAAGGCTCATGCTGTTTTTAATCGTACTAAGACAGATTAAATTAATGTACGACTTATCCAACGTTAAACTCTTCTCGAGTCCATGGGTTCATTGTTTACCAATGTGGTTCAAAGGCATTTACCGACCGCTGCAGTGATACGCTGCTCATCCACCGGAGTTTAGTCTACTGTTTACTTAAGGCTGCTGGAAAGCAGTAACTCACTGTCACACAAGCAACATCCACTGATGCATATCCTCCATCCCCATAAGTGAATGTGTTTCAGTCTGAATTGACCCTGTTTCGCATCACAACGCTGTTATTAAAGTTTCTCTGGTATTAGACAGGGGATGTAACATAGCAACCAAAGCTAAACTGACTGTCTTGACTACTTGTTGCTATCCTATTGTGGCATAAGCCGTTTTCTACAGGCACATTTTACCGGCCACTGAGGCAGTGTGCTTCTCATCACCACAGTCAATAATGGCGAACGGATGGTCATTAAAAGTAAGATAACTATAAACTGCATCACACTATGCCTGGTTAGTGTTGTGTGACTATATATATGTGTGTTTTTTTTATACGTTTGTGGTCATGTTCTGGTCACTTTGCTCAGCGCTACTGCTTGTTACAACTTTTCTTCTCTTCGCCATACTTGCCATGAACTGTTATTGCTCAAGTTAATCTGACCTAGCCTCGTATTTGGTTCTTGACGAGCAGTTTTTTTTGGTGCCAGAAGAACCGGTTTTAGTCGCCAAGAGCCGGTTCCACTACGGGGGAAACAAGGAAGAAATGGTTCGCCTTGAACCGGTTTAATGAGAAAGGGGTATTACGATGCTTGGACTGTAAAGTTGGGTGTTGGGCTTTCATTCATTTCACCTTCTGTTCATTTTGTTTGTGTGAACAGAATGAGTTGCAAAATGAAATGGCCAACTTGAAGAAGACTGTTGAAGCCTCTGAGCTTCAGTGTCTGGATCTGCAGGTAAGACAACATGCCCCAAGTGTAGACTTTTTGGGTTATTTGGAAATATATGATTTGTATTCTTCATATAACTATTACAAGCCGCACTTTGTTGTTGCAATTTTGTTAAATAGTATTTTAACTTTTGTGTTTACAAGAACAAACTGCAAACTCTGACTGTTGAGCTGAAGAAGAAAACTGAATTTGCACTGGAACTTCAGAGTATGGTATGTGTTGTCCCATTTGAACATCGTAAAGTTGCAACATCTAGCTTCTCTTTTGACAAATTGTTATAGTTATCTACATTTAGCCGATTCCTTAAGGCACGTAATGTGTGGTTATAATCTACAAGCAAACATGATTATTACCAGGGACATTTAGGTGAGATGTCTTTGGTTAAAATGTCTGCAGTATGGTATTTCTGAGCTTTAAATGCATTTACAAAAACATTTGTACACAATTCTGATTGGATTTATTCGCCTAAATACTTAATTATTCTGTTTGCATGGCAAATTAGTATTACAAGGCAAATATAATCTTTCAGAATAGGATCAAGGCTTTGGAATAAAATAGACAAAGGTAATTCAAAGTGTTTAAATTAAACATATACAGAAATGGATGTTCTTTTGGTGGGGGTGTGTGTGTGTAATAAACCTTGAACTGTGTCATAAGCTAATCTGTGTTCGCTTCCTAAATAATGGTAGGAAAATTAGGAAAGGCCAAATATTTTTCACAACAAGTGTGCTATGCTTAAAAAAGGAGTTTAGACTGTGAACTGCTTAAGATCTGAGTTGTTTGCATGTGACATATTGAGCTGACTTAGGCTGTGATGTTTCCCTCCTTGCAGAGCGGTAAGGACCTAGTGCAGGAGGTGGAGAAGCTGCAACGCTCTCTGGGTGACGCTGAGGGCCTCAGCAGGGATACAAAGAAGGAGTGGGCTGTCCTGCGCAGTGAACACATGGCTGTGGAGGAGATGAATGTATGTGGGAAAAAATGAACTATCACTTAGGGGTGCGTTCACACCTGCCTTGTATAGTCCGGTTGAATCGAACCCTGGTGCGTTTAGCCACTTGGTGCGGTTCATTTGGGTCGGTGTGAACACAGTCCGAGACCTCTGAAGTGAACTAAACAACCGGACTCTGGTCCGCTAAAATAGGTGGTCTCGGAGCGCTTGCTTGCGAACTCTGGAGCGTTTCATTGCTGGTGTGAACGCAGTCCGCACCAAAACACAGGAAGCGTAGTATTTACGTGTCACAAGAACGCGGATGTTTTCAAAATCTTTAGCGAAAGAGTCTTTCAAGACATCCGCGGTTGTTTAGTTAAAGAGTGAAGCAGAATGAAGTGTTGAACAGTGTTGTGTAAAGTAAAAATTCTCCGTCAGCTACATAAAAGTAAGAACACCTGTCGTCTGTGAAACCTCCTCCTGACTGCAGAACGTCTCATTATATGTTATAATGTTTTTTAACGGACGTTGTCTGATTATATAATCATATGCGCGGGCCGCTAGTGTCTGTTGATCTCCAGATTAACAGCCGCATGAGAATAACCTGCCGAAAGTGCCGATGCTCCATGGCGGAGGCTCCGGTAGAAATTGCCGGGATTTGCGTTTTTACCCCCTTAATGTCTGACCAATGGTTGAACAGCATTTCCGTGCACATGACTTGTGTTTAAAGTTTATAGTCCGTTTGAGTTTTGCCTGTGTGAACGCAAACCGAACCTTCTGAAAAATGAAACAATGTTACAAACTGTCGTCTGGTGCGCACCTGAGAAGCTGACTATTAGGTTTGAATGCACCCTTAAAATGTTAAAGGTGTTTTGAATAAACCTATGGCTGATTTGGTACCACTTTACAATAAGGCTACCTTTATCAGGCATGAAAATCACTCACCTTTCGGCGAAATTCGCCGTTTTGAATCCAAAATAGGTCATTTGTGTGATTCATGTAGATCTGCAATAAAAATATGTTTGGGGGGTCTGGGACCCGGAGTAATCTGCGGCCGCGAGCTGTTATGTGCCGTCATGACACGCATGGTGTTCTTTTTTTATATATTATAATGCAGCACGAGCTGTGTGCTCGAGTCTTCCTGCCTGTCGGCTCTGCTGCTCCGCGATGATGGTCTAGCTTCAGCAGCCACATTACCTACGGGTGCGTTCGTTAATATTAACTGTGCGGTCCGGAGTCACTGTGGCACAGACTGGACCGCTGGTGAACAGCTGTTAGAACGGGCCGTTCAGGTGTTCAGAGCAGAGCTCCCTGTCAGGGCGCAGAGCGTGATGTGCACTGAAAAGTTTTTCTGTTGCAATATTATCGTTGAGCTAGCTAGCATACATACATTGTCACTATCTGCTAACGTTAGCTTTAGCCTTCGTTTTCTAATAGTTTTTTATAGGCTATAAACGGAGGTGGTATAAGTATAGATCTTGTACTTGAGTAAAAGTAGAAGCACTCAGATCTTGTACTTGAGTAAAAGTAGAAGCACTCAGATCTTGTACTAGAGTAGAAGTACTCAGATCTTGTACTTGATTAAAAGCAGAAATACTCAGATCTTGTACTTGAGTAAAAGTAGAAGTACTCAGGTCTTGTACTTGATTAAAAGCAGAAATACTCAGATCTTGTACTTGAGTAAAAGTAGAAGTACTCAGGTCTTGTACTTGATTAAAAGTAGAAGTACTCAGGTCTTGTACTTGATTAAAAGTAGAAGTGCCAGAGTGTAGGAATACTCTGTTAGTAAAAGTCCTGCATTCAAAATGTTCCTCAAGTTAGAAAAGTATTCTCATTAAAATATAGTGAAAGTAGCGACAGTAAAAGTAGTCATTGTGCAGATTGGTCCATTTCAGAATAATATATATGATATGTTTTATAATGATTGATCATGAAAGTGTTCTCAAAGCTGGTAAAGGTGCAGCTAGTTTGAATGACTTTGTATACTGCAGGGTAGCTGGTGGATTTACTCCAGGTGGAACTAAAGTCTGATTCAACACTTGATTAGATTTCACATCATTCATCCACATCTGGAAAGTAACTAAAGGTATTAATACATGTAGTAGAGTCAAAGTACACCATTTACCTCTGAACTGTAGAGGAGAAGAAGAACAAAGTAGCAAAACATTGAAATACTTAAATAAAGTACAAGTATCTCAAAATTTAGTTACTTTACACCAGATGCCATAAAGATAGAAAGACTAAGCCTTGCACAGAGGCATGACAATAGATTTTGAAAATGCTCAACAGTGCTGCCAAAATTATAAACTGACTGCTACACAATTAAAATAAATGCTTTTATATATTTCTATTAGATGTGACTCTTTAGCGTTTCTGTTATTATTAACACTGCTGCTTTAGTTGTTTTGACTGCTAAAATCCTCTGTTATTCCTCATTTTAAAGCCGATATTCCGTGGGGTCGGGGGGCTCGGGTCCTCGTCACCTTTTCCATACCTGATGAGTTTGCATCCCTGATAATACTTAGTAAGGAGGCCATCATATTTTTGACTCATGGCTGAAGTTAAGTTTCTCCAGCTCTCCCCAGGTTGGCAAAAAAATGCATCTCAAAATGCATCAGATTGATGCTTTAAAATATGGAATATTCAAAATGTTCTTCCGGGGAAGCATGCCCCCGGACCCCCCTAGAGGGATAATATTCTTCTGACCTTTTTCACCCCTGACCCGTTTTCATGCCTGCTTTATAAAGGATTCATAAAGGGTCTATAATTAGGTTATTAATTAGATTGTAAACACTTTATTAATCATTAAGAACCATTTATAAACCAGTTCTAACATAGTTTTCATACATCAACACAGGCTCACTATTTGACAAGATGACTAAGCCTTATATTGGCTACTTAGCGAAAATCAACACAGTGAGCAACAGATACCAAGGATGCTGGCTGATGAAGAAGACGAAGTAAGCTAGGTAGCCAATATGAGGCTTACCCCTAAATTCCACCGGGTCCGTCTGCATCGCGTTACGGCTGCGCCACGGTTTTGGTCCGGCCTCCTCCGGCGTCATACCCTACCGGGCGTGTTTCAGAAGCGGAGCGTCTTGCCTGCCGGCTCGCAGTTTTTGTTGATTTGGGCATATTTCTTGCAAAGGCTACTTTGTGCAGACAAAGTTAATAATAATTGTAATATCCCAGTTATAAACAACATGAATCAAAGATGTGTTGCTGTATTTTAGTGGTAAAAAATGCATTCATCATCATAATTAGTATATATGGGCTGTCAGTCGATTAAAATATTTAATTGCGATTAATCGCATGATTGTCCATAGTTAATTGCAAATTAATCGCATATTTTAGATCTGTTCTAAATGTACCTTAGAGGAATATTTTTCAAGTTTTTAATACTCTTATCAACATATGAGTGGACAAATATGCTTTGTGCAAATGTTTATTATCATTTGAACAATGACAAATATTCTCATGAATATTAAACACAACAACCTCTGAACATTACAAATATTCGCCTCAATTCAATGGGTGTGTGTGTGTGTGTGTGTGTGTGTGTGTGTGTGTGTGTGTGTGTGTGTGTGTGTGTGTGTGTGTGTGTGTGTGTGTGTGTGTGTGTGTGTGTGTGTGTGTGTGTGTGTGTGTGTGTGTGTGTGTGTGTGTGTGTGTGTGTGTGTGTGTGTGTGTGTGTGTGTGTGTGTGTGTGTGTGTGTGTGTTTAGTAAAAGAAGAAGGGATATCTTCCAAAATATAATTCAAATTGGAGGACATTTTTTTATCCAACCATATTTGTACAAGTATGGAAGGAAAATAAACTTAATAAAAAATAAATTTTGTATTGATTTTTAGTTATTGGTGTCGGTTGGTCAAAGGTCACTTTTATTTAAAAGTTCAATTGCATGGCTTTTTTATTATTATTTTTAAATCTAATGTGTCTTGTCATTATCTCCTCTCCAGCTGATTCTGAGTGCCAACCATGAGAAGATGGAAGCTGAGGTGAGAAGCCTGCGCTGTGAACTCGACACAGAGAAGACGCGCTTCAGAAAGATGCAGAGCGATCTCCAAAAAGAGCTGAATGTGGTATTTGGCGAGAACACAAAGCTCACCTCACTGCTGGATGGAAAAGTACCACAAAGTAGGTTCAAAGTCAGGTGTTTATAAGAGTAGACATTCAATCTGTGGAATGAGATCAGAGTTGTAAGATGTTTTCTGTGCTAGATCTGATAGACAGCATGGAGCTTGAAAGGAGAGTGGCCCAGCTGAGCAGAGAGCTGACGGTGTCTCAGGAAGCAGAGGGAGCGCTCAAAGCTGAGCTGGCCTCTTTCCAGACTCTTCCAGAGAAGTTGGACAGTCTGATGAAGCAGGTGAGTCCTCCATTCATCCTCCATGGACAGTAGGACATCAGAATCAGTCGGGTGTCGCTGTGGCTTAATCCAAGATATACATGGATCTATAAATTAAAAAAATGTTTGGTTGATTTAATAAATAAAAACTCATAGTAACTCGGCAAAGTTCGGAACAGGGGTTTATCAAAGTCTTAGTCTGACTATTAAAATAGTATCACTTAATTCAAATGATAAATACTTAAAGGGATAGTGGAAATGGAACCTCGAATAGTTTCGTTTTAACTTATATACAAGCATAATTACGTACCAAAAAATTCACACCTGATTAAAAAAAATATAATAATTGCATTACGCATGTTAGAAGCACTTTATTGCAGCTTCCCCGAAGTTTTTTAGAAACGAAATGTTTCTCAGCCTAACCGGAAGTGACGAAAACTCAGGAAGACGATACGATAACAAACCATGGCGTCTATGCAGAATGAACGTGGAAGGGCAAATATACCAGACAAAGAAGAAGGATTGTACGAGGTATCCAGTGATGATAGCGAGTCAGAAACATCCTCTCGGCTTTCCTACGAAAATGTCGTTTTAGGAACTGAATCTGAATCCGGTTCAGTAAGCGACGATGGTGACAATATTGAGCCAGACGATGGACCATTACGTCCTTATTTGTTCGAGCCCGAGCCCGAGGTGATGGTTCACGGCATGGGCAATGGCGAGGATGACCAGGACCAGGCGCCAGATGATGCACCCCTACGCACAAATAATCTTGACTGGTAGGTCCCTAAGCATAGCTCACGCATCTTAAGATCACCTGTAGCCTTTACAAATATTAATCATTGTTAACCAGTTAAGGCCGAAGGTCCCCCCAGTGGACCCCTCCCACAGTTTTTTTTCTCTCACATGTCTCAGGGCTTCTTAACATTTATGAAACTATTAATGTTTCATACCCTTTTAAAGGTAAGAAACTCCGCTAACTGACAATAAGAACAATTGTTAGCTAGAAAAAACACAAGAGTAATACCAAGCCTTTGAATTAGCATTGAGCGAAACAATGCTAACTAATGCTAACGCTTTTTTACACACAACACACGGTAGAAATGCCCTTATTACTATCTTAACTGCACAAACAAGATATACGATTTAAAGCTGAGACTCCACAGATTCCACACATGTAATGTCATCACTGTAAGACCTCGAATTCCTGGAGCTATCAGCCAGAAAAGAGAAAGTAAACAACATCCGGTTCCAAAAATATTACAATAATTACGTCTTACCTTTTTTGATTTGTGATCAAAAGTTGTGTTCAACGGAATAAAAACGCATCTCAAGGTTAATCCAATGTCGTTGTGTCACGTAGAATTTTTCTGTCGCACTACAGCCATACAAAACACATCTATTCACCATAATAAAGGTCGGCTATTCACATGCAAATGCTATTGAATGTCCGCCATTGTTTGTGCCCGTCTTCCTGAGCTCTCGTCATCACCCGAAGATTCCCGACGATTCCCGAAGTATTTCGTTTCATTGAGAGGGCGCAGTAAAATTGAAAATAAAATGAAACTAGGCAGATGAAATTAAAAAAAATTGTTTAATATGCTTCTTTTTAATAAAAATACATAAGTTAAACCCAAAATTTGCGGATTTCCACTATCCCTTTAAAGGTCCCATGTCATGCTTTTCAGGTTACTACCCGTCCCCTTGTATGTTATGTAGCTTGTTCTGCATGTAAACGGTCTGCAGAGTCACAAACCCTCAAAGTACTCCCTGTAGCGAGTAAAACTCTAACACAGAAAAGACCTGTCTATGCTGCCCCAGAACGCCTCGTTGGACATTTCTATTTTTCCATTTTTTTTCTTCCGGGAACCAGGGCTCGACATTATAAATGGCCCGCTGGCCCGGACGCACTATTTAGACACCCCGGGCCAGCATAACGTACTTTCCACTTGCCCGCTCGGGCCACTAAAAATATTGCCTTAAAACAATTGTCCTGTGGTATTGGTATTTTGACTAGCAATTTAGTTAAATTGTTTCGTTTATCAACGCTACAACATAGCGTTCCGTGAGTCGGTTGTCCTTGTTGGGTGGAAATACAGGAGCGCAGCGCGAGTAGGCTCCCGTGAGCGAGAGCGCGCTCCTTCACTACAGACTATCGCGCCACCTAACCATTCGCCAAAATGTTTTTGATACCAGCGGTAACCGGCCAAGTGCCGGGCAAAAAACAATCTTCAAATAAAAGAAAGTCACCGGAGGAGTTAAAGGAGAGTGACAGGGAGCATGAGAAGAAGAGGGAGAGAAAGTTTCAGCCAGCTTGATCGATGGAGTTGGCTTCTCGTGGTGCAGTGACGTGTAGGGTTGGGAACCGAAACTCGGTTCCAGATGAGAACCGATAAGAAAATGCCGGGTACCGGGTACCCATACAAAATACACAATTTCGGTTCTGCTTAACGGTTCCTAAACGCGGTAGACCCTGTATTCCAGCGGGTCCGTCTGCACCGCGGTGCTGCGGTGACCCGGTGGAATACAGGGCGGACCTGGAGAATCACAGAACGGCCGGTCGTCAGCGGGCCGTTGACGGCCGGCTCGGTACGCTGACGGCCGGCACCGCCCTTCATTTTTTTAAACGGCATCATATAAATTGCGCTGACAGGCGACAGAGGTCCACAGTTGCCCCGCAGTGATGCTCCCCCCGCCCTCCCGTAGACATTTCACGAGCTCAGTCACTTCATAACACCAAAGATAGGTCGCGGTAAACACTCTGAAGTGAGGCTCCACTACACTAAAAAAGAAAAGGCAAAGTGTAATGCCTGTTAATAGCTTGCCACAGGCATAGCTCAGTTAAAATAAAGCACAGCTATTGTGCAATACATTTGTATTGCATGTATATTTTTTAGTAACAATTTCAGTTAAAGCTTTTAAGAATAAATATATTTTTGTTATCTAAACGTTTGACCTCTTTATTTTACAATTTTGGAATCGAAACGGGGAATCGATAAGAACCGGAATCGATGAGCAGAACCGGAATCGAAATCGGAATCGATACATTTCAAACGATACCCATCCCTAGTGACGTGTCCTAAAACCTTTTATAATCTATCGATTAGATTTATGATTCGAAAATTATAAAAGTAGGGTAGAGATGTGGAGCAGCTTACTTCCTGGTTTTAGGACGCGTCACTGCACCTCTCAATATGATGCCAATATAAACAAGGTCTTCTGTCGGCTCTATACATCAATGCCGACCTATGCTGACAAGTAAGTGAAGAGTAGAAAATATAAAAGGTATTGGCGAAATGTCCCAGCAGTTTAGGATAATTATTATTATCCTAAATTGTATTGTATTATTGTAAAGTATTATCTCTTGGATTTACACACGGCATCTATTGCACGTCTGTCCGTCCTGGGAGAGGGATCCCTCCTCTGTTGCTCTATACAGCCATGGTCTGCGTCTGTTAATAGTTTGTTTTTGGATTGCATTCAAAGTGATAGAAATGACAAAACAAGCCTCGTCCATTTTTTTCTTTTTTTTCGCTGGGCGCAGAGCTTGCGAAAGCCCTGGGGATCTGCAAACTTTGTGTTGCTCACGTTACACAATTCCACCAGCCCATTGCAACTGAGTTTTTTTCCTTCTGAAACTTCTAGCTGGATGAGCTGTCTGAAGAGCTGCAGAGTGTGCGTGCTGAGAAAGAGACTCTCCTGTCTGAGCAGAGTGCTGCTGCTCAGAGTTCTGCAGAGGAGATGGAGAAGCTGCTCTCTGCAGTCACATCTCTCACTGCAGAGAGAGACCAGCTCCAGGGAGACCTTCGGGAAAATGTAGACATGGTGAGTGACTACATTGCTGTTTGATAATAGTCTGTTTGCGATCTCCAAGAGTCCTATTATGAACCCGGAAATGTTGAGTACCCCAAAGTTTTATGTTAGAAATATATAGTAGGGGTCCCTTAACCCCTACACACAAGCCGATTTTGGCCGTCGATAGATGTCTGGCCGTCGATGAGCGTCCTGTCGCCCTACTCGGATTGGTGTGTCCCGCACCGTCGTGTCTTTTCGGCCGTGCCGACGCCTTGAGCTGTCTGCAAAATAAATCACTCTGATTGGCTGTTCAGCTTAGCGAATCAGTGCATGAGAAGCGAAACGGAAGTGAAGAAGGCACACAGACGTCTATTATTTTTCATTTTCATCTCAACTGGACGCAATAATTTATTTTATATCATGGCGATCTAGAATGAAGAAACCGAAGACCAACTCAGTTGCCACGTAATTTGCTGCCACACTTCCTGCATGAGGTGGACAATAGCTTCTTCAAGTATTTAACGGACAGGACCCTGGACGATGTGGCTATTTTTATTGTAGGCCTATTTCTATCTTATTGTATTTTAGTCGATTGTTCACATTGTACAGTTCTACATTTGATAATAAACCACTTTTTACCGCTACTGCAAAATACAAAACTTTATTTCGTACCTTCAAACTACAGCCATTAGATATCACATTAGAATGACGATACAATTAGCTATACTACAATAAAAGTCAGAGGATACAGATGTACATGATGATACATAATTTGCCTGTCAGTGTTATGATGTTTTATATTAATATAATCGTGGATTATAATTACTGATGCATGGAATGTGGTAGCAGCAGTACTTTAAGGTTGCCAGCCACAATGCTTAAATAGTTTATTTGTGCTTCAGAGAGCTGAAGTTTGTATATATCACGCAGTCTGTCTTCCAGTTGTTGCCTCTTTTGAATGATGAATACCCACTACCGCCGCCTGCTGGTAAGGAGAGTTATTGCCACTCAAGCATGCGCAGTTCGTACGTGCTGCTTGGCCGTCGGCTGAAGTCTTTGCGGTGTGTTCCAGTGCGTTGTGTTGGCCAAGACGCAGGAGACGTGAGGCGACACAACAGTCGTGTTCCGTCGGGACGTGTTCTTTGGTGTTTGCTTGGTGTGTCAGGGGCTTTACTTGTATATGTTGGAAAATGTGCACAATTACCACAAGTTGCCTTAATTATCATGAATTACCATCATGGCTTGAGCTATTTGGACTGGCTTTGGGGGTTATTGAGGATGTCTAATCCATTTCTGACATTTTCAGGGTCCAAATGGCAGTTTTAACCAGAAAGAGGCCACGTTGTTGCTTCTGGTGGGCTGATTTTTATGAATTTTGGGTCGATTTTGTAGTTTTAGGGGACTCTAGATTGGACAGATTGCTAATCTATTCGAAGTAGTAAAAATCTGCCCACCGAGATTGCAAATATAGCCCCTTTCTGGTTAGAACTGCCATTCTTGATTCTGAAAATGTCAGATATGCATTCCGCATCCTCAATAACCCCCAAAACTGTCCTGATCGGCGAGAGCCATTTTGATCAACTATTGTCTGCATAGGATTTATTGCTAATTGTTGCTGATTAACGCAACATTTGCTAATTGTGCGAATTTCCCAACATATGCAAGTAAGCACTCGGCAGTTTCTATGTGCTGTGGACATGTACTATATATTTCTAACATAAAACTTTGGGGTACACATTTGCGGGTCCAGTGCTTGCAACTAGACTATATTGTTAGAAAAACAACATAGATTTGTTAATTTTCTCATTTATAATGTTGACCAATTAACAGTCTCGTCCTTTTAAAAGCCCGTGACACAAATGAGATATTTTTATATGTTTAAAATATTCTCTGTGCCAATTTGTTCATAAATGTAAGTTAAGCTTCCATGTTGCCAGCCTTTGCTCTAAGTCACCACTTCTCCAGCTTTATTTTCCTGGCTATAAAAGTTTCCTTTGGTCAAAATTATTCCTTGTTTATTTACAATATTGTGTCTTATTTGTAGGCTGCTGAGACACAAATTATTCTACAGTCTCTTCAAGACGAGATGCAGCAGCAGAGGACCAAGCACTCAGATCTGGTGAAACTCTACGAGCAGAAGGATTCTGATTTAGGGGAACATGTGAGTGACGTGTCTGATCTGCAGTCTTTCAAAAGCAGTCCTTCTTTGTCAGTGTTCTTACTGTCAGTTTGAAATCTTCCCAACAGATGCCGAGTCTGTCACAGGAACTTGAGAGTGTGCGTGCTGAGAAAGAGACTCTCCTGTCTGAGCAGAGTGCTGCTGCTCAGAGTTCTGCAGAGGAGATGGAGAAGCTGCTCTCTGCAGTCACATCTCTCACTGCAGAGAGAGACCAGCTCCAGGGAGACCTTCGGGAAAATGTAGACATGGTGAGTGACTACATTGCTGTTTGATAATAAGTCTGTTTGCGATCTCCAAGAGTCCTATTATGAACCCGGAAATGTTGAGTACCCTAAAGTTTTATGTTAGAAATATATAGTAGGGGTTCCTTAAGGCCCCTACACACAAGCCGATTTTGGTAGATGTCTGAAAATACAGAAAAAAATACAAAAGGCGGGGCCACTCATACTCAAACGGCCTACATCACAGCTCTCCATAGGGTTTCATTTATTTTGTTACAATAACTCCTTAACACAGGAGCCTCAGATTGCTTATAAGGGGAAATATGAAGGGTGTATTTCAAGCTTGTTATAGAACGAAGTTATCGGCCTTTTTTTATCAACTAAGATTTGTTAGAACATTTTCTTAACTTGAATTGACTACATTTAATTGAAAATGTGGCACACATGAATACTGTGCAATATATGTTTACATATATATTTCAGAAGTACAAGATAAGACGAGCACAAGTTTCATGAGCCATATTCCATTATAATTTAACCATTTAAAACGGACCACGGGCCGCAGCTGCTTTAAGTCCATTAAGTTTATGATAAGGAAATAATTAACACACCATCATTGCAATATATTTTCCAAATACAATATCCTCATCTTTGAAATTCTCTTTCTGTTCTCAAAAATCCGATTGGTATTTAAGAGCATATACAATATCTCCACACCACTTTTGAGAAGCTTTTTCCAGCTCCGCTCTGAACAAATGGGTAGAACCTCATGATCTGCCCTGAATGCAGATTCAACCCCCCCACTGAGGCGCACTGCCTTTGCACAATCTGTTTCTCTTTTACTGTCATCAAAGATTGCAATCTGCTTCCAGATGATCTTAAAACCTGCACAGATTGTTGTATTTTTTATGCATAAAGATATATAATAATAATTTCAGTCCAGATTTTAAAATACATTTATTCTCTCAGCTGTGTTGAGACTTTCTTTTTGTAAAATGGTGTAGCCCAGTGGTTCTCAAACTTGTTCTGTCATTCTCCACTTTGAACAGGTGGTTCAAGCCCCACCTGTTCCTCATCGCTCCAATCAAATGGTAGGCCAAGCTTAAAATGGTCACATGTATCGTTCTATAACAGGGGTCTCCAACCTTTTTTAGGATGAGAGCTACTTTCACAAAATAAAACAAGTCGTGAGCTACTTTTACTCCCCTTTTTTTTGTTTTTTGCAGTGTATATATATTTAGCACATTTTAACATTGTTATATGCTTACCTTTAACCTTTGTGTGCTGTTTGGGTCTGTGGGACCCGTTCTCAGTGTTTACTAAAAGAACATGTATTCAATTTAATTATTTTCACCTGCTTTATTTGGGGGTGGCCCTCACCTCCTCTAGGGGGGTCCGGGGGCATACACCCCCGGGAAGATTTGTTTTTTCATGTTGAAGTTAAAAGCATCAATCTGGTGCACTTTGAGCACAACATGAATTTATGGATACAGCTCTCAACACTCAGATGAAAGGGAGCTGTATACTTTTCAATAATCCGAACATCTTTAGAATATGTTTTTTATATATCTGATATAATCTATGCCTAGAAATAACATGATGGGAGATCTTTAAATCTTGTGAAAGTCCACCGCCGTTGCGAGTCTCCGCCTGTAACAGTCCACTACCGCCCGCAAGGACCTAGGTTCGATTCTGGCCTGAGGTCCAAAAAAAGTATTTTTTTAAAAAAAATCTCCCGTCCATTCGCGACCCACCTATCACATCTCTGCGCCCCACTCTTTGAGAAACGCTGGTGTAGCCCAAACATAAATTATTTTTTTCCCAAACAGACGATTGAGAATCAGGAGGAGCTGAGGACAGCCCTGGAGAAGAACCGCCAACAGAGGGAGACGATCAAACGGCTGGAGAATGCACAGACATCCCAACAGGAAGCTCCTCCCAACGAGACCAGTGCACAGACAGAGGAGCTGCAAACACTTGTAAGACTTCCTTAATGCTTCTGGAATACTCTTTTTTTTTAATTAAATGACATTTTGTAGGATACTCTGATAACAACTCTGTGCTTACTTCAGCTTTAAAGTATTCATTGTAAAATCTAAACATACTATTACTGACACCAATATGATTCTTAATTTGATCCTTACTTCATCAGAATCATGTTTGTTCTACAAACTCCTTTAACCCCACCTTTGTTGTCATCTTAAAGCATGTTTTTACTAGTCTCTCAACAGAGGAGTTACCTCAGGTTTACTACAAGGCTTTGATGGACATCAGAAAATCATGTTACATTTAGTAAAACTGGACTTTATATTTACTAATTATCACCTCTTCAGGAACAAGTGGTACAAGAAATGGCAAGCTGTAAGTAACTTTGTACAAAATAGATCTTCACTTGAACACTCGTGGTGGTAATCTCTTTCAGATGATGGAGAACCAGGAAGAGCTGAGGGTGTCTCAGGAGAAGGTGGGAGTTCTCCAAGATGAGATCAGCGCACTGAAGAGTCAGATGGCAGAGCTGGAGAGCAGAGCGAGTGATGCAGAGATTACCCTCCAGCTGCAGGAGCTGCACAATCAGGCAGGACTACACTCTTTTGAATCAATCTAGTGAATTTAGACACAATCTTAAGTGAGGCATAATGTGCAGTTAGGCGGTCATTATTGGAATAAGAACACCCAACCGCTTCACGTAGGGCTCCATGATCAACCTAAATCCAATAATGACCGCCTCACTGCTCATTATCCCACGTATTACACGCCCACATACTAAAGAAACAAACAACTTGTGTCCTATCATGCAAAATGCACTTTTTGATGTCTTTAAAGGTCCTTACACACCAAGCCAATTGTTTGCATAATAATAAGGACGATTGTCCGTTCTGTGATTCTCCAGAACACACATGTTATGATATTAGGGTCATGCAGAGTGAGATGAGATCGCTGTCCCTTTAAGAGAGAGGGGTGTGGCGTGTAGAGCGAGCTTGTGTATGTTTCTGGAAGTGAAACGAGGAAGCAGAAAAACAGAGGTCTGTGATGTATTTTGTGAAACGGAAGAACAGCTAAATAAATGCAACGGCCTCCCAAGAAGAGCTCGCCTCTCTCCAGTCATTTAAGCTAAAGTGGGTTATTGAACCTGAAGCTTGTTGCTTCTGCCCTGGGAGACGACAGAGAGTCACCCCCCTGTTTCCTCGACTACGGTCTGGGAGCCGACAGGAAAGTTCAACACACAGATGGCCAGTCCGCTTCTTTGTAGCATATTATTTCTATGAGGGATGAGCAGATCGCAAAAACTGCGGCATGTGTACGGCTCCTTATGGGTACTGCAATTAGTGAAGTGCTTTCCTCCGTGGTGAAATGATCAGCACCACGGAGGAAAGCGGCAGAAAGTCACCTGGAGTTAAAGAGAGCGGGGCTGCGCTGCGTGCATGGCTTCCTTCTGCAGGTAACGGGGGGGACGCACTCTGGCGGCGGTCTCGTTCAGGATCCGAAAATAAAATTGTAATATTTTGCACACTGGTTACGGTGCCGCGTGCCTCCATTGGCATGCGTGCCAGGGGTTGCCGACCCCTGGTTTAGGCTGTCAAATACGCTGCACCGTTTTAGATTCAATGAGTGTCTCGTTTGCAAATGCTTCATTAAGTTGCTTGTGTTACCCCCTTTACAAGCAACTAATTGAGTACATAGATTGCACCTTGCACTGTCGCCACTACATTTTTTAAAGTGCACCCAGACCTTCGATCGCTTCGCTCTGTCCGCCATGCCTGCGGGAGTCTCACAACAATAATAAGAGCGCTGTTGAGAGAGATGACGAGTGGCATTTACAGTGGCCAATCAGAGGGGTCTCAAACCGGATACATCACACGGGATGAGGGTTCCCAACCAACCAGAATGGTTTAAAGTTAAGCTAAGGAAGTAGACGTAACACATATACTGATAGCAGCACCGTTTGTCCATCGGCTTAACGGTATACCGATACCGTCCAACCAGGTACCTGTATTGACTTGGTACCGGTTCTCCATACCATCCCTAGTCCCGGTGTGTAACGGAACTCACAAAGTGTCCGAAAATAAACCCTCTCTCTTTTCCTCCATACCCACATCTCTAAAAACGGGGGTATAACGGAGCTGATCCAGATTTGCCTGATATAACGTAATATCGGAAATGTGGGCGGGCTTTACACCCTGTCCCCGTGGCCCTATCAGAAACGTCGCCACAAAAGAATCAGCCATTCTCTAACAGGGCTGAAATAGAGGGATATGAGGGATGTCTAAAATGTATGATCTGTTTGGTATTTTGAGGAAAACACTTTGTTATTTATATATCTGATACCCATAATATATGCCTAGAAATAGCATGATAGGAGATCTTTAAAATAATTGTATTGACTTGAAAATGATCTTATTGCTTCCGGTAAGAACAAAAAAACCCTCTGTTCAGTGTGCGAAAAAGCACACGTCCCACCGTCCGGGACGTGTTATTTACAATATCGGACAAGTAGATCTTTCAATTGACTTGTCCGGCGGACAAGTGCCGTTTTTCGCCCTCATTTATTGACAAATTATAGATAAATTCAGATTACAAAAGGCAGAACTCGCTTGCAAATTGTCCGTGTCCGCCATTGTTCGTTTAGAAATGTTTCGGTTCTGCTTGTCGATTCAGGAAATGCATCTCGCAGCTTTCTGTACTGTAGGCGGGGCGGGAAGTGTAGCACAGTGGCAGGGTTCAAACTCGGTTCCGAGTAGGAACAAATAACAATTGTCCGGTACCGGGATTAATAAGAGTTGTGAGGAGGCGAGGCCAAAGCCCCGCGGACCGCAGCTCTCTCTCTATGCTCCGTATCAGCTGATCGCTGCACGATGCAGCTCAGCGTCTCTCTCTCTTTCTACACACAGCAGATCCGCTGCCCGTTTAACAGCCTCATCTTTGTCAAACTTTCTTATGTTCTTTCTCTAACACGTAATGAAGGTTATTAAGCGTTTTAGCTCCTGTGTTGTTAATATCGACCGCCATTTCCTTTATGAAGTGAAGCAGCCTCCCTGTCTGTGTCCTCGCGCTGTCCTCACATCCCCGGACCCCCAGACTCGGAGGAGCACAGGGATGTCAGTATTGTTTATGAAGCAGGGTATAGAAAGTACATTATTGAAATGAAAATACTATTTATTTACTTTTACAAACATTGAGCAGCTGGGCAGCTGCAGCATGTGTATTGCAGGACATGTGTAAGCGTGCAAGCGTCTTTGAGTTGTAGAAAAGCGCTAGGCCTATAGGCTATAAATATAATTTATTATTATTAGGCCTATGTGTTGGACATGTGTGGTTGGACTCTGTCTCACAGGCAGGTTGCAGTGTAACATCAGAGGAGACTGGGCCAATTGTACATTCTCAAGCTGCACCACTTAGAACTAACTAAACAATGCAGAGATTATTTTTATATAATTTTATTCAATAATAAGAAATTCAACAGTATGAAGTGATTTGTAAATATGAATACAGATTTGACTTAATGTTTTCATAAATATATTTGTCTCCCAGTTTGTCATGGGACTTATTTTTACCCTCTCAAAGAACCGGAATCGAGAACCAAAAATAACCGGAATCGTTAAAATCCAAACGATACCCAACCCTATGTGTGATGCAGTAAAATCTTACCGCTCACTTACGTTAGCGGTGTCGTAAAAACCGTGGGAAAATGTAAAATATGATGGCGAAGAAGAAGATTCCAGTGGCCCCAATTTTTGTCCATTCTGGACAAGTGAAAAATGTATTCGGTAGTAAATTGCCAAACTCACTTGTCCATGGACAAGTACTCTCTAAAAACTTTTTCTCACACTGCTGTTCCACGGCACACCAACAGCTGAAACTGCAGCAACAACAACCTCATTTCAAATGAACAGCAGTACTGCTCGAGGTTTTCCGTAACTGTCCAAGTCTGTACACAGTCCTGAAACACTGCCAGAGCCATTACCGTGTTCCTGTTAGTGTTTACTGTCTGTCTTCTTCTGTTTATTTCTCTGACTTTGAACCTCTTTCCTTCTCTCCCTTGATCCTCCTTAGCAATGGTAATGTAATGCTTAGGAGTTGAGTCTTAATAACCTCTATAATGTCCGAATTAACCAATCTGAATCGAGTATTCAACTAGACCGTGAAATAAGGATTGATAACCATCTGAACTGAATGATGATTTTCTTTGTTTTCACATCACTGTTTATTTGAAATAACAATTAGGACTATTTTAACTTGACAGATTCAGACACTGTCTGAGGAGCTTGAGAGTGTGCGAGTAGAGAGAGACGCTCTGCTGTCTGAGAGGACGCCCGACACTCACAGTGAGGAGATGGAGACGCTGCAGTGCAGCGTGACGTCTCTCAGTGAGGAGAGAGACCAGCTGCAGGAGATCCTGGAGGGACTGAGGCAGGAGAAGCAGCAGCTCAGAGACCAGCTGGAGGACAGGATGGAGGTGGTTAGTTAAAATTGGTTCTTCTAAAGAAAGAAGTATTGGTTTATGACTGATTATTTGATATCTTTTTAGAAAGGGGGGAAAAGAAACTAACGTTTTTTTTTTTTGTGCAGGTTGCCCAAGCCCAATGTGAGTTTAACCAGCCAGAAATACTGACCTCAGAACTGCATGTTGAGGAAGTAACCAACCTTCAGAAAGAGGTAAAAGAATAATACTGAAGTCTTCTGATGTTGGCTTAGGTCTCTTCATGGTGTTTTTTTATAATAAGAAATAATATTAATAAACGCCATTTTCCATTTTAAAATCCCTGTTTCAATATTCAAAATACTGAATGTGCCAATTTCCCTCCTCAGATAAAGCAACTGCAGGATACTTTACAGACTGTCAGTGAGCAGAAGAGCCTGCTCGAAGTCGACCTGCAGCGTAATATGGAAAAGGTGAAGGTGAGTGGTCCGTGTCTGAGATCTGACACTTTGTGGTTTAAGTGTTTGTGTGTTACAGAGCGTTTGCTCACATTTTTATACATTTTCCTATTCTATGGATGATTTGGAAATATGTGATTGTTATTTATTTTCCTGTTTTTAGGCTACAGAGACTGAGAGCCTTCTACAATCACTTGAACAACAACTTGAAGAGCACAATCAGAGAAACATCGACCTGGAAACACTAAGCCTCGAGCAGCAAGCTCAGCTACAACAACAGGTTTGTTGCTTTCAACATTTTTCACTTAAAGTGGACCTATCATGCTATATTTGAAAAATAAGGCCAGACCTATACAAAACATGTCTGTGAAGTTTTTTTTTCAAAATACCAAACAGATCACCCATTGTAGCCATGCCTCATACTGCTCAAACCCCTCTTTTGAAGCCCTGTTAGGGAAACGTGGATTTTGGGTCCTTAGCTTGAAAAGAATAAATAAGAGGAGGCGGAGCTAATGCCTGATCAGAATTCTACCGGAGATAAAGTTAAATTCGGTTGTGATAAAACGCCATCCTTTTTAAACCACATCAAGGATTATTTCTGAAACAGTACGGAGCTCAAATACTTTTTCTCTTGCGGGTTTATCACAAGGTGAGTTCTTTTTTTATTTCCTGCTTTTTAAACACATGTACTCTCCAGTACAGGTTAGCTCTGAGTGTTAGCGAGGCTTGCTAATGTAAACAAAGACGTCCAAAACACGTCAGGCATTGTTTCTGATAGCAACTTTCTGTGGGTCCGCTGCCGATTTGACGTCAGTTCGGATGGAATCTGTATCAGCTCGTTGTTCGCCCGTTTTTAAAAGATTTGGGCACGGAGGAAAAGAGAGGGTTTTATTTTCTGACGCTGCGTGAGTACCCCGACGCACTGGGGACACATATTTATGTATAAAAGACATCACAAAGTGCATTTTGCATGATAGGTCCCCTTTAAACTATATGTTTAGTTTCCCTTTTCAGAAGTATGTTTTATATTAGGGCTGTCAAGTTAACGCAAAAAAAAATGTAACGCCACTAATTATTTTAACGCGATTAACGCATGTGTATTTTTTGTCCTCGGCCGCCCCGTAGTTTCAGAGCGCATTGAGTTTAAAATACATTCTACAATCTGATGCTGACAGCCCCGCTCCTGCCGCAGACCACACTTCCACGCTCACCGACTGGCCATCGGGAGGACCGGGAGGGTGTGTGTATGTGTGGCGCGAGAGAGAGAACGGGCACACCTTACATGTATTGTTGTTGTTAGCATCTGGTGCTAGCTAGCTGCACTAACGGATATAAGGAGCTGTTTCAATGAAAACAGAGGAGCGACATTTCGCCGACAACTGCGCTGAGCACTTGACTTTATGCAGGTAGCCAGACAGTGGGACATTGTACGAAAAGTCACACTTTGTATTGTATTATTGTATGAGAGGATCCAGGTTGAATTGAGGCGAATATTTGTAATGTTCAGAGGTTGTTGTGTTTAATATTCATGAGAATATTTGTCATTGTTCAAATGATAATAAACATTTGCATAAAACATATTTGTCCACTCATATGTTGATAACAGTATTAAAAACTTGAAAAATATTCATCTAAGCTACATTTAGAACAGAAAATGTGCGATTAACTATGGACAATCATGCGATTCAATATTTTAATCGACTGACAGCCCTAATTTATATATAAACTGTTCTCTTATGTTCAGGTTGAAGAAACTCTGCGCGGTCTTCATTCTCTTCAAGAGGAGCTCCAAGAGCAGAAGCAGCATAGCTCTGAGCACCTGAAGCTCTGTGAGCAGAAGGAATCTGAGTTGGATCAACAGGTGAGATGACATTTAAAAAAAGAACATGTCAAACTGATCCTCTATTGTACATGTTCTGATAAGAAGTTTGAAATCACCCCATGTCAAACAGATCAAGTATCTGAAGGAGCAGCTTGAGGGTGTCCGTGCAGAAAGAGATGCGCCGTTTGTGAAGGAGAGCAGCGGTCAGAGCTCCACAGAGGAGATGGAGAAGCTGCAGAGCAGAGTGACGTCTCTCAGTGAAGACAGACACCAGCTGCAGGAGACCCTGGAGGGGCTGAGGCAGGAGAAGCAGCAGCTCAGAGACCAGCTGGAGGACAGGATGGTGATGGTAAACACTAGGGATGCACCGAATATTCGGCCACCGAAAATTATCGGCCGAAAATGGTTAAAAAGGCCCTTTCGGCCGAAAGGGTTTTAGCACCGAAAAAATATCACCGAATGTCAGAACAGGTTTACGTTGGTAACCTAACGTGTTGTTGTGATGACGTAATAAAGACGCGGCGACCATGCTCGCGGCTGGCTCACGGGGGGGGGGGGGGGGGGGGGGGAACATTGACCTTTGTCATCGAGATTGCCCTGAGCCTTTAACAAATCGTATTAAATAATCTGATGACAGACTGTAAACAGAATAGCTGAAATTTTAACAAACTAAATAACTCAGTTACCTCTAATCATTAACCCATGTTTGTATCATGTAGTTAACTCCGTGTGTTGCTGCTAGCATACATAACACCTGACGTGGAAACGTTACTCGTGGATGGGGCTACAGAGCTGCTAGAAAGACGGTCGAACCCGGTGCATTCCTCCGTCTGCATGCGGTGCACTTTTGCTAAATGTTTAGACAAATTGCTCGTGCTTACATGCTAAACTCTTATTGCACTTATGGTAACAAGTATTCTCCACATCGAGACAGGTAAAGTTTAACCACACCTCGAAGCGCGTTCTCTCCGCCATCTCCGCAGTGTGCTCCGCTGCATGTAGCAGCTGCGTGTGTGTAAACTGCCCCGCCCCCTCGCACACAGACGGGGGAGAGAGATCTCGTCTGATCGAAAATACATCATAGACGCATTTGCTGTCTTTGCATATTAGAAACGAGTTGGCGACACTAAGACTGCGATATAATGTTTTTTAGCAATAATACATGACATATATAAATGTACTGTATGCATTCAAAAGTGCTGAATAAATGTTTTATGGACCCATAATAGTGATTATTATTTAAGTTAAGTTTTGCCATAATCATGTCTATTTCCATAATCAGGTAGCTGAACAACATTGGTAAAAAATGTATACATTATATATATATATATATATATATTTCTATTAATCATTTTCGGCATTCGGTTTTCGGCCAACTGTTTCCTATTTTCGGTATCGGTTTCGGCCAAGAATTTCCCATTCGGTGCACCCCTAGTAAACACTGAGTACTATAGTTTGAGATTATTGTATATACTGACCAGTCCCACTATAATCAGGCCCAGTTTCTTGGGGAAAATTGCTGCTGGGCCCCCGGATTATTTTGTACTCTCCCGAAGTAAAAAGCTAACGTTGGGCTATAAACTACAATACTGTTGCATTTCATTACATCAGGGGTGGGGAACCTCCGGCCTCCAAGCCGTATACGGTCCGCAAGACCATTTGATACGGCCCTGGAGGTGATTTATAAACACACGAAGAAATAAAGAGATTAAAGAAATCTAGACCACAAAATAAAGAGATTAAAGAAAATCTAGACCGCAAAATAATTAAACAAGCGAGCTCCTATTTTTCCTGGCCAAGGACAGGTTCCTTGAACACAACACGAGCGTAGCGTGTCATCATGTGGTGTAGTGCTGACGGAGAGCCCCGGAACGCCGCTCCGGCACTTCAAAAATTGCAGTACGCATAAGGAGCTGTACGCGTGTCTTTAGTTGTAAGCCCAGTGGCGATCTGTTCATCCGTCATATGATCATATAGACCAGCGGTCCCCAACCTTTTTTGTGCACCGGACTGGTTTAATGTTAGAAAATATTTTCGCGGCCCGGCCTTCAAGTTGTAGGGGGATAAATATGACGAAATAAAATAATAACCTGTGTTCCTGTTTAACTGGTTATTGTGTTAACTGGTTAGCTATTTTCCATTGGTTTGAATGTTGCAATCAAACATACCACAAAGGCATATAATTGCAACAAAAACAAAACGTGTCTACGGCACCGCGGAACAGACGATTAGATAACATGCAAGTAAAGTAGCGTTTTTCAAAGCATGGGTTCAGAACTTAATTGCCTCTGAGTGATGAGGAGGTTCTGGCGATTTACTCGGAAGGCTTCTACTGAAGCCAGTCCCCAACTCCGGGGACCTCCGGCCGGGGACTTCGGGTGGTAGTATACGCCGTGAAGTTGTTTGCGGCCTGCCGGTAAACCCAAATGAGACGCAGCAGCAGAAGAAGAAGAAGTGATGTCAGCGGCTTCATTTGCGTAATCTTCCCTCAGGGAACTTATTCCGGTGTGAACGCGATCTGCTCTTTAGTTCCATGGGGGTACTAAGTGCTGGGAACTAAGTACGGCAAAGTACTTGGTGTGTAAGCGGCTCCCCAGCCCTGCTTTACATCAACACCGACCGCTAAGCTAAAGGCGGCTTATGTTTGGTGCTGACGTTTATTAGTCTCATTTGGACACTTCAGAATTCCTTTATTAATCCCACAGCGTGGAAATGTATAGTGTTACAGCAAAAGTGGCATAGCAGATAAAAAAGGCATGCAATATAAAAAACCATGGCAAAAAGAAAGTGACCTAAAAATAAATGTAGGAACATTTAGGACAAGCATCGCTGTTTTTATGTCTCAAAGAAGCTTTGGATATTCATCGTAGAAATCTTTTAAACTTATGGTAACCACAGACCATAAAAAACATAGACTGTCAGACGAGGGAACCAAAAGTAGTAAAATGCCTACTCATGCCGCTAAATATCAAAGTGAATGCCATTGTATTTTTTACGACAGCAATCAACAGTATTTCAACTTGTTTAATTCATCTTACATTTCTCCAGTTTACAGTCCAAAAAATAATGTTGAACAATTAGCTCGACTAGATTTGCAGATCAATCCTCAACCAGAGCATTAATAGCCGCGTTCACAGCGCAGTACTTTTCCTATTTTAGTTCCAATATAGTTCCGAAATGTCGCTTTCACACCAAAAAGAGCCGGAACTAAAATTAGTTCATGAGAACCTTTTTACCCCCTTTTCCGTCCCTGCTAGAGAGCAGGGACTTTCGTGGTAGAAAAAGGTTCCTATGTCTGATTGGCTGGGCGGATTGCAAACCACGCCCCGTAAAACTCCAAAAAAGGTTTTGTGAAGCCGCCATTTTATTTTCCTCGCATTAGCATTATTAGCATTAGCATTCGCCCAGCGCACAAACGCAGAGGGACTAATTTATCACAACACAAAAGAAAACATGGGAGCGATGGAGATGAGGTGTCGGCGTTCTGGCGATTTACTCTGAAGGCTTCAGTAGAAGCCAGTCCCTAACTACGGGGACTTTGGGCGGCAGTATACGCCGTGAAGTGGTTTGCGGCCTGCCAGTAAACCCAAAGCAGAAGAAGTGACGTCAGCGGCTTCATTTGCCTAATCCTCCCCCAGGGACTTATTCCGGTGTGAACGCGATCTGTACTTAGTTCATGAGAACTAAAGAGTTCTCATGAACTAAGTTCTGATGAACCTTTGTGGGAAAAGTACTGCGGTGTGAATGCGCCTAATGCCAAATGTTAAGTAGTTTCAAAGAGTGCTGAAGATTACTTGAATGTCAATTCATCAATAATTCTCACATTCTCCTGAAATCTAAAATTAATAATTATGAGCTGTTTTGAATAAACATGTATCCACAATTCCCTTTTTAAACTCAAGCTAAATATATGGGAGACATTTCCGTAATCCAGGGAAGATAATTATAAACCACCAGGAAGTCATAACCTCCAGTACAAACTCGTGTCCCGTTCCTCTCGTGTTTTCTCTGTTGTTCAGATGCAGTGTGATTTACAGCAGCAGCTCAGCTCTGAGCCTCAGTCGCTGAAAGAAGAGCAGGAGGCTCAACAACTTCTGCAGGTCAGATTTTGTCACTCACTTATTGTCATTCTCACACACGCTTACATTTAACAGAAACGTTTAGTAAGTTTTCCTGCAATGTGCTTCAGATCCAACAGCTGGAAGAGCATCTGGAGAAAACCAAGGAGGAAGGGAGCCAGTTGAAGTTTGACCTTCAAGAAAACATAGAACTGGTGAGTTATTTTCGAATCTGAGAAGAAGAATTGAATGTTATATACTGATAATATACTTGAACATCAAAATCCAAAATCATGGGCTTCAGGTCCGAACTCTGTGCAGCCCACTCAAGTAATAACCAAACAAGCTGTTGGCACAAAGTTGGAAGAACTGTTCTGTGTAAGATAGTAGCTGCCCTGGTCCTCGGCATGCACATTTCTCAATACCTTGTAATTGAAGCAGCATAACTAGTCAATTGAAAAATAAATCTAAGGAGAAGGGCTGCAATTTATGATGCGTTTCATTATCAATCTGCAGATTATTTTCATTTTGTCTAATTGTTTTAAATAAAAAAGGATATCAAAATATTTGCTAATGTTCTTTCTTCCGTTTGATTGATAATCAAGTGATAAAACAGCTTAAAACGTCCTTGGCTGTCAAAGAAAGAATGTAGACCGTTATTAATCACTCAATTTAGATGACTTTGTATAGAAAATATCTTAACTTGACACTCATGGTGGTAATCTCTTTCAGATGATGGAGAACCAGGAAGAGCTGAGGGTGTCTCAGGAGAAGGTGGGAGTTCTCCAAGATGAGATCAGCGCACTGAAGAGTCAGAAGGCAGAGCTGGAGAGCAGAGCGAGTGATGCAGAGATTACCCTCCAGCTGCAGGAGCTGCACAATCAGGCAGGACTACACTCTTTTGAATCAAATCAATCATAACCACCTGAACTCAGATTTTCTGGGACACTTTCAATATTTGAAATAACAATAAAGTCGTATCTCTTTCCGGACAGATTCAGACGCTGTCTGAGGAGCCTGTGAGCTTGCGAGCAGAGAGAGACGCTCTGCTCTCTGAGAAGGAGACCAGCGGTCAGAGCTCCACAGAGGAGATGGAGAAGCTGCAGAGCAGAGTGACGTCTCTCAGTGAGGACAGACACCAGCTGCAGGAGACCCTGGAGGGGCTGAGGCAGGAGAAGCAGCAGCTCAGAGACCAGCTGGAGGACAGGATGGTGATGGTAAACACTGAGGTTTGTGACCAGTTGCTCTGCCCTGTTTCCATCCCCCATGTCTGTTTTCATCAGATATATTAGTAGCTGGGTATGCTGTCACCCAGCATGGCGTTCACACAGTTTTATGACCCCATAAAATAAAAGATAACTGAGAAGAACTAGGGTTGCAAAGGGTGGGAACATTTCCGGTACATTTTCAGAAAGTTTCCGGTACATTTCCATGGGAAGTTAAGCTGGGGAATTTTGAAAATATTCCATATTTGAAATAAATGTATTTATTTAAGTTCTCCACACTCTCGCGGGATATCTCCGCGAGCGAGCTTAAGTTTCACTTTCGATTGCATGATATAGCCCAGCGCAACACCTTCGTCACACATGTTGCCACTTGTTTGTACCATTTTCAGGCGATTTGTAATCTGTTCTAGAAAAACAATGTGTTTTGGGATATTTGGGGAGTTAAGTGGTCCACGAGTGTTTTTTTTATTGGTTAAGTGGTCCTTGGTATGAAAAAGTTTGAGAAACACTGTACTATGAATACGTGATATTTGCAATTAAATAAATATATTACCCCGTAATATCATCAAAACGTACTTCACTTCGTGTAGTCCACAGGCTCAGATGTGTGGCTTCATTTGTCTTGTACTTTGGGCTCAAAAGTATGGTCCTGTCTTCTAGAAATCACCTGTGCATGTGATGGAGGAATGCACAGTGCCTGTAGTGGGTGTGGTCTCAATAGCAATGCAGTAAGCAGTGTGCTATGTAGATGTGATTGAGGAATGGCATGGATATTCAAGTGTGCTTGAATGGCATCTGTTTGTTTTAGTCAAGATTATGCTAAAATATACTTTCCCCAACTATATTTAAGTTCCCTATGAAGAGCCAACTTTCAATTTAGAAAATTCCCGGAATTGTTCAACCCTAAGAAGAACCTTTTCTTCTCTGTGCTGTTCAAAATGTCTTTTGGGTTTGGAATTGTTTAGCAAGTATTTGGAGGATGATTTATCAAAACATATATGCTTCGACAGATGGCAACTCTCAATATGTCTCTACAAGTTGTCATTGAGCAGAAGAGGAAGCTGGAAGATGATCTACAGCAGAACATGACTATGGTGAGAAACTCCGCTTTATAGGAGAGTCCAAGTTGGTTGTTAAGTTTGGATGATTTATTTGTGCATTTACTGGTCGATTGAGTTATAAAACATTGCAAAGTTTGTCATTTTTCTGCTCCTGATAACGGATGCATATTTAAGTTTCTAAAGATACACATTTTTTCAAAGGCTTCCACAACACAAGAGCTTCTGAAGACCGTCCAAGAGAAGCTGTGTGAGCAGCAGCAGATGAATTCTGAGCTGGACAAACTGTGTCAGCAGAAGGAGAGCTCTTTAGATCAACAGGTTGGTGTCCAGTAATCACTTTGTTATGAAAAGCAAGAATATACTTTTATAAAACTGGTTTTCAGAGTAAAATGATCTGCTCCCTTCCTCACAGAAGAAGACTCTAACTGAGAAACTGGAGAGCATTGAAGCAGAGAGAGACGCTCTGCTCTCTGAGAAGGAGAACAGCGGTCAGAGCTCCACAGAGGAGATGGAGAAGCTGCAGAGCAGAGTGACGTCTCTCAGTGAGGACAGACACCAGCTGCAGGAGACCCTGGAGGGGCTGAGGCAGGAGAAGCAGCAGCTCAGAGACCAGCTGGAGGACAGGATGGTGATGGTAAACACTGAGGTTTGTGACCAGTTGCTCTGCCCTGTTTCCATCCCCCATGTCTGTTTTCATCAGATATATTAGTAGCTGGGTATGCTGTCACCCAGCATGGCGTTCACACAGTTTTATGACCCCATAAAATAAAAGATAACTGAGAAGAACTAGGGTTGCAAAGGGTGGGAACATTTCCGGTACATTTTCAGAAAGTTTCCGGTACATTTCCATGGGAAGTTAAGCTGGGGAATTTTGAAAATATTCCATATTTGAAATAAATGTATTTATTTAAGTTCTCCACACTCTCGCGGGATATCTCCGCGAGCGAGCTTAAGTTTCACTTTCGATTGCATGATATAGCCCAGCGCAACACCTTCGTCACACATGTTGCCACTTGTTTGTACCATTTTCAGGCGATTTGTAATCTGTTCTAGAAAAACAATGTGTTTTGGGATATTTGGGGAGTTAAGTGGTCCACGAGTGTTTTTTTTTATTGGTTAAGTGGTCCTTGGTATGAAAAAGTTTGAGAAACACTGTACTATGAATACGTGATATTTGCAATTAAATAAATATATTACCCCGTAATATCATCAAAACGTACTTCACTTCGTGTAGTCCACAGGCTCAGATGTGTGGCTTCATTTGTCTTGTGCTTTGGGCTCAAAAGTATGGTCCTGTCTTCTAGAAATCACCTGTGCATGTGATGGAGCAATGCACAGTGCCTGTAGTGGGTGTGGTCTCAATAGCAATGCAGTAAGCAGTGTGCTATGTAGATGTGATTGAGGAATGGCATGGATATTCAAGTGTGCTTGAATGGCATCTGTTTGTTTTAGTCAAGATTATGCTAAAATATACTTTCCCCAACTATATTTAAGTTCCCTATGAAGAGCCAACTTTCAATTTAGAAAATTCCCGGAATTGTTCAACCCTAAGAACAACCTTTTCTTCTCTGTGCTGTTCAAAATGTCTTTTGGGTTTGGAATTGTTTAGCAAGTATTTGGAGGATGATTTATCAAAACATATATGCTTCGACAGATGGCAACTCTCAATATGTCTCTACAAGTTGTCATTGAGCAGAAGAGGAAGCTGGAAGATGATCTACAGCAGAACATGACTATGGTGAGAAACTCCGCTTTATAGGAGAGTCCAAGTTGGTTGTTAAGTTTGGATGATTTATTTGTGCATTTACTGGTCGATTGAGTTATAAAACATTGCAAAGTTTGTCATTTTTCTGCTCCTGATAACGGATGCATATTTAAGTTTCTAAAGATACACATTTTTTCAAAGGCTTCCACAACACAAGAGCTTCTGAAGACCGTCCAAGAGAAGCTGTGTGAGCAGCAGCAGATGAATTCTGAGCTGGACAAACTGTGTCAGCAGAAGGAGAGCTCTTTAGATCAACAGGTTGGTGCAGTAATCACTTTGTTATGAAAAGCAAGAATATACTTTTATAAAACTGGTTTTCAGAGTAAAATGATCTGCTCCCTTCCTCACAGAAGAAGACTCTAACTGAGAAACTGGAGAGCATTGAAGCAGAGAGAGACGCTCTGCTCTCTGAGAAGGAGAACAGCGGTCAGAGCTCCACAGAGGAGATGGAGAAGCTGCAGAGCAGAGTGACGTCTCTCAGTGAGGACAGACACCAGCTGCAGGAGACCCTGGAGGGGCTGAGGCAGGAGAAGCAGCAGCTCGGAGACCAGCTGGAGGACAGGATGGTGATGGTAAACACTGAGTACTATAGTTTGAGATTATTGTATATACTGACCAGTCCCACTATAATCAGGCCCAGTTTCTTGGGGAACATTCCTGCTGGGCCCCCGGATTATTTTGTACTCTCCCGAAGTAAAAAGCTAACGTTGGGCTATAAACTACAATACTGTTGCATTTCTTCACCACAACGCCGCTAAGCTAAAGACGGCTAATGTGTGCTGACGCTTACGTAGTAGTTTCATGTAGACCAGTGATCACCAACCTTTTTAAGCCCAAGATCCCCAACCTCGGATCTTGGGCTTAAAAAGGTTGGTGACAGGGATTGTCTCAAAGATATGTCAATCAAGTGGCACCTGCTAACCTGACTAACCTGCTGGTGAGCGATCTACCCGTACCACGCTCGCGATCGACCGGTTGCTGACCACTGATTTAGACACTTGTTAGCAACCGCAGTTTTTATGACACGTTTTTTTTGGACATTCATCAGTGGAGTGTTTACTGATGTGTTTTATATCGTAGAACTAATTGTGAAAATCCATCAAACTTATGGTAACCAAAGACCTTAAAAAACAAGGGAACCTAAAGTAGTAAAATGGCTACTCATGCAGCTAAATACTCAAGTGAATACCGTTGAGACAATATAACTCAGAGTGCAGGTCTGTTAGTGCTGCCCTTAGTCCGCAAAACCAGATCAGGAGTCGGAGCGTTCAGCTGCAAGGCTCCCTTTCTCTGGGACCAACTTCCTGTTTTTATCAGGGAGGCAGGCGGTGTCCAACATTTTAAGACATTCCTGTTTAATAAAGCCTGTGTTTAGAACTAGTTTCAGATTACCCTATGTTTATCTTCTTGAGTCCTACATTTTATGGTATTTTTATTGTATTTTATCTCATGTTATTTGTTTTTTGTCGGAGAACAAATCTATAAAACTTAAGTTAACCACAGACCATAAATGCAGCAGCTCAGAGCTGGAGGACTGGGTGGAGTTGGTACATTGGCACAAGTTTAAAGGATTGCTTAATAATGCCTATAAACCGCCCACTTTTTTCATCTGCTAAATTATGTTCCCTACCAATTCCAGGTCTCAGCCACCAAGAAAATGCTGAGCGAGCAGGAACAGCTGAACTCTCAGCTGAGAGAGCAGGCTGAGAGAAGAGAACAAGAGACCCAGCTGCAACAAAGGGTAGGTGTCATTCATTAACTCCCATAGTTGTAACAGAATATTCCCCATTTTGGAAACCAGGCATATTCACTCTCTTGCCAAGAATTATGGGAAGGTTAATGTCACTGTAAATAAACAGGTTTAGAATAGGGCTGCACGATTTGGAAATAACAACTAATTGGAATTATTGTTGACTAATATTGCAGTTGCGATATAATTTGCAATAATAGTGGGAATTACCTTTTTATTTTTTTTTAAACTTAGTTTTCATTTCAGTTTCAAACTGATTATACAGACATATTCACATTTTAGTCAACAGTTTTTTTCATTTCCGTTTAGTTATATTTACAGAGCCAACATATGAAAGAAAACATGAGAGAAAATAGTACAAAAAGAAATCCCCCAAATAATAGACATAAAATAAAATGATCATTTGTAAACCTCGCAGCAGGTTTGTTAACACTCCTACTTGTTTATAATAAATGTAGTTTCTGAAAATCTGGAAATGAGCTGATCAGATTTCGGCCACTTTGTGATGTCACAAATGTTTTTTGGGTTGTGCAACCATTAGCCAATAAGCAACCAAGGTATCACCTGAATCTCCTCCTAGAGCACCATTGTGTTCTTTTTAACAGACGGTTGTATGGCATGCTACAATGCATGACCGGTTTGGTATTTCGAGCCAAACACTGTTTAGTATACAAACCCCAATTCCAATGAAGTTGGGACGTTGTGAAAAACTGAATACAATAGCCTCATCCCAATACCCCTCCTCGACTCCTCTCTTCCCCTCCTCCGGGACTTGACCCGGAAATCGATCAAGACACGCCATTTTGAAGGACGTCCCAATAGCTGAAATGCACACGGAGGAGTCGAGGAGGGGTGAGGGAGGAGACGAAAGGGAGGATACACGAGAGCAGACTACCGGAAGTGTTTTCACTACTCGCATATAAAAGCCCCGCCCCCACCTTCACAGCTGGTCCATTTCAACAGAGGAAAACCGACAACTGGAAGATGAGTGGAAAAGCGTCACATAAATGTATAAGTGCTCACAGCTCCGTGGGAATTATTATGTGCAATTCATTTCTAAAAGGCTTTCACATTACTATAATTATATTTTTATTTAAATGTAGGCTACATTCTACACCAAAACGGAACACAAAAGCAGGACCAACCATCACACATTGAATTCCTTGACTAACAAGAGAAAGATTCATTCATTTAAATAAATATTTAACCAGAAATGGGCCGGTTCTAAAGGGTTATTCAGTTAAGCCCGATGAGAGGGGATACAGCTGTGCACATGTCATCATTAACGGACGTCGTTTAAAGGGATAGTGGAAATGGAACCTCAAATAGTTTCGTTTTAACTTATATACAAGCATAATTACGTACCAAAACAATCACACCTGATTAAAAAAATATAATAATTGCCTTACGCATGTTAGAAGCACTTTATTGCAGCTTCCCCGAAGTTTTTTAGATACTAAATGTTCGACTCAGCCAAACCGGAAGTGACGAAAACTCAGGAAGACGATACGATAACAAACCATGGCGTCTATGCAGAATGAACGTGGAAGGGCAAATATACCAGACAAAGAAGGATTGTACGAGGTATCCAGTGATGATAGCGAGTCAGAAACATCCTCTCGGCTTTCCTACGAAAATGTCGTTTTAGGAACTGAATCTGAATCCGGTTCAGTAAGCGACGATGGTGACAATATTGAGCCAGACGATGGACCATTACGTCCTTATTTGTTCGATCCCGAGCCCGAGGTGATGGTTCACGGCATGGGCAATGGCGAGGATGACCAGGACCAGGCGCCAGATGATGCACCCCTACGCACAAATAATCTTGACTGGTAGGTCCCTAAGCATAGCTCACGCATCTTAAGATCACCTGTAGCCTTTACAAATATTAATCATTGTTAACCAGTTAAGCCCGAAGGTCCCCCCAGTGGACCCCTCCCACAGTTTTTTTTTCTCTCACATGTCTCAGGGCTTCTTAACATTTATGAAACTATTAATGTTTCATACCCTTTTAAAGGTAAGAAACTCCGCTAACTGACAATAAGAACAATTGTTAGCTACAAAAAACACAAGAGTAATACCAAGCCTTTGAATTAGCATTGAGCGAAACAATGCTAACTAATGCTAACGCTTTTTTACACACAACACACGGTAGAAATGCCCTTATTACTATCTTAACTGCACAAACAAGATATACGATTTAAAGCTGAGACTCCACAGATGTAATGTCATCACTGTAAGACCTCGAATTCCTGGAGCTATCAGCCAGAAAAGAGAAAGTAAACAACATCCGGTTCCAAAAATATTACAATAATTATAATGGCAATATACTCGGTACCATAATAAAGGTCGGCTATTCACATGCAAATGTTATTGAATGTCGCCATTGTTTGTGCCCGTCTTCCTATGATCTCGTCATCACCCGAAGATTCCCGACGATTCCCGAAGTATTTCGTTTCATTGAGAGGGCGCAGTAAAATTGAAAATAAAATGAAACTAGGCGCATGAAATTAAAAAAAATTGTTTATTATGCTTATTTTTAATAAAAATACATAAGTTAAACCCAAAATTCGCGGATTTCCACTATCCCTTTTAAGAGTGACGTTTGAGTGAACGAAGACATCCCAATTAATACCTGAGGACTCCTCTGTCCTCACGTCACCTCGTGTCTCTCGCTCGCATTTTACGGAAGCGGGAGCTAAGATGCAAGGGACGTGAGTGAGGAGTGGAGGAGGGGTATTGGGATGAGGCTAATGATTTGCAAATCCTTTTCAACCTACAGTATATTCAATTGAATACACGTCAAAGACAATATATGTAATGTTCAAACTGATAAACTGTATGTTTTTTGGTAAATATTCACTCGTTTTGAATTTGATGCCTGTAACACGTAGCAAAAAAGCGGGGACACAGCCATGTTTACCATTATGATTCATCATCTTTAATTTTAACAACACTCAATAAGCATTTGGGAACTGAGGACACTATTTGTTGAAGCTTTGTAGGTGGAATTATTTACTATTCTTGGATTCTCTGAATCTTTTGATGACATTATGGACTGTAGATGATGACATCCCTAAATTCCTTGCAATTGTATGTTGAGAAACATTGTTCTTAAAGTGTTGGACTATTTGTTCACGCAGTAGTTCACAAAGTGGTTCATTGGAGTATGTATATCTGAGACCTATTATATATTTTTGAAGAAGAATATAATAGGGGACCTTTTTTAAATATCTGAAGTATATAGGGTTGTAGCAAAAAAACTTCCTATAGATGATGTCGCTTCAGAGGCTAAACTTGGATCATCGTTGTGACTCATTCCCAATAACCAGTCCGTACTGAGGTTAAGTTTCAAGATGTTCAATAGAGAAAATAAATAAAGTAGAACCATACGGTCAATAAAAAGGATCTGAACTAAATCACCCTTTTTCTCTTTCCACACAAACCCTTAAACCAATAATAGCCGGAAGTGACTAATTGTGGTGTAAACAAATGATAATATCATAAGTGTTTTGGCTCCTACAAGGGTCAAGTACAAAGAGTTAGACAGTCCTTTCATCTACTATGAAGCATCGTTTTCAATTTGAGAAGAGATGTGCTGTACTGGCACATTTAAGAACACACATAAGGCGCTTTCACACCAAGTACTTTGCCGTACTTAGTTCATCAGAACTTAGTTCATCAGAACTCTTTAGTTCTGATGAACTAAAAAGCAGATCGCGTTCACACCGGAATAAGTTCCTGAGGGAGGATGAGACAAATGAAGCCGCTGACGTCACTTCTTCTTCTTCTGCTTTGGGTTTACTGGCAGGCCGCAAACAACTTCACGGCGTATACTGCCACCCGAAGTCCCCGGCCGGAAGTCCCCGGAGTTGGGGACTGCCTTCAGTAGAAGCTGCTGGGACTCCCAGCAGCTTCTACTGAAGCCTTCCGAGTAAATTGCCAGAAACTCCGACACCTCCTCATCTCCACCGCTCCCATGCTTTCTTTTGTGTTGCCATAAGTTAGTCTCTCTGCGTTTGTGCGCTGGGCTAATGCTAATAATGCTAATGCGAGGAAAATAAAATGGCGGCTTCACAAAACTTTTTGGGAGTTTTACGGGGGCGTGGTTTGCAATCCGCCCAGCCAATCAGAAATAGTAACCTTTTTCTCCCATGAAAGTACCTGCTTTCTAGCAGGGGGTGGAAAGGTTCTCATGAACTAAGTTCTAGTTCCGGATTTTTTTGGTGTGAACCATAGGTGTGAACGCACATCTTCAGAACTATATCGGAACTATACTGGGAAAAGTACTCCGGTGTGAAAGGGCTTATTTTGTATTTCTCTTGTTGCTTAGAAGAACTCAGTTGAGTTTCTGCAGAGATATCATGTATAATATTGACATAGTTTGAGTTGGATAAGTCTAATGCTACGTTCACACCGGACGCGATGCGACGTTTGGGGGCGGCGCGATTACATGTAAATTCAATGCAGAGACACGATCAGACACGAATTCGCTCCGACGGCGCACATGAAGCGGTGGACGCGATTGAGGCGATTGAAGGGGGCCGCGTCAAACGCAAGAGTTCAATTTTTTCAACTCGAGCATCAAATTCACGTGACGCGTTCTCGCGGTAGGCAATCAGCGGTGAGGATCTCAGCCTGCCGTTACTGACGTTAAACCAGAAAACATCAGCCATTAGCTGTTAGCAGTTAGCACACAGAGATCACAGCTCCTCATATCTGTTCAGAAACTGGACACAAGTTAAACAAGAACAAACCACAGACTGTCTGTGTCATGGCGAATACAGTCGCTGGCTTATTTATGTCTGTAGGCCGTTATGAGTGTGGAGTGAGCCTATACAACGTTAGCTTAGCCTGGTCGACCCAATCTCCATTCAGAAAACAAGCATTTTAAAAGGTTTTTCGGCATCAGTATGTTGTTACATCGGCATCATTTAGAAACGTGTATTACAATTTAATCACGGTAAAATATGTTCATTTTGTTGTAGTTGTAGCTCCCGAGCCAGCGCGTCTTGTTTGAATGATGCGAGTAAACACAGCTGGCAGCCGCGGTGAAACTCGAGCGACTAGAGCGATGCGATAGGAGCGTTTAGAGCGAAGCGAATATTCGCATCGCGTCCGGTGTGAACGTAGCATAAGGTCGATATTTGATGCTTTCACACTGTCAACAGCTGAGGGCTGAAGCATCACATTGCTGGGTTTTCAATCTGTATCTTTCTTGTGAATCAAAAGTCAACTTTATTGTCAATCTTTCAATTTGTGTGTACAGACGGAGAGATCAAAATACATTTCCCACAATCCTGAGGAATACAAATATATATGTGTATGTAACCTTCAACTTGACTGTTTGCTGGATGAAGTAATTCTGGTTTTATCTTCTCCTTTCAGTTGCTCAGTGATGCAATCACAACCATGTCTGTGCCCAGAGAGCAGCTGAGCAGTCTGGATCAGAGCAGCAGTAGAGTGAAGGAGACGATGACCTTACAGCTACAGGAGTCTACTGAACAGCTGCAGGTACTTCACAGATCAGATTCTAGTAATCGGCAGCAACACAAAGGTTGAATAACTCTGACACCACTGAACTCGTATCATTGCAGGAGTCCTTTGGAAAATTCCAGCACTTTATCGATGCCTGTTCCAAGTATAACGCCACAGGCCCAGTCACGGTTGGGTGTTCCCGGCTTTCTCTGACCAAAGCAGCCATGAAGACTTACAGCTGTGTGTGTCTTCTGCAGCAGCAGACAGCTCAGTGTCTGAGCAACACTATGGTAAATATATCAATATCATACTCCGTTTAATAATTTCATAAAGGTTTAAAGGTCACCTATTATGCTAAATCCACTTTTTCATGTCTTTTATACATAAACATGTGTCCCCTCTGTAGAAAGAGATTCTGAAAGATTCGCTCACTTTTTGTCCTGATCCATTTATATAAAAACCTGTCTGAAAATGAGCTGATCAGATGTTGGCCACTTTATGATGTCAATCAATCAATGTCAATGTTTATTTATATAGCCCAATATCACAAATGTTACATTTGTCTCAGTGGTCTTCACAGTTTGTACAGAATATCAGTATGGCAATACGACACCCTCTGTCCTTAGACCCTCACATCGTACAAGGAAAAACTTCCGGAGAAAACCCACAGTTTAAAGGGAAAAATGGGAGAAACCTCAGGGAGAGCAACAGAGGAGGGATCCCTCTCCCAGGACGGACAGACGTGCAATAGATGCCGTGTGTAAATCGAAGAGATAATACATTTGCAACATAGGTAGACCAAATGTTTGGAAATGCATGTGTGAATAATAATAATAAGATGAATCCATGAGGATGTCAGCAATCTTGTGGGAGCCATCAGGGAAGTAGTATGGTGAGAGTCTGGCAGTACATAATGTTTCTTTGACTTGTGTAACCATTAGCCAATCACCAACCAAGGTAACCCCCCCCCCCCCCACCTTATCACCTGAATCTCCTCCTAGAGCACCATTGGAGTGCGGACTGCTGCTTGAAGAGGTCCCAGTTCACCTGCTGTGTCTCGAGCAAGGCACCGGACAAAACTATAAGAACATTCACCAAGCAGCACTGAAAATGTCTGCTTTATTTGGCTCTACTTTGTGAAGCAGCTTTTTCTGACATGAATGTAATGAAATCTAAATACAGAACAAGACTGACTGATGAACATTTAAATGACTATTATGGCGCATTTCCACTGCAACGGGGTAGCCCCGTTTAAGCGTCCTCGCTCAGGCCTCGGGCTGCCTCGCTGGCCGTCCGAGGCCGTGGCGCATTTCCATTACAGTTTAGGACCTGGGGTAGCAACGCAGTGTAGGCGGGGCGATCGGCTTTGTTTTTGTTCACATTTCGAGTTGTTCCGTCGAGCTCTCGCTGGATTTGATCATCCCCAATGAGATGTAGAAACGTCGTCACCTCCTCGGTCGACCACGGTGTGCTTTTCTTATTAGACGTAGCCATTTTTGTAGCTCATCCGTTTACAAAATGCTGTTTATAAAAATGCTGCAAGCTTGCTTCGAAATATATATGCGACGCTTGGGATGAACTCGCGCGCGATCTTGTGACGATTCTCTCTGACCAATCAGCAGTCGAGAGTGTTGACGTCACTAGTTCAGCCCAGGCCCTGGCCTGATGGAACCACGATTTTATGGCGCCGGAAAAAGTACCCGCTAGCCGGTACTAGGCTATATGGAAAGGCCACCAAAAACTGGCCTGGCCGCTTGAGGACGGTTAAGGACGCTTAAACGGGGCTACCCGATGCAGTGGAAATGCGCCATTAGAGTGAACCTAAGTGGGTCCAGCATACACCTCTATGGTGGACTCCATGCAGTGCCATTCATCTCACTAACTATAAAAAAGAGTGAATGCACTTATTTGACCATAAGTGCATAAGATGCTTGTCAGGTGGTGATCAAGGTGATGTATTTACTATGTGGGCCATAATAAGAAGTGAACAAATTGTCTTTCTCTTGGACATTTATGTGAATCTTCAGTGATGTACTTAAATATGTGGGCCATAATAATATGGGAGAAATTGTCTTTTTCTTGGACCTTGATGTGAAGTTAAGATTTTTTGATAAGTTTTGGGTATTGTAATTTCACACGTTTTCAAAAGTAGCTTAAAGGGATAGTGGAAATCCGCGAATTTTGGGTTTAACTTATGTATTTTTATTAAAAATAAGCATAATAAACAATTTTTTTTAATTTCATGCGCCTAATTTCATTTTATTTTCAATTTTACTGCGCCCTCTCAATGAAACGAAATACTTCGGGAATCGTCGGGAATCTTCGGTTGATGACGAGAGCATAGGAAGACGGGCACAAACAATGGCGGACATTCAATAGCATTTGCATGTGAATAGCCGACCTTTATTATGGTACCGAGTATATTGCCATAAATATGATGATTGATTATCAGTAAAAAATTCTACGTGACACAACGACATTGGATTAACCTTGAGATGCGTTTTTATTCCGTTGAACACAACTTTTGATCACAAATCAAAAAAGGTAAGACGTAATTATTGTAATATTTTTGGAACCGGATGTTGTTTACTTTCTCTTTTCTGGCTGATAGCTCCAGGAATTCGAGGTCTTACAGTGATGACATTACATGTGTGGAATCTGTGGAGTCTCAGCTTTAAATCGTATATCTTGTTTGTGCAGTTAAGATAGTAATAAGGGCATTTCTACCGTGTGTTGTGTGTAAAAAAGCGTTAGCATTAGTTAGCATTGTTTTGCTCAATGCTAATTCAAAGGCTTGGTATTACTCTTGTGTTTTTTCTAGCTAACAATTGTTCTTATTGTCAGTTAGCGGAGTTTCTTACCTTTAAAAGGGTATGAAACATTAATGTTAATGTAAATGTTAAGAAGCCCTGAGACATGTGAGAGAAAAAAAACTGTGGGAGGGGTCCACTGGGGGGACCTTCGGGCTTAACTGGTTAACAATGATTAATATTTGTAAAGGCTACAGGTGATCTTAAGATGCGTGAGCTATGCTTAGGGACCTACCAGTCAAGATTATTTGTGCGTAGGGGTGCATCATCTGGCGCCTGGTCCTGGTCATCCTCGCCATTGCCCATGCCGTGAACCATCACCTCGGGTTCGGGCTCGAACAAATAAGGAAGTAATGGTCCATCGTCTGGCTCAATATTGTCACCATCGTCGCTTACTGAACCGGATTCAGATTCAGTTCCTAAAACGACATTTTCGTAGGAAAGCCGAGAGGATGTTTCTGACTCGCTATCATCACTGGATACCTCGTACAATCCTTCTTCTTTGTCTGGTATATTTGCCCTTCCACGTTCACTCTGCATAGACGCCATGGTTTGTTATCGTATCGTCTTCCTAAGTTTTCGTCACTTCCGGTTTGGCTGAGTCGAACATTTCGTTTCTAAAAAACTTCGGGGAAGCTGCAATAAAGTGCTTCTAACATGCGTAAGGCAATTATTATATTTTTTTAATCAGGTGTGATTGTTTTGGTACGTAATTATGCTTGTATATAAGTTAAAACGAAACTATTTGAGGTTCCATTTCCACTATCCCTTTCATTCTACTGACGAGTGCTATGTGAATACATGTAAGGCAAGGCAAGTTTATTTATATAGCCAGGGCTGCACATAACTGGTGCGCATGCGCACCTCTGCCAAAAAAAGAGCACCGGGTCATTTGAAAAAAGGCGCATTTGCGTACCAACATTGAGAGAGAGAAAAAGATATTTGCGAGTTGCATATGAACTCAGGGTCGGCATGTAGCACTGGCGTTATAGATGTTCGCCTAGGGCACCAGATCTGGGGAGGCGCTGCGCTGGCAGTTCTGGGAGGGAAAAAAACATTTTTGACCGTTGGGGCTCATCCTAATTTTCGGCCTTGATGTAACAATATTCATAATTAAGTAAATGTAACACCCTTTTCATCCCGGTTACACGTTTCATTTGCCCTGTACGATGGGCGCTGTAAGTGATGAAAATGGGGGATGTTGGCTTATCTGGCACCCGCAGCTCACAGCCAAAGTGCGAGTGAGCGTGGGAGAGAGAGAAGGGCGCACCGCCCGGTACCGGCGCTGTTATTAGAATCTGGTGCTAGCTGCTCTAACGGATGTAAGAAGAAGATGTTTCTACAATAATGTGGAGGGAGAGTCCTCTCCAGTCAGACTGAGGCTGATAACTACAGCTCAGTGAGGTAAAGGACTCTTGAGTGTTTAGATAGTTCACTTTAGTCTAAGTTATCTCAGTGGGTCTCAAACAGTTTGATCACAATTGATGTAAACACATATTTCCAAGGCACTCCTTTATAATTATTGGGATAAACAGGTTTTAAATCATTCCAATGTATACTATATACAGTAACCAAAAATATCCTTTAAAACTGGAGAGATAAAAAAAAAAATGCATAAATAAATGTTAAGGTAAAATAAGATATGAACAACACAAATAAAATAAGTTACATTAATTTGTTATTGGCTATGGTAGGTTATTGGTTATGTTCACATACTTATTTGATTACATCCACTTGTCTAAGATGACAACAGACTTTCGACCCAAAACCAGCTGTTGACTTGTGGATGCAAGCAGCTAATCACAGACTCAACCAGAGAGAAAGAAGTAGGCCTACATCATCAGCTACCATGTCTGACAGAGGCAAGGCAAGTTTATTTATATAGCACTTTTCAACTCAAGGCAATTCAAAGTGCTTTACAAAAAATGAAAGACATTAAGAAAAGGGCATTTAAAATCAGTCATTAAAAAGAAAAGCTAATAAAATAAACATTAAAAGAAAAAACACATGGATAAAAGTTACAGTGCAGTTTAAGATATGAATAGTTCAATTAAAAGCAGAGAGGAAGACAGTGAGGAGAACAGTCAGGAGGGTAGTGATGACAGCTTGTAGGTTTACTGGTCGTGCTAATGTTGTCTTGTGTTCACCTCTGCATGTGTGTTCTGTGTTCACCTCTGCATGTGTGTTCAGTGCCGTGTGTCTGGCAAATAAAGTCAAGACCCCCTCAAAAGTTACGGTTTATTTCATTTTAAGGATGAGCACCAAGCAACATCTCCAGGTGCTCCTTTGAGAACCAGGGCAAAAAAGTTATGTGCACCCCTGGTTATAGCCCATTTCAACACAAGGCAATACAAAGTGCTTTACAAAAATAAAAGACATTTAATAGCATTAAGAAACATTATGAAATGATATCTAAAAACACTCATTTAAAAGCAAAGATACATGAATAAAAGTGACAGTGCAGTGTGAGATACACACATCTGAAATGTTTAGCTCTGACGCTCAATCATTGCTAACTTTTTTAGCAGTAATAGTTTTCTATCACCTCCCTTTCTATCCTCTTTCTTGTTTAACTTGTCCTTTAGTTATTTCAAGTGTTTCATGCTAAACGAACCCCCCTTTGGAAAATTATAATCTGACCCCATACCTTTTAGTTTTCGCCAAAACTATTTCTCTTTTTTATTTTTAAATGCACATAGTTACGTTTTCCTTGTCTTTCTAGGACTTTTTTGGTATCCTCCGTGAACCAGGGTCTTGAAACCAAAACGGATTCCTGTGCCCCATGGTACCTTTTTAGTTTTCACCAAAACTATTCCTGTTGTAAGCGATGTGATGCAAGTAGCTCTCAGATGAAGAAAGGTTGGAGACCCCTGATCTAAAGTAACAGACAGATAATCAGCACTTTTGAAACAGAGGGGATTATGGGATGCTGCAATGATCTGTTTGGTGTTTGCAGCCAAACACTTCAGAGACATGTTTGTACATATCTGAGACCTATAATATATTGATGAGAAATAGTAATAGGGGACCTTTAACTCTTTGTATCGGGTGATAACCTTTACACTCCTGCTCTGTGCCTCCCCAGGAGCACCTAAAGTTGCAAGCACAGAGCTACATGAAGGTGTTTAAGGAGCTGGTGAGGAAGGATCTAGCCGTTTTTGAGGAGAGGCGTGCGCTGGACGAGCTGCTGTGCAGAGCAAAGGCACAGAGCAGCGTGAAGGACAAGGATTTCCACTCCCTATGGGACAACCAACTGACTGAGCTGCTGGACAAGAGGCAGCTCTACCTGCAGGTAAACGATACTCAGCTTTTTCTATAAACTCGTATAAAGCCCTATTCGGAAAGGATTATATTACAGGGGGACCTGGGACATTATATATTAAGTGTATATTTAAAGCTAAAGTGTGCTGCACTGTAATTAAGTCATTGTTACAGACTGATTCTTAACCAGAGGCGGAAGAAGTACTCAGATCTTGTACTTTAGTAAAAGTAGACATACCAGAGTGTAGGAATACTCTGTTATACGTCAAAGTCCTGCAATCTAACTAACTATTGGCATCTAAATATACTTTACCAGAAGTAAAAGTACTTATTATGCAGAGCGGCCCATTTCAGAATAATATATATTATATGTTTTTATTATAATTAAACATAGAGCTAAAATAGAGGCTCATAGAATAAACTCCAACCTGTAATTCCTATAACGTTAAAAATAGGAACAAAGATAAATCACCCCTGGAGAAATATATCCAGTCCAAATAAGACATTTTGCTAATTATTTTTGTCACGTGCATTTTGAATCATGAAAATGAGCACTAGCTGTCTCCAAAACTTCGGTTTCAAATCTGTTAAGGTGAGACACTACAGGTGAATAGGGTAATTTTTTTTAAACTTAAAGATATCAGCTAGAAATCTCTCCAGTTAATTACTTGCATTAAGACCATTGTTTCTGCATTACAAGTATTATGAAATAGCATGTTTAAATATGCAAATTTGCCATCATCTCATTAAATATGCGCACATTTTACAACATTTCAGGAACACAAATCTGAACATTGGATAAAGCCAGTTTCAAAATTCTTGTTTCATTTTGTAGTCATATTAGTATCTAAGGCTTTTACTGAAGGGATTTTGGATATCTCTTTTTATCACTCCATAAATCAGAAAATACTGTCAATAGCCCTAAAATATCAATTTTCGCCATGTTTTTAGGTATACAATGTTGTATAATTCAGGCTATGAATGATATATGAACAAACCCTTCTGTAAAAGCCTTCATAATATTGATAGGAATATAACTGGAAGGTTTGGTGTATCTACGTGCTACTGAAGTGGACATTTCGAACTCTGAGTAGGAGAAAAAACTCATTTTGAGAAAACGACCGATTGCAGTGAGGCGCTAGCTAAACCCTCCTGTTCTCTGGATGACAGCTTGCGCATCGACGCACTCCGTGAAGGTATTTCATGTTCGGGGTCATTTGTTTTTTGTATAACCTTGCTTCGTGCAAGTGACAATTGTTGTCGTTTTCTCTGTGAACGTTTTTTTCGCCGTTCTTTTGCCATTTTGAGATTTCAATTTCCACCGGAAAGCTAACCAGGAAGTGTTTTAGCACACCACGTGACGCATCTGAACGAATCACGTTGTCAGAAATTGACACCAGCCAATGAGATTTCGTTTCTTGGTTTAAGACCCCTTTGTGCTTTCACGATTGGTTGCTGATACAAAGGAAATGAACATATTTGGATCCAATGAGATTGTGCAGGAGAGACACAGCTTTCCAGCGATACCTCTGTTGACATGGTGCACACAGCGGTCGCGGTACTTTATGTTACGTTAGAATGCTAACTTTTGGTGAATTTAGGAGAAATCTGCAGACGCAAATAAACACCTAAATGTGTATTTTGTACGTTTTCCTTCCAAAAGCCTGAAAGAAAACATGTTATGGAATCAAAATAGCACAAAATCTCAAAATTGACCAGTGCATGAAAAAAATGTTTTTGCCTGCCGTGTCTCGCCTTAACTGTTGTTTCATAGTGGTTGCTTTCTATTCCTCAATATGTTTCCATTTCTCCAACATCACTGTACTGAAACTTCATGATAACTCTTTTGGTTTTGTAGAAAATGTCCAGCATTTTGGGGAAGCTCTGGGCCTGCATCGCTTCTTACCCCAGTGAGCTGTCTACTGATAACAGTGACAGGGAGTGCTTCAAGGAGAAGCTGCAGTCAGTTTTCTCCAAGCCAATGAACTTCATCCTGCTGGACAGCATCCTGACCACCAAGCTGGTATATTTATCTGAGCTTGTACACAGGAGGAGGATGACTCTGGAGGTATTGTTTTACATTCACATATAATGTTTGTTCAGGACCTAAAAAAACACAACGATTGTTAGAGATGGTATCAAAACCCGGTATGAAACGGCCCTTGGGCTACATTTTTAAAGACTGTGATATCGATAAGCTCTGACGCTATCGGTTTTGTTATCGGTGCTGGAGAAATTTAAAAAAATATATATATATAATGCATTTCATATTTATTACTGTAGCTTAAACGTTTTCTTTCACATTTTATCGAAACCATCTCCGTTTCTAATTGCAATATCCTTATTTTCACTCTATTTCTCTTGAATACTCAAGTAAAGTGCAAATACCTTGTCTTTCTAACATACTCTTACCCACCCACTCCTGCAGGGCATCGTGGATGAGCAGGACAGTCTGTTGGGAGGTCTGAAGCTGCTGGAGGCTCAGGCTGAAGCTCAGCTGACAGAGGAGATGAGCAAGATCACCTGCCTGCTTGTGCTCCAGCTAAAGCAAACCGAAGACAAAGTCAAAGTATGTCTGTTTTAATGTCCGTTTTATACGTGCTTATGTATGGTATCATCTAGGGATGCTCCGATCGATATCGGCCGATACTCACTCTCTTGATCGATATCGGCCGATACTCACTCTTGATCGATCGGTGCTCTCTAAAAATGCCGATCGCGAGAGCCGATCACATGACGTAAAATACATGACACTTTTCTCTGTGCGCGGCAAAACAAGCTCGCCAAAATGGCTTCACCGGTCTGGCAGTATTTTAAGTGTCCGAAAATGACAATAAAATAGCGGTATGCAACGTGTGTGAAGCAGAAATCCTGCAGCTCCACCCGCTGTGACGGACCGGTGAGCTGAGCGAAACACACACTAAGACACTAAGAGTTAGACCTAACACACTATTTTATCTACCTCTGGAACAAGCTAAACTAGTTATAAATATATTTATTCTTCACTGTCGGGTCACTCATTACTGGATCAGTGAGCTGCATGAGATACTGACAGGCTGTCAGGAGAGAGAGAGGAAAAGAGAGCGCTTCCGCTCATCTCTCCCATGTTATTATCCAAAGTTAATGTAAACTTGAATAATGTACTTCATTTGAATGTAATAATTATGTTGGTTGTTGTTTGTGGAAGCGCCAGTGAATGAGCCCCATTAACTGAGTTTTAAACATCACTTTAAATTGAAGATCCCCATAGGCCCCGCCCACTCGATCGGATCGGCGATAGGTATTGGCCGATACTGATTCCGGCGATCAGCCCCAAAATTGGCGATCGGAGCATCCCTAGTATCATCCAGATGTAGTGTAGTTGCCAGCATAGTGAACCCAGAAATATTGAGTATCCCAAAGTTTTATGATAGAAATGTAATGTACGGGTCCCAGCGCATAGAAACTGCCAGATGCCAATGTGCATTTGCTGGGCAATTTGCACAATTAGCATAAGTTTTGTTAATTAGCTTTAATGGTATTATAGCCTATGTGGAGTGGTTTTTGGGGGTTAATGAGGATGCTGAATACATTTTTCAGTGGCATTATTTGTACTCCCGAGTGGGCTGATTTTGACTACCATGTGTAGTGTCGCGACCATTGGATATAGAGAGCATGAAACGTATTACCTCGAATGTGTACCTCTTTTTTTTTTTTTTCAAATAAGCAATCTGCCCAAACTAAATTATCCATTTTAAAGTTTTAAAATCCCACCGGAGGTACAAATATTGGCATTTTCTAGTTATGGACTCACCATCCTTTATAACACCCAAACACACTCCAAATCTGCTAAGCCATTTTTTAACTATTGTCGACACTCTATGACAGGGGTACTCAAATACAAATCTTAAAGGTCCAAAATAAATGTTTCAATAAGACAAAGGTCCGTTTATTACGGTCATTCAAACTTTTAAACAATTGCAACAAGATTCTTACCACGAGGTTGCAAAAACAAAAATAATCTGTATGCAGCAGTTTTCATTGTTATTGTGTCTGTGCTTGATCCCTCAGAGTCGCAGTGTCAGAGCTGCACAGTTATGAATAAAGGCAGCTGCACCCTCTTTCATTCAGCATTCCCATTATTGCTTTATAAATGTATTCCCCCTTGTGTGTCCACTGAGGTTCGTCAGGCCCAACACATCTTCAACAAACTCCCCCTTTGCCTCATCATAAAAACTCACAAACACCAGCAACTGAGCATTGTCAGTGGTGTCAGTGGACTCACCCACAGCTAAGGAAATGCACTGTGCATTTTTTATTCCATCACAAAGCTGATTAATCATATCACCAGCCAGTATTTATGTTCTTCTGGTTGCTGTGGAATCTGAGAGGGGATTTGCTTGACCTGTTATTTCCTCTTTTTGTTTGCCTTCAACATGGTCTCCATCACTTCAGTCATGCATTCTTTTATACTGCAGTTATTATCCAGTGGAAAGTCCTTACCTACTGGCCTAGTTAAATCAAAGTGGTTACTTTTTTTTGGCTGGGCAGTGTAGTTTTACACACCGTCTGATTTGACTTTCTCAGGACTTAAAAACAGTTTTTTGGGGGCAGACCCCCTCAAAGAAAAAAATATATTTACACACGTAAGGTCATCATCTTAATAGTTTTGTATGCTCATCCATGAGCAGAGCATCAAGTTGACATGTCTATTACAGCTGAATGCGGCGATTACCATTTTGTTCAGCAAAACGCCTCACAAACGTATTAAGATCAACAGCTTTAGTGCGTTTTGATTCAATGCTGAGTGCAGCCAAACTGACAGTCTCTTCTCTGTCAGTGTAGACCGCAAATACCTCATTCCTTCAGTGCTTGGGTCCGAATGCTTCTCGTTTTGCGCCGTCCCGTTGAAAAGAAATCGCTGCCAATCATATGTCCACGCTCGCGCCAGGACCGGGGGAGGGGTTACATGACGTGCATCTTGTGCTGCATTCACTTGCACTCGGACATTAGAGACTTTCTCTCATAAATGTCCGATGAGCCACAACTTTTCTTTCAAAACAAAGCTGCCAACTGGGGTGGCAGCTGGGGTGGCAAGGCCTATTTTTAGGGTGTCAGTTGCCACCCCGGTAGGTGAAACTAGGCTACTAGCTACAGTACAGATGGAACTAGATGAGCTGTTAACTCTCGCTCTGAATTTTTTTTTTTTTAATTCTCGCTCTGACTTAGACAGGTTGAAAGAGACGAGACACACATTTTTCCCACCCGCATTCCGCGAAGACCCGCCCTACTGTGCCTCTGATTCGCAGATTGTTGGGAAAAAACGCTGACGGGATGCTGAATGTGATTGGACCAATGCGTTGACAGACACACACAGACAGTGGAACAGGACATGCAGAGCGCTGTTTGCAGTCTATGGACATAGAGGATCATTTTGACTCGTTGCGTTGTGGCGATGTCTCGCAGATAACACAGATAATACAGATAATTATGAAAAGTATAATTTGCTCAGAGTCCGGAGACAGTTGTGGTTCGGTCCGGATCCGGACCAGAGTCCGGACTTTGAGGATGCCTGCTCTATGATATGAGCAAATTACCCAACATATGACAGTTAGCATCCGGCAGTTTCTATGTGCTAGGGACCGTACTTTAAATTTCTATCATAAAACTTTGGGGTACTTAACATTTCAATAAGACCCTCTGAGCAGATCTGAATCTACCTCTACACCACAGCCATCTTATAGCCATTCTTCTTACATTTTGAATCAGGACAAATACATACTTCTTTTTTAAAGTAATGTTTGCTTAAAATGACAATAGCCTGCTGTTTTAGAAAAAGACTGAGTTTAAATGTAGATGTATATCTACAGTAAAGGCCCGGACACACCAAACTGACAACAAAGAACTGACACAGACGGACCCCGACTGTTGCGTCGTCTCTGCGTCTTGGCCATGTGTCGCACTGGAACACACCGCAAAGACTTCAGCCGATGGCCAAGAAGCACGTACGAACTGCGCATTCGTGAGTGTCAATAACTCTCCTTACCAGCAGGCGGCGGTAGTGTGTATTCGTCATTCAAAAGAGGCAACAACCGGAAGACAGACTGCGTGATAACCGAGAGAAGAAGAACAGACTGCGTGACATAAACAACAAATAGCGTGTGCGTTCCATTTTCACTCTACAGCAAGAAGCTCATGGGGCTTTCGCGAACCTGTGTCAAGAGCTGGAGTTAAATGAAATCTCACATTTGCCTTCTTAATAGTTTGTTTGGGTCCCTCACTTCCGTTTCGCTTCTCATGCACTGATTCGCTGGCTGAACAGCCAATCAGAGTGATTTCTTTGCCCGACTGCCTTTGGCTGACTGCCCGCCGATTCAACAGGTTTCGGCCGAAAAGGCGTCGGCCCGCTGAAAAGACACCAATCTGAGTAGGGCGTGTCGACGTTAATCGTCGGCCTGACGCCCACAGACGCCGATAATCGGCCTGGTGTGCTCGTGCCTTAAGAACCAGTTCAGGTCTGAGAGCCACAGACAGGGTTTGGCTCCGAGACAAAAATGACTTGTCAGTTGTACAATTTACTTTCCCTAACCTGTCCATATGTTGCATCTAAAACGTTTTTGCAGATGATTACCAATATGTTTCTGTTTTTTAGGCTCTGAATGAGCAGCTACAGGAGGCTCAGGTCAAAGCCGGCCACAGGGTGTCCAGCCACAAGCAGGCCACCCAGCTGCTGCAGACGGAGCTGCAGGACAGCCTCGCGCAGGTGGAGGAGAGGGAGCACGCAATCCAAACCCTCAGGAGCAAACTACGAGAGTCTGAGGTACTGCTGCTCATTTTATTTTCAGGCACATGTCGAAGTATAAAGACTAAATCGAATTCAGGGCAAGGTTATGAAATGAGTCTTCAACACTTTGAGTCTTCATATGTTCAAAGGAAGAAATTCACTCCTAGGAAAAGTAACAAGTCATGCCCTTGTCAGTGCAGCGCTTGGTTCATCTCCCCCGAATTGCCACAATGTTCTGACAGCTCCTGGCTATTTGAGGCTTGCACCTGCCTTGAAAAGGTGTTGGCTCGGTTTCTTGCTGATTTCGGTGTTTATAGCATCAGGCTGTTTTTACAATATTTGCTCGAATGCTTTCCAACTACTTTTACCCCTTCGTTGGGTTTTGATCTTTGGGACCCTTTTTCCTTCCACCACGGGTCTTACATCAAATCCCATACACACACACACACGCTCTTCCTCAATCTAAGTAACTATAGCTATTAACTATTTATTCCCCCATATGATTGTATGTTGTCTGTCCTATTGCCGTGTTTTTTAGTGTTATATATTTGTTTGTATTTTTTGCACACCGGGACAGAGTTGCACTCTGAATGGCGTTATACTCTGTGTATAATGACAATAAAAGGCTTTAACTTTAAGTTCTTTCCCTTTTTTTCATGCTTCACTTTCTTTTTGTATTTTATTTATTTGCTTCACTATTTTACACTACTAAACATATATTTCTAAATACAGTTAACTTAAAACACTTCAGGGGCATATCACATCATTATGAACGTAAGAGCAGCTTTTATTGACAAATGACAAAACACTCTGATTTATTTTACAAATATCTTTTGGCTGTGAGCTTATTTATTGTGATCTTCAGTTTTTGTTTCACAACTTTTTTTATTACTGGGCAGAATTGTTTATCTAACACTTGTCTCTTTGTGCTTTAGAGTAAGGCACCACCCAGTGCTGTGGAGCTGGAGAAACTCCGCTCTGAGCTGTTCAAAATGGAGGTGGAGTTGACGTCAGCGTCCGACAAACACAAACAAGAGTAAGAGCTTTTTGGATGCATTCTGACCCTTTGTTGAATCTTTTCCTCTTCTCCTATTTATTTACTATACTTAGTGGTTTGTTGTAATATCAGGTTTTCTGTGGTTAACTTCTCTTCAGCTGTTTTTCAAAATGTGTCAACAGAAAGGGAAAGAGGCTCCCCTGTCGTGTTAGAAATGGTTGATCAGTTCAGTCGCAATGTTTCCCTCTGACACTTAGTCATTTGAGTTCTGACCAAAGGTTTGTCATTCTCAGGATCCAGATGATGAACACAGTGCTGAAGGACAAGGAACACTCCCTGAGGAAGCTGAAGGAGACGTTGAGGAAGTCACAGCAGCAAGGGGAGGAGTCATGTAAGTCTGCTGTCTGATTATTACGTAATGTAATATTCAGAACTCTTTAGAATGTGAATGAGCTTTGTTGCAAAGTAGGTTTACACATACGAGGAATTTGCATCGGTGTTCATGAAGCATACATTATCGCAATAAGAGAAGTAAGTGAAACAAACCCAATAAACTATTATAAAAAACAATTTAAAATGTTTTATATATTTATATTTTTTTTTTTTAAAGGATCATCTCTATACAGTATATTAACATAACTATGATTTGTGAAGCGTTAATGCAATGGCAAGAAGCAAAATGGGCCACATTATGACTTCATGCTATAAACAGACTGCATCACGACTGACTTCACTTCCCTGCTTGTTTCTGTGTGGAGATCACTCCAAGAGAGGGGATGAAACCCCCATTGTTACTATTTAAGGTAGAAACATGTTGTACTGATGTAGTCATGTTGAATTCAGTCCTGCAGGGTGAGGACCTTCATGCCAGACTGACCAACTCCAGAGGACTGGTGAAGACTAAACTGGAGGAAGAAGTCAAACAGCTCCGACTGAAAATAACCGAGCTGGAAAGGTGAGATTTAGCAGTTTGATGGTGAAACTTCTTAGATCGTTCATGTGATTGTGACAGACTGCTTCACCCGCGGTGTCTCACAGAGAGGTGCAGGTCCTTCCTCCTGCAGTGATCAGACTGTATAACCACCAGGGCCCCTGCTAGACACCCCCCCCCCCACACACACACACACAGCAACTCGGACTATGACACCACTGTTGTAAAATAACAGCAATGTGCAATAATATAAAAACTAAACTAAAAGCAAACAAAGACTACGACACCACTGCTGACCAATAACACCTATGTGCAATATGTTCCTTGCAAATGTTATTATAACTACTGGCTGTTACTCTTATGTGGTCCATCCATGACTTTAATAAGACTCTTTATGTAACTATGTGCGCTAATCATTTTAAACCTGTTACATACCACACTTCACTCTACAATGTTACACTTATTTATTTTATAAATACTGCTACTACTTACTTATCTACCTGAAAGTGTAATTTAATAATAATTTACATTTTAAATACTATGTGCATACCTTTAATTTATTAGTGTTCTATTTATTTTCGTCTTTAGCTATACTTTGCCGTAACAATGTAAATGTCCCCTTTGTGGGACGAATATAGGAATTCTTATTCTGGTTCACTGCATCTTTTCAGCCGTGTCTAACAATTGTCCTCCTACCCCATCAGCCTGGTGTCCAGTCAGCAAGCAGAGATAAGCAAGTGGAAGAGCAGAGCCTTCAAGCTGAAGGAGAGGGTCCAGAGGGAGGTGGTCAAGCCTTCATCACCCAGCACTCCCACCAAGAGGGGCTATCCCATGGCCTCAGACTGCTCCAACTTCTTCAGCTCACCCAAGAAGTTCAAGGTTACTCCTAGGAAGGTCCTGGATTCTCCCAGGAAAGTTCTAGATTCTCCAAGGAAGCTGCTCGACTCTCCGAAGGTCTCTGCGCTCGACTCCCCCAAAAGCAGATTCTTTGATGTTGGTGGAAACTCTGAGCTGCTGTCCAGAAGCCGTCCAACACAGTTCTTTGATAACTCCAGCCTAGGAACCACTCCAGGTAAGCTCCATTAAAGCTCACCTCCCTGTACTGCTGTGTGTGGTAGTCTGAACATCATAAAGAGCTGGGGCCTCGTTTATAAAGCCTTGCGTAGGATTGACGTGGGAAGGTTGCTTACGTAGGGCAAATAAATATACGCACAGACATTTTCCGATTCATAAAAGACTGGCGCAGGACTTGCGTACTGCACATCCTACGCCGGTTTCCCTTTTTATAAATCACAATCAACTCGAAATGCGGCGCAGCTTTTGCGGGCTTCACGTAACGCCCATATTTGCCTATAAATAGTCCCATTCATTTTTGGACTGACTTTATGAAGAAGATCGCAGGAAATGACGACAGAACAGCTAAAAAAGACATCTCACACCGTGTCAGGTTTTGGTTATTTTGGGGAGGTCGAGATAAATCATATTGTTTGGTGGATGCAGTTTGAACCAGAGTAGCAGCATGGAGGTCGGATCGTCACCAAAATAAATAAATAAGTGGTCCGAAAAAGGTTCATGACAAAATAAATACACATAGCGTTCCTCAGGCAGTGTGTTTGTACCGGGGACAGGAAACTAAGAAATGATCGGGGAATCCCTCCGGAGTGGAGTCATGACGACTGGATCTGAATTATATTTTTGTATTTGGTGGTTTGTGTCCCAGCTGTCGATCAGCTGTCGATCAGCTGTGCGCAGCGTCTCCACTGCAGCCTGTGCATGCAGGCCGCCACAATTAAATATCGTCCACCACAAATGGATCTCATAAAAAAAAGTATTATTATCCTTTTTTTTTTTTATTCTTCTTTTTTTTTTGGTGGTCTAATGCAGTGGTCCTCAAACTTTTTTCAATAATGTACCCCCTTTGAAACAAATATTCAGCCAAGTACCCCCTGATCAGCGCAAAAACTATTTGTTAGGGGGAAAAAGCCTATATAAAGAGGTACAGCACAGCGCTGCACCATCAGTGTCTGATTTATTAAAACAACAACAGTAACTGAGAAACACTTAAATGCTACATTTCAAATGTTTACAATCCATCACTAAATTCATGGCAAACCAATTTTAACATCATGCAATAACACTAAGACGACATTAGTTGCATTGAACTGATCTTTTTAATAAGTTGTACTTACAATGTAGTGAGAAACATGGGCTTGTGCTTCACTGAGGATCTTTGTCATTCTGACAGGGAGGCAAACTGCAGTTATTACACTTCGAGTTTTGAAATATGTGTAACTCTGTTAATATAAAACCCACACTGCTCAAACTTCGTTACTTTTCCTAAAATTGGTATATTTATTTATTTTGGGGCTATGGGAATGAAGAGAAAAAATATATGAGCATTTTATGAGCATGGGATTTTGACCCCTCATATAAACATATGCATAATGCTGTGCTATACTTTGCGGCCACAAGCCGTTGCCAAGCAACGCTTATTGTTTAGGTCCTTTTGATACGCAGGCAGTCATATAATTAGCTAGAACTGATAGATTTGGACATAAACGCGAAAGAAGTCTAACCGGATGCGAGAGAGAGATCAGAGATCAGATCAGCTGCTGCTGACGGAGAACACGCAGCTCCGTCCACTGTGACGGACCGTTGAGTGGAGCAAAATTAAATACACTAAGAGTTAGACCTAACACACTTAGCTAGTTTATCTACTCTGGAACTAGCTAAACTAGCTATAAATATATGTATTCTTTACTGTCGGGTCACTTATTACAGGTTCAGCGAGCTGCACGAGACTGACGGGCTGTCAGGAGAGGGAGAGGAAAAGAGAGCACCCTGTTTATTTTTCCCATTTTATTATCCAGAATTACTGTAAACCTTTGAATAAAGTAATTCATCTACTATTAGTAGTTTGTTTAAATGCATTGATTGTTTTTTTTTTACATAAAATAAATCTCACGTACCCCCTGCAGTACCACAACGTACCCCCAGGGGTCCGCGTACCCCCATTTGAGAACCACTAGTCTAATGGATAGTGAGGTGGGCTGATGATCAGAAGGTTGCGAGTTCAAATCCTGCCTGGAACACCACTAATAGTGTGCCCTTGAGTAAGGCACTTAGCCCTCGGTTACTCCAGGGAGAATGTCCCTGTAATTGGTCATTGTAAATCGCTTTGGAATAAGGCGTCTGCTAAATGCCGAAATTGTAAATTATATTTTTGGGAGAATAAACCCCACAGATCCTCAACTCCGGTTTCACTCATTAACCTGTTAAGCCCGAGAGACCCGGTTCCGGGGGCCTCCTGCAATATCTTGCAGAAAACAGTGTCTGAGGGCATGTTCATTTAATAAAACTATGAATGTTTTATATCCATGTAACGGAAAGAAACTCATCTAACTGATCTTTTTTTTTTTTTTTAAATCAACACAAAAAAAACACAATGCTAACGCTGAGCCTCTGAATTAGCAACGAGCGAAAAATGCTAACGGATGACTGCACCGAAATTCACTCACAAAACCTTATTATTTATCTTTGCTGCACATCTCAACCCATCGTTTCCCATCGTGAGGGGACACAGAATCGATGGTTATCCTCATTATCACTCAATTATACGAATTCTCGGAGATAATAACAAGAACACACATCAAAACATATGGAGCTCGTTAGCCAAAAACGGCAAAATGGCTCACCTGTGAGGTAGTCTGGTCAAAGGTGGTCTTCAATGGCATTAAAACGATAAAAAACGATGCTGAAGTTAATCCATAGGTTAATCCAATGTGTCTGTGTCCCTTTGAATGATTTCTGATAATCCATGAGCAATAAATCTGCTTTTCGGTTTTGAGATGTCAGACCTAGAGACGGCTTCACTATGGAGCAAAACTGCTTGCGCGAAGACGCCATTTATTTTTTTACATGAGTGTGTGTGCGGGACAATTCCCCTTCGATTCTATTGGCTCTGACGGTCAGAAAGAGATGTCAAAATCGAGCAAGGGGGGCCAGAGATAAGGAAAATCCACCCAAATGGCCCCAGAAGAGGTTTTTTTTGCTAAATCTGTCTAAAAAGGTCAAATATCACTTGTTTTGCATCAATCTTGATACAGGGTACTTATTATATGTTGTACTTTGGATTCCTAAAGCTTTTAGTCTACTAACCCATCATCCAAGGTTAGTTTTCACTATAAGTACAAAATATATTTTGGACGGACACTATAATTTACAGTTTTTTACCATGTTCAATCTGAATTTCCTTTCAAATAAAAACATCTATATTGATTCTGACTTTTCTACATCCAACTCACAGGTTTATCATTACTTTGAGAAAAAAGATTATTAATTTAACACTTTTAGAAGGGAAGACATGGTCATTTGTTCTGGGAATGTCATTTTCGAGCCTGAAACCTGAAAAACAGGCTTAGGGCTAAACTGGTTAACAACACAACGCAGAGCAACAACAACGTTGTCTACAGTAGCCATGAACTTGCATGTATTATCTTATTTGAGGGGGGGGTGGATGCGTGGACCACCCGAATAGGTTAAGGGGCCTTTGGCTTTTCTTGCCGGGGGGGGTGTGGTGCGGTGCCCCCACAAATAGAATCAAATTCTGTGGGAAACACTGTGTACAATTGACCACATATTATGGTGTTCTTAGTTTCCAAACCTCCTGTGTTTTACGAGCGACTTATCAAGTAGGCTATTTGCGACGAACGGCATAAAACATGATTAAACATGATAGTATATAAAACCATGCTCATATCTACAACCTATAGAAATGCAAAATGGCGTCAGTTTAAAGTAATTCTGTCCTTCTGTTTACCGCATCATTTATAAGAATACATTTCTTAACAAGAGAACATAATCGAGGGGTGATCAATAACATTTCCGTATTTATTTCTTTCTCCAAGTTGTGTTTTTGTGTGCACTGAGGAGTCGGTGTTTGTTAAATCATTTTAAGATTGGCTTTAATCAATGTTTGAAAATGAATTCTTCATATGATAAATGAGAGGTAACATTTTATTGATGGTATTATTTCCACATATTTCTCTCCATTCTTCCTTCTGCCAACGCGGTGTCGCAGTTTCTCGTCTCTCCCGTTTTTGTGCTTAGTGCGTACGCATGGGTTAGAGTTTGCGTGGAGGACCACACATTTTCCCGTCAAGTTTGTTTTTTTAGAAATCGCAAACATTGCGTAGAAACTGGCGTACGCCATCTTTTGAGCGTACGCACCGTTTATAAATGAGGTCCCTGATCTGTTTGTTTCACCAGAGTTTTCCCTTGTCCCTGACCATCCAGACACAGAAGAGGGTAACTGCTGTGATATTATTCTGCTGCTTTGGGCAACACTTAGGGTTCACTAACAGAAGCTTGAGGTGTTGGGACTTCACCAGGTTTCACTAAGTAATATGTTTTTATTTGTGTGTGTGTGTGTGTGTGTGTGTGTGTGTGTGTGTGTCGTCTTTGTGTGTGTGTGTGTGTGTGTGTGTGTGTGTGTGTGTGTGTGTGTGTGTGTGTCGTCTTTGTGTGTGTGTGTGTGTGTGTGTGTGTGTGTGTGTGTGTCGTCTTTGTGTGTGTCGTCTTTGTGTGTGTCGTCTTTGTGTGTGTCGTCTTTGTGTGTGTGTAGTCTTTGTGTGTTCAGTCTTTGTGTGTGTGTAGTCTTTGTGTGTTCAGTCTTTGAGATGTAAGTCGGGAACTTTCAGGATGTCCTACTTTTATATATGGCTTATTGGCTTCAGTCCTCTCTGCACACTTTCTACCAGCCTGCAATCCTGCACACTTCACGAGTTGGAAAACCTCACTATTTAATGTTTTAAAAAGGTAGAACAATGGAGGTGGGAAGCTAGCATTGGAGTATGTACAGGACATGTAGTAGTTTTCCCCTCAGGTGTATGGGTTTGTTTATTTCCTTTAGATGGATTTGATCATGTGACTCAGTACTGTTTTGTCTAATAAAAGTGTTGTGTGTTGCAGCTTCAGGGGCAGACCGAAGAGAGGATATGTGGCCTAAGTCTCCAAAGCAAGAGGACATGTGTAATAGCCAGTAACATTTTTGTGTGTAATATTTTTTTGAAAATCTTTCTTTTTAAATGTTTCTAGATGTGGTTTTGAAATGTTTTTTCTATTGTTTGACTATTAAAGTTTTTGTACATAAAGAAAATGACTTGTCTCATTCACACACACAACATTAAGAAGGACTTCCTGTATATTCCTGGCATAAGAAACAGATTTATTTCGTGCAAGTTTTCATTTTGTGAAATGAAAAAAAATCTGGGGACATTAGTCCATAACAGATTTTTTTTCATTTTGTGAAATGAAAAAAAATCTGGGGACATTAGTCCATAACAGATTTTTTCGCTTCAATGAACTGACAGATGCATGGCTCTATTTGTGTACCAAATGACGCATACATCAGTTCTAATAGAATGACGGACACATTCAGGGTGGTACATTTAAAATAGTCCAGAATACTCAGTTATAATATATATATTGTGTTAACAAATCCAGAATTGGATTCTTCAAAGTAGCCCCCTTTTGCCTTGAGGACAGCTTTGCACACGCTTGGCTTCTCTCAGCGTCACGAGGTCGTCACCTGGAATGGTTTTCAATTAACGTGTGCCTTGTCAAGAGTCAGTTTGTGGAATGATTTGCCTTCTGAATGGGTTTGAGACCATCAGTGTTGTGCAGAGGTAGGGTTAGTGCAGTGCACAGTGGAAAGCCCTATTTGACTACTGTTGTAATCCATATTATGGCAAGAACCACTCAAATCAGTAAAGAGAAACGACCATCAATCATCACTTGAAGAAATGAAGGCCAGTCGATCAGGAAAATGTCAAGAACTTTGAATGTTTCCTCAACTGCAGTCGCAAAAACCATCAAACGCTATGATGAAACTGGCTCTCATGAGGGCCCCCGGGAAAGGAAGAGCAAGAGTTACCTCTGCTGCAGAGGATAAATACACAAGAGTTACCAGCCTCAGAAACCACACATTAAAGCACCTCAGATTAGGGCCCACATAAATGATCACAGAGCTCAAGTAGCAGACAATTTCAACATCCACTGTTCAGAGGAGACTGCGTGAATCAGGCCTTCATAGGCCAATCGCTGCTGTTACGTCCCCAGCTCGCTTAGGGTAAAAGGGAAGCAACACGAAACCAGGTGTTCTTGGTAAGAGGTTGATTTTAATAATAAACTCAAAATAAAGATATAACCAAAAATATAGGCTCTTAAAACCAGCTATCTGTTCACAATAACGCTACACAAAACAAAGGTCACAGATTATCACAGTCATAGCACACTATGGGCACTTAAGGCTAAAATAGTGAGGCGTCTCGCACAAGTTCGACGCCGTCACAAATCACAGAATACACACAAAACACACTTAAGCACACACCCTAACTAACCACTGTAGCAGAACTAGCGCAGAACTGACACAGAACGTAAGGAGAGCACCGAGAGCCGTCTGACACAGATTCAGACCTCTCCTGTCTAACTGAGATGCACACACTCTTGTAAGAGTCCCCGGAAGGTGTGGGCAGGGATTGGTGAGTCGGGCCCGACCTGCTCCAATCCAGATCTTCGGTCACGCCTACCGAAGGAGGGACAGGAAACTGGCATCCAATGGCGTCCGGGCAACAGCACATCTCATATACATATAATATACACAGCTGACACCCCCCCCCCCCCCCCCTTAAGACACAAACTCACAGTTTTGTTAACCATGCCTACTACTAAACCTACCTAATAATTCTGAAGGACTCTAAAAGACTCGAAGGAAATCTCTACACACAATACACATAACCAGGGTCGTAACGCTGCAAAGATCCACTACTGAGGATGCTGGTGTCACTGTTGGTGATTTATTCAGAATTCAAGGCACACTTAACCAGCAGGTGTCTTTTATACTGATAACGAGTTCAAACAGGTGCCATTAATACAGTTAACAAGTGGAGGACAGAGGAGGCTCTTAAAGAAGTTACAGGTCTGTGAGAGCCAGACATCTTGTTTGTTTGTAGGTGACCAAATACTTATTTTACCGAGGAATTTACCAATTAATTCATTAAAAATCCTACAATGTGATTTCCTGGATTATTTCCCCCCATTCTGTCTCTCATAGTTGAAGTGTATAGGATGAAAATTGCAGGCCTCTCTCATATTTTTAAGTGGGAGAACTTGCACAATTGGTGGCTGACTAAATACTTTTTTGCCCCACTGTATATGCGCTTTATAAATGTAATGTATTATTATTTATTATATAGATAAGTGGTGATTGTTACCGCCTGGGTTAAAGTGGCATTAATGCCAGAGATGCTCCCTGATTGGGGTTAGGATAGGGTTCAAATGGTTTAGAAGACGGCGGGTATGGGCTTAGATATGTCTCGTAATTTGTGTGAACATAAAAATAAATATATATCCATCCATCTATACATCTATCTATCTATCCATCTATCTATATATCTATCTATCCGTCTACCTACCTACCTACCTACCTACAGATAGATACTTCATTCATCCCAAATTGTGAAATGAAAAAGCATATGAATGAAAGCAATAGACAGGAATATATGCATATACAGTAGAAAGGACACGATGAATATTATAACATTTAATGTAGCCTTACTATGAAGGCTGACCTGTTCCCCCATGGCTTTTTGCAATGGTAAATATAGATATGGGTATTGTAGAAAAGAAAAGAGAGTGGCAAATAAATGAAGTAGGAATCAAAACAAGTAGGCCTATGTGCCTCAGGAATAATTATCACAATTACCTCAAAATATACACAGATGGAAGAGTGTGTTGGAGTTGGTATCCCAGACTTTAACATTTCGATCTCAAAAAGAGCGTCAGATCAATTATCAGTGTACACAGCAGAAATGTTGGCAGTAATAATAGGATTACAGTGGGTGGGAGAGGTCAGACCAGATAGGGTGGTGGTATGCACAGATTCATTGTCCATATTAAAAAGCATACAATCAACAACAACTGTCAGAGAAGACATTCTCATAGAACTGAATCATAGCCTGTTAAGACTGCACAGAGGCGGTATATATACAGTTCTGCTGGGTGCCTGCACATGAGGGGGTGAAAGGGAACGAGTGTGCTGATAAATGAGCAAAAAGTGCACTACAAAGGGAAATGACATTACCAGTTCAACTTGGAGAAGGAAAAGCAGTAATTGAGAAAAAAGGAATGGAGATCTGGCAGAAAAGGTGGGAGAAAGACCAGAAAGTTCAAAAGATCACAATTAATATTTATAAAGAAAGAAACAGAATGGAGGAAATCACGATAGCTCGACTCAGAATAAATCACACGGCTTTGAATAGTACACTGTATATCATGGGGGAAAGTGACAAGTGTGGGAACTGTGGAGTAAAAGAAGATGTAGAACATCTTGTTACATTGTGACAAGGATAAAGTTATAGAGGGAGTGGGTTGTGGTTGGTATTCTGGGAACAAAAGGAGAAGGAGTAAAAGCTACCAGAAAGGCACTGTTTACCTTTCTGAGGGAAACTAGGATAGGAAAAATAATCTAACTTTAGGTTAGAATAGATCATGGATTGTTGTTTTGTTTTGTTTTATTTATTTTATTTTTCGTTATTTTGTTTTATTAGAGATGGAATGACATGGTGATACACACTCATGTACAGTAGGTGGCGGTATGCAACTAAAAGCTGTTTGCGATCCGCCATTAAAAAATAGAGAAGAAGAAGCGCGCGGGAGCTTTGATTACCAAACAGTCGAGTTTAAGGGAAGGAAGGAAGCAGCAGGCAGATTCATCCTGCAGCTTTATCTGGAGAACGTTTCGCTTTTCTAATACATTAATTGAAAACAAAGGTACGTCATAATTGTTTTGTTGAACTTGTGCCATTGCTGTGACGCTGTTTTCGACTAAGCAGCATTGTCAACTGGCTTAGGTTAAATGCAGTGAATTGATGCGCCAACAGTGCTAATGCTAATAAGCTAACAGTACTGTTGTTAAAATGCCCCTCAGCTAAACTTTTGAAGCTAAAGCTACAGCTACTATTCTATTCACTTGGTACGTTAAGTTATTAGCAACTTCTTGTAAAGGTCACATTTCCGAACATAAGTCTGTAAACTCGCTATTCCAGCCTGTTTACATGTCGTAAAATACTGTGACGAAGTCAGTACCAGAATAGCGTACTTTCAAATAAAAATAATCTGAGTATCACAATACAATACAACCTGATTTATTTCCGTTAGTTTTGAATTAAATTACTTCCATATCAAATGCAATTAAATGAACACAAGAGAAATGAAATGTCAATAAGATGTGTTTTATTTAAGTGTGTTATGTAAGAGAACAGAACAATGTGACCAAGATATTTAGGATCAAAATGATTGTATTTATAGGAAAACCTGCCTTTCATTAAGCATATTCAGGCAGTAGACTATACACCAGGGCTCTCCAAACCTTTTTCACCGAGGGCCACATAAATACAAATATAAGAAGGGCTGGGCCACTCACTAGAGTTATATTGCCTCACAAGTTCACTTATAAGTTAGCTAAATCTATCAAATGTAGGTACATGATGCTTGTGGGTGTTGGCAGCTCATCCATTAACACAGAAGCCTCAGATTGATTATAATAAGGAGAAATAGGAAGGGTATATTTCAAGCTTGTTATGTAAATAAGTCATTGGGCTTTTTTCTCATCAACTTAAGATTTGTTAGAAAATGTTTCCAACTTGAATTGACTGAATTTATTTGAAGAGTGGTCTTATTAACACGTGAATACTACTGTGTAATATATTTTTACATTTATAGTTAAGAAGTACAATATAAGACAAGCACAAGTTTCATTTGTGGGCCATATTCTATTACTCTTTGAATTTGCTGAGGGCCGATTTCAAAATGGTCCGCAGGCCGCGTTTGGACACCCCTGCTATACACCAGCAATGAAACACATGAGCACATACTACAGTTTAAAAAAACAGAAATACAATCTCAGTTGGCAGAAAATGCTTTGTTTAAGTTGAATGCATAAAGTGAAAACCATAAAGCAGATTCAGGCAGTAGGCGTATAGATTCACACTTAAAGTATTAGCCTACAGAACAATCAATCAACATTTGTATTAATCCCGCAAGGGGCAATTGGTTATGAGCAGCAGCTTATGTCACGAACACAGGCAGGAAGATACAGGAAGAAAACACACAGATACACCCGGGAGCACAGATGTGGATCATTCCAATTTACACTATAAATAGTTCAGAGCATCACAATAATAAATACATAAATAATCAAGTTAAAAGCCTTTCAAGAATTTAAAAGTTTGAGTGCAGAACGGATGAATGATTTTGAAAAGCGACAGTACAGTTTATAGAGAAGAGATTACATCTGATTCTTTACAACAAACACTATATGCTCTTTTTAGGTTTTTACTAGCACTGTAATCCTGATGGTAATCCCCCATTTTTAGAAATGTAAACGTTTTGTTATGTCACTGTAAGGGAATACACCTTTTGTTGTTTCCTGATAATGTAATCCAGTTGCATGTTAACTGCTACCCCTATATTCCACGGGTCCGTGTTCGCCGCGGCCACTCTGGTCCAGGGGTTCCCAAACGTTGCCATGCCAAGGACCCCCATATAGCATTATCGTCTGGCGGGGACCCCCCTGTTGCAATTTTTTTTTTTTTATGATGAGTACATTATGATGGAAAATATGACAAATTAATCATACAGCTTAATACATTTTCTTAATATATATTTGCATTAATAATTAATAATCAGTTATTCTTCTAAACATTTTTTGTATTTATCTTTTGTTTGTCATTCATTGTGTGTTTTGTTATAAACATTCTTAACACAATATTAAACAGTAATATCAACAGCAAACATATTTTTAAAGTGATTTCTGTCTTTATAATATTATATAATTTTGAACAGTAATATGAACAATTAACATATATTTTTTGCATTTTTGAAAGCTACTTATGCCTTAATAGTATTATATATAATATTCAACATTAATATTAACAATAAACATATTTATATTCATATATATAAACATCAATATTTGCTACATCCGTGCTCTCATCCAGCTGCAGAGTGAAATATTCACTAGCTCTCACTTGCTCCAAAAGCTGAGCAGATACTCAGTTTCACTCTCAGTAGCGGCAGCTCGATTCTGATTGGCTTGAAGGGCGGTCGTGTAATTTAAAAAACAAATATATACATATATATATCTCGGCCTGGGCTCTGCTCAAAATAGGATGCAAGTCTATTTTCGATGCAACACGAGGCGTTGCAGAGGCGCCGGGCAGGAAGTGGACCGGGCAGGAAGTGGACCGGGCAGAGCATCCGGCCCATCCCCAAAATAAACTAATTTTGCAGACCCTATCCCTCCGTAGTCTTTCAAGTAGGAGGGAGTAGAAATGCCAGCATTCTCCTCCGGTTTACAGGCACTGTGTAAATTATATATATAGAATAATTATGATGATGAAAGCATTTTTTTTACCATTAAAATACAGCAACACATCTTTGATTCATGTTGTTTATAACTGGGATATTACAATTATTATTAACTTTGTCTGTACAAGGTAGCCTGTCCAGGAAATATGCCCAAATCAACAAAAACTGCAAGCCGGCAGGCAAGACGCTCCGCTTCTGAAACGCACCCGGTGGGTTATGATGCTGGAGGAGTTCGGACCAAAACCGCGGCGCAGACGGAACCGCTGGAATCCCGGGGTTACGCAGCGTCCACACGGCGGCGTGCGTTGAAGCTTGCCGGCAGGCGTGTCTGAAACTCGACCAACAACCAATCCCATGAATCTCCCGCCCCGGACACACAAGCACACGGTTTGATTGGCTAGAGCTTGTACTGGCATATGATTTGATTGGCTGACGCTTCCGTCGAAGCTTCAAAAGTTGAACATTGCTCAACTTTTGAAGCGAGCAACGAAACCATAATGCAGTTCGGCAAAGCGTGACGTCACCCTATTCAAAGTGAATGGGCAGAAGCGTTGAAGCTTCAACGCACGCCGCCGTGAGGGCGGGCCGTCACTCCCCAAGCCTGGTTATACTAAAGGAAAGTATTTCCTTTACCTGCATCTTTAAGACCAGAAAAGCAGAGTCACACAATCCTGACAACCAGTCTAGCTTACTGTTGTCAAGACCACATTGTCAATGCCAGTGTTTCTCCTAGGATGGAGTCATAGCAGTGGTGCTAAGTAGTGTTGTCACGATACCAACATTTTGGTCAAGTCAAGAATTGCGATTCAGATTATTTTTCTATACTTTTCTTAAAAAAAGGGAAACAGTCTTAAATGTAATTATTGTGCTTTATTTCACACCAGAAACATAACCATAACACAAACTTTTAAACAATGAGAACAATAAATTAAATAAATGATTTAGAATTTGTATTAAATACAATTAAGCATCATCTATAAACAACTTGTTTGTTTTTCGCTTCTGGCGTCTTTTTTGTCAACAAGCCGAGGCGCAGCGGCACTTGCACTCCCACTTGCAGCCATGCTTCTCGCTTTCTCACATGCTCTGGCAGCTAGCGCGTGCACGAGAGAGGGGAGGGACTGCAGGCACGGCTGCAGTACAGGGAGTGGAAGCAGAGCGCTGAACACACACGGCTCTTATTAAAACGGCGCTTTCTCACCGGAGTACTTTTTCCCGTCATTCTTAAAGTACCGATACTAATGAAACGGAGGAATCGTAACGTTTTTAACGGCAGGGTATCGCGTTACCTTTCAAGTATCGGTACACCGTGCAACACTAGTGCTAAGGCACGTGGGCTCAGCATAATGTCATCATTTTTTTTGTGTGTGCGAAGTGCGCCCCGCCAATTTGTTTCTATTGGCACGTTTCCACTGCAGGCCTCGCTCGGTTTGGTTAGGCCTTATTAGGCCCGGCTCACTTTAATGCTGCGCTTCCATTACAGTTTAGGAACTGGGGTAGTTATTATAGTAACGCAGTGTAGGCGGAGCCGTGACGTCATTTTCAATGAGCGCCCCAGAAAAACAACACAGCCGTTAGCTCTTAGCACTCAGAGCTCACAGCTCTTCATATCTGTTCAGAAACTAGACAAAAGTTAAACAAGTACAAACCACAGACTGCCTGTGTCATGGCGAATACAGTCGCTGGTTTATTTATGTCTGTAGGCCGTTGTTGTGAGTGTGGACGGTCGGTGCATATATAACGTTAGCTTAGCCAAGCTCCATTTAGAAAACACGCATTTTAAAAGGGTTTTTCGGGTTTTTCGCCTGCCGTCTGCAGACTTAACAAAGCATTAATTCATGGTGTTTACTAACCGGTATCAGTATATTGTTACTTCGGCATCATTTTGAAACGTGTATTACAATTATGTTGTCAAATATGTTCATCTTGTTTTAGTTGTAGCCCCCTTGCCAGCGATTCTCTCTCTAGTTTAGCATACTCAGCCCGACTCAGCCTGGTTGTTCCTGGCCCTAGAACCACGATTTAATGGGGCCAGAAAAACTGTGAATTAGGACCCGCTAGCCGGTACTAGGCCAAGTGGAAACGCAACCAAAAACGGGCCCCGCACGGCTCGGCACGCTTAAAGCGAGCTACCCGCTGCAGTGGAGACGCGCCATAAGTGTCAGCACAAGTAAAGAATAAATGAAAAATCTCAACAAAAGGCAAATACACTACAAAAACAGAAAGTTATTGACATAGGTAATATACGTCAAAATGGCTTCAAATGTATTCATTATTTATTTTTTTACATTTTAAAGTAAAATGCTTCAATCTGGTGCACTTTGAGCACACAATTACTAGAGACCTGATCTAGGGGGTACAACTCTAACGGCCCGTCCACTAGTGCTGGGGGGAAACGATTATTTTGAAAACGATTAATCGGGCGATTATTTGATCGATTAGTCGACTAATCTAACGATTATTTTTCTGTTGTTCAATTCATAAAAAACGTAATGTCAAAAAAAATAATTTCACGACACTGTGTCTCAGGGGATCTTAATATTTAAGAACCTATTAATGTGTTATACCAGATTAACGGAAATAATCTCAGCTAACTGACGATACAAACCATGTTTACCAAAACAAAACACAAGTCTCATAAGAAGCATCTAAATGACCCCTGAGCGAAAAATGCTAACGGACATTGGCACAGAACTCAAGATAAAAGTACCCTTATTACTTATCGTAGCTGCACATACAATATATCCGATTAAAGCTGAGACTCCACAGATTATGTAGGTATATAGTATCATCACTGAGTGATCCGGACTCGCGACAGGGGAAGCAAATACAGTCATCACAACACGTACCTTCACAGAGCTTCTCGAGAGATCGTCTCACCACCGTAATCTGATCAAAAGACGTGTTCAATGGCAATAAAATGAGAAAAAACGCGGCTGAATCGGTTAATCCATAGGTTTTTAACGTCTATGTATAAAAAAATGATTGAATTTATAATCCATAATTCCATTTTATGTAAAAATCGGAGAGCAAATGCTAGCTGCTAATGGTAGCCACCACAGCTAGCTGCTGCTTCTGCTAGGCTATGCAGCAGTCTCAGTGAGATATAAATATATAGATATCTTTGCGTTTTGGACTAACTTTAAAATATTCCCATGCTTTTGAAGACCTAGGGCGAGATGTTTTCGTTTGGGGGCTTCGTGCGCAATCCTGTGAGGAGGAGGTGGTAGCCGTTTCAGTCTCCATTGTGTTTGAAGTGCGATTGCGAACTGCTTGTTGCTTTGGGTGACCCACGTGTGTGTAGCGACGTGGAAATATGTCGTCGACGATATTTTGAAGTCGACGTGTCGCCACAGCACTACCGTCCACACAGCGGCGTGCATTGACGCTTCACCATTCACTTTGAATGGGGTGACGTCACTTTTCGCCGAACTGCATCGTGGGAAGCGACGCGGAGCGTGGCTCGCTGCAAAAGTTGAGCAATGTTCAACTTTTGACGCCTCGGCAGAAGCGTCAGCCAATCGAATCATATGCCAGTACAAGTTCTAGCCAATCAAACCGCTGCTTGTGTGTCAGGGGCGGGAGATTCATGTGATTGGTTGTTGGTCGAGTTTCAGACACGCCCGCCGGCAAGCGACAACGCACGCCGCTGTGTGGACGGTAAGTAAAACACCCATATGAAAAAGATCGGTTTACATTTGAATAATCAAATAAGTATATGAACATAACCAATAACCTACCATAGCCAATAACAAATAAATGTAGCTTATTTTATTTTTGTTGTTCATTCATATCTTATTTGACCTAGATAACATTTATTTATTTATGAGACCTACTGAGATAACTTAGACTAAAGTGAACTATGAAACGCCTCTCAGTCTGACAGGAGAGCTCTCCTCCACCCTGTTTGTAGAAACATCTACTTCTTATATCCGTTAGCGCAGCTAGCACCAGATTCTAATAACAACAGCGCCGGTACCGGTGCGCCCTCTCCCTCGCTCGCTCTGTCACTCCCACGCTCGCACTTTGGCTGTGAGCTGTGGGCGCCAGATAAGCCAACATCAATCAATCAATCAATGTTTATTTATATAGCCCAATATCACAAATGTTACATTTGTCTCAGTGGACTTCACAGTTTGTACAGAATATCAGTATGACAATTAGGGTTGCCAGAAACTGACCATGATCAAAATCGATTATTCGACAGCCCTGGCGAATAATAATCGATTATTCGACCGTCTGCTCTGCACGCAGGCTTCCTCCAAGTTTACAGTAAAACAAACTGGTGGTGTGACCAATGGCCATTTACAATTATTAATACTATTACTATTATTAGCATTAGTATATATTTTGGTTGAAACTAAGCCAGAAAAAAAAAAAAATACATAAATAATAATAAAAAAATATATAAATAAAAGAGCAACAGAGGAGGGATCCCTCTCCCAGGACGGACAGACGTGCAATAGATGCCCCCACTTTCATCACTTACAGCGCCCATTGTACAGGGCAAATGAAAACCGGGTGAAAAGGGTGTTACATTTACTTAATTATGAATGTTGTTACATCAAGGCCGAAAATTAGGATGAGCTCCAACGGTCAAAAATGTTTTTTCCCTCCCAGTGCTACCAGCGCAGCGCCTCCACAGATCTGGCGACCTAGGCGACCGCCTATGCCAAAAATCGGCCCTGCCTAGTACATACAGTGGCAATGTCTTAATATTTAGCAAAAATACACCTTTTATTGAACATACAGTAACACAAAGACTACAAATCCACATAACAAACAATCAAAAATGAAAAAGGGTCGACACTTATTATTATTTGAATAAAATAAAAATAAATGTTTTGGGTACCTGGCTGGCGCCCCCTAGCAGCGGCGTGCATATTTCAGCAGCGGCGCTGCACCGCCACTATTTGTATATAGGGGAAACACTGGTCAATGCTCTGTTACTCACACAGTGCCCCCCCATCCTTTCTGCAGGTTTCACACTCAAACTATGGCTATGAGGAGCGAGTCTAGGGTGGAGACCGAGGTGGAGGCGGAGGAAAGCTTCGGGCCACAGCCTCTGAGCAAACTGGAGGTTTGTATCCTGAACACACGCTTAAGTACACTGAACTTATTACATCTGAAATCTCCTATTTCAGCTGGGGCTTGTTTTGGGGGAGCAATTAGCCTGTTGTTGGGGAAGTGGACTGTGTGGTGGGAATTTATGTATCAAATGTGAATAGAGAATCAAACCATTCAGCTGTCTTTGTCGTATTTTATTTCTTGCAAGAAAGTTCAGTCAGTCACACAGAGAGCATACAGTCTGCAGAGATAAAGACGAAGAGTAGAGTTTGGGTTTCATATTTAAACACAGAGAGAGGAGAAACGAAGGGGTTGAGCTTGGTGATAATGAAAAGAACATTCTGGGAGTTAGGGGGGCTGTATCAGGATGTTCTCCGTCTGAGGTGAAGGTCATACTGTTGGTGCACATAGTGTAACTAACAACATTGCAACAAATCTTCTTAATAAGGAATTTTCCCAAGCTTAACAAAGAAGTGAAAGTAGTAAACATAGATAAACATTAGCTAATCAGAATCACACAATGATATTGTTAAAGTAAGTATTACAGACTACATTTCAAATTCATTTGTATTTCAATCAATAGCTATGACATTCACCTTTTTATGTAAATGTTTTTGTGTCAGTATATTTCCGTCTATTGTCTAAACAAGCAGGTGTCGGAAATGCTGGACTGATGACATTTTTTAATCCATTACTGTAACACTCGGAGAGTAAACAACTCTTCTTTCTTGACTTCTTTCTTGACTTTCTTGACTTCTGCATTGCAGCTCTCGACTGTATGAAGATTTAAGATAAGATAAGACTTTATTCATCCCGAAGGAAATTGTTGTGCCAGAGTAACTAAACACAATAAACACAGCAGCAAAACTGTACACTAAAAGTGCAGCAAAAAGAGCAATTAAACATCCACAGACAACATGAAACGTAGAAACATAGATGGTCATCAGACTGCTCTGACTGGAAATGTATCCACTTTCCTAGGTTAAGGCCAATTGCTGGACTGTTTTTAAAACCCAACACTATTTAGCAGTTTTTCTCTTTCATAGTTTATTGATTCTGTGCTGTCTCTGTCCCAATGTCTCTGCATGCAGCAATGTGGAGTCAGTGGCAGTGACATCAAGAAGCTGGGGGACGCAGGTTTCCACACCATCGAGGCAGTGGCCTACGCACCCAAGAAGGAGCTGCTTAATATCAAAGGCATCAGTGAGGCCAAGGCTGAAAAAATTCTAGTAAGAAACCACATTTCTCCATTATTCTTCCTTTAGTGGGTCAAATATTAGTTTCACGCTTTGTCATATACTCAGGGCTGCAGTATCAGACGTGGAAGGGTGGTATCAGTGCAATCTAGAGCATTAAACCTGCAATGTGCAATACAGACACTTTCTTTTGCAATTGTACTTTGTAATAATTACTTGTTATATGAAAAAACTATTTATATTAGGTATTTTATAATGCCACAACACCTCTATATTAGGGATGTTAAGATTCACCGATTCGCATCGGTGCACTGGCACAAACGTTCAAGATGCGAGTGCACCGGTTGAAAGAGTGCACATCGGCTACAGTTTGGGTGGAACTCGCGATGCATCGATTGTAGCGTCTTTGCATCGGTAAAAAAACGATTCATTCATATAAAATCCCCTCATGCTGTCAGCATTCAGCAGAGACGATCTTTGATATTTGCTTCGCACTACGGAGGCCGAGAGTCTCAGTTATCAACACACATCGAGGAGAAAGAGAAACACAGCGCACCGAAAAATACCTACACATCAAACGTTTGGCAACACTTCGGATTTTTCAAGAAAGACGGTCAACTTGAAAAATCGCTCGCACATTGGAAACGATGCCGTGCCGTTTTAAAGTACACAAGTAGTAAGAGGAACTTAGCGACGCACATAAAGAGGCGACATGGGGTCTGCGGCTGAAAAGACAAACCTGAAAGTTAGACATATGAGTTAAATCACTCAGTGAGGTGTATGAGAAAAAACGACACCCTCTATCCTTAGACCCTCACATCGTACAAGGAAAAACTTCCGGAGAAAACCCACAGTTTAAGGGTAAAAAATGGGAGAAACCTCAGGGAGAGCAACAGAGGAGGGATCCCTCTCCCAGGACGGACAGACGTGCAATAGATGCCGTGTGTAAATCGAAGAGATAATACATTTTACAGCATAGGTAGTCCAAATGTTAGGAAATGCATGTGTATGTAATAAGAAGATGAATCTACGAAGATGTCAACTACAATCCTGTGGGAGCCTTCAGGGAGGCAGCAAGACGAGACCCAGGCAGGACCGCAGAGACAGGTTTAGCCACGACCCGAAGTCCACGACTTAATCCAAAACTCAGGATAGAGGATCCAGGACACGGGACCACAGCAAGAAGATCAGCCTCGACTCCGGATCCCGGCGTAGATATAGATACAAAACAAGAAAAAAGATTTGGCTGGGTTAATCGGAACAAGAGAATACCAGACACAGACAGACAGACAGACGGAAGAACAAGCACTCTCTTAGAATAGGTTGAGGGCAAAGGGTAGCAAGTGAGAGAGTAAGAAACATAGGTGGAGAGGCACACTCATACCTCATTCACACCAACGGTGTTTCAGGGCCGGTTCGGAGCTGGAGCTTGAAAAGCACCAGGTTTTCCTCTTCACACCGCAGCAGAGCAGCCTCTTAGCTCCGGAATCCGGTTCGTTTCAAGCACCAAAAAATTGTCCGGCCAGAGCAAAAGCACCGCATACGTCATGCTTACGTCGAGGCGGGGGCAGGGGCACAGGCGGGATCAACTCCTGAACAACAACAAAAAGCCGGCATTGTATCCAGTTTGTACACAACGATGGAGAAACTTAACAAGCAGCAGTGGTCAACTGAAGAGACCTACTACTTACTGGGAATCTGGTCTTCCGAAGAGGTACAGAGGAAGCTGGAGCACAATCAGCCGTTGTTGTCGGTGTCAGCTGTGAGGGGTTTCCTCGCGGTTTGGCTTTATGAAGCAGGCATGTAAACAGTTACGTCATGACGCAAACAGTGACGCAATGACGCAGCACCAGTCGGACTCTGGGCAGTGTGAAAAGAGCCGGAGATAAACCTAAGAACCGGTTCTGAACCTGAAAAGCTCTAGCACGGAGCTTGAACCGGAGTTGCGTTGGTGTGAATGAGGTATCAGGGAACAAGGTCCCCACTGGAGCCTTAGTTGGAAATTGATGAGAGATAGGGAGGTACGCTGTGTCTACGAATCGTAACACTCCCCGGCCTGTCCAAGCCACTCTACAAACCGTTTCCCTCTAATAAAACTTGAGAGGTTAGAGAGGGAAAGGTCTTGGGTAAAAGTTATTCTTGATAAGAGAAGCCTAGAAGGCCAGAGAGAAAAAGTGAGTTTTAAGTGTTGATTTAAAACCCCCCAGGGTCTGGGCCGACCTCACATGGAGGGGCAAAAATGTTCCAGAGCCTGGAGCCTGCTGCTGTGAATGCTCGGTACCCTCTGGTTTTGAGCCTGGTCTTAGGCACGATCAGCAGCAGCTGATCAGCCGACCTTAAGGCTCTTCCTGGGGTGTAGCGATGGAGGAGTTCGGCTACATAGGCCGGAGCCAGCCCATTTAGGGCTTTGAAAACAAAAAAAGGATTTTAAAATCTATTCTGAACCGAACTGGAAGCCAGTGCAATGAGGCCAGAATTGGGGTGATGTGGTCATGCTTTTTAGGGCCAGTTAGAAGACGTGCAGCTGCGTTCTGCACTAGATGCAGTCGTCTAATTGAGGCCTGGTCCATACCCACATACAGAGCATTGCAGTAATCCAGTCTCGAGGTAACAAAGGCGTTTATAACCCTTTCTAGGTCTTTAAAAGATAAAAACGACTTGGTCTTAGCCAATAGTCGTATTTAAAAATAAATTTAAAAAAGCAGGTCTTGACTACAGTGCTGACCTGCTTATCAAATTTAAAAGTGCTATTGACGGTCACTCCAAGGTTCATGACAGAGGGGAGGATGTTTTTACTGAGGGAGCCCAGAATATCAACCGGAGAGGCTGGAGGTCGGGGTCCAAAAAAGATGACCTCGGTCTTGCTCTCGTTGAGGGTGAGGAAGTTTTGGCTCAGCCAGGATTTAATCTCTGTTAAGCAATCCATCAACTGCTGTAGTGAGTTGGCATTTTGATTGAGAGGCAGATAGATCTGTACATCGTCAGCATAACAATGGAAGGGGATGTTGTGTTTTGTGAGAATTGAGCCTAGGGGCAGTATGTACAGTAGAAAAAGGATGGGGCCCAGAATCGAGCCTTGGGGAACCCCACAGGTAAGAGGGGCTTTGGCAGAGGAGAAGGCACACAACTGCACTAAGAGGCTACGGTCTGTCAGGTAGGACCTGAACCATGCAAGGACAGAGCCTGTGATGCCTGCGGACTGTTCAAGCCGTGACAACAGGATGCTATGGTCCACAGTGTCGAAGGCAGCTGTCAGGTCCAACAGCACCAAGACAGCTGAGTTACCTGAGTCGGCGGCTAGGAGCAGATCATTAAAAACTCTTAAAAGGGCTGTTTCAGTACTATGCATAGGTTTAAAGCCAGACTGACATTTTTCATGGATGCCATGTGTGGTTCAAAACGACTGCAGCTGGGCGTAGACTACTCGCTCCAGGGCTTTAGATAAAAAAGGTAGCTGGGAGATGGGCCTAAAGTTTGCGAGAATGGAAGGGTCGAGATTTTTCTTTTTAAGTAGTGGCTTCACCACGGCATGTTTGAAGGCAGCTGGGACACATCCTGAGCTAAGAGAGGTGTACAAGCAATAAAACACTTGCGCCAACTGATTCAAAAACATCTCTAAGGAAGTGAGAGGGAATGCAGTCTGAGGTGCAGTTTGTCGGCCGCAGGTGCTTGACTACATCCGAGAGAGAAGAGAGGGATACAGGCTCAAAATGGTCGAGGACAGCAGGGCACAGAAAAGGAGCAGAATCTGGGGTAGCACTAGTGTGGGCTAGCCTAAGCGCAGATACTTTTTCGATAAAAATTTTTAAGAAATGTATCCAGAGAGTAGTCGATGACACAATTGGAGAAGCATCACAAGGATTAATAATCGAGTTGAGGACATTAAAAAAGAACCTGAGGTTTATGGCTGTTTTTAGAGATTAACAGAAAAATGTGCTCCGTTTTGGCTGCTTTCTGGTAGTCGGAAAGGCAAGCTTTTCAAGGATTTCTAAGGAGACATGGAGTTTATCCTTTTTCCATTTTCTCTCTGCACGACTGCAAGCGCGTCTAAGAGCGCGAGTACAGTCATTAAGCCACGGCTCTAAGAGAACTTTGGTGCGTAAAAGGAGCAACGGAATCCAGTATTAATAATATATTTTATTTCTATAGCGCTTTTCTTGAACCCAAATACGCTTTATTAGTGTGCATGTCGAGTCAAACATGGAGATAAGCTCATCAGCACTAAGAGCACAGTTCACCTCTAATTGACAGATCGGAGAAGCATTAAAAGCATCTGAAAACTGTGAGGCAGTCAAGGGGTTAATTGAACGCAGACAACGCGCAGGGGCACGTGATTCGACTCCCGCAGAATGGATCGAGGTTGTAAACAGAACCGGTAAATGGTCTGAGATACGCGTTGCTGCACAGATTTCATCCACAGAGACAGACAGTCCAAACGATAATACTAAATCTAAGGTGTGTCCTTTATCGTGTGTTGGGCCAGCCACGGACTGAATAAGACCCAAAGAGTCGAGGAGATTTAAAAAGTCCCTAACCAGAGGTTTGTACTTGCAGCACACATGGACATTAAAGTCTCCGCAGATCAAAACACGTTCATATTTCACCATGATCCCGGACAGAAAGTCAGAAAACTCAGTTATGAAATCCTTATTGGACTTTTGTGGACGATACACGACTGCGCAGAGTATAGGCGAGGCCGGGTTCAGTTCAAAAAGCTGCAACTCGAAGCTAGCATAGCTAGTTACAGGGTGAAGCAATCGGCATTGGAGATTAGCTCTAAACACTGATGCTATGCCCCCACCACGGCCGGTGGTACGGGGGGAGATGAAGAAAGTACAGTCGGGAGGAAGAAGTTCAGAAAACGGTACATACTCGCCGGTGTGGACCCAGGTCTCCGTCAGGAACATCAAATCCAGATCACGAGAGGTGAAGAAGTCGTGTAACAGGAACGTCTTGTTTGCTATTGACCTAGCGTTTAGCAAAGCCATGCAGAGTTTTCTCTCCGGAGGTGCCGAAGGTGTAGTGCGTCTTAGCAGATGAAGATGTGCGTGTTGAACGCCACGCGGACCGGGAGCAGTCAGTCGGGCAGGAGGAGCTGTCAGCGTGCCCATCAGCGGCCGCAGCTCCGGAAAGACAGGGCGAATCCATCGATCCCTCACATGGCGTGCAGCGGGAGGGCCATGACATCTGATGCGTGGATAAGTCCCAGAAGAAGCCGTCAGGTGTGCTTTTTGATGGACAAGCGCGCCACCACGCTTTCCCCGTCGTCTAAAGCGCTTTCGGTGAGGCAGGATGCAGGGCAACCAGCGCAGGTAGGTGGGAATATCTGACAGTAGAAGGGGGGGGGGGAGTCGATTTACGGTTGCCAGATGTAGGTTTGGGCAGCAGTATAAACTCCAGTGAGGGTCTTAGGTGGAGGAGAGCTTGGCGATCATAGACGAGCAGAGCAGAGACATTCTGACAAACATAAAACAAAAACAGGATAGCTAAAGGTAGATAGCTGAGGGAGCGGCATGCTGACACAGGCGCCATCTTGAAATCCACCGGAAACTGTCCCTGTTATAAACAATGTTATATTGAGTGCTCTTTTGATCCCGACCAGTTTGTTAAGCTCTACCTCTTGCGTTGTGAAAAGTGAAACGTACTGGATTCATTCTTTTGAATGTTTCCCTCAGGCTGAAGCAGCCAAACTTGTGCCGATGGGCTTCACCACAGCGACTGAGTTCCACCAGAGGAGAGCGGAGATCATCCAGATCTCTACGGGCTCCAAGGAGCTGGACAAACTCCTGCAGGGTTTGTACAACCAGCATACAATCCACAAATCCAGCCTGGCTGTTAGCGGTCAGTCCTACACTCAGGATGTAACAGTTGTTATAAATGGAAGGAAGAATAAAGCGGTGTCTTTTGTTGTTTATCCTGCAGGCGGGATCGAGACGGGCTCCATCACAGAGATGTTTGGAGAGTTTCGGACGGGGAAGACCCAGCTGTGCCACACACTGGCTGTCACCTGTCAGGTAGAGACACTGAAACACTATCACCTTATCTGAAGAGAATCGTGCTCAAAGACCCTCTAATGTACGCTAGAGGGTCTTTGAGCATGTTTCTCTTCAGTGATTGTGATGTTAAATATTTGTTTTCCTCGTGTCTTAATATTTGTTCTTGTTGATGTTGCAAATGGAGCTGCTTTGATGCAAGTTAAATGTCAGACCTTTTTAGAAAATGCAGGGTTCGTACGGGTGCTTGAAATCCTTGAAAATGCTTGAAATTTGACGTGGTGTTTTCTAGGGCTGTCCCGAATACCATTTTTCGGGCTCCGGATATTCGGTAGTAATCAGCAGCGAATATTCGGTGCGGAGAGATTTTTCAGCTGCACGCTGACAGCTCCTCCTTCAATAAATTGAAAAAAAATAAAAAAACGAATATCCGAATAATAAAATTGAAACCCGAATAGTTGGCCAACGAACGAATATTCGAATATTCGGGTACAGCCCTAGTGTTTTCAAGGTTGGGAAAGTGCTTGAATTTTGGGAATGGTGCTTGAAATTGAGAAAGTGCTTGAAAATGTAAATGCTTTACTTTTACAATAAATTGCTGTCTGACTGAATAGTTCGCTTTTTAGATTAAAAGAAAATAATTGCTTCGCTTCTACATAAAACAGCTCCGCTCCAGCCTTCCCGCGCTATGCGCGCGACCTGCAAGTGTTTGTGTTAGGTGTGACCTGGGCATTCTGATGAGAGTGATAGATGACTGTGTGCCAGGAGGTTGCCGTTTCAACGAACGTTGGCTAGCAGAAGACAAATACAAGCCATGGCTAAGACGAGGGTCAATCCCACGAGTAGCCTCCTGCAAAGTATGCAAAAATAACGATGCGAGAGTCTGCGCTGACGAGCCACATGAAAGGTACGCTGTAGTAGAGAATTTTAGATTAGGCTAACGTTGCATGTTACGTTTGTTTAAGCTAACGTTAGCAAGCTGAATAGCGAACTCGATTGAGGGATAATAATAATTGCAGGGGACGATCATTTCAGAGGAGCGTACCTATGTTAATATGTGCGTTACAGTCGCCATCGTGTGGTGTTCAGAGGATGAAGCTCTCACGGCATTTCGTGTTATAGTCACGAAATATAATCTATTGATTCGACACAGAGCGATTTTGAAAGCAATGTATTTCTACTGGTAGTATGTTTCGTGCCTAAACCAAATGTCACTTGATCTATCGAAATCAGTCACATTGACCCGAAGACACATTTTCGTTTGTATTACTGGTCTAGGGGAAGCTCGCGAGTGTGTTTGTGTATTTTTGCGTTTGTGTACCGGGGAAACACTTACAAGAAACACCGGCTGTTGTTATGCTTGCTGTGATGTTACATTAGTCCGTTCTCTGCTTGTAATTATGCCGAAGCTTCAAAGTTGTATTTATCATCTGAATTTGCCGAAACAAGTTTAATATTCTGAAAGCCAATACTTTGTTTACTTGAAAACAGATGAAAACAAACTGTCTTTTATATAAAATTGAAGTATTATACAAGTAAAACTACATTTTGCCTTAATCCCATGTAATTGTAGAATGAACGCAGTCTTCCTTTGAAGATGTATAAGTCAGGTGTCTTGAGTAGTCAAAATTACCTACAAATCATTGTACACATTTGTAAATATTATTTTCCACTTGTTACCATTGTGAGTCTATTGTTATGCAGCTCTGCGTGATTTTGTGGCTACAATTCAGACTAATACACTACCAGAGGTGGAATAAGTACTCAGATATTGTACTTGAGTAAAAGTACAAGTACTCAGATCTTGTAGTGAAATTATATGTACTCAGATGTTGTACTTGAGTAAAAGTAGAAGTACTCAGGTCTTGTACTTGAGTAAAAGTAGAAGTACTCAGATCTTGTACTTGAGTAAAAGTAGAAGTACTCAGATCTGGTACTTGAGTAAAAGTAGAAGTACTCAGATCTTGTGCTTGAGTAAAAGTAGAAGTACTCAGATCTTGTACTTGAGTAAAAGTAGAAGTACTCAGATCTAGTACTTGAGTAAAAGTAGAAGTACCAGAGTGTAGGAATACTCTGTTACAGTAAAAGTCCTGCATTCAAAATGTTCCTCAAGTAAAAGTAGAAAAGTATTCTCATCAAAATATAGTGAAAATAGCGACAGTAAAAGTAGTGATTGTGCAGATTGGTCCATTTCAGAATAATATATATGATATGTTTTATAATGATTGATTATGAAAGTGTTCTCAAAGCTGGTAAAGGTGCAGCTAGTTTGAATGACTTTGTATACTGCAGGGTAGCTGGTGGATTTACTCCATGTGGAACTAAAGTCTGATTTAACACTTGATTATATTTCATCATTCATCCACATCTGTGAAGTAACTGAAGGTATTAAATACATGTGGTGGAGTAAAAGTACACCATCTACCTCTGACTTATGTTCACTGCCAACCTAAAAGTACCTCAACAATAGTAATCAATAATGTATTAAAGTTATTTGGCTGATTGTTGTATATAGGCTCAGCCAGGTTATATGGGAGGCCTAGTCTACGTACAGATCACTAATTTTGAAATATTAAACTTAGTTTTCTTTTCTTTCATTTTTCATCCTCGTGTAGAAGGCTATCACGAAACACACATTTGGTTGTTTATAGCATAAAGAACATCTGATTTAATGTGAGGTAGGGAAATAATCATTTGAGTATGTGTATATAAATATGTAATTTACAACAGCTGTAAGATGCTTGAAAATGCACCTTGAAAATGCTTGAAAAGTGCTTGAATTTTACTTTGGAAAAGGTGTAAGAACCCTGAAAATGATATATATACAAGAACAGAATATGAAATTAAATATTGTATATTAAGACACAATTAAATACGGTTTATTGCGGTGACAACTATTTAGATAAATAAGTATATTGCAAGATGACAAACGGATGAAGATTCTCCTTCACTCAGTGGATGGCGCTGTCCCATGTCCTCTGAGAGACTCTATGAATCACCATGACAACATAGTGAGGGTGTCCAACACCATCATTGCCGACATGGCCTGAACACTGGATATGAATTGTTTCCATCAAATCAGAGGAACAGGGTCCCACGACTGAATAAAGTCAGACTGAAGCACTCCTTTGTGAACCACTGACATACAGAGCTAAATCTCAGACCTCATGTACGATAGAGGGTCCTAAGCATGTGATCGTGATGTTAAATGTCTCCTTCCTCCCTTGTATCGTGTCTTGATATTTGTCCTAGTTGACGTTGCAAATGGAGCGGCTGTCATGCAAGAAAAATGTCAGACTTGATCTGCATTAAAGTATTATGGTATTGTATTCTGTCCACAGCTGCCCATTGATCAGGGGGGGGGAGAGGGCAAAGCCATGTACATCGACACAGAGGGGACCTTCAGACCAGAGAGGCTGCTGGCTGTAGCTGAGAGGTGAGTCGGGGGGGGGGACAGCCTGGGTGAGGGGTGAAGGATGATCATGTGGGAAAGGGAGATTTCAGTTTGAAACCTGTACACCTGTTCTTTATGGCGTCACTGTTGATGATTGATGACTTCCTCTGTGCTCCAGGTACGGGCTGGTGGGCAGTGACGTCCTGGACAACGTGGCCTACGCCCGCGCCTTCAACACGGACCACCAGACCCAGCTGCTGTACCAAGCCTCCGCCATGATGGCCGAGTCCAGGTCAGTCAGAGCCTCTGGACCTGAGCTATATACAGTGGGGCAAAAAAGTATTTAGTCAGCCACCAATTGTGCAAGTTCTCCCACTTAAAAAGATGAGAGACGGCTGTAATTTTCATCCTAGGTATACCTCAACTATGAGAGACAGAATGAGAAAAATAAAAAATCCAGAAAATCACATTGTCTGATTTTTAAAGAATTTATTTGCAAATTATGGTGGAAAATAAGTATTTGGTCAATAACAAAAGTTCATCTCAATACTTTGTTATATACCCTTTGTTGGCAATGACAGAGGTCAAACGTTTTCTGTAAGTTTTCACATACTGTTGCTGGTATTTTGGCCCATTCCTCCATGCAGATCTCCTCTAGAGCAGTGATGTTTTGGGGCTGTCGCTTGGCAACACAGACTTTCAACTCCCTCCAAAGATTTTCTATGGGGTTGAGACCTGGAGACTGGCTAGGCCACTCCAGGACCTTGAAATGCTTCTTACGAAGCCACTCCTTCGTTGCCCGGGCGGTGTGTTTGGGATCATTGTCATGCTGAAAGACCCAGCCACGTTTCATCTTCAATGCCCTTGCTGATGGAAGGAGGTTGTCACTCAAAATCTCACGATACACGGCCCCATTCATTCTGTCCTTTACACGGATCAGTCGTCCTGGTCCCTTTGCAGAAAAACAGCCCCAAAGCATGATGTTTCCACCCCCATGTTTCACAGTAGGTATGGTGTTCTTTGGATGCAACTCAGCATTCTTTCTCCTCCAAACACGTCTAGTTGAGTTTTTACCAAAAAGTTCTATTTTGGTTTCATCTGACCATATGACATTCTCCCAATCCTCTTCTGGATCATCTAAATGCTCTCTAGCAAACTTCAGACGGGCCTGGACATGTACTGGCTTAAGCAGGGGGACACGTCTGGCACTGCAGGATTTGAGTCCCTGGCGGCGTAGTGTGTTACTGATGGTAGCCTTTGTTACTTTGGTCCCAGCTCTCTGCAGGTCATTGACTAGGTCCCCCGTGTGGTTCTGGGATTTTTGCTCACCGTTCTTGTGATCATTTTGACCCCACGGGGTGAGATCTTGCGTGGAGCCCCAGATCAAGGGAGATTATCAGTGGTCTTGTATGTCTTCCATTTTCTAATAATTGCTCCCACAGTTGATTTCCTCACACCAAGCTGCTTACCTATTGCAGATGCAGTCTTCCCAGCCTGGTGCAGGTCTACAATTTTGTTTCTGGTGTCCTTTGACAGCTCTTTGGTCTTGGCCATAGTGGAGTGTGACTGTTTGAGGTTGTGGACAGGTGTCTTTTATACTGATAACGAGTTCAAACAGGTGCCATTAATACAGTTAACAAGTGGAGGACAGAGGAGGCTCTTAAAGAAGAAGTTACAGGTCTGTGAGAGCCAGAAATCTTGTTTGTTTGTAGGTGACCAAATACTTATTTTATCGAGGAATTTACCAATTAATTCATTAAAAATCCTACAATGTGATTTCCTGGATTCTTTCCCCCCATTCTGTCTCTCATAGTTGAAGTGTACCTAGGATGAAAATTACAGGCCTCTCATCTTTTTAAGTGGGAGAATTTGCACAATTGGTGGCTGACTAAATACTTTTTTGCCCCACTGTATATATATTTAAAATAATGTTAATGCAATATTTACTTGCACGAGAAACACATCGCCAAGACACTCTGCAGAGTTCAGTGAGTTTTGGAGATAGTTAAGGGAGAGTATCAGTAGAAAAGGCACTTTAAAAAGAACTATAATTAGTTATAATTCAATTTGTTTAACAAAAGATGTTGGGGGGGAAATCCTTTTTCAATTGTCTTTTCTATCTTAACCGCATGGGCTGTATTTGAGTATAGAATTTTCTCAGCAGAAGTATCTACAGTTATTCGTAATGACATTTCTGTAAACAGGAAGGATCACTGTCCAGACTGAGTGAGCGCTAGAAATATAAGATGTTGTCTAGGGTGTCTTTGACTTAACAAGATACTTCTAAAAACAAGACCCTATATCTCACTGCATTGTTACTTCTTAAGTTATTAGATCTTATATCAAGTATAAAGACATATCTTTCTGACTAGTATTAGACAAATATGCTTGGCCAGATATTATATATAGAGTTGTTGTAGTGTGCACCTCACTCTCTCTCTCCCTGGGTCAGGTACGCTCTGCTGATCGTGGACAGCGCCACCGCTCTCTACAGGACGGACTACTCGGGCAGAGGAGAGCTGTCTGCGCGGCAGGGACACCTGGGACGCTTCCTGCGCATGCTGCTGCGCCTGGCCGACGAGGTGAGCAGCTGGCTCTGTGGGGATATCAAGCGCTCCTCATGTGTTAGTGATGAGTGAGAACCCAAATATCCTGCGTACCTCCGTCACCATGTTGCACCACAGCTACTTTACACCATTACTTCATTTATATACTATCTTATGTATATATGCAGTGGTGTAAAGTAACTAAGTAGATTTACTCAAGTACTGTACTTAAGTACAGTTTTTAGGTACTTGTACTTTTACTTGAGTTTTTCCATTTTATGCTACTCTGTACTTCTACTCTAAAACAATTCAGAGGTAAACCGTGTACTTTTACTACATGTGTTTTATACCTTTAGCATTTTAGCTCATCTGCACATTGACTACTTTCACTTGAGGTACTTTTAAGTATATTTTGATGCAAATACTTATGTACTTTTCCATTCTTTTCCACCTTTTTAAATATTTGAATGCCTTGTATTAAATGCTGCTGTAACAAAATAAGTGTTATAAATCATTTCTAGGGATGTAACGATATACCAAATATCGCGGTAAATAAACGTCCCAATACCGTCGTGAGACTGACAAAATCTACCGAGATTTAAAAAAAAACAAATTAATTTGTAAAAAATCTTTTTTTTGAACACTTTTTTTTAGTTTTAAACCTTTATTTAACCAGGTGGTCCCATTGAGATCATCGATCTCTTTTTCAAGAGAGACCTGTCCAACATGGCAGCAAGTAGGTTACAACATGAACATAAAAGGACAGAACACAAAAGGACATGGTATTTACAGGGCTACATGTACACACCTAGAGACATTGACAAGTACCAACAGTATATTTATATCTCTGTCAATAAGCCTCACCTTCTTGGCAAAAACTGTATTGTTTTTGAAGTGGTGGAGAGACAATGCACAGTTTGACCCACTGCTGTCACCCATGGCCAAAGCATATCTCTCCGTCCCACTGAGGTGGCGTTAGACTTTTTCGCTGTCCGTCATTTTGACAGACAGGATCGTAAAATGTCCGTCATAATCCCTTATTACCCGTCGGGTCTGAACAGTTCACGAGAGAGCACGCTCGTGAACTGTCAACGGGGGGGGGGCGGTGTTATGCAGTGTGTGCATTAGGGATGTGAACGATTAATCGAATATTCGAAACTATTCAGGTATTAGAATATGAGTTATGTATATTTTTATAAAAAAACAATTTTTTTGGGAGGGATGCCCCAGTTGATTACATATTATGAAATTGAATAATTCAATGTATGTATATATGTGTGTATATATGTATATGTATGTATATGTGTGTATATATATATATATATACATATACATATATATATACGTGTATATATACATATACATATACATATACATATACATATATATATATATATATGTGTGTGTGTGTATATATATATATATATATATATATATATATATATATATATATATATATATATATATATATACGACAGTGCCATAGCTAAATGTGTTAGGTCTAAAGGTGTGTTTTGCTCCGCTCACCAGTCCCTCACAGCGGGCAGAGCTGCAGGTGCTGATCTCTCTCTCTCGCGTCCGGTTATACTTCACTCGTGTTTATGTCCAAATCCATCAGATCGAGCTAGTTCTAGCCAATGATATGGCTGCTGCCCCTCCCTACACGCAGATCACGCAGACTCAAACCTCATCTTTGGCCCAAATGTGGCGCTAATGCTGCGTTCAGACCGGACGCGATGCGATGTTTGGGGGCGGCGCGATTACATGTAAAGTCAATGCAGAGACGCGATCAGACGCGAATTCGCTCCGACGACGAGCATGAAGCGGTGGACGCGTCGCGAATCACGCGATTGAGGCGTTTGAAGGGGGCCGCGTCAAACGCGAGAGTTCCATTTTTTCAACTCGGCCGTCAAATTCACGTGACTCACGGAAGCCAATCAGCGGTGAGGATCTCAGCCTGCCGTCACTGACGTTCAACCAGAAAACATCAGCCATTAGCTGTTAGCAGTTAGCACACAGAGATCACAGCTCCTCATATCTGTTCAGAAACTGTACAAAAGTTAAACAAGAACAAACCACAGACTGTCTGTGTCGAATACAGTCGCTGGTTTATTTATGTCTGTAGGCCTTTGTTATGAGTGTGGAATGAGCATATACAACGTTAGCTTAGCCTGGTCGACCCAATCTCCATTCAGAAAACAAGCATTCTAAAAGGTTTTTCGCCTGCCGTCTTGTCTGAAGACTTGTCGAGCATTAATTCATGGTTTTTACTAACCGGTATCAGTATGTTGTTACGTCGGCATCATTTATAAACGTGTATTACAATTTAATCACGGTAAAATATGTTCATTTTGTTGTAGTTGTAGCTCCCGAGCCAGCGCGTCTTGTTTGAATGATGCGAGTAAACACAGCTGGCAGCCGCGGTGAAACTCGAGCGACAAGAGCGATGCGATAGGAGCGTTTAGAGCGAAGCAAATATTCGCATCGCGTCCGGTGTGAACGTAGCATAACAGTTCATGAGCGTGCTCCCCCGCCCCCTGTCAACACTCGCGACACATGAGTGGCCAGCCTAAACAACAATAAGCGCTGCTTGGCAACCGTGTGTGGCGGCAAAGTACATAGACATTTTGACAGGAGAGATTTAGTTTTGCCGGTATTCAACATATTTTACCAGTCATAGTCCGGTAGTTATTTACACTCTAAGAAGAGTCCTACACAGACATGGCGTCAAAAAGGAGTAATGTGTGGAAATATTTCGACCAGGTTAGTGAGTGCGGTGTAGAGGTCAAACTATGCCAAATTAAACTTATATATACATGCTATACCTTGCTATACCCGCAACCTCCGTTCCATCTGAGAGGGTCTTCTCTACAGCTGGCCTGATTGTGAATCGCCTCCACACATGAAAGCTGTAGGCCTATAGCTGTCAAACTGTGATCACCAGTTCAATACATTTGACAAATTCGACTTGGTTTCTACACTTATTTGAACATGTATGTATTTAGTTCCATTTTTTATTTTATTTTTACCCAATTTTTTTTTTATAGGATATGTACATTTCAGTTAACCGGTTAACCGTTTTTTGGGGGTCGAATATTCGAATATACATTTGCTTTCAAATTCCCATCCCTAGTGTGCATGCACCTCGCGGGAGCGCACACAGCATAAAGCAAAACCTCCCAGACATGTATTGATCTGTACGGTTTGGAAACTATATCATTTCCTTTTGGAGGGCATGCATAACACGGCATAACACCAGAGCCTCGCTGCTTTCAGATTTTTCCGTCATTGATAAATAAAATATTCGGTTAACGCGACCACTGCTGTCCCAGCAACATCAGTACCAAGCGAGAGTTTTTTCCAGAGCAGGGGATATTGTAAATGCCCAAACATCCCAGCTTACAAATACCTGGAAATGTGGACATTCTCATATTCCTAAAAACCTGTCTGATGGTGCTGAGTGAGTGACTTAGTGAGTTTGAGTTGAGTTACTTGAAAAACTAAAGTGAAACTTGATTTATTTTATTGCAGGGTCTGATTATTAAATGTCCTTGTTTATTTGTGAGATGCAGTGGCACAAAGAAAATGCCTACTTTGTTTGGTAGTACTATAGGTACAAAAACACTGGTTTTCTTGTTCCAGTCTGTTACTGTCACCATATGTTTTACACTTTAAAATACTGCTATCGGACTAAAATGCTGTACAAATCAGATTTATTATGTAATAAAGAAACATTTTCAGAGTAAAAATTAGAATTTTTTTTCTTTTCCCTTTATTATTCAATATCGCGATAAATACCGTACCGTGGACTTGTTATTGCGATATTATCGTACCGTGAGTTTTTGGTATCGTTACATCCCTAATCATTTCTATATCATTTCTGAATCAACACATTCAGGTGTGCTGTGCATCTTAACCCCGAGGTGTCTGTAACGTGAGTGCGTTTGTCTCCAATGTCTCCACAGTTTGGGGTTGCCGTGGTGATATCCAACCAGGTGGTGGCGCAGGTGGATGGAGCGGCCATGTTTTCCGCAGATCCAAAGAAACCAATCGGAGGCAACATTATGGCTCACGCCTCCACCACACGGTGAGTGAGGATGGGTGGATGTTTCTACAGTAGAGCTTGATATACACTAACAGACAGAGGCTGCAGCTGATGACATCACAGTTCATGGTTAGGGGACTCGATGACATCACAGTTCATGGTTAGGGGACTCGATGACATCACAGTTCATGGTTAGGGGACTCGATGACATCACAGTTCATGGTTAGGGGACTCGATGACATCACAGTTCATGGTTAGGGGACTCGATGACATCACAGTTCATGGTTAGGGGACTCGATGACATCACAGTTCATGGTTAGGGGACTCGATGACATCACAGTTCATGGTTAGGGGACTCGATGACATCACAGTTCATGGTTAGGGGACTCGATGACATCACAGTTCATGGTTAGGGGACTCGATGACATCACAGTTCATGGTTAGGGGACTCGATGACATCACAGTTCATGGTTAGGGGACTCGATGACATCACAGTTCATGGTTAGGGGACTCGATGACATCACAGTTCATGGTTAGGGGACTCGATGACATCACAGTTCATGGTTAGAGGACTGATCTTAACCGTGCTCTTGTGTTTGCAGTCTGTACCTGAGGAAAGGCCGAGGAGAGACGCGGATCTGTAAAATCTACGACTCGCCCTGCCTGCCCGAGTCTGAGGCCATGTTCGCCATCAACCCTGATGGAGTGGGTGATGCTAAGGACTGAGGTGGGGGGGGCAGGAAGCAGCGGGTGGTAATGAGTTACTGTCACCCCTGCTGACTCATTCTGGACTAAAGTGTTCTGCACCATGCCACCGCCTCCACTCAGAGCCTCAGCTGACAGGGCTTAGGATTTGATGCTGATGGAGAAGGTGGTGCACACTGTGGACCCTCGGCAGAGCAGAGGTGCAACAGCACATTTCCCCCGACATGGGGAACAAGGAGGTTTTCTTTCACTGACTAAGTATCTCCTAGCTGGATTGTTCTGTTAAGAGAAACAGCCTTAGGATTTCATAATGATGATGGTATCTCCATCATTCCAGACAAATCTATCGTCTTAGTTCCCCAAATAAAAATCCCAATTTGACCAGTGTCCGTTGAGCAAATATTAGATCTTGACGTATTAAAGCACGAGATATTAAGTCATTATTAGAAATAGGGTCTCCATTTTTTTTCTGTGTTGAATTAACCTCTGTAGTTTCTCTATGGAGTGGTCACAAAAGATTTTTTGTAAAAACTATTTCTAATATTTTGTGATTTTCTTTGCTAGTTTTGTCTCCGTGGTGTTTCTTATGTCTTTGTGACCGCATTTCTTTAACGCTACACTTTGTTATTTCTCTATTTTCACCTTTGTCAGCTACACTAAAGGTTTGTCTCTTTTCTGTCTTTAGCAGCGCCTTCTGTAAATATAACTTGAAGCTAAATAAAAAATAGTTTTACCATTAAAGTGACTGGCTATTTTTTCATTGTTGGTCCGATGGACGATTACTAGGAAGGGTCTGGTTCTTAATTGATAAAAAAAAATACAATTTTAGAAGATATGAATACCAAAACATTTTATTCAGTTGTATCTGTTGCTTTAGTGCATATTCACTTTCGATACAGGATCAGAATATTAAGGAAATATAACTACCATTTTTTTTTTACAGCAGCAATTGCAAAATTAACCTCAACAAAAATAAATGAATTGAAAACAAAGTGCCATTAAAATGATGTTACATCAGAAATGAATAAACCTGCCAACATACTTCAGAAAGGAACAACACGCAGAGATCAAGGCAGCATATCAACTCAAAGGAAAATTGAAGGTACAAAAATATTGGAATACTTTTCATTCACAACCAAACAGAACTCCAATACAGTTTCTTATACTACCTTTCTATTTACTAAATGAAAAACAAAAGTTTAAGACATGCTCTATCCAAACACTACGTGTTACCATAGCAACCAGTCATTAAGTGTCAGTCATCTCCACAAAACAAACATCTGTCAACCTAGCAGAACAATGGTAGGAAAAAAAGTGTACACTATTCTCTTTAAATATCTTAATCTATGAATATGCTAAATAATTGGGTGTATTCATTATTTTGGTTACCAAAGACCCTTCCCCTTAAAGCTCTAAAACAGCCTGATCAAAGTGCTCCAGCAGCTGCACCAAGCATATCAGTCAGTGAGGGGGGCACGTGTGTTCCACTGGGGGAGGAGGGGGGCACGTCCCCACATGTGTTCCACTGGGGTTTGGGGCATTTCCCTCTGGAGGTATTTAGATTTTCTATATTTCAATTTGATCTCTCTGAGATGCTCTACCAATAACATGTTTCTTGTAATGTGGAGTACTGATCCATTATGAATATGATGCTAAAAAACAAAACCTGTGTTTAAATCACTGATTATCAGTTAAAGGCAAACAAATGGTTAAAAAAACATTAAAGATATATATATTATGTATAGTGATTTTGATTAAATTAAGCCATATTAAAGAAAATAAATATGCATTAATAAACTCCATTTAATTTCACAGTGACAAAGATATCATTATCCACCAAAGAAGAGAAAGAAACTTCTGCCATTAGTGCGGCACATCTGATTGGATGACCACTGATTGGCGGCCTGACTAGCCAATCAGTGCCATCAGCTGGGTGGCTCCGCCCGTTGGATCTCTTTAGAAATGTTGTTTTTCAGATTTTAGTGTCCGTTAAGAGTTGAAGCTCAGCCTCCAGTTTAGACGTTTCATCCTTAAAGAAAGGAAAAAGAAACAACGATAATCATTAGAAGCTCAATGACACATCGGAGGAATGCTTCTGCAGCACAGTGTACACAACTCCCAGTAATCAAAGATGAAACAGAAATATTGAAATGCAGTTTGGTGAATGTTATGGAGTTAAAAGCTCTTACATCATTAGAGTTTGTCGTCATCTTCAGAGCCAGCTGGGTCCAGTTCGTGGCCTCAGAGATGTTCCCCAGCTCCTTGTGACACTGCCAGAGTAACGACATGAAGGTTAGTGCACAGAGAGAAGAGGAATGTGAGCCCAAACTGTTCATCAGAAAGTCCCATTCACATGATATTGCTTGCCTTTAACCATTAAAACCCTCTCGTGTTTCGGCTCAGGTGAAGCCCCTTTCAAAGTTGCTCAGTGGGACATGAAGCCAAAATGTAAAAGTACCGTATCGGGCCCGTAGAGATCGGCGCACGCTCTTAGGGCGTTTTGTAACTTTAGGAATGTTGTGGTGTTGAGCCTGCTTTTAAAAAAAATGATGCTGATCTTTCTAACATGATGAGTGTATTTGGCGTCACGTACTGACACTGAAGCCACAGAGCCACCATTTGCTCACTTCCTGGGGACTTGGCTTCACCTTGCCCTGTCTTTTTCCCTATTTGTACACGCTGATAAATGTAAGATGGAAAGTAGTGCCAACCCTAACTGAAAGCTGTTTCTATTCACACTGTAACCATGGATACAAACAATAATAACGTAGCATGGGTTTGCTACTGGTTTAATGTCTAAATCTCATGATTATGAGACATCATCTGAAGTTTTTCTGACTTCTTAGTGGACTTATGAACATTGGAGAATGCAGTGTACCTGAAGGGGAAGTGGTGCTGATGCCAGCAGTGTGTGTGAACTGACTGACTGATGACTCAGAGCAGAAGGGGAAGTTGTGTTCACTCAAATTGTCATTCCACCATGGTTCAAATCAAAGAAAACTAAAAAAGGCTCTATGTAGCTGCACTCTTTGCAATGCATAAAGTCATCAATATCCTATAGTATTACTGGGCTGAGTGTGTGATGATTACCTTTGCGATGTAGAGTCTGACGGTCTTGGAGAAACCCGGACTGAGCTCCTCTGCCTGAAGAACACAAGACCAAGATTTACTATATCAAACACTGACTTTTAAAATAGTCTCAAATGTCAAGAAAATGAAAAGAAAAACAAAACCAAAGCTGCCAGTTATTTTTCTAAAAGCATTGTGGGTAAGGGGCTCAGAGGTTATTGAGTGTTTTATTGCAGACATTGTTGTGGGTTAGAGGATTTACAAGAGCGCTGAGGAGCAGAGGAGAGGATCTGTTCTGCCAGTGGGTTCACACCGCAGGACAACATACACATGATGAGGGGAAGAAGAAACCTCTCTGCAGAACTCTGGTACCTTCAGGAAGTTCTCAAGCGCGTCACGCAGTGTGGAGGTGGGGGGGGTCTGGTAGAGGGCAGCGGCCGCTTTTTTCTCCAGCCAGTCCAGAGTGGCTACCTACACACACACACACACACACACACACGTCATAAAAACCTTCATATTCCCTTAAGCATGTGTTGACTGAAGTACGAGTGTGGCCATTCAGAACTGGGTTGTGGTGGAATCGTCTTAGGAAGGTTCCATATGGAGTGAAATGACCTGAAAGTACTTCAGTGAAAATGCTGTCCCACAATGCCTTGCAGCTGCAATATTTATCGTGACACAACATTCGCTGCTCACAGAAAGAACCGCTTGTGACCGAGACACATGTATCACTGCATCTGACCAGTTAACAATAACAGCCCCCCCCCTCACCTCATAGCACCATCTGCCCAGCAGGTAGAAACACATGGGGTCATCATCTCGGAGCGCGAGGGCGCGGTCCAGATGCTCCTGAGGGGAAAACAAACGTCATTAAAGCAAACTGTATCTGAAACATACAATGAGCTTAAAGAGCAACTTGCAGGTTTTTGTTTTACTACATTTCTGCTTAACCTTGCCTGAAAATCACAATTAAAAATGTTAATGCAGGATTTGATGTTTTACAAGACATAAGGGCAGGAATTCAGAGGAAAAGGAGCCGTTTTGAGCTCTGCTACTAAAATGTAAAACTACATTGACATTGCATTTCACCATTTGTAATCATGGTGAGCCTGTCAGGACATCGAGTCCACAGTTTCCCTCACGGGAAAAGGACCGGAGCTAGCGTTCGTTCCTGAGTACGTTGTGCATCCACCTCCCTGCAGCACATACTCTCCACAGCTTTATCAGGAAACCGTATTACATCTCTCTCCCCCCCTTCGCTGCTCTCTCTCTCCCCTCCGGTACACAGCACCGTAAGACGTAGTGTGGAGTTGCATTAGGTAACGCGAGATACGGCTGATACGTGCGCATTAGTTTCTGTTATGGATCAGTATCAACAGTCCTGCCAGTAACGTTACTGTATTATCAATACCACTTTAGTTATAGCCTGATATATGATTGCTAACTTTACAATGTTGTGATGTGACTGACGTTAGCTAACATTAACTGTAGCTAACGCCGGTCACTCACCAAGACAGCTGCTCTGTTCTCCACTGGTTCTCCACACACCACAGCTCCATTTCTCTCCGATGGCTGTTATTTCTTCTAATCCTTGGCTGCTCCTGGTCTCTTGGACGCCGAGCAGGCTCATAATTACAATCATATGCATTTGAATATATATTTTCAACCTCATGTGTCAAAACTAGCATTGTGATCCATGTTTATTCATACCTTAAACCGGCCGCTCTCCCCCGTGTTACGTCACACGCGGGAGGTCACGTGCGGAGGCTTTTTTATGCGGAAGTGAAAATGTCTTACAAAAACGCCGCCAGATGTCACTGTAGTGTATATTTCTGTATATTTTTTTGAAAATCTAGTGTATTCATCATTTTCCTACACATTTATTCACTGGTGTCTCTAACCTGCAAGTTGCTCTTTAAGACTCAAATGGTGTGAGTGAGTGAGTGTGTGTGTGTGAGTGTGTGTGTGTGTGTGTGTGTGACCTTTAATATGTGGCTGCTCTTCAGTTTGCTGTGCATGCTCTCATGCTGTGAGGGGAGTCCTGTCAGCACCGCAAACCTGGAGCCAAAAACACAAAGATCAGAATCAGTTTTTAGCAAGTAGGTTTACACATAGGAGGAATTGTATATTACAATTATAAAAGCTATTTAAAAAAAAATGTGTCCTCATGCAATTCATGCTTTATTTCTTCTTTCATTTCTTTTTCAATCTGTAAAAAGTACCAGCTACTTCCATATTTTGACATGGTCATTTATTTTTAAACTATACTGCAACTAAGTTACTTTTTACTTATTGTGTTTTGTTATTAATAACGTGTGCCTTATTTTTTATATAATATGTACAACAACTCTTGCTTTTGTAATACCGTCATTTCCCAGTTGCGGGACAATTAAAGAATTCTATAACAAATTAAGACAAAGACAATATTTACACGATGTGACATCAAAGTACAGCAGCCGGCAGTGGCAGCAATATCCAGAATAAATATATATGTATATATAAATGCAAGTTCTTACCGTTTGTGGCACTCAGCATTCAGGCCGTTCTTCTTCAGGGCTGACTCCGCCTCCTCTCGACCTGAAACAGCAGCTCACAGCTCAGGTACAAAAACCCCCACCCAAGAAAAGGTGGAGACATTCACATTTTCTGCACGTTTGCACACATTGACCAGAATACACTGCTTATGAGTGAGGCAGTAGCTTTGTAAGAAGCCAGTCAGTCTAGTTCTCTTTTTGCAAGGGCCAACTTGCCTTTGAACATGTTATTATGTTCTTAAAATTGGATTTAGCAAAAATATAAACAAGAAACATGTTTTAATGGATGCTTTATTTGACTGGTTCAATGTATTCAATACTCTTAGTCATGTGTGTGTGTGTGTGTGTTACCTTGGTGTGCGTAGGTCTTCTTCTCTTGTTTGTCCTCAGTTGACTCGTACATATCACTGTAGGCCCGAGCCAGTCGCCATAGAAACTCCCTGCTATCTCCGTACTGCACACACGGAGGGAGAGAAAGAGCAGTCAGTGTTTGGGATCGCTAAGTGGTCTAATTGTAATTCATAAATGGATTCCTCTGAATCACAGTATAACGTCAGAGCGTCAGAGCGTCAGATCGTCAGAGCGTCAGAGCGTCAGAGCGTCAGATCGTCAGAACGTCAGAACGTCAGAGCGTCAGAGCGTCAGAGCGTCAGAGCGTCAGAACGTCAGAACGTCAGAGCGTCAGATCGTCAGAGCGTCAGAGCGTCAGAGCGTCAGAGCGTCAGATCGTCAGAACGTCAGAACGTCAGAGCGTCAGATCGTCAGAGCGTCAGAGCGTCAGAGCGTCAGAGCGTCAGAGCGTCAGAACGTCAGAGCGTCAGAGCGTCAGATCGTCAGAGCGTCAGAGCGTCAGAGCGTCAGAGCGTCAGAGCGTCAGAGCGTCAGATCGTCAGAGCGTCAGAGCGTCAGAGCGTCAGAGCGTCAGATCGTCAGATCGTCAGATCGTCAGAGCGTCAGATCGTCAGAGCGTCAGAGCGTCAGAGCGTCAGAGCGTCAGATCGTCAGAGCGTCAGATCGTCAGATCGTCAGATCGTCAGAGCGTCAGAGCGTCAGAGCGTCAGAGCGTCAGAGCGTCAGATCGTCAGATCGTCAGAGCGTCAGATCGTCAGATCGTCAGAGCGTCAGATCGTCAGAGCGTCAGAGCGTCAGAGCGTCAGAGCGTCAGAGCGTCAGAGCGTCAGAGCGTCAGAGCGTCAGATCTCAGAGCGTCAGAGCAGAGCGTCAGAGCGTCAGAGCGTCAGATCGTCAGAGCGTCAGAGTCGTCAGATCGTCAGAGCGTCAGAGCGTCAGATCGTCGAGCGTCAGATCGTCAGATCGTCAGAGCGTCAGATCGTCAGAGCGTAGAGCGTCAGATCGTCAGATCGTCAGGCGTCATGAGCGTCAGAGCGTCAGAGCGTCAATCGTCAGATCGTCAGATCGTCAGAGCGTCGATCGTCAGAGCGTCAGAGCGTCAGATCGTCAGATCGTCAGATCGTCAGAGCGTCAGAGCGTCAGATCGTCAGAGCGTCAAGCGTCAGAGCGTCAGATCGTCAGGATCGTCAGAGCGTCAGAGAGTCAGAGCGTCAGAGAGTCGGAGCGTCAGAGCGTCAGAGCGTCAGAGAGTCCGAGCGTCAGAGAGTCGGAGCGTCAGAGAGTCAGAGAGTCAGAGAGTCCGAGCGTCAGAGCGTCAGAGCGTCAGAGCGTCAGATCGTCATGAGCGTCTAGATCGTCAGATCGTCAGAGCGTCAGATCGTCAGATCGTCAGAGCGTCAGATCGTCAGATCCAGTCTCAGAGCGTCAGAGCGTCAGATCGTCAGAGCGTCAGATCGTCAAGCGTCAGATCGGTCAGAGCGTCAGATCGTCAGACCGTCAGAGCGTCAGATCGTCAGATCGTCAGATCGGTCAGAGCGTCAGATCGTCAGAGCGTCAGATCGTCAGATCGTCAGAGACGTCAGAGCGTCAGATCGTCAGATGCGTCAGAGTCGTCAGATCGTCAGATCGTCAGAGCGTCAGATCGTCAGGATCGTCAGAGCGTCAGATCGTCAGATCGTCAGAGGCTCAGAGCGTCAGATCGTCAGATCGTCAGAGCGTCAGATCGTCAGAGCGTCAATCGTCAGAGCGTCAGCGTCAGATCGTCAGATCGTCAGAGCGTCAGAGCGTCAGCGAGCGTCAGAGCGTCAGATCGTCAGATCGTCAGAGCGTCAGATCGTCAGAGCGTCAGAGCGTCAGATCGTCAGATCGTCAGAGCGTCAGAGCGTCAGATCGTCAGAGCGTCAGAGCGTCAGATCGTCAGAGCGTCAGAGCGTACGATCGTCCAGATCCGTCAGAGAGTCAGATCGTCAGGCGTCATATCGTCAGAGGTCAGATCGTCAGATCGTCAGGAGGTCCGATCCGCAGAGCGTCAGATCCGTCAGAGCGTCAGAGCGGTCAGATCGTCAGAGCGTCAGATCGTCAGAGCGTCAGATCTGTCAGGGTCAGATCGTAAGAGCGTCAGATCGTCAGAGCGTCAGAATCGTCAGATCGGTCAGAGCGTCAGATCGTCAGATCGTCAGATCGTCAGAGCGTCAGATCGTCAGAGCGTCAGATCGTCAGATCCGTCAGAGCGTCCAGATCGTTCATAGGGGAATCGTCAGAGGGGGGGGGAGGGGTCGTCAGAGCGTCAGATCGTCAGAGAGTCAGATCGCTCAGATCGTCAGATCGTCAGAGCGTCAGAGCGTCATGAGCGTCAGAGAGTCAGATCGTCAGATCGTCAGATCGTCAGAGCGTCAGAGCGTCAGAGCGTCAGATCGTCAGATCGTCAGATCGTCAGATCGTCAGAGCGTCAGAGCGTCAGAGCGTTCAGATCGTCAGATCGTCAGAGCGTTCAGAGCGTCAGAGCGTCAGAGCGTCAGAGCGTCAGAGCGTCAGAGCGTCAGATCGTCAGAGCGTCAGAGCGTCAGAGCGTCAGAGCGTCAGAGCGTCAGATCGTCAGAACGTCAGAACGTCAGAGCGTCAGAGCGTCAGAGCGTCAGAGCGTCAGATCGTCAGATCGTCAGAGCGTCAGAGCGTCAGAACGTCAGAGCGTCAGATCGTCAGAGCGTCAGAGCGTCAGAGCGTCAGAATCGTCAGAGCGTCAGAGCGTCAGAGCGTCAGATCGTCAGATCGTCAGATCGTCAGAGCGTCAGAGCGTCAGAGCGTCAGATCGTCAGAGCGTCAGATCGTCAGATCGTCAGATCGTCAGAGCGTCAGATCGTCAGATCGTCAGATCGTCAGAGCGTCAGAGCGTCAGAGCGTCAGATCGTCAGAGCGTCAGATCGTCAGATCGTCAGAGCGTCAGAGCGTCAGAGCGTCAGAGCGTCAGAGCGTCAGAGCGTCAGATCGTCAGATCGTCAGATCGTCAGAGCGTCAGAGCGTCAGATCGTCAGATCGTCAGAGCGTCAGAGCGTCAGAGCGTCAGAGCGTCAGAGCGTCAGAGCGTCAGAGCGTCAGATCGTCAGATCGTCAGAGCGTCAGAGCGTCAGAGCGTCAGAGCGTCAGAGCGTCAGAGCGTCAGAGCGTCAGATCGTCAGATCGTCAGATCGTCAGAGCGTCAGATCGTCAGATCGTCAGATCGTCAGAGCGTCAGAGCGTCAGATCGTCAGAACGTCAGAACGTCTTCATCCCACCAAATAGGAATCTGACAGCTCCAGTCATTTCATAGAGCATCTTTTTTTAATATGAAAGATCACATTTATGCATAGCTAAGTAAACCTAATTATTCTGTTTCATTGCTTTCTCAGCATGGATTTAAAAGTAATAAACTAGAAACCAATGTGTAGCTTAAAAGCACGTTTTTAGTTTTGTCTCCTTTTGTACATGAGTACAGTATTTGAGTAAATGTACTTTGTTACTCTCCAACACAAACAGAGGATCAAACATAGGAACGTTTTTCATTCTCACTGGCTGATTCCCCCCCATATGGTTTCCCCAAGCTATAGAAGAGGTGATATTACTTCAGCAGGGCTCGACATTAAATGGCCCGCTGGCCCGGAAGCACTATTTAGACACCCCGGGCAGCATAACGTACTTTCCACTTGCCCGCTCGGGCCACAAAAAATATTGCTTTAAAAAAAAAAAAATGGTCCTGTGGTGTTGGTATTTTGACTAGCAATTTTGTCAAATTGTTTCGTTTATCAACGCTACAACATAGTGTTTCGTGAGTCAGTTGTCATTGTTGGGTGAAAAGCAAACAGCTGTTTGCTGCGGAGTGCAGGAAAAAAAAGAAAGTTTCAGCAGCTTGATCGATGGAGTTGGCTTCTAGTGGTGCAGTGACGCGTCCTAAAACCCTTTTATAATCTATCGATTAGATTTATGATTCGAAAATTATAAAAGTAGGGTAGACATGTGGAGATTATCCGGCTGAACAAAACGTGCATTTATCAAACAGGTTTGTTTTCCACAGACCTTATTTCCAGTTATTTTCCAAAACCCTGTGGAGAAATCCCATTGCTTTCTGTCGAGGGAACCAGCAGCTTACTTCCTGGTTTTAGGATGCGTCACTGGCTGCACCTCTCAATATGATGCCAATATAAACAAGGCCTTCTGTCGGCTCTGTACATCAATGCCGACCTATGCTGACAAGTAAGTGAAGAGTAGACAATATAAAGGTATTGGCTATAGGGAAATGTCCCAGCAGTTTAGGATAAAGAAGGTTCTAATCTAATCAATTACATAGCCATTACATTTCTAACTCCTGATGACAGGAAGGCAGAAAATGCATTATACAAATAATAATACTCAGAATAATAGCAGACATTTTTTAACAATGACCACAATATCATTATTTTAATAAACCAAATATGAACAATTGAGGAAAATGAGGAAGAACTGATGATTAAAATGTTGTAGTACAAGTAATAATGTAGTTTGTGCATAAATTACTATTGCAACAAATGTGTTAATTTTCTTCATTATTAGTCGATTTTTTTGGACGAATGCTCCGGGCCAGTGGTTACAATGGTGGGGCCAGTGATAATACAAGTCCACCGGCCTGGGGCGGTGGAATTTTACCCTTAATGTCTACCCCTGTTCAGCCTTGTTAACATGGGGACGGCGACGTTCTCTTTATACGTTTATACGCAGAGCTACATCTGAACTGGGTTGGTAAAAGGATGGAGGCCTCCTGTCCTCACCTCTGCTCTGTTGTCCAGCAGCAGTCTGAAGCCCTCGGCCTTCAGACGGGCGTCCCCCGTGTGCAGGACGTCACTCTGAGCCAGGAGGAGAGCCAGCTCCCCACTGGGGACTTCAGTCAGCAGCGTCAGCCCCCCCTTCTCGTCCTCCTCCTCCTCCTCGTCCTCCTCCTCCAGCCCTCGCTCCTCTGCCTCCTCCTCCTGGGAGTGTTCCTGGCGGAGGGTGAGGACGGTGGCGCAGCTCTGGTCCTCGTCTTCCTCAGACTCCTGCTCCGGCTCCCGCCGCCCCTCCCTGTCTGTGTCTCTGTCTGTGTAGTCCGACTCAGCGTAGGCCGTCGAGTACCTGCGACCAACATCCTTTTATTTAGGGATTGATTTATTTGGTGATTTCAATTATTAAGAAATGTATTCCAATAACCACACATTTGGAATTTCACATGATATTGATCTATTCAATTATTATATTTGTTCTTTTGATAACTGGACTGGAACTTTCTTCCCACTGTACATTTAATATGCTATTCCTTGCTCACTAAATGTAATAATATCCTACTTTTAAATGGTGTTCGCTGTAAATTGGCCCTTCAGTGTTTATTTGACAGATAGTCTTCATATATTCATCTTTCACTGTCAAGTTGTATATCTTACTTTTTAGTTCTGTTTTCTTTTTTATTTTGAGATGTTTCTAGTTGTTCATTTTCGACTTTTAATTGTCACATTATTTGCAATGCCTTGTTTTACCATGCTGCGGTGAGAAAGACCTGCCCTACATCCCATCTTATGGTTTATTCTGCATACAGTACATTTCAAAAGGCAGTGGCGAACCGTGTCTATCACAACAGGACATTATAATGTCTTTTCATTGAATTGTCGTCTTGAAAAGGGTACTCACAACAACTTCCTCTTCACCTGTTGCACTTGTCATTTCAACGTTAAAAACAATAAAACGGCATGAATTGCTTCGTGGCATTCATCTATCATCTGTCTCGAGCCAGTTAACTAGCGGGCCTTCTAGAATACCCTGGAACCGAGGGGAACTCTGAAAGAATACGCCCATTGGCTACAAATCAATATATGATTGGTTGATCAAACTGTCAGTCCAAACGTACGCTCTCATTCAGTGCAACGACCAGGGCTTTCTATCAAGGATGTAGAATACCTTGGTTGAAGGATATTCTACCCAGAGACCCAGAACAAGATCTGATTGGTTGCTTTCTTTTCTAACACAAAACCACTGAAATGCGTAGCATGGTCCAAGAAGGACAAACAAATCAACGTAACACTGTAATATTACAGATCAACAACACGGATACAATTCTCATTTATTCATTTTATTTATATAATTAAATCGATTTTTTGTTTGTTTTATCTGAGTGTTCTGAATACCTTGAAGGCCCTGGCGGTTCGCCACTGATAAAAGGTCAGTTCACCCCTATGAGGAAAAACAAACTCTTCCCTCGAGTGGATCTTTCTGCAGATTAGGGCTGAACGATATATCGTGTCATGGCGATAACCGCGATATGCGCGATATTCACATCGCAGGGATGTGCGATTTTATAAAAAATATGTATTAATATTTTATTTTTCTTATTTTAGGACGTGCGATATTAAGTAGGTAAATTAACTCAAACACGTCATGTTACAATTATTTTGCTGCTTGCTACAAAAGGAAACTTGCGCGGCTCTCATGTCAGGGGTACTTGAGTGAGTGACATGCAGGCTCTGCATGCACAGCAAACCACCAATCACAATCATTCTTGATCAGATCACAGCAGGCCCCGCCCCACTAGTTTGCAGACCATCAAAACACCGGTAAAAAATGAGTGAGGCACAGGAGGGCAATACCGGCGAGAATAAAGATTTACTTCCAAAAAGAAAAGCAACATCTGCCATCTGGAACTATTTTGGATACAAAAAGGTTCTTCTCTTCTTCCTTCACAGATGAACCCCCTTATTTGAGGGTAAGCAACATGACATGTTAGATCATGACTTAAGCAGGGCTCAACGCTAACTTTTAAAAGTGGTTACCAGGCTGGCAACCAGGCATCAGCTTTTGGTTGCCAAAACTGTAAATACGGTTGCCATTTTTAGACACCTTATATTTTAAATAATTAAGATACTATACAGTTATACATCAACTTAATAATGAACATGTGACACAAAATAATGTTTAAATGCTTTACAATAAGTAATTAACACAATTATTTGAAACTTAAGTGGTAGGAAACTTGTCCACCCTCAATTGCTGGTATACAAAATACCAGTAGTGCAGCTGTTGTCATGTTCTTCACAGATCCCTCACAAATGAATTGAGCAAGTCACTAGTTTCTTGGTCATCCGTTGTCTCCCTTTCAAATATGGGTTTTCTTGACCTTTGTCAAGACCCACTGGCCCTTCAGCATTGAAGTCTAGGATTGGCCAGACTAATACATTTCTAATGTTAAATAAATAATAATAATAATAATAATCCTTATATTTATTATAGCGCTTTATCAAAGACTCTCAAAGCGCTTTACAAATACACATTACACATACAGATCATACATGTAATGGTCATCTACTGTGGACAATACCCACAGGAGCAAATTCGGGTGAAGTGTCTTGCCCAAGGACACAACGGCCTGACGCAGTGGAGCGGGTTTCGAACTGGAGTTCCCCAACGCCCCCTTGATCTGATGATCAAACGCACAGACCACTGCGCCACCCGTCCCCTGAGGAAAAACCATTCACGGTTAAGAATTAGATATGAATTATTAATGCTGTAAATTACCTTCAATATGTCTAACTATATTTAAAATGTGTTACCTTTTTATAGAAGTGATTGTAATTTTATGCTAATATTTTCCTATGGTAAAGTTTCGTTTTGCACTTTTATTTTGGTAGTAATAAGATCGAGACTCTTATTTTGAAGGAACTTTTACCGGAAGTGAATGGACAACATTCCTCTTTGCTTTTCGTTCGGGTTTACCTTGCGTTTCATCAGTTGAATCACTTTGAACATTCGTTTGAGATGTTGAAGGGTTGGCGGAATTTTTTACCCCACAGTCAAACAACTTAATTTGCTTCGCCATTTTTTGTAAAACAAACACGCGGCGCACCCATGGGGGCACCGCGCACGCGAGTAAACGTGCATCGCTTTCGGGCTCCATAATCACACCAATGCACGTGCAACTTAAGTCTCAGGTTCCGACTGGTCAGAACAATAATTAAATATCACTCTGAATACAACAAATAATTAACATTTATCTATTTTGGGGTGCACATTTAGCTGTTTGCTGTCCTTATTTCTTTATGTTAAAAACTGGTTGGCAACCAAAGGCCAAGAAGTGGTTGACATTTTTTCTGAATGGTTGCCAATGGCAACCTGGCAACCGTTACTGTGGAGCCCTGTTAAGGTATGATGAGTCAACCAGTTAAGATCCAGACGTCCGTGACTAAAATCCTTCATCCGGTTAAATATAGTTAAAAAAAACGCAATATATATCGCAGGGTAAAAAAATATCGCAATGTCAGTTTTTTTCAATATCATGCAGCCCTACTGCAGATACATTTCTTTGACTTGCTCAGGTTTTAATATATCTGCACCAGTAAGATGGAAGTGAATGAAATGGGCTTAAAGGGTCTTATTCCTCATTAGAGAGCAGTCTCTATGAAACTGTTCACAGTCTCACAGTCTGTCATTGTGTTGGTGAGTTAGTGGATGTATCTGATGGAGCTTGTTAAGAGGCCTTTACTAACCCCAACAGTTGATCCTTCGTAATGTAACATGACTACTCGACCCACAGATTATTACTCCAGGCTTCTACGGGTGTCAACAATTAAAATGATATTTGATTTGCACCACAAACCAAGGCCACTAACAAGATCACAACTTTTAAGATGCACTAATTAATATGTTCCAACATATGACAATGGATCAAATTACTACAAAACAACCCAGAGGAGTATTGCTAAAACAATCAATAAAACCAGCTTTAAGAGATCTTGCTGCTGATCCATCATATTAATTAGGATATTATGTGATTGTGCACCAGGTATAAGCAGTGGTGCCCCAAGACACTCTGGGGGCCCCAGGCAGAACAGACATGCCACCCAACACATCAAGCACAACCGGCAGACGTACCCTCCTTCGCTGGTCTCATATGCGCTGGCCATACCCTGGCTGGCAGTGAAATAGATGGAGCTGGAGCCGGTGGACTCGGTGCGCTCCCTGTGGACCACGTGGCGCCGCCGACGCACCCGCTGACTTTCCTCCACTCCCTTCCTGAATGTGGGGAAGAAGGAACAAACATTCACGTTAGCTTCACAACACCAAGGTGGAGGACCAGTCCCACTTTAAAGATTCGCTCTCTTCGATTTCATTTTTTTTAACATGTTTTTTACTAGATGTGGGAAATAAGGTGTTCAGCTTTTATTTTACGACATAAAATACATCCTTAAACACCCCACTCATGAATGTCTGAAGCGTGTAGGTGTCTCCAAAAAGGCAGCCTCTAACAAGGGACTGAGCCGCCTTAAGCTTAGCGGTAATGACATGAAATCATGCGACTTGTGGTTGCTTCATACAATTTCAGAGCATACAATTGTATCCCCCTTCTGAGCAGTTTCAGGTCAATCCTTAGTAACTGATCCTTACATGTGTCATGACTTTGACGTGGTTGCTTAATATTGTGCCATAAAGTTACTTTTTTGGGACAAGAGCAAATACATTACTTTGTAGGTCTCTTATTAGTGTCATTAGTAAGCAACTCTATTATTTTTTTAAACTTTTATTCATGATCTATTTTCAATTTTAAATCATCAAATATTGATAATGTCCGATATAATTCCTTACTTTCCGTAATGCCCATTGATTGAAATACAAAACAAAATGAAATGCAACATTCCCCAGATATATAGCCTGGAAATGATAAACCTTATTTGAAATCAAAGGATCAATACAATACAGCTTTATTTATAGAGCACTTTAAACCTCCAGGCCAAAGTGCTGTACAGTCAAATAAACAAACAAAACATACAAAAAGCAACACAGCTCAGCTCACACTCCATAAAACAAGTACAAGTAAAAACAATAGACAATTTAATAAAAGCAACGCTAATGTTAATTAGTGTTAATACGCTAAGGAGAAGAGGTGGGTTTTAAGAAGCGATTTAAAAGCAGGCAGTAGGGCTGTGCGATTATGGCAAAAATCATAATCACGATTATTTGGGTCAATAATTGATATCACGATTATTTTGACGATTATTCATTGACCATTTATTGAACTTTAAAACAAATAATATTTTACCAATAAACAAGATCAATAAATGTGTTGGAGCGCACTTCCAAAACCATACTAAACATATATTAATATGATAAATAAAAATAAATTAGACCAAAATAAATGAAATCAAACATGTTGCAGTGCACTGTCACAACCTACTGAAAACTCCTTAACATATAGCCAACATTTTGGTTCAACATATTCCACTCAGTTAAACGTTGAAGGCTGGCCAACCGTCATGGTCCAGAAGTAACAGGAAATAAATGTTGAACTACAATTTAAGACCAAATAAAAATGTTTAGGCCACCATGGCAAATGCTGGTAGGGCTGCTCATGTCATCTCTTAAAGATTTTTTGCAAGAAACACCAGGCTGTTTACATGGTCTGGTTTCAGAGATGAGCGCAGGCAGGTGACAATATTGCCACCTGTACTGAAGACCCTCTCTGAAGAGGAACTTGTGGCAGTGCTGCCACATATGACACAGGACAAAAGGAAAGACTCTGAACCCTTTCTTTGCCATTATATAAAAATAGTGTTGCTACAAAAGTATAAATTAGGCTTACTAATAAGACAACTCAGATCTGAAGCTACACAGTAATCAGCTGCAACAGTGCAATAAAAAAGACAACATTAATAGAATCAAACCCTTTTTTTGTTGCATTTTATTAGAGTATAAAAAGAAATGCCTTTAAAATAGGATGCAAGCAACACTAGTTTCTGAACTGATAATAGACTATAATCAATTTAAACAGAACAGATCTTAATGTTTGCATTCTTATACCATTTTGTACAATAATTATCATGAATAAGTTCAAACAAACTAAAACTTACAGCAGATTAATAACGGTATCTAAATTGAGTTTTTATTATATCAAAAACCTGTTGAAATGCTACTGTTATTTTGACTGTCCCACAAAAGCGCGTCGGCAGCCTCCAGGAATGCTTCTTTCATAACTTCGCCATCTTTGAAAGACTTCATGTGTTTCGCAAGAACGTGACTGACACGATAAGATGCTATGGCAGCAGCCTTGCTCTTGTTGTTGGGCCTGGTGGAAATGGACTGCTGTGCATTTAGCTGTCCTTTCAGGCCCCTCCCCTTTTTGGGAGCGTAGGGCTGAATTAGGAGGGAATTCCGTCTCGTAGCGTTTGTGCACTGTTTTGAAATGTCGCTCCTAAATTACCCTTCTTCGATAAAGCCATCATTCGATGAGACAGATGGACTTTGAATTGGAATAGATACAAAAATAATTATCCTCCCACTCGGAGGGAAAATTATAAATTTTGGGCTTTTTTGCTTCTGCCATAATTGCGGTCTTGTGTGTGTGCGGACTGTCACTCCTGTTGACCATCCATGCTGTTGACACGGACAACGTCAGCGAACTAGTGCACTGCTCACCAGCCACGCCCCGACACATAGGGTGAGGCCGGCCAATCACAAAGCTTTGATGCGTTCAAGTGCATTATTCTGGCACGGGAACATTATGTTACAGGACATTAACGATAAAACAGAATATTGTTGTTCTATTTTTAGACACATCTCGCGATCGACTGGGAATCTCCCCGCGACCCTTCTTTTTAACTAGTTGCTGCTCTTGTTCTGACATCTTCGCTTGCGCTGAACACTCACAACACATGTCACTCCCACGTGGCCGAGTGGGCTTTTAGGGAGGGGCGAAAGCGCACCCAGCAAAATAATCGTATTTTGTCAATTATGCTGTTTTCCTAATCGTCGCAAGCCATAATCGTAATCGCGATTAAAATACGATTAATTGCACAGCCCTAGCAGGCAGTGTGGAGGCCTGTCTGATGGGCAGGGGCAGATCGTTCCACAGTGTGTGAGCCTGTCTGATGGGCAGGGGCAGCAACGGCCCCCTCTGAGCTTTGACTTGGTTCTGGGTAGGGATCGACCGATGTGGCTTTTTCAAGGCCGATACCGATACCGATTATTAGTAATCAAGGAGACCGATAACCGATATTTGGAACCGATATACATTTGCAGTAAAATCAGAAAATCTTGGTGTCAAAATGTAGAATAACACAAACTCCAACATAACTCAACACAACTTCTTTGAAATGCATTTAAGCATATATTATGTTTAATGAACTTTTAAACATCTTACAACTGGTTTCCTCTCTGTGCCCTTTTCTTTAGTGCAGCCATCTGCAATGAGTTAGAGAGAGACAAGAAGTGGGGCTGCAGGCTGACATGCTTAACTAACAATAATGCTTAAGTTATTATATCAAAACAATGCCTGTCTATCTAGCATAAAATCCCAATAAGCTGCTTGCAACTGCAAAACACTAGTGCTAGCTAATGTTTTGCAAAGTATTAAAAGTGAGGCTATTACAGTAGACCTAACGTTAGTCTAGTAGCCTCACTTCTAATATTTTGCTAAACATTTGCTAGATACATGTTGGCCAGCTAATGAGCTTCACATATCAACCTGAAAAACTGTGAGGCTCCACTAAAATGTATTGGCAGCCAGTGGAGCAAAGCCAAAATGGGGGAAATGTGGTCATATTTCCGTGTGCCAGTTAAAAGCCTTGCTGCGGCATTTTGCACCCGCTGCAGACGAGTGAGGGAGGACCCACTGACCCCCATGTAGAGAGAGTTACAGTAATCCAGCCGAGTGGTGACAAAGGCGTGGATTACTTAGAAAAGGTTTTATTTTGGCTAGCTGCCTCAGGTGATAAAAGCTTGTTTTTACCACAGATTTAATCTCAAGTTTTAGTTCAGGGTCTATTTTAAGGTTCGTAATGGTGGGCTTGGTTTACTGAGCCAGGGAACCCAAGTCTACAGAAGTGGTGCCAGTGGTGCCACCAAAAACCAAATCCTTCCTTTTTAGTGGGACATAAATCTGGCTATCATCAGTATAGCAGTGGAATGCGATGCCGTGCTTTCTAAGTATGGACCCAAGAGGGAGCAAATAGAGGGAGAATAGCAGGGGGCCTAATGCTGAGCCCTGTGGGACCCCATACAGGAGTGGAGCAGAGGATGACTCGGAGACACCAAGGCTGACAGAGAAAGTTCTGTCCTTCAGATATGACCTGAACCATTCCAGGGCTTTCCCCTCAATGCCCACCCACTGCTCCAAGCGAGAGATCAGGATGTCATGGTCGACTGTACTCCAGGGTACTAAGTTCAAGTAAGATATTGTTGATGAGAAGAGTGTTTCATAGAAGCCCTGGTATGATACATAATATATACATTAATTAGGCGCTTTCTGCACCAGGAAAACCACTATATAAATAACATGTATTATATTATTATTATTATTATTATAAAGGCTAAGTAGGTCAGAGTCAGACGCTTCACATCACCACGGCAACTCACTTGACATCCTGGATGATCTGCATGGCAATGTCCTGCAGCCCCCCCCCTCAGCTCGGCCACCTCTGAGCGCAGTGAGGACACACAGCTCAGCACCTCATCCAGCTGGTTCCTCACCTCCAGCTGCTGCTCTGCTGACAGGCCCTGCACCGCAGCCTGCACCGCCGCCAGAGCCTGCTGCTGGGCCTCCGCCTCTGCAGGGGGGGGGCAGGACATGGAGGATGAGGGTAAGGCTGCATAACTTAGAAAAAATGACTAATTGCAATTTCATTATGATTCGCAGTAGTAGAACAATTATAAATTACATTATTCACATAATTATTCAAATATAGGCCTATATTAAAAATGATCATTGGATTATTTTAATTTGAACAATAATGTTTGTATTATGGCTGGGAAATAGTTTGAAGGATGTCATATCTCTGCAGCTCCACCTAATACTTAATTCAGGATGATAGTTTCACATATGTTGTCTTTACCAAATGTTGCACTTACTAGGAAATGGATACTGCACTACATCATATTGAGATTTTGATAAAATACCAATTTATTGTGGATGCAGAAGGCAAGAAAAAGGTAGCTTTGAAGGAGGGCTGCAGTAAAAGTACCTACTATGTTTATCTAATTATCTTTACTCTAAAAAAGAGAGGTGAAAGGTCATATGCACAGCAGGCACAGACTGGAGCTCGAGTATGCTCAACTCATGCTTATCTCTTCCATCTAAACATGTTAAGTTTCATATTAAATGTTTAGGGGATTACAGTGCTTTTAATAAGATATCAACACTCAGGATATTTGTCATTTACTGGACACGGACAGTAAACTGAAATTGATCTAAAATAAATACCAATTTGAAAGCCTCAAAATAAACTAAATCATCGATAGAAAAACACTAATTGCTCTCAGCTGTGGTGGTCCAGAACTGCAATGCATTTAGGGGAAAATAACAGGAACGTGCCAAAGTCTATAAAGTTGCCATGTTGGGTATATGACTCATCACCATAACTCAAGCGACATTTACCTTCAGTCCCTGAATTCGTATTACGCAGTTGGAACCATGCCTCTCGCTCACACACTAACATGCTTCTGACAGTCAGTGTCAGGCACTGAGTAACCCACCTTGAGCCTCCAGAGTCCCCAGCAGCACAGCTTCCCCCGCCCCGTCTAACAGCGGCCTGGCTTCCAGCACCAGTCTCTGGGCTCTTATCCTGCTGATCTCCTTGTAGATGATGTAGGCGACCAAGCCACAGCCTGCTGTAGCTGCGACAGCAAGCCCCACGAGCCCACTCCTCCCGAGCTGCGCGTTCATCTCTGCACGCTCAGCTAGTCGTTTAACAGTTTACGGTACTAATTTAGCTCTGCTTACATACGTCACCAACCATTGTCTACCTGTAACTTATTTCAGGATACAAACGACATGCCTCAAGCCGCTGGACGTATATTATCTCAGTTCCGAAAAGATGCTTGACAGGGGGCACGCTCACTGCTAGCACGTTAGCCAAGTGTCATTAGCCTGTGACTGTAATAGCCTCCACTGGCCAATAACACAAAAATATAAGCTTGACGCAAATGTTACAATTCTCCTTTAGACCTGTCCTAGTAATAATTAAAGACGAAACGTTTAAAAATAATAAACAAAACGGTTTGTTTACATCTTATGAAGGTATTTAGTCGACTAGCAGCTATGAAATGTCAAACGTAACTGCATCACATCAGCACCAACGAACGAGGCGAGCGCATGGGGACACAACTTCCTGCTCCAATTTCCAAAATAAAAGATGTTGTCGAGAGGGCTGCATTATTATGTATAATATTAGGTAGTATGTCAACATTATACAACTAAGTAGACACAGTGGAGAGTGTAACTCAGTACATTTACTCAAGTACTTTTACTTTACTACATTTTGGAGGAAATGTTTTAGTAACGAGCTACTAGGTATGGATTAATAGTACAGAATATAAATCAACGTATTAATCATTATGTATTACTATAGGTTAAACTACTAGGAAGTATATCAATAATTTAAATAATCTACCACTTTACCAAGTGCAACATTGACATTAATACTAAATAATAATAATAATAATAATAATAATAATATATAATATACTATAAGCAGACTCATCTCTGGTGGGGACGAGTCTGCCTAGGTGGGAGATGGACCATATGGTGACCTGGTGCAGGAACAACCACCTGGAGCTCAATGCTCTCAAGACAATGGAGATGGTTGTGGACTTCACGAAGAATGCAATTTCACCACAGCCTGCACGCCTCCAGCCTGCCTCCAGGACCCTGAGGCGGGCAGGGAAGATAGTGGGCAACCCCTCCCACCCTGGACACAAACTGTTCTCAACACTGAAAGATACAAACTCGCGACGTTATCAACAAAAACCTACATCAAAACATGTGGCGCTAGGTAGCCACAACCGCTAACATGGCTTAGGTGGGTTACCTTGGTCAACACTGGTCTTCAATGGCATTACAACGACAAAAACGATGCTGTAGTTAATCCATAGGTTAATATCCAATGTGACTGTGTCCCCTTTTAAATGTTCTGATAATCTATAAGGTTTAGCGTTTCCGTTTCTAGAAGTCAGAGTAGGGATATTCCTACCCTCTGCAACAAGATTGCATGCGGAGAGACCATAGACTGTATATATAAATGGACTTAGGGTCCGTGACGTCACCCATAGGATTCTGCAGAGTTGCCGTGAAGCCCTTAGTAGGCGGAGTCGGCCACTAACGGCTCGACAGTGACGTCAGAGTTCAACTCCCGTCTGTTCCAGCCCGCTCCAAATAAGGGCAAAGAGGCGGAGCCGAGGCGGGACCTGCTGCCACCGAGCTGAAAGTTCCAGAGCTAGCTGAAGCTACCAAGCTAAGCTAACATGCTCCCCATCTGCACGCTGCCGTCGCATTTTACGTTTCTAAGGTAAGCGGACATGAAACTATAAATAATAATCTAAGTTATTGAGTTTTTAGCATAATACTTCAGAATCTTAAAACCCCTTAACGTTTGTATGCAATTGTGCTAAATTCAACACTGGAATCAAGCAAATATTAATATGTTTGCATGACATTAGTTATTTATATTTTGATATCACTTAACTATACGTTTAATACATTTAAGTCAAGCTAAGGTACATGTGATGGTAGCTAGTTAGTGCTCTTACCTGTGAGGCCTCCTCCAAACAGCATAATAACCAGACTATATCATTAAAACTAAGTACCAGTTCTAGATCCTGACTTTAGACAAACAATTCAAAAGATAAAATGTATTTAAAGACCAATCTTTATTTGAATGTGCCTCTTAACCTGAGATATTAGTTATACAGTAATAGTATTGACAATCAAAAAAAACTGAGCAACTCAACAGTCAACTTTATGTTTCTTATTGTCTAAAGCATTTATTATTTTCATTTTCCCAATCTCATATTCAGTGTGGACGGATTGAGACAGCATGGTGTCCAGAGAGCAGGAGAGATTTCAGGGATAAACCTCCGTGTGATGGACGTCCTGTCTGTTGGTTTGGAGAGGACTGAGGGTCTTTCCTCTGCGAGGAGGACTGAGGGTCTTTCCTCTGCGAGGAGGACCAGGGCTGATGAAGGAGCCCATGCTGGGCAAAGCTGATACCAACTGCACAGGCCTAGTCTGTCACTTTATTTGACTAAATGTGTTTACTTATACATTTAATAGGTTTACACCTTCTGTCCATATGTGCTTTTGGTTCACATTTCAATAAATTGTATTTGTATTTGCACTCCTTTTGTCCATTATTCTTACTGAAAATGTTAGATTACACATTCACATCTGACTGAAGATTGGCCCCATTTATTTGTAACGTTGCAAAACAAGGTACATGTTGTGAAGCTCATAAAGTGAGGCAAATAGAAATAATCAGCTGATGGAGTGTAGATGTGGAAATAGCTGCATTCGATCAGCTGACTGTTTTTACAATAAAAGTAGTTTCTTAGTGAATGTCCTGTACTGGTCTTAAAATCTCATAACATCAGCTTTTAATGTTCCTCTTGGATGTTCTTCTTGACCCTCAAAGAAGGAGAAAATGTCGTGTCTTTCAGGCATGTCCTTTCCTAACAAAAATAAAACATATTATTGCAGAACAAGTGTATTATTTATGAAAGCGGTGTGTTTGTGTGTTTAGGGGCTGTAGATATAATTATTTTGTAATTGTAATGTTTTTTTTTTATTTCAACAATGAGCTACAAAGACAATCAGATTATGAACAACATGAATAACAGTATGAAGTTCATCAACATTGAAATATATGTTATTATCAAAATAATATTTAACTGTTATCAAAACGTAGTGCAACTGTAGAAGCTTGCTCTGTTGTCTCACTGAAAGAATCACTTTTACCACGTTTTTTACAGACAATATTGAGAGATAAATAGTAGCAGTTCTCACTATGTGTTAAATATCTTTGCCTTCAATACATTAAATTAGAAAGCTGACAAAGTCATATTGCTAGATATCTAAATGTAACTTTTTGCATGGAAAAAACCCTCAACTTCACTGATGTGTAGGTGATCTAGTATTTAGTATTGTTTAATGGAATGTATATCAGTGTATTCAAGTCAATACTTCATTCATTTAAACCAATATCTTTCTTGATTCTTTGTACAGTATGAAAAAAGAGTCTTTGTACCTGTGCTGAAGTTCACTGCTGTGAGGAGTCCAGTTCTGTCTCTCACTCTCTGGTCCAGCCTGTCTGCATCACCTGGACACCTTAAACAAACAGATATATATATGTAAAGTACCATGTGTACAAACAATATAACTGATTCTCTTCTGTTGAACATGTTGGATTGTGTATTGTCCGAGTCAGGGGCCTTTTTATTTTACTGTAACTTTGGAAGTTGTGTTACCAATGCTTACTGTTTATTTGATACCCATTTGATAATGCAATTAATAAAAACAACAAGGTTTGGGTTCGTTCTTCAGATGACTGTGACGTTAACGTGTAAGCTCAATAATGAACTCCAGCTCAACCAACCATATTGTAATATCTAAGTAATCATCTTGAAATATGACATTAATAATTGTAATATACACACATCTTATTGTGAGGTTGATTTCACATACACTACTTCGACATTAGCTTGTCTACATACTTGAGCATAGCCAATTTAAATTAACCTTAGATGCATACAGTTCTACTTACATAATAAAATATCTCTAAGTTACAAGGATGTAACCTTATTTTATCAACCTCAAACAGAAGCCGTTTGTTCAACAGTATTATCCCACTTAACACTTGTCTATTTCGTTTTAACCTTTATATATACAGTCTATGATTTTAACTTGGAGGCTACGATTACAATCGTTAGCACCGATGTAGCTACCACTAGCTTACATGCTAACCCAAGCCTTACCATTCATTACGTAGCCGATTAAAATCATTAACACATAAATAAAGCACTCGAATTTCACTTACCGCATTCATGCACCGTCTGTTTTAACCACAGAGCGAGTCACAATAGTCCGATATATAAGCATGAAGAACAAACAACCACGGCCGGCTACAAGTTGTGTTTCCTGGATGAGCTGAGCAGGCAGAGTCCCTGTAGCTAGCTTCACGGAGCAGCTAGCAGAGAGACAAGAAGCTAACAGCGGCAGGCACTTGACAGAGCCGTCACTCAATGTGACCACGCCCTAATCTATGCACAAACTTTAAGACCTAATATAAATAAAAGGGTCGCGTTAGAAAACAATTCACTCACAGATCCATAATCATGAAGGTGGAATCTAACTATATCGCTAATAAAATGTATGGAGCCAGGGGTAGAAACATGTTTTTTTTCTGCTGTAAAGTTGGGCATTTTAACATGGGGGTCTATGGAAATTGCTCCTTTCTGCAGCCATCGCCTATCGGCCAATATATGAACTGCAGTGTGTGGCACTTCCGTATTGGCTTCCCGGCTCTACCCCACAGTTTGCCGCTTGGGAGAGACGCAAGCTTTTTTTTTTAACATTTACCTTCGATTCTATTGGCTCTAACGGTCAGGAAGAGATGTCACATGTCAAAATCGAGCAAGGGGGGCCAGAGATATGGAAAATCCACCCAAATGGCCAACATTTTTTTTGATAAATCTGTCTAAAAAGGTCAAATGTCACTTGTTTTGCATCAATCTTGATACAGGGTACTTATTATATGTTGTACTTTGGATTCCTAAAGCTTTTAGTCTACTAACCCATCATCCAAGGTACAAAATAATTTTTGGACGGACACTATAATTTACAGTTTTTTACCATGTACAATCTGAATTTTCTTTAACAAAAAAAACATCTATATTGATTTCTGACTTTTCTACATCCAACTCACAGGTTTATCATTACTTTGAGAAAAAAGATTATTAATTTAACCCTTTTAGAAGATATGGTCATTTGTTCTGGGAATGTCATTTTTGAGCCTGAGACCTGAAAAACAGGCTTGGGGCCTAACAGGTTAAGTAAAATATCTGAGTACTTCTTCCACCTCTTCCACCAGACTTATTTATTGAATAGGATAAATGATAAGATACAAAGCAAAAATATGACTTTAAAAAAATGATTTTTATGTCCAGTGATCATAATAGCCTACATAAGATAAGATAAGATATCCTTTATTGATCCCAAATTTGGAAATGCTTTTGCAGCAGCATGTAAAACTAAGTAAAATTAGAAATACAAAATAGAACACTATTGAAGGGCATATTAAATTAGATATCAATGGTACATGCAGGGGCGCAACTGATTGGGGCCCCGGACCAGAAAGGCCCCCTAAAGAAGGTCGATTAAATTGGTCCACAGCAAAGACAACATGAAACCCCCTTTCATTTCTTGCTTGTCCAGCTTCTGCTGGTGGAGGGGGTGGGTGGGGTTATCCATGATGGATAGCAGTTTGTTCAGAATCCTCCTCTCCACCACGGCATCAAAAATGTCCATTTTAACGCCGATGACAGAGCCAGCATTTCTACTTGCCCTTGATTTGAAGCTGAAATGTTATTGTCACATTTCAGCCTGTGGTCTTCATGGGTCTACCTTAAAGGTGAGGTGTGACGCAAGACAAGACATTGTTCCTTTATATTAAAGAAGGTGAAGAAACCTGTAAAACATGCTCGGAGGACAGCATCCTCATGATGCCAGGGAGTGGCAGCCATGTTGCTTCCTGACCCAAGTGTGCACGCTAAACAATAAATGAAACCGTTGTTTTTTATATGCCACCACTGAACCATGCCAAGAATGTTTCCAAGTGAAAGAACAATGTCATTCATGAAGAGGTGAAATCAGCATGACCCCTGCAGGGAGGAAGTAGAGCAACATTGTTGATGTTACTCACACATACTCACAGAGAGTTCAGGCTGATCTTGGAAACTCTCCCAATGTATCCTAACTAATGAACAAAAACTAAAACAGCTTTGGTTATTTCTTTTTGCACCTGCCTTAGAATGTTCTGTGGTGTAATGTAGCACTTAATGTTGATGCTGGTTAGGAACTATTACATTAGGACAAAGCTAATTGAATAATTACCAAAGCAAAACAAAGGATCTGTGTTTGAACAGTATGCAGTCGGACCTGTTCAGTGCAACAGAAACGGTTTCCGAAGCAGGAAATGCTTGCAGGCACAAGTGACCTGACTAACTGCCACTAACAGGGTCACCACATCACAAATGTGAACTTTTTCTTTATTTCGTCATTTATTCAAATATAGTTTACAGTATTTATTTAACCCGTAGATGCATAAGTGGGTCTTTTTGGACCCGGTGAGGTGGTTTTCTTGAAGTATCTTCGTAATTACATTTTTTATCATTTCATATTCCAGCTATTCCTCAAAAAAATGTTTTGGATATCATGCCATTCAAATTTGTAATTTACATTTTAAGAAATTGTAGTTTTTGTATTATATGCCCTAAGATTCCATAAGTCGGTCAAAAATGACCCCCATGCATTTTCTATGGAATCCTATGGGAAAACTTATTTTTTTTAAATGTAAAACAAATGTCTAAAATTATAAATAGTGAAAAATTAAATACAAAATATTTCTAGTGTGAACCAAAATATAATACTAAATATTATACAAGTGATTTTTCTTAACCAAAATGACAAAAATGCCATAAAAACACATATTATTCTAATTTGGTCCTTTATGACCCACTTATGGAAGAGTGGGTCCAGTCACTCGTGCATCTAAGGGTTAAACAGTTGTGTATATGTTTGCTAAATAAACACATTTTCTGAACACAAATGATGGTTTAAATGTATACGCCTTTCTGAGATTTAATATAGCACTCCCATTAGATTTGGATATTTGTGAGAGAGATTGGAATTTGTAGTTTTTAAATCGAAGGGTGGGAGATCCTGACTCTTATTAGTTCCTAGTATGGGTCATTTGAGACCTTTTCCACAATGCAACTCAATACCATCTTGTCCTCCTGAATGATAAGATAAGATCAGACAAGATAAGATGAGACAAGGCAAGATAACATAAGATAATATAACGAAATATAATATAAAATAAGATAGACGTTATTGTCGCAGCGGTACATTTGCTTAGACATCAGTGTGTGCAGTAATAGATCACAGCAAAACAGTTAAAAAAGACAACAAATAGCCCAAATGTATTTATCAATTGCACATAGCTATCAAACTTCATCAGAAGAAATGCACACACAGTGCATGAAACAACAGTGATCAATGCCAATTTCAATGCCAAGCCAAATTCTTTCAGCCCCACACCTACTGTTTACAAGAAAACCCTCTTGCACAGAAGAAGCAATTCAACACAGCCTAAAGTTGATTAGGCTTTCTTGTGACAAGTAAAGTACTGTAGGCTGCACTTCCTGACCACCATGCAGTGCATGTCTTTTTTGACAGAGAACAGCTTTACACATCAGCCAACTTTACAGCATGTATGGACAGAATAACTAAAGCCTCTGTTGATTTTGTAATATATATGTTCCTGGTCTCTGAAATGTACTACAGTAAAACAGGAAACACGGTGGATGAAAGTATATCAATCTTGAAATCTAGATTTGTTGTTATTTGTTCATTTTATGTTCTAACCAAATTATTAGTTTTTTGGGAAACTATAGCCAAACTTGGATGTGTATTTTCTTTGTAAATTGTAAATTGTGTAACTTATCTTTAAGTTCATGCATACTTATTAATTGTTTATATATAATTTAGAATCAGTAATATTTTTGTTTACCAATTTGACACTGCTTTAGTTTGTATAGTACAACAATTTTCATGTTTCATTTCATTATTATTATTATTTTGTATTATTGTTTTATACATTTGAAATAAATCAAATCAAATATTAAGCTTTGGCTCTTTACTTGCTGTAACAATGTCAATGTCCCCTATGTGTGACGAATGATTCTGATTATAAGACTGATTGTGAAGACAAGTCCTAATTTGAGGAGCTTCTAAGTCCTACACAACTATTATAATATGATATTGTATTATAAATAATTATAAATATTATAATTATATGTCTTATGCTCACAAATTGAGTTTGCAAAAGTTATTATCAAAGACATTATCTTTGAGATTTGGAGAGGGGATATTTTTTGGGGGACATCAAACTGGCGGAGTTAACATTTGACCCAAAGGAAGAGGAACTCAAAAACTAACATGTACTAAACCCAAAAATTAAATGCGTTTTAAGTTTAAACCTTAACCCATAGTAGTAATATAAAGGTTGAACCAGGTTAGACAAAGGTTAAACCTGGTTAGACTAGGCCCAGGTCGCTGTGAGTACTTTGGGCCCGTCCTCCTCCTCTGTGTATCCCCGCCCTCTTTAGTTTATAAAAGAGCCGAGCAGCATCAGTCGGTTAGCTCAGCCAGACGCTGCAGCCGGAGAGACGCAACATGGCGGAGAGAGGCAGCGAGAAGCCGCGGTCCGAATGTTCTCCAGCCCCGCTGTAGAACTGTTCGGTGTTGGCCAGGTTTTACCGCTTTAAGGCGAATGGAGACAACTTCAAGAGACAAACGGCTGTGGAAAATAGTCGCGAGGGAGCTATCTGAGATGAGCCGACACGCGACAGGTAGGAGAGACAAGTGTGCACGCGACAAAGCTTCTCACCCACAGTGATGATAACAAGCTTATGTATTTCACTTCAGAAGTTCTAGTTCATGCCGCACCACTTTACAGAGTGCTGCTCATCAGCCAGATTTTCTTTCCAAAGGCTGTGAGGAATTTGCTGGACCGATTCCTCCAGTGGTCATATTTCAAGGATTGTTGGAATTTCTTGCCGGGTGTGTTTTCAATAAAAATAATAACTTTCAGGCGTCCAGGGGTCGGTGCAGGAGTGCCCCCCCCCCTCCCCGCCGCTGCCTGCGGATCATGTGCTCCACTCTGCAGCCGTGTTGTTCCCTGGTAGCTATCACTCCTCCATACTGTTATTTCTATTACCAGAGGTGGGAAGTAACTAAGTACATTTACTCAAGCACTGTACTTGAGTACAATTGTTGATACTTATACTTTATATATATATACTTATACTTTTATGAGTATTTCAATTGTGTACTACTACTATGTACTTATACTCCACTACAGTTCATAGGTAAATGGTGTACTTTTCCTCCACTACATGTAATCCCTTTAGTTACTTCACAGATGTGGATGAATGATGTGAAATATAATCAAGTGTTGAATCAGACTTTAGTTCCACCTGGAGTAAATCCACCAGCTACCCTGCAGTATACAAAGTCATTCAAAGTAGCTGCACCTTTACCAGCTTTGAGAACACTTTCATGATTAGAAAACATATCATGTATATTATTCTGAAACGGACCAATCTGCATTGTGAGTACTTTTACTTTTGGTACTTTCACTATATGTTGAGGCTAATACTGTTTTACTTTAGTAACATTTTGATGCAGGACTTTTACTTGTAACAGAGTATTCCTACACGCTGGTACTTGTACTTTTACTTAAGTTCAAGATCTGAGTACTTCTCCCACCTCTGTCTGTTTCTGTAATGTGGCTGTGCTGCATTCAGTGGCAAGCTTATCCAGGAATAGGAAATGCTTATTAAGAATTATAGAGCTTATCTCAGCCCTTTTTTATTCATTGTTTAAAAATTATGACATTACTGCATGACACATTGAAGTGTTGACAATAATCCCTGACATTTTTTGATCATAATAGAAAGATATATTGTATTTTTAATAAGGTAATCAACAGAGCATGTGCTTGAATACAAAATGTTGGAATGTTTTAATCATTCTTTTTTTTCAGCTAAACATTTTTAAGATTTTTTTTTGTATCCGTCCGTACAGGTGCTTTTGATCAACATGGCTGCCCTTTGATCGTGTTTCCAGTAGAGGAACAAGCCAAACTCTCCTCAGAACTCAGCAAAGCAGAAGTGGTGGACTTCATAAATCACTTTCTGGGTCTGCACAAGTAAGAGCAGTCAGGCAGGCTTATTGTGATGATGTGAATGAGAGGGAGGTGTACTAATGGGTGCATGGTTCTCTCTCAACAGTAGGAAGCAGGAGAAGGAGGGCTTGGTGTCAGTGGTGGCTGATCTGAGGCATGCATCCCTCCAAACCTCCAGGTTCATTGCTGAGACTCTGCTCCTGCTCGAGGTAAGCTCCTGGCAGAGTGCACTGTGGGAAGCTGCTGTGGAGGATGGCCTGCAGCAGCTTCCAATGGTTGTGCATATGATGGATATGTGGTTTCAGAACAAAGCACCTATAGATGGCCATAGTAATGGCTTCAGAAAAGGATGGCATGTATGTGAAGGATTACCGATGCAAGCATGACCATTGGAAAAACTGGATAACGTCCATTATGGTACGATACAATAATACTTGTCAGATCAGGTCTGACATTTTTCTTGCATCACAGCAGCTCCATTTGCTACATCGAACAAGGACAAATATTAAGACGCAATACAAGGAAAACAAACATTAAACATACTATCACTGAAGAGAAAACATGCTCAAGGCGTCTAAAGTACAACAGACCTGGGATTTAGCTCTGTATTTCATTTGAGGGTTAAAAGGTGCGCAAAGTAGTGCTTCGATCTAACTTGATTAAATCGTGGGACCCTGTATCTCTGCTTTGGTTCCATGTGTTGCAGCCCACTGTACTGCCTGCACTGCCTCTCCCTGTTCAGACCCTCTCAGCAGACTTATCATTCACACAGCTCGGCTTTAGGACCATGGAAGGTTTTTACTCAAATGAAACCTCTGGAGTTTGAACATTCAGAATACAAAAGGTAATCATTGATATTGTCTGCTGTCGGAGGATTCCAGCCTGCTGTTTTACAGACTCCTTTCTGCTTTGAAGGTTTAGTCCGTCTCCTTTCTGCTTTGAAGGTTTAGTCCGTCTCCTTTCTGCTTTGAAGGGTTAGTCCGTCTCCTTTCTGCTTTGAAGGATTAGTCCGTCTCCTTTCTGCTTTGAAGGTTTAGTCCGTCTCCTTTCTGCTTTGAAGGTTTAGTCCGTCTCCTTTCTGCTTTGAAGGTTTAGTCCGTCTCCTTTCTGCTTTGAAGGTTTAGTCCGTCTCCTTTCTGCTTTGAAGGTTTAGTCCGTCTCCTTTCTGCTTTGAAGGTTTAGTCCGTCTCCTTTCTGCTTTGAAGGTTTAGTCCGTCTCCTTTCTGCTTTGAAGGTTTAGTCCGTCTCCTTTCTGCTTTGAAGGTTTAGTCAGATGTCAGATTTATGAGTGATGGGCTTTAAAAAACACTTTCTTCTTGCCTTCAGGGTTCCCCCGCCTGCAAAACCCTACTAGCCAGATGCTGACTGCTAGCAGTTAACACAAGTGACAGCCGGGAGCTTTTGGGTGCGTTTGTATTTGGGACATTGTTTAAATTAAATGTTGTTGTTTTAGTACTTTTACTCTACTGTGCAATGACAATAAAGTTCAATCTAATCTTAATACTCCGATCTTATTTAGCAGTTGTTTTCCCCCAGTGATGCTTTACAACATAGTCTTTCATGTGATATTGTACTGCTTTCTTATTGGATTCCCAGCAGCCTGCTAAAGATTGATCTCAGAGAATTTGGAAGTTGTTCAAGGCAATAATCAGCTTTTACTCGACTAATACATAAGCACTTTTTTTATTTGGTTTGGAGTCTAAAATAACTTAATCTTTCTGTGGCATGAGGGAATCAACACATTTTAAAGTTGACCCTTTTAAAAAAGGTGTGTGTACGTTGCTGAGTGAAGGATAGAGGAAGAGATGAATGGACAGACTGAACACTTGGCTTGTTTTCTTAATCTGTCTTCTTCTTGTGGTGGTTTTTCCTCTTATGTAGACAGGACAGTAGAGTATTGAAATGAGGGGGGAGGATGGCTATGACATGTTCACAGTGACTAAGTACATTTATTCAAATACTGTACTTGAATACAATTCTGAAGTACTTGTACTTTGAGTATTTTAATGTTTTGATACTTTGTACTACTACCCAACTACAATTCAGAGGTAAATGGTGTACTTTTCCTCCACTACACGTATTTAATACCTTTAGTTACTTTACAGATGAATGATGTGAAATATAACCAAGTGTTGAATCAGACTTTAGTTCCACCTGGAGTAAATCCACCAGCTACCCTGCAGTATACAAAGTCATTCAAACTAGCTGCACCTTTACCAGCTTTGAGAACACTTTCATGATCAATCATTATAAAACATATCATATATATTATTCTGAAATAAACCAATCTGCACAATCACTACTTTTGGTACTTTAAGTATATTTTGATGATACATTTCTACTTTTACATTTTGAATGCACAACTTCTACTTGTAGCAGAGTATTCTTACACTCTGGTACTTGTACTTTTACTTAAGTACAAGATCCTAGTACTTTTCCCACCTCTGCATGTTCAGCATTGTAAACCCCTAACATAACACACTGAATGATGAACAGTAACCCAGGGTTCTGTCTCCCATTAGTGTTGAATAATAGCACTGCCTGTACAATATTTGTCCTTGAAGCTGCATTGTGACCTTGCATACACCATTGCTGAATTCATTAACCGACCGCAATAGCTCACTTACTGCTGGATTCAGCCCAACTGTTCAGATGTCATTGCCTGTGGTCAGAGAATAGTCCAACTGAAGCAGAATACTGAATTAGGGCTGTGCAGAATGTCTCGTCCTGAAGTGAGCATTCTTCCCCGCTGCAGGACAGATAAGACTGGTATTTCATCTAACCTTGCATGTTGAAAGTGAAGTATTGTACCGTTTTGACACATGCATTAACAGAGCTTTTGTGAAACCACAGCTTGGTGTTTCTGTCTGAATTATGCATGAAAGACTTGGAGTGTGTCCTTTGCACACGGCACAGTGACGCCCCCACCTTGTGACTGCAGAGCTCTCTCCTGGAGCAGAAATGTATATTGACTCAAAGATCTGAAGTTTGAGCTGATCTTCAAAGTACCAAGTGCGTCATATCTGTGCTCATGGTGGAACCCTGTGAGTGTGGGAGAGAGAAAGTGTGTGTTTGTGTGTCACATGCATAGCTGGTCACATGCTTTGGGTTTTTGAATAGAAAAGCCAGAGTGAAATTGCAGTAAATGAGCACAATTATGTAGAGATGCTGCATTTTGACTCCCAGATCCCAGAGGTGTGGACTCGAGTCACATGACTTGGACTCGAGTCACCAATTTGATGACTTGAGACTCGACTTGACAAAATCACAAAACACTTGCGACTCGACTTGGACTTGAACACCAATGACTCGGGACTTGACTTGGACTTGAGCCTTCTGACTTGAGGTGACTTGCTACTTTAATTCAGAGGTCTCCAACACGCCGATCGTGAGCTGCTGCTAGAAGAGCAGACTCCCATCGGGGAGAGCAGACTCTTCAGCCGCTCCTACTCTTGCTGAGAATCCTTGCAGGCAGGGGCGGGACTTTATTTAGCTGGGCCACCATGCGGCCAATCATATGCGAGGACACACTGGGATCATACCATTATGTGAAAGAAGGGTGGGGGGCACAGAAGGTGTAGTGGTACAGGCCAGCTGCACAGAGCGACGGGGAGACGGATTTAAATGCAAGCGCGTCGGAAAAAGTCAAGAAATGAGCGAAAACCGAAAAGAAGCAGCATCTGGCTGCTTTTCAATGATATTGGAGAAAGCAAAGCTGAGTGCAGGATTTGTAAAAATGAAAATAACCTTTTTTGGTGGGAGAAGTTCAGATCTTGTACTTGAGTACAAAAGTACCAGAGTGTAGGAATACTCGGTTACAATAAAAAGTCCTGCATTCAAAATGTTACAAGTAAAAGTACAAAAGTATTGGCATCAAAATATAGTTAAAGTACCACCTGCAGAGGGATCTAGATGCAGGTGTTCTTTTCTCCATAGAGACCGCCTCGCTGCACATTATCCCTTGCATAAAGATAGATTGTGGGTCCCTTATAACATGTTGTACACAGTGGAAATAAACATTCTGGTTACCTCAACATCAGGGATCTTATACATTAAACTCCTTCTAAATCAAACCGTCACAGTAGCCTGATCCCTCTTAAATTAGAAAAACACACGTTACCTTACCAGCAGAGAGAAAATGGATTAAATTATTAATGTGACTAATAAAGAGCAATTTGATTGTTAAGTATTATTCTGTGGATCGATGTCATTACATTTGGTGAAAAACACATAATGACTTGTTTAAGACTCGTTTTGTCAAAGTTTAGGACTTGGACTTGACTTGAACTTGCCCATCCTGACTTGAGACTCGACTCGGACTTGAGCGCAAAGACTTGAGACTCGACTCGGACTTGAGCGCAAAGACTTGAGACTCGACTCGGACTTGAGCGCAAAGACTTGAGACTCGACTCGGACTTGAGCGCAAAGACTTGAGACTTGACTCGGACTTGCAAAACAATGACTTGGTCCCACAGATCCACACTTCTCACATATTTCTGTTGTTGCATACTGACATGCTTTAGTGAGAAAACTCAATGATCATGCGGTGTGTTGGTGTTTCATCCCATCTTGATATGGTGTTGCTTTCCACGACTAATAGATTTGTCTTAAAGATGCGTGAAATTTTTATCAATAATTGCTTAAACGCTCACTGAAACACAGCCCTTTGGACCCTGATTGACACTTTACTAAATGTCAGTAAATATTGGTAATTTGATTGACTGCACATATAATCCTTAAGAGTACCTGGGGATACACACGATGCACAGTGGGCAGTCGATGTGGGCTCAAAAGGATCCAACAGCAGAATGTAGCCCCGACAGGTTGATCTGGGCCTGTCTGTTGTGGCCATGGTTCAAATGGCACCAACTGGCCAATTAACACTCTTCTCTTTTCCAAATGAAATGATTACAAAAGAAAGTGTTCTGAGTTGAGTCTTTTCTTCTCTAGCTGCACAAGAGGACCGTCCACAGTGTGTACATAATTCAGCCCAAAAAGAAGGATGTTGTGAAGCTGTTGCTGAAGCTCCTGGCTCCGTCAAAGTGCTACACTGCCTCCTTCAAGGTGAAGGACACCACACACGCCGTCGCCCTGGATCTGATTTAGATTTGGTTCAGTAGGTAACGCTGTTCTCATCTTTTTGCAGAAAGTCCTTCTGAAAGAAATCTCAGAGCTCTCCAACTACATTGACCGAAGCCAGCTAACGCCATCACTGGGCGGCTACCTCGTGTACTGCCACCAGAGCTGGGTGGCCTTCATTAAGGTAACATTTGTTGTGTCATACCTCTGCTAATTGCTATAACCTTGAATGCCTCCAAGGGTACACTAGTGCTGCAGCTAAGGCTAGTTTCTAAAGTCTGAGCTGTCCGAGGGTAATGCGTGTTTTCTTAAATCTGCTTTGTGTACTCTAGTGAGGGTCCCAGCCCTTCGTATGTGGCACTCAGTGAAACATGTTGGACCCCCCTGAGCTAAAAACTAGGAAGATCAGTGCGATACTGATATGAGAGTGACTCAGAACAAACCTCCTGAGTCTGTCTGATGATCAGCAAGAGGGCTGAACACAATGCAACATTGTTCTGCTGTGTACTCACAAATACACGCTCACTAACACTCATACACTGAGTTAATGTAACTTACAATACTACAGCCACATATTTATTCCACCTATTTGTGTTTGAAGTATTGCTCCTCTGTGATGAAGAGTAGTCTCCTCTCACATGTGAGGATTCATTCATGAGTGCTCCCCGTCTATTGTTCGTTACCGTGGTGAAGCTTGTGCAAATGCCTCGCGTGATCAGCTGACCCTATTAGCAAGTGAAAGGAGCCCCCTCTTCCTATTACATTATACATTCATTCATGTTCATCTGGGGCATTGGGCCATGGTGACAGCATGCATTCACAATGGCAGCGCTCTGCCTATAGGAGACCTATTCAGGAGGATACCCTGCTTTATCTGCGCTAGACCTACATTTGGGTTCAGGGTGTTGAGTGATTGCAAAAACGTATGCTGTGCAAAAATCATTCAAGTCGGGGGCTGTTGGTGCACATAGTGTAACTAACAATATCACAACAAATAAGAACACTTCCCAAACGTATCAAAGACGTGAAAGCCAGTAAATAGAGATAATCATTAGAAAGTAAAAATCACACAATATTATTAAAGCGAGCAAAATACAGTTGTATTCTCACTTGCCCCTGAGGGCTGCCATTAAACCTAATCAAAGAAATGATTACATTTAAAATGGTACGTGGACCAAATAACATGTTTTGAAGCGCGTTTACATATACAGCATTCACTGGCAGCGGCTGCCACACAAGGTGCACCCACTAAGCCAGGGGTCTCCAACCTTTTTTAGGATGAGAGCTACTTTCACAAAACAAAACAAGTCGTGAGCTACTTTTACTCTTTTGTTAGTTTTTTGCAGTGTATATATTTAGCACATTATATGCTGACCTTTAACCTTTGTGTGCTGTTTGGGTCTGTGGGACCCGTTTTCAGTGTTTACTAAAAGAACATGTTACAATTAAATTATATTAACCTGCTTTATTTGGGGGTGGACCTCACCTCCTCTAGGGGGGTCTGGGGGCATACACCCCCGGGAAGATTTTTTGTTTTTAAATGTTGAAGTTAAAAGCATCAATCTGCTGCACTTTGAGCACAACATGAATGTATGGATACAGCTCTCAACACTCAGATGAAAGGGAGCTGTATACTTTTCAATAATCCAAACATCTTTAGAATATGATCACAACCAATAACAAATCATTTAAACTTGTTTATTCATATCTTATGTTACCTAGTTAGCATTCTATCTTTTTCTTTATGCATATTTTACTAATCACTCCCCTTTTAAACTGTTTTTTGTTATTTGTACTGTCCTATAGTACACATTGGAATGATTTCTTACTTTATATTAAATAGATAAAGGTGTCCTCTCTCTCTCTCGCGCTCACAGAGGCTGTGTGCTCCTCCGTGGCGATGACGGCTTGCGTTAAAAAATAATAATAAACATATTTGTAAAGTGGGGGGACACGAACGGGATTTAGAAAAGTGGGGGGGACATGTCCCCCCTGTCCCCAGTGGAGATTACGCCGTGTGTGCGTCAAGTGCAATGAATAAATGTGCAAGTTGCAACACACAGAGTAAAGCTCTGCCCCTCATGTGTTGTATAGGCTGGCATCAAAGCTGGTAAAGGTGCAGCTAGTTTGAATGACTTTGTATACTGCAGGGTAGCTGGTGGATTTACTCCAGGTGGAACCAAAGTCTGATGTACTTAGTTACTTTACCCCACTGTTTATAACGGATATGACACTGACTGGCCCTGTGCTCCCTGCAGGAGGTGGATGAGTTTGTTCAGGACTTCCTGTCGGTGGTCCAGCGGCTGCCCTCGTGTATCTCCACCCTGCATGCTCTGTCCAGGCTGCCGCTGCCCTCCACCTCCAGAGAGCTGCAGCACTTCTGCTGCACCAACGAAGCCACGTTCCTGCAGCTCAGGAGGTCAGACTCTCCACTGTTCTCCTACTCCACCTAAAGCCCAGTGCTGGTTCAGGACATCTGAGTGCATTTTATTGACTGCAGAATCAAAAAATCAGGTGAATGTAAGGTTAGCTGACGTGATTCATTTCATTATTTACTCTACTTCTCTGTAAAGGAAAACTGCAAAGTGACTTGTTAAACCTCAAGTGTTAATGGTACCTTGAATGTCAACCGCAAAACAGCATTTAATTTACAAAGGCAGCCTATTCCATCGGAATGAGACTACAATGCAGGAAGTTAAATCTGTAGGCAAGTGTAACACATTTCCACGAAGAACCAAGAAACCCAACACTTTAGTGTTCCCCGCAGGGAGCTGGGTCTGGATGAGCTGCTGAGGCACTGTGAGGGTATCGTGGAGAAGCTGCGGCACCCTGAGAAGGAGCCCTGCTACCAGGCCATGGCCGGCACCGCCCTCTTCAGCCACACCGCCTTCGACATGCTGCGGAACCACAGCAGGTACTGCAGCTCCCACAGGGCTCAGTTACAGAGAGATGCTTTTATCTTAACCCTCTGTGAAAACACTTCACACACATTCCCTAACATGTTGCAATAGCCCTGTCGCACAGCAGCTGGAGCACCTCGTCCAGATAGGCTCCACTAGTAAGGTGTTTGTAAGCTGCAAAAAATGTGGCTCTTCTTTCTTTTTACAAAATTTGTATTGATTTTGCTTTTTGCAATCTCAGTAATGACATAGCTGATACACGACAAAGATATAATTACAAAGCACAACCAACAAACAAACAAAAGACAAAATGATTTTTTTTAAAAAACGAATCAATAGGAAAACGGTTCCGTTTCCTAGGAGATGACAAGTTATCTCTTTTATGATTGTCAGTTATGATTTTCAGGCAGTTCCTTTAACAATGATAGCCAATAAATCAGGCCCAAGGGTAAAGAGGCTTTGGCTGCTGACGGTGAGGTTAGTCCTTAAAATCACTTTGATCCCATTTGCTGGATCTGTCCCTGGATCTATGAATACTTCCTGATGCTCTGCCTCCTCCTGGCTCCCAGCAGCATTTACAGGACCAGGTGACCTTTACCAAACATAGGCAGCACTAACTCAAAAGAAGTCCATATGTTACTGCTCTGGGTTTTACTGCATTATTTTGTCTCAAATGTTATCAAAACATATCTTGGTGTACAGTTTAGCAGTCAAATGTAAAAGTTTTGGATCTGGCCACCATGATAGAAACGGAGTTCAAAGTTTATCAGGGTGTCCACGGGGGTCTTAAAAAGTATTAAAAGTTGATAAATGAATTTAGCGAAAATTAAGGCTATTAAAAAGTTTTTAAAAGTATTAAACGGGATTTTCCAAGGTATTAAATGTTGTGGTTTGTTTTCAATAAGTGTATGAGTCCAAAGAGGTTGTATTCTACAGTGTGCCTGAATGTAATCATTACGTAGGTGTGTAGTGTGATTCTGTGTAGTTTATTTATGGCATCCCGTTGGACGTCATCTGAACAGGACATCGCGCGCTCACTGCTTGATGGCGTGCGAAGGTCCGTTTACGCCGGTTGTTAAGCAACATCATTATGGGGAAATGCAAGTCTGCGTCCAAATGGTTGGAAGATAAGGAGGAAGGACAATCAATACTGAATATAGTCAATGTGAGGTAAAGTGTGTCGCCAAGGTAACTGGTTAAAACTCCAAGTGGCGATGAGGTCTTAAAATGTCTGGAAAGGGTCTTAAAAAAGGTCTTGAAAGGTCTTACATTTGACTTCAGGATTCCTGCATACACCCTGATTATGTATATAGCCAAATATCACACACGTGTTTGTCTCAGATTATCAAACATAAATTACAGTGCTAAAAGATGTCAAATTAAATGAAAATAATGAAAAGACAAAATAGTGTAAAATACAAATAAAATGAGAGAACGCAACGAAAATCTAATAAAATACCCAAAATGTGGAACCCAGGAGGACAAACAGGGAATCATCTGAAACAGCTCTAAATCCAGGCTTTATTAAACAGGGATGTCTTCAGTGTTCTCTTAGATGTTTGGACACGGTCTGCCTCAAACAGGAAGTTGGTCCCAGAGAAAGGGAGCCTGGCAGCTGACAGATCGGACTCCTGATCTGGTTTTGCAGACTCTGGGCAGCACTAACAGACCTGCACTCTGGCAGCGTGCTAATGATGTGCTAAAGGGGCCAACATGAACATTTACGATATCAGCTGTTAGTGATGATCTCTCTGGTATTTCTCAGGATCTGTGCAGCGGTGGAGAAGGTGGAGCAGCTGTGGCAGCAGGCCTTCTCTAAGGCCCGCCTCCAGCTGCAGGTGTTCCAGCTGCGAGAGGATGCTCTACAGGTGGGTCTGACCGGGCTCCTGCTTCCTTATAACATTGATTCATTGCGTAGCAACAGTGTTTCCACTTTATACATTTGATGAGCTCCTCGGCTCATGAGTCACACGATCATGATATCTTCTGGAAATGATACCAGTGTCCGGCACACAGGCCAACACACGGAGCCGAGCAGAGACACATTTAACATCAGGAAGATACTGCAATAACGAGACATATAACAAAGTAATGGAGTCTGTTTGGAGAAAAGCTTTCAATATATCAAACTGCCGTTATCTTTGAAATCTTTCTTATGTCTAGTCTATCGTAGATGGACACATAGTTTGGTAATTACTGTGACACTAAATCATTTGTACTGCAATGTGTTTCAATAATGAATTCCAAAGAGTTGGCAAGGGGGTGTGATGGCCCTGGTTACCGAACGTCTCCTTCATTTAAAAGCAGAATATTGTGTAATACCCAATCATCTGATGTGTGTAGGGCTGTGTGTGTTAGCTTGCTGAGGCTCTTTCTCCGAGGACAAAGAGTTGCCGTTAGTGAAGCATTTTTAATACATTTGATAAATGATGATGGTGTATCAACACAGTTGGGACTAGATAAACTGGTAAACGCTACTCATGAAGCAGCTTAAGATGGCTCCTAAGATAAAAAACTGTTAGGAGTAGGAAGGAATTTAAAAACTCAATGTGTCTTAAGCAGAGCACAAGATGTCGGGAAGACATTTCAATGTTAAATCTCGTTGGTGAAATGCTCTAAATACTCAAATGAGCAGCATGCAAACAGTCATGCTCCTGCTGAAGTAGTCCTGTGTTTCCAAACTGGCTACTTGTCAATTATGAATTACATTTCCTCCGTGTTATCTTTACAATTATTTTATAAAATGGCTTTTAATATTTCAGTTTGTGTTTAATGCCATTAGTTATTCATTTACTCGGTGTGTGTTCTTTCATACCCTTTCCTGTATGAAATTGCACTTTTTGTCATTTGAAAAGAACTGTACAAATAGAGCGTATCTTTATGATTACACCTTTTGATTTGATGCCCACTATCACTCAGAGTTATTGCATTGTTTTTAATTGACCATTTACACCTCTTTAAAATAATAGTCTCATACGTAGCAGCGGATCAAACGGCTCCTCCTGAGAGTTGCTCAGTCTCTCGGAGCGTTTCCCTGAATCCCTCCTAAGCCTGGAGCTTTGCTCAAATATCTCAGAGTTCTCCCAGGATGATGTGAGCTCTGTCCCAGGAGCTCGACACTTTAACACAATCATTCAAATCCTGGTACTCTTTGGTACTCCGTTATGATCTTCAACTGTCCTGCATGTTCTTCTTATGGAGTGGGTGATTATTTATACTCTACGCTTTATACATAGTCAAACCAGACGGACCCAAGTTGATATGAACTTGATCTAACCAGTATGCAAAGACGTCTCTGTACCTTTCCTTTAGCAATATAGGATAACTAGTGCTTGATAAAATGTCTGGACTGAATGTGTTTCCTCCCGCTCACAGATCACAGAGCAGATCAAAACTCTTCTCCAGGAGAAACTCCAGCCCTACAAAATAGAGATTGCTAAGGAAGCTGCCGAGGCGGTGCTGCTGGTGTCCCGCTTCGAGGCGTCCATTCACAGACCTGCTATGGTATCTTTATATTCTGTGTTCTTCTTCATTCATTTTTGGAACATGTTTTTTGAAATGTGCCTAAATAAAGTCCACGTTGTGTTATAGTGCAGCCTCTAGTCGATTTCGTAGCTCAGATTTTAAAAGTATTTCTCCTGATTAGATATCTAACATCACTCATTCATACTTGCTTCAGCAGTTATTCTTGGTCCTTATTTCTAATCAAAGTTCATTTGGAGAACTTTTTACATTAGTATTTTTTTCTTAAAATGTGAACATTACTGTCCTTCAAAGTATTTGAAAAATACAACAAAATATCCTTCAAAATGTTAAAGGGGAAGGAACCTTTTGTTCTCTGTTTTGAGCACAAGACCCCATGCACTCCACTCGGGGTCTCTCTGTTTGCCTTCTGCTTGCTGGCTCTAATGTGTGTAACAGGTGATCATTCTGATGATTGACACCTTGGTGATAAAAGGCCAACACATCCCATACTGCCCTCTCACTCCTCTGTTGGACACGGCTGCGTCTTTGTTTGTTGCACATGTTCACACATCCATACGCTCACACATTACTTTGTTTAGGTTCGTTAAGTCCCTCTTCAGTTATATTGTACATAACTATAACACTTCAACTTGTGTGGTCTCCCATCTTTGTTGCAGCCTATGAGCCTGGCTGCAACAACAAGCAAACCCCTCAGGTGTTACCCTCGAGCAACACGGTTTAGGAAAAGCACGTGGAGATGAGCAGAACAACTGGCCTATTGTCAAATGACTAAAGTGGAAAAAAAACCTGATTAAATAGTGTCTGTAAATATCCCCAAACCCCCTTGTCTCCCCCAGGCTCTGGTCCGTTGTGCTGAAGATGTGATCCACACTGTGGAGGAGGTGCTGCTGCTGCTGGACGGGCAGAGCAGGGAGCGCTGGGTTATGGATGTGGAGCGGCTGAAGGACAAGCTCCACTCTGCGGTTCACTTCATCCTGCAGACCCTGAGGGTGGTCTCCAGCTACCACCATCACTACAGCAAGGTGAGCGTTGGCTTTCATAGTAGAGCTGTCATCAGTTCAAACATTTCTATTGAGTCAATCACAATCTGTGATTCATCACAAGTTTATAATGTATTCTGGAGGGGAGATCAAACAAAGAAATAATATGGACCTTTATTGATCCCTGCACGGAAAGTGTTGTAGCAGCAACAGAATGAGACAAACACAGGAGGAAATGTCGCTCGTTTCCACGGTGAAATAGCCATCTTTCCCAAACATATTGAGCAAGATGCAGATAACGGGGGGCTGCCTTCATCAGACGGGAACACTTTGGAAGCTACCTGGACCTGTGTTCTGTACAAACTTGATATTGTTATTTGTCTTTTGATTTATGGTGCATCTCAGGTGATGTTAGGGAGTAGTCCAAAAGTAGTGTAACTAGTAGAGTGACTACGCAATTTCAGCAGGGATTAATTTAGTAAAGTAAGGCATTACTTTTTTTATAAAGTAACTAGAATTGTAGTAACTACCCCAACACTGCGAATAGGTGACAATATGTGGCCCATTTTACAAAACAAAAGACTGGCTCTAACAGTCAGTCTGAAAGCAGTACTGTTTTCTGTGCATTGTGTGCCCCCTCCTCGTTACCCCTTGCCGTTCTGAAACATGACCCCTGACCCTGCTCCCCCTCCAGGCCAGCAGCTGGTACCGTCTGGTTCTCAGCGAGAACTTCCTGCAGGCTCTGCTGTCAGGAGTTAACGGAGACAGCGGTTCCATGCAGAGGAGGAACTATGGCACCATCCCTGCATGGAGGTACAAGATGTCCACCTTCCTGAAGAAGAACCCCCCTCCAGATGTGGAGGAGCTGGTTCATCTGGCACATCTGTCCCTTGCCATCCCAGATGATGACGTCCAGCAGGCAGGGAAGAAGATGTCTCAGAGGTGAGAGCGCTTTGAGTTTCACACGGAGGTTATGAAGACAAACCTTTGGCTTTTTTTGTGCCAGTCCTTCTACTGATGTGTCTCCTACTCGTAGTAATGCAACATATTGGTTCATTTGACCTTGGCCACATCTTCTTTTTTTACTTTTCTTCCTGTTTCAGACATGTCAAAAACCTAGAAAAATCTGTGTGTGAAAGAAAGTATTCTATTTTAAGGATAGTGCCTTGTACATTTATGCATATTAATGTGAACACATATAACAGCAGTACAGTTGATGGCTGTGTTTGCTAACCTTCATTCAATTTAATGTTTTAAACACATGTCAAGTCGTTCAAGTGTAGTCAGAATTGCTTTTTTCTGAAAACACTTGTGTCTTGTAGCTAAAGAAAGAAAACACTAGATGGCTTACATGTGTTAGGGGCGACCGGCCGAAACAATTCAGTCACTTAATAATCCCTTATTCACTTTCTCATAAAGAAATAATCCTTTTAAGGTGCGGCAATGTGATAAAAAAATGTCTTCAAAGATTTGACATCCCATACTGGTTTATATTATTTCTGAATGAATAATGTTGTTGGCTTATGTGAAAAAAGCTTCATCTCAGAGTCCATTGCTAGCTTGTTTTATTGGTAACCCCACTTGCTTTTATCAAAACATGGAGTTTGCTATGTTGTCATGGAGATGGATCTATTCAGACTATTTAGAGCTCATCGTAGCACTTGGCCATGTTGCCAGCTAGTTCAATGTTTGAAAGCTCTTGAAAAGGCAAGTTTGCATAAATAAAATCAAAAAATTTAAATCTGCGGCAAATGGACACGAGACACAATTCCATAAAAGGACCATGATACATGGTTTTATAGATACTCCCAACATTATGCTACGTCATCATGAACAACCGTAGAAATGGAACATTTGGCTGTTCAGAAACAGTGACACATTTTAACCGTAGTTTATATACTCTCCTATATATGTTTCTGCTCCTGTAGTATATGTCTCTATTTCTGTTGCTGCAGTATTTTGGTCTTCTAAAGAACATTTTAATTAATCCAGAATATTTTAGATTGTGTGTATTATTTAGGATACATGTCTTTTCTACTGTTATGTTTTACTTGCTGTTTTATTGTTTTTATTTTATGTTATACTATACTATTTATTTCACCTTTTAAATATTGGAATGCCTGAGCACACTGCTGCTTTTAACAAAAATAATTTCCCAATTTGGGTTCAATAAAATATCTATCTAAGCAGTACATCTTTTTAAATGTATTTTTCACTGTTATTTTTTACCACAATTCTTCATGTGCTCTCCATCAGGTGCATGACCCTGAGGAAGCTCCTCATGTCCTCTGGCCCCGTGGCTGTGGGGCCGCTGCAGCGGGCCCTACAGTGGCAGTACGAGCTGTTGCGGAACAGACAATTTGCCCCCCCCCCCTGATGATGGTGCTTCAAACAGAACAGCTAAAGAAGGTCAGGACCTCACTAATGGTGTAAAGGAACAGAAAGCAGCCCATCTTCCCCAGACTGTCTCTGCTTCAGCTGAGGGCAAACCCCCCTCCCTCAGCTCCTTCGACTCAGGCTTCGATGGAGCTGGGGGCTGCCAGTTGGAGGCCTGGGGGGGGAGGGAAGGAGTGGAGAGTCTGTGCGCATCAGCTGGGATTAGGGACTCTGTGAGTCAGCCTCAAATCCACGAGGAGAACATCTCCAGTGTTTCCGATCCTGAAGACCTCAGAGAGCAGTTTGGCTCCTTGGGGAACTCATCCAGGGCGAGCATCCACATCATCCCTAAAGTCACCGTGGATTCTCTCAACCTGGAGATAAAAGTGAAGCGCTCAGCTGCCCTACCCAGTAACCCCTGGCTCAGCTTGCCGGTGGACAATCTGGAGAACTCGTACACGGTTACCATCACGCATAACCCGACGCCGCACAAGGGAGACCTTCAGTTGGATGGCTCCGACCCCTGCAGGTGCCGGGACCAGCCCACACAGACGGACGTGTTGAGCCGCACACAGCCCACAGACTGGGCCCTGCACTCTCAGAGCAGCTTAGAGGACCCTGAACTGAGTCCCATTCGCAAAGTCCTCTCCAGCACTATCACAGAGGGCCGAGAGCGCTCCATCCTCACCACAGAGGGGGGCCCCACTCTCCTCTGGGACTCCTATGACCTCCATGAGCAGGTTCAGGATGCTGTGGATGGGTAAAAATAATTGTTTAAATATATATTGTTAAACGTAATAAACACAACATTTGTATACTTTAACTGCTTTATTGAGATCGCACATAATCGACCGGCATCTTCCACATACTGAACCAAACTGTGCAGGCACCACACGGGTCAGAGGGGAAACTCCTCCCCGCAAAGCACACATGGGATAAACATGTCAACTACTCTTAGAAGAAATTGAGTCAACATGTGAAGTTAGGATTCCACTCCTCATTTGAGTGACTTGCTAATGGGGGCAGTTGGATTTTACAGTTTTTCTTTAACTGCAATGTTTCCATCTGTGATGTTGAATCCAAAATGCTTCCACACTTGGATAATTTGGCTTCTAGATTTCCAATAAGCTACTTTACTGAAGGGTGCATCAGCGCAGCAAACCACGCCAAGCTTTCCCTTCTAGCATGGTACTTTACAGTATGCTGAAAATATGATCAAATTGGACTCAGTTCTCACTTTCTGCTGCTACTAAACATCAAAACAACTTTCCTTTATTGAAGAAATTGAAGGCTCCACAAAAGGCATTGCTAAAAAGAGGTTACGTTTGAAAGTACTGTTTTTCTACTTGCTATAAACATCCTGCTTTTCTTATTTTCAGTGTGATGGATATCTCTCTGAATGACTGGGAGGTGAAGGAGCAGGAGGGTCTGAGGGAAGTGGAGCAGATCCTGGTCAGGGCGGATGAAATGCTGGAGGTAAGAGAGGCACCATTCGTGGCATTAAGGGCTGCACATTAGATGTCCATCACAGGTTAAAACAGCCCGATTGATTTCTTAGTGGATGTGACGGACAGTGAAATGAAGGTGTTTCTCCACAGAAAGAGGAGAACGTCCTAGCTCAGGAGGCGGTGCTGGAGGCCCTGCTGAGGGCCGAGGACAGGCACCAGTGGCCCCTGTGGGACAGCGAGTCGCAGCTCAGTGCGGTAGGTTACACTTCAGTCCCCTTCACAAGGTTATTCGCTCACTGAATATACCGGTTTTACTCATGGTGCACTTAGTGACTGTTTGTGAACTTAGTTTAAGACTCATCATGAGTCATCATTGTGTTGACTAAGGTAGAGGTAGAGTGCTCTGACGGATGGAAACCAACAGGAAGCCTATTGTATTACTTAGTTTCAGGTGTACATTGTGCCCGAGGTGAAAAGTATTCGGATCTTGAACTTGGGTAGAAGTGTTGTGTAGAAATACACTGTTACAAGTAGTAGTCCTCCATTCAAAAAGTATTGGCATGAAAATATACTTAAATTACCAAAAGTACTCGTATACAGTGGGGGACAGATTGAGGGTTTTTCTGGACACACGTCTACCTTTATTGAAGTGCAGACTATACAGCCAGTGTAAACCTGGGGTGTTTGTTCATTATGCTCCATCTGCTTCCTCTCATTTCTAAAGATGTCCTCCAGTGAGCTGGCAGAGGCTGGTGTTCTGGGTCTCCAGGATGACCTGGACCCTGCAGAGTCCGACCAACTCAGTGAGCCCACATCAGCTGGGTCTGCGGGTGGAGCTCAGGCTTCTGAAGATGAGGGGCTCCACACTGATACAGCAGTTTTTCACAGCAGGCCGGACCTGCTGACGGAGTTAAGGAAAGTCCACATCCTGGATGAGCTGATCATGGAGGAGAACATGAAGATCCACAAGCTGCGGAGCTGCATAGAAAGCCCAGAAGAGTCTGCGAGCAAACCTTCAATCACAAACGAGACGAACAAAGAGAGGCAGGCATTCAGGGTACAACTGGAGAAGGAGAAAAGGGAGGTGGAGAAGCTAGAGAAGAGCTTGGACAACGAGCAGAGGGTGAAGAAGCACAAGGACGGCGTGAAAAAGGTTGTAAAATGTTCTATTATGGAGAAGGCTAGAAGTGAGACCAAGGAGGACAAAGCACTCTGTGATGAGCTCTTATCAGGAGGTTGTAACGGATCACTGAGAACTCATCCTACAGCTTCAGTCCACACTGATCCCCAGAGTCAGGATTCCTGTGAGGCTGAACATATTCTGTTAGACCCCGATGCTGCCAAAGAGGCTACCCCACAACACTTGGTTCAACTTCCTGATTCGGAATGTCAAGAGGATAGCCCTGAAGCTGAGCCGTCAGTATTTCATAGACATACTTTAAATAATACCTCTGATTTAAAGGTACCTCACAAAGAGCTGTGTATCCAACCTCAGGGATGTATCTCCGATAACGAACAAGACGGATCAAGTGAAAAGGCTTCTCCAGCCTCTGAAATAAAGCTAGATTATGGATCATTTGACCCAGGAGGAAAACCCTCCCATCTTCCCGTGCCTAAGCCAAGGAAAGCTTCCCTTCCTGTGAACAACAACCTCCAACATGAATCCCCCCACTCCTCAGAGCTGCAGAATCCAGAGCGGCCCGCTGTTGATCAAGGTCCTGGTCCTGTGCAACGTGATCTGCAAGATGAACCACATGATGCACTGCCAGAGAATGTGACTGCAGCTGTCCTTCACAGCTTTGTTCTCAATCCAAATGTGAAGGAGCACACTAACAACAACAATAACAACAACCATGCACTCACTGAGGAGTGCAACATTTCTTCAGACACTGAAGATGAAGGGGGTGCATCAGTGGGAGGTGCATGTTTGCGCCAGACAGATTTGCAGCCAGCAGAGGAGGTGCAGCCTCTATCTCCTGCAGCGGTGCCCTCAGCCCCCCAGCTGCCCCCTGCCCTGCCCCCTGACCTGCCTCCGGAGGTTGCACCTGGAGGGAGAGTGGACTTCCTGGATGCTGTTCAGAGCTCTGAAGCCATGAGGGGACCAGGCTCAGGGATCCAAGCCCAGCTCAACATCAACATGACGCAGGTACATGTTCTACTGTAACACACAGTTAAAGCTGTGTTCTTATTTTCATACCTTTTTATATTAAAGAGGCCCTATTGTGCTTTTCAGGGTTTTCCCTTTCCTGTAGTGTGTTTATAGATTTTGTTCATGCAAATGGTTTAGTCGACCACTTGATTGACCACTTTCCTGAAACGCCTCCATTGGACTCATTTGTTTACTTCTGTAACATAGTGACATCAATATGTGAAATCCGCGCTTCTAATGGCTAGCGCCCCAACCCATTGTTGGTGACAGGCGGAGCAGGCGGGACATCTATAAGCAGTTGACCAATCACAACAGAGCCGGCCAGCTAACCAATCAGAGTAGACTGGGCTCTGGTTTCAGACCAAGGGTGAAAAGAGGTGCTGCACCACAGACAGTATGAGAACAATAAAGAGCTTTTTGAACATTAAGGCATGGAGACATGTCCCAGTAGAGACACTACATACTGATATACACCTGAACATCAGCAGGAGAGGACTCTTTAAAATAGAGACACTACATACTGATATACACCTGAACATCAGCAGGAGAGGACTCTTTAAAATAGAGACACTACATACTGATATACACCTGAACATCAGCAGGAGAGGACTCTTTAAAATAGAGACACTACATACTGATATACACCTGAACATCAGCAGGAGAGGACTCTTTAAAGTAGAGACACTACATACTGATATACACCTGAACATCAGCAGGAGAGGACTCTTTAAAATAGAGACACTACATACTGATATACACCTGAACATCAGCAGGAGAGGACTCTTTAAAGTAGAGACACTACATACTGATATACACCTGAACATCAGCAGGAGAGGACTCTTTAAAGTAGAGACACTACATACTGATATACACCTGAACATCAGCAGGAGAGGACTCTTTAAAGTAGAGACACTACATACTGATATACACCTGAACATCAGCAGGAGGGGACTCTTTAAAGTAGAGACACTACATACTGATATACACCTGAACATCAGCAGGAGAGGACTCTTTAAAGTAGAGACACTAAATACTGATATACACCTGAACATCAGCAGGAGAGGACTCTTTAAAGTAGAGACACTACATACTGATATACACCTGAACATCAGCAGGAGAGGACTCTTTAAAGTAGAGACACTACATACTGATATACACCTGAACATCAGCAGGAGAGGACTCTTTAAAGTAGAGACACTACATACTGATATACACCTGAACATCAGCAGGAGGACTCTTTAAAGTAGAGTCACTACATACTGATATACACCTGAACATCAGCAGGAGAGGACTCTTTAAAGTAGAGACACTACATACTGATATACACCTGAACATCAGCAGGAGAGGACTCTTTAAAGTAGAGACACTACATACTGATATACACCTGAACATCAGCAGGAGAGCACTCTTTAAAGTAGAGACACTACATACTGATACACACCTGAACATCAGCAGGAGAGGACTCTTTAAAGTAGAGACACTACATACTGATATACACCTGAACATCAGCAGGAGAGGACTCTTTAAAGTAGAGACACTACATACTGATATACACCTGAACATCAGCAGAATATGTCCCCCCCCCCCCTTTAAGATCCCTCAAATACATGAATCTCGTATTTAAATGTTTACACAAACATCAGTTAAACGGAAACGTTTGTATACTGTTCTCATTTGAATGTGGGCTATGAATATGCGGTGAGTTGCCCAGCACTGGTGAGAATCCCCAGCATCATCCTTCATTTGATTGAAGTGTATTTCTTTTTTCCTTTTGTGATTACAGATGACAGATTTTAAGACCCCCATAGTTCTGGATACGGGCTCTGGTTTGATGAAAGCAGGATTTGCAGATCAGGACCTCCCAAACATTATATTCCCAACAATCATTGGGATGCCAAAATACGAGGTAAGGGCATACACTTATGTGTACAACTAAATGTTCTCTACAAAAAAGCATTATAACGTGGCTTTGACTTTAGCTCGCCTCTAATCAGAAGTTTTGTCTTTGTAGGAAATAATGAACGGTAACCTTGAGAGGGAGACCTACATTGGACACGAGGCTCAGCACATGAGGGGGGTCCTGGCTCTGAGGCATCCCATAAAGAACGGGATCATTCGCAACTGGGACGACATGGAAAAGGTAAGTGGGACTGGATATGACTAATACAGTAGGTACAGTATGATGTCACTGGGAGTATATCTCTATGAAATGGATGCGTTATTTTCAAGAGGGGCAAGCTTTAAAACCCGGCACTGTGTTTATATAAATAGTATAGTATGAGTGGATCAGTTCCACAACTTTTCCACTTAATTCAAGTCACATTTTCCTCCGTCATAACTCATAAACACTAATCTATTACTATATAACAGATATTTGTATGATTCTTCATTAAATGTGGAGGCTTGGAAGAACACGTTTTTTTTACTTTAATTTGACTGAATGAGTGTTGGTGCCGCATAACTAAGCGCTATCCATTTTAGAATTTTGTTTTATGTTGTAAATAAATCAGCCGCAGATATTAATCGGCCCATATTTGTACTAAATTGCGTCTTAATGTCTCTGTTAATCCCAACCTCCCAAAAGCAGATGACGCATCAATTCTGAAATGAAACGTTATCAATTCTCATTTTTCTGCTTCTTCCTTTAAAAAATAAATAAAAATCTGTTCTTACAACAACACAGCTGGACAGAAACCCACTGCCGTCCAATTCTTCTTTTTCCCCCGGGCACACATTGTGTTCTGACATTTAGTAGTCCAGTGATCACATTGATCAGCTAGAAGAAAGGTACACCTTTTAGTAGGTAACCATGGAGAGGGGAGCTTTGACTTCTTTGACTCCCTTTTCTTGTTTCAGATTTGGCAACACACGTTCCAGCAGCTGGGTGTGGACCCGGACAATCACCCTGTCCTGCTTACGGAGGCGGCCATGAACCCCCTGGGGAACCGGCAGCGCATGGTGGAGATCATGTTCGAGTGCTTCAATGTTCCCTTCACATACGTGGCCATGCAGGCCGTGCTGGCCCTTTACGCAGCGGGGAGATCCACCGGTACGTAGGCCAACTCTCCAATCTAGCTTTATTTATGTAGCACTTTAAAACCTCCAGACCAAAGTGCTGTACAGAGAGATACAGAAAATATAAAATCACTCGGCTCACAAAACATAAAAATAAGTATAAAATGACATAAAAGGTACAAACACAAACCAGAATAAACGTAACAATTATAAAAAAACAAAACGGCCACATAGTAAAAACAATAGACCACTGAAAGCAAATAAAACTTGGTTTTGAATGCTAAGGAGAAGAGGTGGGTTTTTAGACGGGATTTAAAAACAGACAGTGTGGGAGCCTGTCTGATTAGCAAGGGTTAGTCGTTCCACAGTTTAGGGGCGGCAGCAGAGAAAGCATGGTCCCCTCTGAGCTTTGACTTTGTTTTTGACACCCTCAGGAGCAATTGATCAGCTGACCTGAGAGTGCGAGTGGGCGTGTAGCTGTGTAACAGCTCAGAGAGGTAGGCCGGGGCCAGGCCATTGAGGGCTTTAAAAGTAAATAAAAGAGTTTTAAAATTAATCCTCGAATGAACGGGCAGCCAGTGGAGTGAAGATAAAATGGGGGGAAATGTGCTCGTGTTTGCGTGTGCCAGTTAACAGCCGTGCTGCTGCGTTTCGCACCATCTGCAGGCGAGCAAGGGAGGACGCACTTATCCCCATATATAGTGCATTACAGTAATCCAAGCGGGAGGTGACGAAGGCATGGATTACCATTTCAAAAAGGTCACTACTTATAAAAGGCTTTATTTTGGCTAGCTGCCTGAGGTGGAAGAAGCTGTTTTAAACGACTGCCTGGATCTGGCTGTCCAGCTTGAGTTCAGGGTCCATCTTTATACCAAGATTTGTTATGGTAGGCCTGGTGGAGTGGCCCAAGGATCCTAGGTCTATAGGAGTGGTCCGAGGGGCACCAAAAACCATCACTTCGGTTTTGTCATCGTTTAATTAAAAAAGTTGCATGCCATCCAGGACGTAATGTCTTCAAGGCAGTTTAACAGTAGTTTAATTGAGTGCGAGTCGTTCTTTTTAAGTGGCACATATATTTGGCAATCGTCTGCATAGCAATGAAAAGCGATGCCTTGCTTCCTGATAATGGACCAGAGAGGAAGCAAATAGAGGGAGAATAACAGGGGGCCTAACACTGAGCCCTGTGGAACCCCACAAAGGAGAGGAGCAGACGAGGACTCAGAGTCCCCAAGGCTGACGCAGAAAGTCGAGCTATCAGGATCTCATGGTCCACTGGAAGACCTTGAGTACATTGTACTCTTCCAGAAAAGAGAGAAGTTGACGGTAAACAATCTTCTCTAGGATTTTCTACATAAAAGGCAATTTGGAAATGGGCCTAAAGTTTGCAAGAACTGTGGGATCCAGACTAGGTTTCTTAATAACTGGTTGTACAACTGCATGTTTCCAATTTTCCGGAACAACCCCTGTGAGCAGACTGCTGTTAAAAACCCAAGAACAAATAGTCCTACAGTGTGGAATACCTCTTTAAAAAACCGAGGAGGGACAGGGTCAATTGGAGAACCAGAGGGCTTTATCTTGGAGACAATCTCCTGCACAGAGGACAGAGTCATAGGCTCAAAACGGTCAAAAACAGCAAAGCAGGGCGCAGAGACAGAGGTGTCGTTTGCTGGAGCAGTGATTTGAGCCCTAGCTGAAGTGACCTTATTAATAACAAATTGAAGAAAATGTTCACAGATTGCAGGGGAGGTCTCCACACAGGTAGTCAGAGGGGCATTAAGAACTGAATCTATTGTCTGAAACATTACACAAGGTTTGTGACAGTTTAAAGCAGTGATTCTCAAATAGGGGTACGCGGACCCCTAGGGGTACTGCAGGGGGTACGTGAGATTTGAAAAAATAAATAAAAAGTTAATTAAAAAAATACCATGCATGATTACAAAAATAATCTTAGTACAATAAGTTAAATAGAAAACACAATTGTGTATAAAATATTCCTAGAACCACCAAGGGGGTCCTCATATAAAGATGTTACATTTGTGTATTGTATTTTATAGTTTTGCATAATATATCATTTTGTTCATTGGTAACAGATATTACTTCAGTTGAAAAACTCCTTGGAAAAATCAGTTTAAAAAAATGTTATGTTATTTTTTTTCATGCATAAAATGAAAATATCCTTAGTTTGTTGTAATGCATGCATGAAGGAGTTAATAAATCACACACTGAGGGAACATCACTATATTGGAATTATTTGTATAGGCTTTTTCGATCAAAAATGTTCGGGGTCGGTCAGGGGGTAGTTGGCTGAGAAAATGTTTCAAAGGGGGTACATTACTGAAAAAGTTTGAGAAGCACTGCTTTAAAGAATGATGTCGGAGAAATTTTTTGTTTTTGCCTCTTTCACAGTTGTCTGATAGACGCCAACACTGCCTCAGCATTTGAAAAGAGACTTGTAGTTTGTCCTTATTCCATCTTCTCTCAGCTCTACGGCATTCACGTCGGGCAGCCAGAGTCGTGGCATTTAGCCAAGGCTCGGATTTAGTTTTGGGTTGCCTTGTTTTTAATGGAGCCACAGTGTCCATAGCAGCTTTACATGTGGAGTGAAACCATAAGCTAAGCTCCTCCGTAGTGTTAGACATAGGCTCATGAATAACACCGTTTTTTATGATATATACAACTCTGTTAGTGTACTTGTGCTTTACGGTGGCTAGAAACACCACTTTATGAAGTCATAAAGTCTTCATAAGGACTTGAACTTGCATCTTCATATGTTTAAACTTCTTTCTTAAAGCCATTTTTTATGTTATTGGATCAAAAATGTGATCCATTTGAAAATCATTGCGCTTTTATTTGTATTTAAAGGTGTGGTGTTTGACTCTGGAGACGGGGTGAGCCACAGCGTGCCAGTGTTTGAGGGATACTGTCTGCCTCATGCAGTGCAGCGCTTCCCTCTGGCTGGTGTAGATGTTACAATGCATCTGAAAAAGGTATTCATCTCTTTTCTTTTGATTATGTTTCACAGTTTATTGGCAGTAATGTGAATGGATAACACTTCCGATTGGCTTTGGGGTTTTGTGAAAAATGTTGTACAAAGAGGAATTATTTACGTGAATATTTAGCCAATGTTGCACAGGGTGCTTCGAGCGTCAGCGGACATTCATTGGATTATTGGATCGTGCTTCATTAAGTAAATATTGCAATGATGACGACAACCATCTAATTTGGACACTTACCACAATAACTGTAGTCAAAAACAGCCTTTGCCTACTTTAAAACATGGAAGCTTATCAAAACAATATTTTATTATGTTATTCATCCAACCCTGTTAACATGACTGAATGCCAGTTTGTAATTTCATTTGATTCATTAAGATGATAAGAAGGGCCTCTTGCAATTAAATTGCCATAAAGGCTTCAAATGTTTTTAAAGTTTTTAATCCATCATTTATGTAGCTTTTAAATCATCCGAAATACTCTTCTGATTGATATCATAACTCTGCTGCTCACAGCTGTTCTCGGCTATACCCCACTGGGATACCTGTTCAAGTAGATGAACCAATGATCTGTTTGTGACCCACCCATATACAAAGTCATAATGGAACATCTCTTACATGACACTTATCTCAAAGTATACTAATAAATGTTAGTCAAACTACTGACTGTTTCTTTTTGTAATGGTTTTTTTGTTTGTATATTCAGCATAAAACCTTGTACATGTTAACTTGTGGCCTCTCTTACTTAGAAAAACTGTAGAGAACTAAAGTATAAAGACATAAATAAAAGAATAAATTTGTTTGCCTTAGACATTTCCCACTGTGATACATTTTCCATTTAAGTTGGTAAGTAATTGTTTACATTATATAGACCTCTCTTATATATCCATCCACTGCTCTCTTATATCTATCATTATCAATCACACATTTATATTTCCAAGGTATACAATTGTGCATTCCTTGGGTATTGAATAAGCCAGAATGTCTCCAACAGTAGCATACACATTTACCCAAAATGTACTTAGTTTAAATTGACTAGTGATTTGTGACTGTCCACATCACAGAGCAGCGTGTTCCAGTCCCTGTGTGGTGTGATTGAAACTGTAACTGCCTCTTCCATCCCCTGACTGACGTTCTGTGTGCCTGTGCTTCAGCTGCTGCAGGAACAAGGGGTCAGCATGCGCACCTCAGCGGAGATGGAGATAGTGAGGGAGATGAAGGAAAAGTGCTGCTGTGTGGCTCTCAACTATGAAGCTGAGCTGAGTCAGGGGGAGGCGTCCAGCGCAGAGATGCATTACAACATGCCGGATGGACAGATCGTCACCCTCAGCTCGGAGAGGTTCAGGTAACCGTCTGCACATCGAGGACACTCAATGTACACTAGAAGGCTGGAAAGTCATTTCATTCAGCATTGGAGGACAGCATTAGCTCAGTGAAACATACTAAACAAAAATAGATCTATCATTAGCATGGTACCTCTGCCAACTGAGTGTGTTTATAGGAAGATCTATTTCATTATTTGAGTTTGTCAGGCAAGTGCTGACCAGTTCCTCTGAGATGCAAAGGTGGGAGAAGTCCTCAGATCTTGTACTTGAGTAAAAGTAGAAGTACCAGAGTGTAGGGTTACCCTGTTACAAGTAAAAGTCCTGCATTCAAAATGTTACTCAAGTCAAAGTATTAGCATCTAAATATACTTCAAGTAGTAAAAGTCAAAGTACTCGCAATGCAGATTTCAGAATAATATATATGATATGTTTTATAATGATTGATCATGAAAGTGTTCTCAAAGCTGGTAAAGGTGCAGCTAGTTTGAATGACTTTGTATACTGCAGGGTAGCTTGTGGATTTACTCCAGGTGGAACTAAAGTCTGATTCAACACTTGATTATATTTCACATCATTCATCCACATCTGGAAAGTAACTAAAGGTATTAAATACACGTAGGCGAGGAAAAGTACACCATGTACCTCTGAGTTGTAGTGGAGTAGAAGTACATAGTAGCCAATAATTGAAATACTCAAGTAAAGTGCACGTACCTCATCATTTTGACTTAAGCACAGTACTTGAGTACAAGCACTTAGTTACACCACTGCTTGAAAGTGCAAAGCATATTGAAAGGCTTTCAATCTTCATGTCATTTTTACTATCCAGTACTTTGATGTTTGACACAAAACATAACACGTAACACGAACATTAGCCTCAGTTAGTGTCTAATGCTAAATAGCACGTGGGGACTCGGCTTGGAAACTTGAGTCTGCGGTTCAAGTGAACTTGCCTCCCAGGTATTGCTGACGTTTCTCATGATTCTAACATGGGTCAGGACAGGAGTCACCAGTTTAAGGATAAATCTGACTTAATCTGTACAATAATAATGTCAAAGCCCACTTCAGAGGGCAGATGTCTCTTCTAACAGTCCACTCAAATAGCTTTATAACTTCCCCTGTTCCTCCAGGGCCCCTGAGATTCTCTTCAAACCCGAGCTGATTGGACAGGACCATTATGGGATGCATGAGAGCGTTTACAAGTCAATCCTCAGCTCAGACATTGACCTGCGGCGCAGCTTCCTGGGAAACATCGTCCTGTCAGGTAACGGAGGGTTGTTGTTGTTAAGCTGTTGCACTGACTGCTGCCATGCTCTAATCCTGAGGAGGGGTTTAATATGAAGCCAGATCAGAGCGAGGTATGATGAGCCTAAAGTCAGAGTTTTCTATAGTACCCAAGTGGCTCTCTTTTAACCTGGCTAGATTGCCATGGTTACTTAGGCTGCAGACACTGTTTATGTTCAGAGTTTAAGCTTGAAATCAGCAGATACCGCTGTTCACTAACAAGTTATTTTAAAGAGTGTGTCTTTGTAGTCAATCTGAGAGGTAAATATTCTAAACTGAGGAATAAGTTGTATATGTAATTTTGTGGAGCACTAACGGTACATTTATGCCACATTTATTTATCTAGGAAACCAGACTAGCTGAGTCTGGTTCTATCAAAGAGCAAAACTACACTTTCTTCTGGATGGGGAAAAGCCAAAGATGAACACCGCACACACGGCGTAGGCTTTGCAGTGTCCAACAAGCTGGTGAAAGAGTTTGACACCCCTGTCGGTGTGTCAGAAAGGATCATTTCCTTGACGCTCAAGCAATCTGCCAGCCCAATACATCTGATATGTGCCTACGCTCCCACACTGCCGAGTGAAGCTGCGGTCAAGGACCAGTTCTACGACAGCCTGGCAGGCGTCTTGAACAAGATTCCCCCCGAGGACTGCGTGATGCTGCTCGGCGATTTCAATGCTCGTGTTGGCGCCAATTATCTGGCATGACCGGATGCAATCGGTCACTTTGGTGTTGGGAAAATCAACGAAAACGGACAGCGAGTTCTCGAGCTGTGCAGTGAACATGGGCTCTGCATCGCAAACACTTGGTTCCAGCAGAAGCAACGTCGGCGGGTGACATGGATGCATCCGCGGTCCAAGCACTGGCACCAGCTAGACTTAGCTTTGGTCAGAAGACGTGACATTGGCCTAGTCAGATGCTCCAGAACTTACCACACTGCTGATGGTGATACCGACCACTCGCTTGTTCTAACCCAGATGAACATGCCTAAACAAAAACCTACCCCAAGACAAAAAGAGAAGCCGTGCCAAAACACCTCAAGAATGAAGTGCGCAGAAAATGTCATAGCATTCCGGAAGTCGTTTGCAAAGAAGATGGCTGCAAGCAGTACCGGCACAGGACCAGAAGAGAACTGGTAGAGCCTGCGAGCTGCTATGCATGACGCGGCTACCGAATCTTTTGGCACAAAAAGGCCGCCGCAAGAAGACAGGATGGTCGAAAGTGCTGTAGTCCTGGAACCGATGTTCACTGACAAGAACAAGGCGCACAAAGTGTACAATCAACGGGCAACACAGAGTTCTCACTGCACTCAAGGATGTGCAGCGTGAACTTCAGAGGACAGCTCGATCCTGTGCTAACCAGTACTGGAACAAGCTCTGCGATGACATCCAACTGGCTTCAGACACTGGTAACCTGCGGGAACTGTACAGGGGCCTGAACAAGGCTATTGGGCCGAGAGCAAAGAAGGTGTGTTCGCTGAAGTCTGCAGAAGGAGCACTGATCACTGACACAGGGCAACAGATGTCACGATGGGTTGAGCACTACTCAGAGCTCTATGGCAAACCAAGGAGCATCAGCCATTTGGCTTTGACATCAATGCTGAGCTGGAGAACTTGCCAACCATGGCAGAGCTAGTGAATGCACTGAAGCACACTGCTGAGGGCAAAATAAACCACTGCACATGGCGTTTGTCGACCTGACGAAGGCGTTCGACATGGTGAGTCGGGAAGGACTGTTCGCCATCTTGCATAAACTAGGCTGCCCACCGACGCTGGTCAAATCGCTTCACGAGGACATGTCAGCAACGGTTTTCTTTGAAGGATCTACTTCAGATAGCTTCTCCGTTCGCAGTGGCGTCAAACAAGGCTGCGTGTTAGCGCCCATGCTCTTCGGCATCTTCTTCTCTGTTGTGCTGCATCATGCATTCAACGATCACGTGGACGAAGACGGCATTTTCCTGCACACGCGGTCAGATGGGAAGCTGTTTATTCTGGCCCGACTGCGCGCGAAAAGAAAGGTACGGAAGGTGCTAGTTCGTGAGCTCTTATTCGCGGACGACGCAGCTCTGGTGTCTCTCAGCGCAGCTGGTCTACATCGCCTGATGGACAGATTCAATGCAGCATGCTCTGAATTTGCACTGATCATCAAAAAGACAGTTGTTATGCACCAAGCAGGAAGCACAGCGTCGCCGGTAATGGTGAACGAGCATGTGCTGGAGACTGTTGACCAGTTCACGTATCTTGGCGCAACAATCAGCAGTGACCTGTCATTAGTTAAGGAGACTCGTATCAGCAAAGCTGCAACGTCTTTCAGTCGTTTGCGCTCAAGAGCCTGGAGCAATAAATACCTCACCGAGCGCACTAAGACACGTATCTACCAATGTTGCGTGGTCAGTGTCCTGCTGTATGGTTCCGAGGCGTGGTCAACTTACGCGCGGCACGAAAGAGCTAAATGCTTTTCACATGCGGTGCCTGTGCAACATCCTCGGAATCACATGGCGGAACAAGGTCACGAACAAGGCGGTGCTGGCGCGTACGGGCAGCAAGTCAATGTTCCAAACACTGAAGGTCAGGTGGCTGCGGTGGCTCGGTCACCTTCGCAGAATGCCAGATGGCCGCCTGCCAAAAGACATCTTATACAGCGAGCTGAGTGCTGGTTCCAGAGGCAGAGGACGACCACTGCTGCGCTTCAAGGAGGTCGTAAAACATGACATGAAGGCCCTGGACATTGCGACGGACAACTGGGAGAGGCTGGCGGAGGACCGGACGAAGTGGCGCCAGCAGCTGCGCGAAGGTGGTGACCGACTTGACAAAGACTGGATTCGTGGACTTGCTCAAAAACGTGGACATACTGTATCTCTCTGATTGCGCTGTACAATCTCTTGTAGATTTTCTTGCCAATAATCATTTATCTTCAATAAATGTGACAATCTATCAGTGATACATAACAACAGAACAATAAATGATTCTTCAGTATGAAGTTTATTTGCAGATGTAATGCGGAAAAAGGTCTTAAAAGCGTGATTTCACCACTTAGGAATATGATTTTATGGCTCACCCGTATTTGCTTTTTAAGAGTTGCCGAATGCAGTGGTCAAATTAGAAAGAATCAGGAGGCATAGATTGCATTGAGTGGTCAATTAAACTAGTCATGAAATTACAGTAAAAGTACTTTTCTTCCAATATTCCTCTCTTATTTGGTGATTTATTTGATTGTATCCTTATAAGGTGGAAATGGGCGGAAATCAAACCCCCCCCCCCCCCGTTCCAGTTAATGTGATGCTCTTTTCTGAATGATTTCTCTTGCTGAAACCGGTAAACAGGACCACTTACTGTTGCAGTAATATTTACAGGAGATGGACAAAATGTGGATTTGCGTTATAAGAAACATGTGTTCTAGAAAACCGCTGAGTCATGTTACATGATCTTCCACCCGAGTCAACTTTTGGTTAGAACATATGAATAGCTGGTAAGGAAGTGCAGATCCATGGAGGAAGATGTGATGTACAGTATGGACGTGTTGTGCCCGTCACTTGATCTCAGTCTGTTGAATCAGCAGGTACAGTGTGGTGTCTAAAGTTAACCTTTTCTATTTGAGTGCAGTGTATTTCCACCAATGTTCTTAGTTTTTCTCAAATGTTGTCTGAATGGATTTTAAAAACTTGCACAGTGGTGTTGATGCTTTGATTCAGTCCTGTTCCAGTGAATGTCCCACTCTTTACTGAATGCATTCTCTCGCTGCAGGCGGAAACACTCTGCTGCCCGGCCTTCCTGAGCGGCTCCAGGCTGAAATCAAAGGACTGGTTCCCACGGACACGGGGGAGAACGTTCGCGTCACCAGCCCCAAGGACCGAGACTTCTCAGTGTGGAGCGGGGGGGCAGTGCTGGCCAACCTGCCCACCTTCAGCTCCGCCTGGATCAGCCAGGAGGAATACGAGGAGCACGGGCCGCAGATAGTCTTCAGGAAGTGCTTCTGAGACGGCCTGAGGAACGTTAAGTGCAATATCACACAGCTCTAATGCAGTGTCATGGATAGTATGAGCCATTATAAGCCCTTTTTCAAATATTTGTCTTTTTATGTATTAAGTTTACCCTCTCTTAATTAGTATGGATCCTCATTTGTGAACATTTAAGAGACACAAGGGTTTCCCTTGACCTGCTGCTCTTTTGACGGCTTTTCTACTTTGATCCACAAAACCTGGGAGGGGGGGAAACTGGAGTTAGTGTCATACAATTCCTGTCAGTCCATGTTATTGTCCCTCAATACATTTGACCTATGTCTAAAGTTTCCTATTTGGGAATATATATATATATGTCTCAATAATTTAAGCACAAGTGTATTGATGTTTTTGGGACTAGAATTGAAGCTGGCCTTTAATCGATGTCTGCCAACTTTGTTTCCAGGATAAGCATATGAGGGACATTAGGAGAACTAAATATGCTGACTCCAAAAATATGTATTAATCTAATATCAAATGATGTATTTATTCAACAATTCTTTTAAATTAATTTGCTACAACAAACTGTCTTTATGTGTGTTATACATGGTGATGGTTGCATTCATTTTGAAACCGGGGCCAGTGCAGCTGTGTCATGTTCACAATGACACAGCTGCACTGGCATTCAATCATTCTTACAATGAGTTTTATGGCCAATGTTAGGACAAACATGTTCTGATGATACCATGACGTAGTACTCATGACGTTGCTCTGTTTCCCAGATTTTTTTCTTGAAATGTTACTATTTTTTTTAATGACATTTTTATTGTAACATTACAACTTTACATTACTTTTTAAGTTTTTTTCCCTGTGTTTATATCCTGATGTTTTCAAAGTATTTTTCATGATTGAACATTTTGGGGTGTAATGGTTTATTCTCAATTTCTTACATGTTTTTTTTTTCCTAGCAGTGGCCCTAGTAATTCCAAATCAAAGCAAAAACATATTTGAACAAGACCACTTACTGTTGCAGTAATATTTACAGGAGGGATGAAATGTGGATTTGTGTTATAAGAAGCATGTGTTCTAGAAAACTGCTGAGTCATGTGTTACTCAGATGTTGCATGATCCTGCACTTAAGTCAACTTTTGGTTAGAACATATGAATGTATCTGGTAAGGAAGTGCAGATCCATGGAGGAAGATGTGATGTACAGTATGGACGTGGTGTGCCTGTCACTTGATCTCAGTCTGTTGAATCAGCAGGTACAGTGTGGTGTCTAAAGTTTTCTATTGGAGTGCAGTGTATTGCCACTAATTTGTTTGTTTTTTCTCAAATGTTATCTGAGATGAAAACCGTGTTTGTGTGGGTTTTTTAAACTTGTACAGTAGTGTCGATATCAGTGAAGTGTGCCAACCGTGCCAAAACGTGTACGTTTTTATTTTTCACCATGGATCCTAAATGCCCTCTGCCGAACCTGTGTATATTTATACTGTTCTTTTTTGACTGTTTATCATTTGCATGGAGTTGTTTTGTTGCATGTTTATTTGAACCTTTTTTGCATGTATTCTTGTCTTTATGTTTTAAGAGGTTTTGTCTCTCAAAGCACAGGGTAATCATGTGACCAAAACCATAGTATTTATGTCTAGTCTGTTTTTTTTAAACAATACATATTTTAATCCTTATTATTTTGTGCTGTCCCTTTTTTGTTCTGCAGACAGCCTCTTTGTTACATCTGGGGTTAAAACTCACATCAAAATTAAATACTCTAGTTGAAATTAAATTTTTACTAATCATATTAATTTAGTGTAAAGCACTGGATTTGATTTTAAAATAACTTGCTCCACTCAGTTAATGCAATGTACTTGTTCAATCATAACTGATTTAATTACAATTCCTCTTAACATCTAGCTAAACACATGTTGTTGTTTTGGCTTCCAGCTTCAGCTACCTCACCATGGTAATAACCGCAGAGGTGGATTTGATATTTAAGGTAAAAAAAAGGATTTGAGGCCCTCTATTATTGGCACTAACTCAAAACTAGTTTCAAACATGGAAATCACAGCAATCCTCTGAATTGCCAGCAAAAAAACCAAAACATTCAAACGATAGTGTTTATGGCAGATGTATTGACAATTATCTTGCAAGTGTAATGTATGTTTGTTAGATTGAATATGTTACGCAATACCTTACTGATCAGGTTCTATGACTTTAATGCTACTGGACTGATTCTTTAAAATGTGTTTTTTTGCACAAAGTAAGAAATGAAATATTACAGTACATCATACTGCCAAGAATAAAATGTAATGGTGTTACTTTGATCAACTTTAGACAGTGGTGGAATAAGTACTCGGATGTATAAGTAAAAGTAGTAATACTAAATTATAAAAGCTTCCCCTTAATTTACAGTCCTGCATTACAAATGTTACTTAAGTCAAATAACACAATTATCAATATATAGCATCAATACCTATTGAGTACCAAAAGTACTTGTTAAGCATAATGGCCCATTTCAGACTAATATATCATAAACGACTGTATTATGATTGTTGATGCATCACGGTTGGTAAAGATGGAGTTAATTGAAATTACTTTGTATACTGTTGCTGGATATTTAAACCTATAATTGTATGTCAATGTTTATTTATTAGTGTGTTTATATTTAGTATTAGCTTAATCTGAATCTGGTCACTAGCAACTAAACCTGTCATATACATCTAGTGAAGTAAAAAGTACAATATTAGCCTCCAAAATGTAGTGAAAGATAACTACTTAGTTAAAGTACAAGTATTTCTACCTCAGAACTGTACTTAACTCCAATATCTGAGGAGGAATGTACTTCATCACATCCCAACAAGGCATTCAGACATGAGTCAGTCTTGAAATCCACCTTCGTCTTGCAAAAACAGGAACAGTTAGATTATAGCGCCCTCTAGTGGACATGGAGGTGTCAAGCAATACATCCCTGTGTTCACGCAATGTTACCATGGCAACCAGTTATCAACAGGCAGCTTTTGATGCCGCGTTAGCTGTATCAGCACACATTCAAACTAGGGTGGTTAAATAACTTTCTGTCAGTCAGAATGTCTGGGGCTCACGCAGAGAGCGTGATTAAAAACATTATCCGTGCGATAGTGCAGCAGTGTGCCGCGAGAGGACACGCGGTGTCGGACACTCTGGTCGCTTTCATGGTCAGTAAAGTGTTTACTCACATGCTAGTCAAGTTAGCTACCGAGAGTTAGCTTTACCAGTGACGTCAGCCAACGCCTGCTGTATGTTAATGCTTTAGTACCTTAGTACTTACTTACACATTGTAAGCAGTAAGGTGGAAGAAGTATTCAGATTCTTCACTGAAGTAAAAATACCAATACATAATCTTACTTTAGTAGTTAAAGTGCAGAAGTAACATCAGCAAAATGTAGGGAAAGTATTAATTCTGAAAAAATTGCCTCCGTGTGTGATTTACTATTATATATCCTCCTGGGAACCGAGGAAAACAAATGTGTTCCAATCTTCTTTATTTTTTATTTCCTACCTATTTAGGATTTAAAAAAACATCTTGCAATTTAGACTTTTTTTAAATTTAATTTAATTTTTAAATGTTACAGTATGTCCACTGTAGGACCATTTTAGTTTGAAAAGACAGCCAAAATGAACAGATAGACTATAGAGTGATATTAATACAATAATACATTCACCTTTATTTAAAACATAAATAAGTAATTGATCTGAACATTGCTGTTTATTTGGTCAATAAACAACTAGTTTGTTTTTGGTGAATCTTTCCAGATCTTCAAAGTCAATGTAGTCGATGTAGTGGGAAAGTACCTCATTGACTCCAGACGGCCCGGGCTGTAGGGTCATCTTGACTAGCTTTATGGATGTGATCTCCATTTGACCTGCTCATAGAAACAAAGCTTGCATTCCTGAGGCAACTCTCATTTTTCATGGCTCCACTTAAACTAAAAACAACATTAAGACATGCGTCTCACTCTGGACCCACAGAGGGCCAAGTCTTTCCTGCTCGTCCCTATCTGTCTATATATATGGGTATATATATATTGTTTATGACTATGAGATAATGTTGTCACGTCAAGTAGCATTTTACTCTTGTCAACAAACAAAGTTCTATAACAAAAAAATATTGACTTTTTTAATATATTTTAATAATTCGTACCTAACACAGTTAGTCCGCTTGTGGATTCTTTTAGAGATGCATTATGTAAAAGTTCTGAAAAGTAGCTAGTTTTTAAATTAAATGTAGTGGAGTAATAGAAAGATATTTTCAGTAAACCTAGGGGAAACTCTGAAAGTACTTAAAGTATACTAAAAAATGTACTTACGTAAAGTATTTGAGTAAATGTACTTTTCCCAACTGCCTGTCTTTAAACGCTCCTCTTTATCCTAGCCTGGCACCCATAGGTGACTCTTTACTCCAAACTGAAAAGGTTCTTTTCTTCTTCTTTGAGGTGAAAGCTGTTGTGCTAGACCCAAGGAATGGTTTCAATGTTGATCGAACACTGACCAAACAAGATGTCCAGAAACTGGAAGAGGTGAGATACTAAACTGGACTTCACTCCGACAGCCCCATTTGAGTTCGTAACATGGTTGGGAGGGTCGCTTTAAACATTACATTACATTACATTTGGCTGACGCTTTTATCCAAAGCGACTTACAATAAGTACATTCGACCAGGAAGACACAACCTTGAAGAAAACAGAATCATATAAGAACATCAGGTTTCATAGAGCCAAACATTTCAAGTGCTACTCAACTGGCTTTAGGTAAGCCAGTCCTTTATTAGTATATAAGTGCTTTGTTAATAGTTCTATCGCTCGAAGTGGAGTCGAAAGAGATGAGTTTTCAGTCTGCGCCGGAAGGTGTGTAAGCTATCTGCCGTCCTGATGTCAATGGGGAGCTCATTCCACCATCTTGGAGCCAGGATAGCAAACCCACGTGTTTTTGCTGATGGGAACTTGGGTCCCCCTCGCAGCGAGGGTGCAGCGAGTCGTTTGGCTGATGCAGAGCGAAGTGCACGCTTTAAACATGTATCCCGTTACAATGACTAGTTCCCTGTGATCTGAGTATCACAATATACTCACATAAAAGCTATCTGACCTTACGTCTCCAAGAGAAAATACATATCAATGAGAAGTGTTTTGACTAGTGTTATGTAAGACAAGAGAACAATGTGAACAAGTGAAGTGTTTACCAGCCGTGTCCACACTGCCAGCTAGAACATGATGCTGTTCACAGGAAGCAACCGTTTCAACATACTTTCATGTGTTTCTAATATTCATCTGCAATATATCCTGCAGCTGTGTCTGGGTAAACTGATGGAAGAGTGCAGCCCGTCCCTAGACACAATCAAAATGCAAGTGCACTTCGACATGAATTACACCTCCCGGCGTAAGTGTTACCCACAACATTACAAACTAATGCCATCTTTGTCATTATGAATTGAGTTTCTGGTGCATGGGTTGATCCTTTTAATAAGTAATGATAATGATCAATTCATTTTTGGGATCATTTGTTTGATTAAACAACGATGTTCACGTCTGTATCTGAAATGAGGGAGAAATGCCCGACCAACTTTACAACTCCCAATGAAAACAGCAAACAGAGATCCTATCTATCTTTAATAAATGACTTAAACAATACATTTATTATCAAAATGGTTGCTGCTGATAGATTTTCGGTTAATTCTACCACTCGTTTGTAAGCGTGAAGAGCATTATATATGTGTCACTTCTGTATGCAGGTTGGTTGAACCATGCTGAAATCAAACCAAATCACCCTGATGTAAATCCTGCTGCCTCACTTTATACCTAAGCATATTTCCTTTGAAGTGATGCACTCTGTAAAGAACTGTCTTAATGTTAAAACCAAATGTTTTTATTTAAAATCGGTCAAGACTTTTATATTTTGAACAGGTATTACAAGCACATAGCTTAAACATGATCATTCAATTCAGTGTATTGTTCCAGGTACAGCTCAGATGGTATTTATGCTTAGGTTGCAGACACTGAATGTTTGATAGACGCCTTTATTTGGTCATGTTTGGTTGATAGAAATGCTCTTTGTACTTGTCTTCATCAATAAGCTGTGGACAGGCTTCTGACTGTAGAAAGATCTGCCTAAGGGGAGCATACGTATAACACATGGTTTCTTCCCCGAATGGCTTTAGCTTGGAGATAATTGGATTTCTTTATTCTTAACTCTTTAAGATGAACCTCAGGACTAAGCAGGTACTTGTGTTTGTGCAGGAGAGTTTCTAGAGGAGATCCACCGGGTGCTGGAGTCCAGGCTGAGCTCAGTGAGCAGAGAGATCACTGACAGCAGAGTGAAAACACGAGAGGAATTTGACGCCTTGTATTGTAAAATCATCACGTACATCCAGCTGCGCTCCGCTATGGGCTCACCTACAGATGACACCGCCCTGAAAGAGGCTACAGGTTTCACTTCCGAAGTCTTTTCAGTTTCTGGGGAACTGCAGTTAAAGTGCGGTGACAGCATAACACCTTGCTGGAATGCAGGCTGAAGGCCGGTGCCACTTAAAAAGAAATTAACAAACGATGTTGCAGTCAATTAACCAGAGGAGAGAGAAGTACTCAGATCTTGTACTTGAGTAAAAGTAGAAGTACCAGAGTGTAGGAATACTTTGTTACGAGTAAAGGTCCTGCATTCAAAAAGTTACTCAAATAATAGTCAAGAAGTATTAGTATCAAAATATACTTAAAGTACCAAAAGTAAAGAACTCATGCAGAATAATATGTTCTGATTATAATTATTGATGCATTTAAGTGTTATCAAAGCTGGTAAAGGTGCAGCTGGTTTTAATGACTTTGATTTGTTGTGATCAAAAGGCAGAAACACAGAACAACATGGTACAACACACAAACATACTGTACCATGTGAAAGAACATACAGCTCCCTTACAAAACAAACAGAAACATAATTAGACAAAAGATAAATAAAAAAACCACCAATAGGCAATGAGTAGCATTAGAGTAGTATTAGTAGACATAGGAATCACAGCCGACTTTTCAAAGCCGCCGCCCTGCAACCCACACACTCAGATCATCCTCTCTCACCCCATTGATACGAGCTGTTATCAGTACGCACTTTGAGTTGCTCTCAGCTTTATAATCAAGCGTTGCCTTGTAAACAAGAAATGGTATGCTCGTTTTTAAATGTTGAACATTTTACAAAAGGTGACTTGCCAGCTTTTCAGGCTGATTTGAGTGTATCCTGACTCTGAGTGTTGTGTTCCAGCCGCCCTGCAGAGCGTCTTCCCTCAGACTGAGCTGGGAGCCTTCATGGTCCTCCTGAAGAGAGACAAGGAGCAGCAGCTCAGAGAGCTCACCATGATCGTCACAGGGATCAGACTGTTCAACAAAGCCAGCAAGAAGGGAGGCGAGGAGACTGACCTCCAGGAACTGAGTATAGTACACCATGCTACACACAAATTACACAAAATACCTGTTATCACCGACAATGCTATTCAGGGGGGGGGGGGGGGGAAACTGTGGCATGCGAAACTGTGGCATGCTTAATTGCGCCGCATTTGCGCATTAGATGAGCCTCCCTCCACAAGATGAGCCTCCCTCCACAAGATGAGCCTCCCTCCACAAGATGAGGCCCCCCCCGCGAGGTGAGGCCCCCCCCGCGAGGTGAGGCCCCCCCGCGAGGTGAGGCCCCCCCCGCGAGGTGAGGCCCCCCCCGCGAGGTGAGGCCCCCCCGCGAGGTGAGGCCCCCCCCGCGAGGTGAGGCCCCCTCCGCGGGGTGAGGCCCCCTCCTCGGGGTGAGGCCCCCTCCGCGAGGTGAGGCCCCCTCCTCGGGGTGAGGCCCCCTCCGCGAGGTGAGGCCCCCTCCTCGGGGTGAGGCCCCCTCCGCGAGGTGAGGCCCCCTCCGCGAGGTGAGGCCCCTCCGCGAGGTGAGGCCCCTCCGCGAGGTAAGGCCCCACGCAAGTATCTTGCCCAAGGACTCTTCAAAGTCAACTTAATTATCAATAATTAAACAGGATGACCGAAATGCCTCTTCTCAGCGTCCCAAAGATTAAAATATATAAAAAATATATCCATATATGTATATATACACCAAAAAAATGTAAATGCACATTGATTAATACATAAAAATAGCAATCTGGTATATTAAAACAGATGAGTATATGACAGTGTATGACTATATATAAAAAGCAGTACAAATATATATACAAGTAGTCACTTTGACATGTTGAAGGAGGAAGTTCAAATCTGAGCCCCAAGTGTTGATTGAAAAGAACTTACGAAATGAACATATCTAAGTGAATCAGAAAGGTCCATACCTCATCATTTAGTTGTCTATGATTTTTGGAATCCAGACCATAGAAGTGTTATGTTTCATCAAGAAAAAGTCAGCTTTTTATTTTGTGTCATCAGTCTAGGTTATTTTCTCTGCTATGTCAATACTGCGTTTGGTAATTATAGTACCTCCTTTTCTTTCTCTCCTCAGTGCCTTCCATTCTTAATGAAGCTCTTCCAGTCACCAGTAAGAGCATAGAAAAGGAGCTGAGTGTGTCACAGACTCTGGCGTGGAGATACACCTCCGTGCTGGAGAAGCAGTCTGACAGTCAGCCTGCAGAATGTGACCCCCCCGCCGTCCTGCTCAAACAGGCTCTCTACAACGTCCGGCAGCATGAAGTCTTTCTCAAAATGTTACTGGTAAGAAAAAAAAAAAAAAACGCTTTGTATCAATGTGGCATTTAAATTTATCGAGCTTACATTCATTACAATTATTCTGTCAATGAATATGATGAACAGCCATTTTGTGCAGCTTATTAAGTAAAATAAGTCGTTTTTGACATCTCGGAGTAGCATGTATAGTAAACAAATCAATTGTTTCCCTTTGCCAACAGGCTGATGCATGTTTATGTGCCAAGCATGTAGAAATGCTGCAGACTGCACTCTCATCACAAATGAAGCTGCTGAAAGAAACCATACAGGCAAAGACAGCTGTACCCACTGCAAACGTTTTTGTAAGTGTCTTGGTCTTGAAACTTAAAGGGATAGTGGAAATGGAACCTCAAATAGTTTCGTTTTAACTTATATACAAGCATAATTACGTACCAAAACAATCACACCTGATTAAAACAATATAATAATTGCCTTACGCATGTTAGAAGCACTTTATTGCAGCTTCCCCGAAGTTTTTTAGAAACGAAATGTTCGACTCAGCCAAACCGGAAGTGACGAAAACTCAGGAAGACGATACGATAACAAACCATGGCGTCTATGCAGAATGAACGTGGAAGGGCAAATATACCAGACAAAGAAGAAGGATTGTACGAGGTATCCAGTGATGATAGCGAGTCAGAAACATCCTCTCGGCTTTCCTACGAAAATGTCGTTTTAGGAACTGAATCTGAATCCGGTTCAGTAAGCGACGATGGTGACAATATTGAGCCAGACGATGGACCATTACGTCCTTATTTGTTCGAGCCCGAGCCCGAGGTGATGGTTCACGGCATGGGCAATGGCGAGGATGACCAGGACCAGGCGCCAGATGATGCACCCCTACGCACAAATAATCTTGACTGGTAGGTCCCTAAGCATAGCTCACGCATCTTAAGATCACCTGTAGCCTTTACAAATATTAATCATTGTTAACCAGTTAAGCCCGAAGGTCCCCCCAGTGGACCCCTCCCACAGTTGTTTTTCTCTCACATGTCTCAGGGCTTCTTAACATTTATGAAACTATTAATGTTTCATACCCTTTTAAAGGTAAGAAACTCCGCTAACTGACAATAAGAACAATTGTTAGCTAGAAAAAACACAAGAGTAATACCAAGCCTTTGAATTAGCATTGAGCGAAACAATGCTAACTAATGCTAACGCTTTTTTACACACAACACACGGTAGAAATGCCCTTATTACTATCTTAACTGCACAAACAAGATATACGATTTAAAGCTGAGACTCCACAGATGTAATGTCATCACTGTAAGACCTCGAATTCCTGGAGCTATCAGCCAGAAAAGAGAAAGTAAACAACATCCGGTTCCAAAAATATTACAATAATTACGTCTTACCTTTTTTGATTTGTGATCAAAAGTTGTGTTCAACGGAATAAAAACGCATCTCAAGGTTAATCCAATGTCGTTGTGTCACGTAGAATTGTTTACTGATAATCAATCATCATATTTATGGCAATATACTCGGTATAAAGTATTGCCGTCTTACAGTCTTATAGTATTACCTATAGTGAAAATTTCTGAACAAATTTCACCCACTGACGACGAATGGCTGGGTTTCTTGGAAAGGCATGAGTCGATACGCCATTCTCTGCATTTGCTGTCGCACTACAGCCATACAAAACACATCTATTCACCATAATAAAGGTCGGCTAATCACATGCAAATGCTATTGAATGTCCGCCATTGTTTGTGCCCGTCTTCCTCTGCTCTCGTCATCACCCGAAGATTCCCGACGATTCCCGAAGTATTTCGTTTCATTGAGAGGGCGCAGTAAAATTGAAAATAAAATGAAATTAGGCGCATGAAATTAAAAAAAATTGTTTATTATGCTTATTTTTAATACAAATACATAAGTGAAACCCAAAATTCGCGGATTTCCACTATCCCTTTAACACTATTAAAATAACTTAAAATGGAGACATGTTCATAAAATGTATGGACATGTCTCCATACATTAATGTTCAGAAAGCTCTTTATTTGTCTCACACTGCCTGTGCTGCAGCACCTCTTTTCACCCTCTGTCTGAAACCAGAGCCCAGTCTGCTCTGATTGGTTAGCTGGCCGGCTCTGTTGTGATTGGTTAACCGCTTAGAAATGTCCCGCCCCTTAACATATCACGTACAATGTGTTGAAGCACCAGCCAATAGAAGCGCTACTGTTGCATAGGGATGTCACTCTGTTACAGAAGTAAACAAAGGAGCCAAATAGAGCTGTTTCAGGCAGGGAGGGGGGGGGGGGTTAGCCTTTGCAGACCATTTACATGCAATAGAACACACTACAGGAGAGGGAAACCCCCAGAAGCACAATAGGGCCTCTAACTTATTTTGTTTTAGCAGAGAGTTGGTATTATGTTTTATATTGTTTATTCTGTAGATATTTGATCATATTTTGAACCCACGCCTTGTTAACATTCTGCTGTAACAAACCCATTTCCCACTTTTGGATCAATAAAGTATATCTAATGTAATTGTCTGTCACGTCTTGTTATGTCTTACCCATTTCTGTCCTTGCTCATGTCTTCCAGCCGCGCTTTAAGTCCCTGTCAGAGCTGTGGTCTGCACTGCAGGATGAGGCTCAGCTGCTGAACATCCTCAGGAGCATCCTGCTCAGCCTGCAGCCCTTCACTGCCTCTCAGGCCAAGATCTTCTCTGAGGCATGTGTGGACGGCCTGCTGGAGGCGGCAGAGGTGAAGACAGACCAACAGAGAATGGCTGAGTCGGCAGGTAAATAACAGTTGCAGTATACCTGCCTCTAAGGCTCTGGTTCCCAAACTATGGTTCCTGCTCCCACTAGATGCCCCTAAAACATTGACAGGTTGTTGTGAGGCCTTTTGGATGAGAAGAATTGTAATATCTCATTCATTTGTGTGAAGAAAACTGAATGAAATTGTTATTAGGATAAGTATTTAACATTTAAACTGAAGATGAAGATCTGAACACACTGTAAACACTTAATTTGTCATAACAAAGTATATTAAGAATGTATGATACATGATGATGAACAAGGAACATAACGCAGACAGAGAATTGTAATAGTACATCCTAAAAAAGAACAGGACATCTTGTCTATGATGCAGTGTGATGCAAACAGGAAATAATGTGCTCAAAGTGTGTCCAAATCACTAGATTTACACAGGTTCCTTCAGTTATGTATTACTTGGAATATATCAGTTGTTCTGTTCTGATAATATTATGCATTTATTATAATATGAAATATGTATGAAATATTCTTACAAACCTGAGAGACAAACATCTCTGAACCATGTTTAAGTTAGTGCTGATCTTAAATGCATTTGTTTTCCTTGTTATTTTACTTTGTTGTTGTTATATCTTGTTTTAACAATTACTTTTAATTATATGATCCTTATGTGAACTCTTATCTGTACTGTCCTGTATTTCACTCTTACTCTCTTGCTGCTTTAACTACTGAATTTCCCTACGGGCATCAATAAAGGTCCCTCTTATCTTGTCTTATCTTATCTTGTCTTATCTTGTCTTGTCTTATCTTGTCTTGTCTTATCTTATCTTGTCTTGTCTTATCTTATCTTGTCTTGTCTTGTCTTATCTTGTCTTATCTTGTCTTATCTTGTCTTGTCTTATCTTGTCTTATCTTGTCTTATCTTATCTTATCTTGTCTTATCTTGTCTTATCTTGTCTTATCTTATCTTGTCTTGTCTTATCTTATCTTGTCTTATCTTGTCTTGTCTTGTCTTGTCTTATCTTGTCTTGTCTTGTCTTATCTTGTCTTGTCTTGTCTTGTCTTGTCTTATCTTATCTTGTCTTATCTTGTCTTGTCTTATCTTATCTTGTCTTGTCTTGTCTTGTCTTATCTTATCTTATCTTGTCTTGTCTTGTCTTGTCTTATCTTATCTTATCTTGTCTTGTCTTATCTTGTCTTATCTTGTCTTGTCTTATCTTGTCTTGTCTTGTCTTGTCTTGTCTTGTCTTGTCTTGTCTTGTCTTGTCTTGTCTTGTCTTGTCTTGTCTTGTCTTGTCTTGTCTTGTCTTGTGTATTCCAGATGAGCGTATAGTCCCAGCTGAGATGAACACACAGGAGTGGCTCCTGCCTGAAACCACAACCAGCTTTGATGAGCTGCCGCTGCAGTATAACGGAGTCTGTGGCTACTCACTAGTGACCAGAGACGGGTTGCTACTCCCAGGTACTCTTCTCATGATACACCAGTGTGTAAGGAATATATGGATGTTGTCCAGTCTCTCCACGGCATTCATTGTGTTGCATTAGCTTTAACTCAAGATGTGATTTTAGACGCAAAAGAAAAATTCTAACTCTGCCTACTTTCACACTTTCACACATCTGGCCAATGTTTGCATGAAGTGGGCGATTGTTAAAATGTCTGTTTTTGTCATGTTCCTAGTTTTTTTGGTTGTTCTTTTTGTTTAACTTTGCCTGCCCCTGCAGTTTTTGTGTTTTTTAACAGCTTTTTATCTTAAAGGTCCCATGTTATGCTTTTCCGGTTATTACCCGTCCCCTTGTGTGTTATGTAGCTTTTTCTGCATGTAAACGGTCTGCAGAGTCACTAACCCTCAAAGTACACCCTGTAGCGGGTAAAACTCTAACACAGAGAAGACCTGTCTATGCTGCCCCAGAACGCCTCGTTGGACATTTCTCTTTTTCTTCCCGGGTATGCCCATTGGTCCATTTGGGTAGCTCCAACAAGCCGTGTAGGACAGAGAGTGAATACACATACTATACAGAGATGCTGTATGAGAAACCAATGTGAGTTTGGAACATTGAACAATGTACATCTATTCTAGTAGACCTCAACAATGGAAATATGATCAGTAGAAATGGCCATGACATGGGACCTTTAATAAAGCTTGCCTTATGTTTATATTCATTTAGCTGCCTCGGCCTCCTCTGTTTTTATGCACCAGTTAAGAATATCGCCTGAAAGATCCTCTGAGATCGCCTGCTCCAAATCCTCTTCCCAAAGAGCCTTCACAGAGTTTAGAGAGGTTGAAGATAGGGTTTGGATTTGATTCTAAATATATGCGATCATGCCTTTCATAAGGGGGAACCTACCTGAGTGAGAAAACATCAAGAGGCGTGTCGAACTGAAGCCTTATTTTTGAAGGGTTACTTTATGATAAGCACCGTTTATGTAACTGTCTGTTCTTGAAGCCTATGTCTCATCATTGACTCCTCTGTTGCAGGCTACCCACACATCGGAGTCTTTCATCACGAGGAGAAGCTCTATGTGTTCAGCTCCAAAGAAGCAGCATTAACATTTGCCTCCAGTCCGGGGGACTTCATTGCAGAGGTAGCAGAGAAAGCCAAGCTCTCCCCTGAACTCATCCAGCTCCTCCAACTCCACCGACAGTTCTCCTGCGTCAGTCCTTACTCAGAGGTCAGCAGCCTTCAAGTACTCTCAATGCACACATTCATTTATTCTTTCTGTGTATGTACAAAGGTGACATATTGCCAAGTATATTTGTCTCATTTCTAGTCAGAATATGTCTGCACCTGATAATAATGTAAGAATGAACATTGCAGTGAGATATAGGGTCTTGTTTTAGATGTCAAAAGGTTTTTAAGCTGCTGTGGTATTTGTAAAAGATGGATCATCTTGTTTCAAAAATAAATCTTACTTGATTTAAAAAAGCACATGTTTATTGTAAATCCACCAACTAACATCATATGACAGAACACTTCTGAGCATTTCTGGCTAATTTTGTAACGACATTTCCTGATTTTGGTCAAATATAGTTCAAAATAAGTTTCCCCAGGTAATTACAAGATCTGATTTATATAAATATTAGGGCTGTCAAGTTAACGCATTTTTTTTTTAACGCCACTAATTATTTTAGCGTGCGATTAACGCATGTGTAGGCTATTTGTCCTCGGCCCTTCCCGATCTGAATCGCTTCGTGAAGCAGTCACGTGGTATCGACAGGCAGCGAGGCTTCGTTTGTCATCGATGACGTCACTGGCCCAAAACGATACAAGCCTCGATACATGCTTCACAAAAAGCTTCGGGGATTACTCGACACACGCTCCGAAGCCTCCGTGCAATACGTAACATCACTAGCTACTAGCTAGGTAGCTAACTTGATCCAGCCACTCCTGGTCCTTTCATCAGACGGGAAGCGAAAGAACGAGCAAGACCCATTGCTGGTATGATAACAACCTGGTACTAAGCACACAGGCATCTTGTTAAAGTTATCTTATCTTAGCTATCTCTTATATTTAGCGGAGTAAAACAATTGTGACATCACTTACGCGACTCTGGGATTTGTAGTCTTTCTAGTTGCGTATTTTTCATAGTCTTATATTTCAACAGTTTTACGACAAAATGTGACTTTTTTGACATGGAAATGATTTTTTAAGATTGACAAACATCATATGTGTAATTCGTGGCACAATTCAAATGGGATCGAAAGATACGTTTTCTCTCTCCATTGAATTCAATACATTTTCCGAAATAAGGTCCCATGGACCGGAAGTAGATGGGCGTGACTTCGCCACTCTATGATAATAAACAAACATTTGCATAAAGCATATTTGTCCACTCATTTGTTGATAAGAGTATTAAAAACGTGAAAAATATTCCTCTAAGGAACATTTAGAACAGATAAAAAATGTGCGATTAACTATGGACATCATGCGATTAATCGCGATTAAATATTTTAATCGACTGACAGCCCTAATAAATATCCAATCTTATTTCAAGAAGTCTTACCAAGCTAATTGTCACTTGTTCTATTGGCAGAATTGTTTTACTTATTACAAGAGAAAAAACATGTTTTCATAATTTCTTTACTTCATGAAAACATGTTGCAGTCACTTTTTCCACTATCTGATTATATTGTGTTGCTGTGATTTTGTAGTTGCAGCCAGGAGAGAGTTTATTGGTGAAGCCCATCACTAAGTGTGAGAGCGGCACACAGACAGACATCCACCCATTGGAGACAAACATCGACAAGTCATACGAGTGGAATGAGTGGGAGCTGAGAAGAAAAGCTATCAAACTGGTGAGACAGAATACAATACGAATGAATCAGGGAATGGGAATGTGACGTTTTCAGGTCGGCCATCTTTGGAGGATATCAGTGAAGGCAACTTATTGACTTTATCTGTACAGCGAGCAATGTCCCATAACTGTTCAACTTTAAACCTTGTAGACATGGTCAGAAGGCACTCTGTGACAGCTAATCCCAAGACAAGCAAACAAAAAAAGGACCAAGGGCTTAAACTTTATTATATTCCAACATGCAAAGGTAATGAGAAAGACGTAGCCGACATCAGCAAGAGACGGAGAACGTGAGGGTGGTAGAAATCTACTGACTGTTACTGCAAGTGTTGAAAAGAATTGCTGAACTACAGTAACACAAACCACTACACACGGAAATCATTTCTAACATGAAATCTAGCAGAATATATCAATATTCCGAGACTATTTATGCATAAACCAATGTTTTTTTAGCATTCAGTTAGCATAACATTAGCTTCTCACCTTTGTCTGGATGAAGGTCTAGTTGTCTTTGAAGGTCCTGTACCCCCCAGTTTGTTTATTAGACATGGGTCTTCAAACATTGAAAACATTTTGAATTGGTGTAGGGGCTAACTCCAAACGGCAGGAAGGTGCAAACATCAGTAGCAGTGATCGGTCCGTTCTTATCTTAATTCATAAACACTTTAATTTAGTAAAATAAAGCTTCTCTGACTCAGTCTCAAGATTCTATTTTAAGCATTTATCTTTTGTGCGGACTTTATTCATTTCAGATGCAAAACTGTTGAAAGATGACTGATAAGAGCTGATAGATATTGACGCCTCATGTTGTTGCTATAACCGCTATCCTCCAAAGATGGCAGCGCCGCCCTATTGGACACAATGGTTAAGAAAAATAAACATATTCACAATACTTAAGAATCAAGCTATATTATATGCAAAATAAATGTGGCCATTTCATTTTGTAACATTATCCCAGGCCGATCTGCGGACCAAAGAGACACGGTCGATGCAGACTGATCTGAGCCACATGAGGCGGGAAACCGCCACGCAGACCTGGCCGCCCAAAGACGCTGCCACTCAGAGCAAGAGAGACGGGGACAGCAGCGTGCCCAGACCTCAGGTGTACCTGGCCGGCCTGAGGGGACAGAGAGACGCACACGTGGTCCAAACAAACCTGACCCGGCCCGTGGACCAATAAACAGGGATCTGAAACGTCAAAATAAAAGTTAGTGTAAGCATGTTTTTGTTTTTATTCATTCTGCTTTTGATGAGGACTGGAGGACTTTATAAAATACAAAAGCATAGCCAGGTGGTTTAAGTTTTCCTATTTCTTTAGTTTTATGCAGTATATATGTAGCGAGGGATTTCAGAGCGTTTCAAAATAGAATGTTTTAAATGCATGCACATTCGCAGGCTAGTAGTCTGTGTAGGCTGGAACATAAGACAAGTACTAAAACTGAAGTCTACCATTCCTTTATTCGTCTGAAAGTATGACAAGACTGTGTTTTTGCACCAGTGTTTTCATGTTTGTTTCATCCCCTTACTTTGGTCTAAATTTACTCTTACATTAAAACAAAAAACATGAATGTTCGGCAAATATGTATTAACACCCTTCTACGCTGTAAACAATGTCTCAGAATACTGGTTTACATGAATAACTGCAGTGAATATACAAATAATACACACTCATAATGCTTCCAAAATGATAATGTTGTTGATTTGATGGTGTGCATTCTCTGATGGATGAACATAATCTAGGCTTACCCATTCATTTCATATGGAGGTCATTTATGAGCGGGAACAAAGTTGAATAAAGCACTCAGAATTCAATGAAAGTGGTGATCAGCAATATTACATGTTCCAGCGCCTACTGTGGAGGATATCATAAGACGTTGAAGCATCATGTAAAACACAATATTTATGATTGATGAAAGTAGTAAATTGGTAACAAATTGGCCCTAACACGACAGGAGGGTTAACAGAATGCTTAACCAAGGAAGAAAAAATAACACAGAGCTCATTATAAGTTATGAATACACTCTTCATTTATCTGTACCACTCTTTAAAGGGCTTTGCAAATCAAATAGGTATTGAAGGGCCTTAGTGTGTCCTTCAGCTTGAATATGGGTTATTGTTCCAGTGGCCTTCATATTCTACAAGGCCTGAAATAATTCCAGTATACAGTTTTAATTGAAGCTCGATGGTGTTTAAAATGTGACGGGTTATCTCTTATCTCACTATAAAAACAATAAGATCCAAGCTGTTATAAAGCAGAAATATGCATTAAGAGGACACTTAAGACACTGAAATGCAGCCACTGAGAAGGATATGGTTAATGCTGATTTGATACAGTTACAGTGACGGTCTCTTCTAGGGCTGTGCAATTAATCGTATTTTAATCGCGATTACGATTATGGCTTGTGACGATTATGAAAACAGCATAATTGACCAAATACGATTATTTTGCTGGGTGTGCTTTCGCCCCTCCCTAAAAGCCCACTCGGCCACAGTGACATGTGTTCAGCGCGAGCGAAGATGTCAGAACAAGAGCAGCAACTCGTTAAAAATAATGGTCGCGGGGAGATTCCCAGTCGATCGCGAGATGTGTCTAAAAATAGAACAACAATATTCTGTTTTATCGTTAATGTCCTGTAATATAATCTTCCCGTGCCAGAATAATGCACTTGAACGCATCAAAGCTTTGTGATTGGCCGGCGTGGCTGGTGGGCAGTGGGCAGTGCAGTGACAGTACGCACACACACAAGACCGCAATTATGGCAGAAGCAAAAAAGCCCAAAATATATAATTTTCACTCCGAGTGGGAGGATGATTATTTTTGTATCTATTCCAATTCAAAGTGCATCTGTCTCATCTGCAATGCGAGCGTGGCTTTATCGAAGAAGGGTAATTTAGGAGCGGCATTTCAAAACAGTGCACAAACGCTGCGAGACGGAATTCCCTCCTGATTCTGCCCTACGCTCCAAAAGGGGAGGGGCCTGAAAGGACAGCTAAATGCACAGCAGTCCATTTTCACCAGGCCCAACAACAAGAGCAAGGCTGCTACCAGAGCATCTTATCGTGTCATACACATTCTTGCGAAACACATGAAGTCTTTCAAAGACGGCGAAGTTGTGAAATAAGCTTTCCTGGAGGCTGCGACGCGCTTTTTGGGGACAGTAAAAATAACAGTAGCATTTCAACAGGTTTTTGATATAATAAAAACTCAAGTTAGATACCGTTATTAATCAGCTGTAAGTTTTAGTTTGTTTGAACTTATTCATTATAATTATTGTACAAAATGGTATAAGAATGCAAACTTAAATTGATTATAGTCTATTATCAATTCAGGTTAAGAAGCTAGTGTTGCTTGCATCCTATTTTAAAAAAGGCATTTATTTTATACTCTAATAAAATGCAACAAAAAAAGGGTTTGATTCTATTAATGTTGTCTTTTTTATTGCACGTTGGCAGCAGATTCCTGTGTAGCTTCAGATCTGAGTTGTTTTATTAGTAAGCCTAATTTATACTTTTGTAGCAACACTATTTTTATATAATGGCAAAGAAAGGGTTCAGAGTATTTTCTTTTCTTCCTGTGTCATATGTGGCAGCACTGCCACAAGTTCCTCTTCAGAGAGGGTCTTCAGTACAGGTGGCAATATCGTCACCTGCCTGCGCTCATCTCTGAAACCAGACCATGTAAACAGGCTGGTGTTTCTTGCAAATCTTTAAGAGATGACATGAGCAGCCCTACCAGCATTTGTCATGGTGGCCTATTTTTTTTATTTGGTCTTAAATTGTAGTTCAACATTTATTTCCTGTTACTTTTGGACCATGACGGTTGGCCAGCCTTCAACGTTTAACTGAGTGGAATATGTTGAATATGTTTGACCAAAATGTTGGCTATATGTTAAGGAGTTTTCAGTAGGTTGTGACAGTGCACTGCATCATATTTGATTTAATTTATTTTGGTCTAATTTATTTTTATTTATCATATTAATATATATTTAGTATGGTTTTGGAAGTGCGCTCCAACATATTTGTTGATCTTGTTTATTGGTAAAATATTATTTGTTTTAAAGTTCAATAAATGGTCAATGAATAATCGTCAAAATAATCGTGATATCAATTATTGACCCAAATAATCGTGATTATGATTTTTGCCATAATCGCACAGCCCTACTGCCTGCTTTGTGTGTCATGGTCACATCACTAATCCTTTTCAGCAAATTTGGGTTGTTTTCATTGTTTACAATAAAGAAGCTTTTACTAAGCTCTCTGTTTTGTCCATCCCGGTTTGGCTTTGTCTGACAGATGTCTCAGCAAACATTACATTCGATACAAGCGCTATCAAATCTCTGGATGATGGCTTCTCTCTCCTGCAGCCAGTCTGTTTTACAACTGATATTTCAAAATCCTTCTTTACTTTTTTATTTGAAGACTTGTTTTTGGGGCCACCTTCATTATAGAGACAGATTTGAAAAGGTGCCAGAAACCTTTGGAAGAATCTAGAAAAACCACTGCCCTCCTTTAAGGGTTATTTTCCATTAGGTTGATTTTGTATTTGATTGTTTTCCTGTTTTTTGTACTTTTGTACAATTTGCCATGGTGGTTTTGAAAGGAGCTATACAAATAAAGTTACTATTATTTTCATTCATACAATTATTTTGGCAGTAAACCTAGAACTCGGAAGCGCATTTAATTCACCCCAAAAAGATAGCTTATATTTTCAGCTTATCTTCGATGGTATTCTCCTGGTTTTACTACAGAACTTAGTTTGGAAAAATGTTGCATAATATTGGTGAATATTTCTGGGGAATATGTGAAGTGCTTTTGTTGAGGCTACACTGTATTGTACACTGTATTGCAGCGAAGTGTTTCAATCATTCACAAATAACAATTCTGAAAATCAGGATCACAAAATGTCATGAAATATATATATATATTTAATTCTTATTTTATTATTATGAGTAACTTTTCTCAATATTACCTGATAGTAACTAGGGATGAGAATGATTCATCGATTATTCGAAATTATTCAGGTATTCGAATATGAGAATATGAGTTATGAATATTTGTATTGGAATTTTTTATATTTGTATTTCTTTTGGGAGGGGTGCCTAAGTTGATTACATATTATCAAATGTAATAATTCAATGTATACAACAGTGCCATAGCTAAGTGTGTTAGGTCTAAAGGTGTGTTTTGCTCCGCTCACCGGTCCCTCACAGCGGACAGAGCTGCAGGTGCTGCTCTCTCTCTCTCGCGTCCGGTTATACTTCACTCGCGTTTATGTCCAAATCCATCAGATCGAGCTAGTTCTAGCCAATGATATGGCTGCTGCCCCTCCCTACACGCAGATCACGCAGACTCAAACCTCATCTTAGGCCCAAATTCCAGCTGAGAGGGTCTTCTCTACAGCTGGCCTGATTGTGAAAAAAAAAGATTGACACTAAAGTCTGTGACAACAATGTGTAAGTTAGAACAGCATGTGCCAACATGTCAAATGAAACCACGAAACCCTGAAGATTTCAACAAATAAACAGCTGCTGTTTGAATGTGTGTTTCTCTGTATGTTCATCATTTGCAAACTCTAACATAATAAGCAAGCCACACACCCAAAACAGAATCCAGATGTTCAAAATGTGTCAATCTGATACCATTTTTTGAATGGAGCCATTCACACAATAGAGAGGAGAGAAATGCTCGAGTACAGAATGTATTTATTCTAAATGTAACAATTTTCAACAAGAAATATGGTAGAACGATGTCTGCATTGGTGTCATATTAATGGGACCAAATACACAGCTTCTACAGGTTTTTATCATCATCAACATGAAGCAAAGGAAACTCGCACACTAGGAGCTTTGAGTTTGGGATGCATTGCACCATCACGACAACAATGTGAGAGAAGAAGATGAAGCCTTTCCATTTGTTGAGCATCATGGGTCTTGAGGAGTCCCTCAGACCATTAGTCTGCGTACCAGCTCATAGAGTCCTGTTGTGAACCCGGAAATGTTGAGTACCCTTGAGTACTCCAAAATTGGCCAAACCATTTTTTAACTATTGTCTGGATATGCAAATGAATGCTAAATAACACAACTTAATGGCTAATTCTGCAAATTGCCCAACATATGCAAGTTAGCATCCTCCAGTTTCTATGTGCTGGGGACCCTCACTATACATTTCTATCACAACTTGCATTTCCGGGTTCACAATGCTGGCAATTAGACTAGAATGCTTTTCACTTGCTTGGTTGAAAAAAGGGTGATGGGAGTGAAAGATGGACCTGTTCTTACATCAAAAAACATCAAAATTAAACAGAGATAAATCGACCTTAGGTTAAAAAAAAAAAACTGCATTTAGTATTTCATTGATGCACTGCCTGCAATTTCTCCCAAGACCTCGATTGAAGAGTTTATAAAGCCCCAAACAGGTGTGAAAAGTCTAATTGGCAGGTAACCTGGAGATGAAGTCACATTGGGTCATTTGGTCCTTTGAGGTGCTGTCCATTCAAAAACATGCAGACCAAGGTGAAGGAGAACATGTTAGGGGTCTGTTCCGCCTGAAAATCTCTACTGTGCACTAGTGTTCTTTGGATTGAGCTGTTCCATCTCCTTTCTTTCACATTTGAAAACACAAAAGCTTGAATTTTTAATCCCACTTGTTTTACAAGTGTTCAGGCTTGGGTTACATCCCATGTGTGTTAGGAGTAGATGGACCAGTAGATGAAGTTGAAGAGGATGTAGGATCCAGGAAACATGACCCTGGAGTATTTGTCTATGGCGTGTGTGTCGATGGCGGCGCTGCTGTAGGTGCCGGAGCTCACATGGCCGGTGACCTGGTCGTTCTCCATCAGCTGCACCAGCATCCTCTCCCGCTTCACCCCATTTCTTGGCATGCTGCCATAATTCCCTGTTGTGTTGGCATCCACCTCACTGTAGCTGGCTGACATGGTGCCAGGATGGACCAGACCACAGGTACATGGCATCTGCAAGTACACACAAAAAAAAAACACAGATGTTCACAAAGAAATGGTTAGGAATGTTAAACAACTTGTCACTCCAGATAGGAATGCAAACTGCAACAATTTGGTTAAGTGAATATGTTCATTTAGGTTCAGGAGTATGGCCACGCCTAAACCCCATCTCTAATCACGGGCTTATATCCGGCCATCGCTTGTCTCCATTCTCTCAACCCACCCTCCCTCTCCATTCCACTCATACCTCATACTTAGTCAAACCCTTTCATCCCTCCACTTCATCGATTCCTCCCTCAATCCTTACATCCTTCCGACATCCCTTATCCGCTCATCCCTCAATCCTTACATCTCGTCATCCACCAATCCATTCATCCCTTCTTCCCTCTCATCCCTTCATTCAGATGTTGGGATGAAGGAAGAGAGGGATGAAGGGATGTATGGATGAGCGGATAAGGATGTCGCAGGTGTGTACCTACACTGAAAGAACTTAAACGTTGACTTGAATTCAATGTATTATGTCAAGAAATGTCACATAACTGCAGAGGTGGCAAAAGTACACACTCTTTACTTAAGTAGAAGTACAGATACTTGTTAAAAAAAGTACTGATTCAACTTTTTACTTAAGTAAAAGTACAAAAGTACAGTTTCTGAAATGTACTCACAGTAAAAAGTAACTTTTAAACTGGCTGTTTTTGTGCAAAGCTAAGTGAACCTTACATCATATTAATATAATATAATATTAATATAAGTGAAAAGGAGCTTTATTTAAATTAGTTTACTGCCATTCTGAATGTATTCAGCGTGAACAACAAAAACAAAGTACCTGTATTTGCTGTCGCCAACATTGTAGATGGGTTACTTTGCCTTAATATAGGCCTAAACAAGGCCTAAGATTATATATAAAGCGTCTTTGGGTTCAAGAAAAGCGCTATAGATTATTATTATAGTGCATTCGCCACGAATCATTTTGTGCGCCCACAACTTTGAACATTACATTAAATGTAAGGGAACATCTCCCTTAAAGGGGACCTATCATGCAAAATGCACTTTGTGATGTCTTTTATACGATATATATGTGTCCCCGGTGCGTTGGGGAACTCACGCAGCGTTAGAAAATAAAACCCTCTCTCTTTTCCTCCGTACCCAAATCTTTTAAAAACGGGGGTACAACGAGCGGATACAGATTTGCATCTTCAATGCTTCTACCCATTCACTTTGAATGGGGTGACGTCACGCTTTGCCGAACTGCATTGTGGGAGCGTTGCTTCGCTTTGCTCGCTTCAAAAGTTGAGCAATGTTCAACTTTTGAAGCTTCGACGGAAGCGTCAGCCAATCAAATCATATGCCAGTAAAAGCTCTAGCCAATCAAACCGCATGCTTGTGTGTCCGGGGCGGGAGATTCATGTGATTGGTTGTCGGTCGAGTTTCAGACACGCCCACCGGCAAGCTTCAACGCACGCCACTGTGTGGACGCTGCGTTAAACCTTTCTCCCTTAACGTCTCTGCCTAGCGGTTTCTTCCTACGTCTTTTACGTTGTTTTCGTGCATGATCTTCACACCATGGCTCGTCTTCTCTACGTGTTTTTTTCACATCCATTTAAGACAATCAGTCTTGGTGTCGGGGAAGGCCCGCAATGATGCAAAATACAAATAATTGATAATTCAGCTCATATGCATTAAACATAAAGTAACAAGCCCGTTTTGAAAATGTAAGAAGTAGAAAGTACAGATATTTGTGTTAAAATGTAGGAAGAAAAAGTCGTCAGAAAAATAAATACTTAAAGGTCCCATGTCATGGCCATTTCCACTGATCATAATTCCATTGTTGAGGTCTACTAGAATAGATTTATATTGTGCAATGTTCCAAACTCACATTGGTTTCTCATACAGCATCTCTGTGAACTACGTGTATTCACTGAATTTCACTCTCTGCCTTTAACGGCTCGTTGTAGCTCCAATAGCTCCAGCCCCCACCCTCCCTGTGAGCACAGTGTGCTCTGATTGGTCGGGACGTTGTGAATCGCGCTGAGCTCCGTGGAGGTGTGATTTCCTTGTTTAGCGATACACAGCGAAACACAGCCTTACTCATCCTGAGCACACACAAAGTCACAGCCGAAGTAAAAACAATAAGTGTGGCTTGATATTGAGTAAGACAAAGGTTGATAAACGCTGTGAGAATGGGTCTGCAGAGAGAATGGGTCTGCAGAGAGAATGGGTCTGCGGTGAGAATGGGTCTGCGGTGAGAACGGGTCTGCGGTGAGAATGGGTCTGCGGAGAGAACGGGTCTGCGGAGAGAACGGGTCTGCGGAGAGAACGGGTCTGCGGAGAGAACGGGTCTGCGGAGAGAATGGGTCTGCGGAGAGAATGGGTCTGCGGAGAGAATGGGTCTGCGGAGAGAATGGGTCTGCGGAGAGAATGGGTCTGCGGAGAGAATGGGTCTGCAGAGAGAATGGGTCTGCAGAGAGAATGGGTCTGCAGAGAGAATGGGTCTGCAGAGAGAATGGGTCTGCAGAGAGAATGGGTCTGCAGAGAGAACGGGTCTGCAGAGAGAACGGGTCTGCAGAGAGAACGGGTCTGCAGAGAGAACGGGTCTGCAGAGAGAATGGGTCTGCAGAGAGAATGGGTCTGCAGAGAGAATTTTGCCGCGATCCCAACTGTCTGTTATCAGCCTGCAGCCAGGGAGGAGAAATCAGCAGAGCTGCCTGCACTGAGTGTGTGTGTGAGGAAGTCCGTGGATTGGTCAATTTGGACAAATCAGCGGCGGCTTAACGTAACGGCTCCGCGGACGTAACGGCTCCACGGATTGGTCCATTTGGTTCCGGGTACCGCATGACGTTAAGCCGTACCCGGAAGAAACATTGGGCAATGACGTATCAGTGACGAATCTCCAACGAGGCATTTTGGGGAGGTCTTCTCTGTGTTAGAGTTTTACTCGCTACAGGGTGTACTTTGAGGGTTTGTGACTGCAGACCGTTTACAGGCAGAAAAACCTTCATAACAACAAGGGGACGGGTAATAACTGGAAAAGCATGACATGGGCCGTAAAATACAGATAATTGAAAAATCTACTTAAGTACAGTAAAAAAGTATTTCTACTTCGTTACTTCCCACCTCTGCATAACTGTATTAGGTTAGTTGAAATCAAGTTGAACCTAATACTTTTTATTTAACAATATATTATTGCTTTCAACAAACCTAATGCAGTTATATGAAATCTGTTGACATAATACACTTAATTCTAGAAAACATTTCAGTTTTTCCAACCAACCAATCCGTCATTAGAACCGCGCCACTAGCCTGGTTAAACATTTGGTGCTCTAAAACAATGTCTTCAGTCAAAGCACCTGTAGGCATCTATCAGCATGGAGATGAGTGACTGGTACTAACCCTCTCTCGGAGTGCCCTCTCTTTGCGTTCTTGTAGAGTGGACAGGTAGTTGACGGCAGCGTACTCGATCACCGACAGGAAGACAAAGACGAAACTGACCCAGAGGTAAATGTCCACAGCTTTTATGTAGGACACCCTGGGCATGGAGGCGTTGACTCCAGTGATGATGGTGGACATGGTGAGCACCGTGGTTATACCTATAACAGGATCACAAGTTCTAACAATAACACCGACTATCGTGGAAATGTATCATTTTAGTGTCATTCAGTAATATTTTGCCCTGGCTGAGCCTCCGAGGCTTCTTCATACCTTTAAATACACGTTCTATTTCTGTTAGCTTTCAACAGAGTGTCGCCTTGACCATTGTCAGGCAATAATCATGTGGATGTTAGGTGTGTAATTAGTTACCATGCGTGATGTCTCTGCCCCTCTGTCTACCATTCAATAGACTGTAATGTATGTAATATTGCTTTGATTGGCTGTATCCGTCTCCTTCCTGTATACGTTTCTTGTCTTTTTTTTATAACTGGTGTCAGATGTTGTAACACGAGCTGCTGCAAACATCTGCCCTTCCAGCTGGAAAATATTGATTCTGTTGAACGCTTTGACTTTTGACTCCATTGAATAAAACAACTTTGTCTTGAACATTTATCTTTGTTCATTTCTTACCAAAAGGGGATTTATTGTGGAACTCCCTCCACACTAACTAGTAGCCCAGCACTCTCACCTAGTGGCACCCTGGCAGGGACGGCCCTGCGGTCGATCCAGAAGGACACCCAGGACAGCATGACCATCAGAGTGGCAGGGAAGTAGGTCTGCAGCAGGAAGAAGAAGACATGGCGGCGCAGGGTGAAGTTGATGTACAGACGGTTGTACCAGCCTGGAGGAGAGAAGAAGTTAGAAGGCACATAGCGCTACTTCAAGCCTAAAGGAAAAGACGGCTCTGGACTTTGGTCGGCACCTGTGCTGCTGTAGAAGGCCAGCTTGGTGGTGGTGTGGAAATCTTGGATCAAGAACTGGGAGAGAGATATTTTTTCGTCTGTGTTTAATGACCTGTTCCCTTTCTTCCAGTACAGCATCAGGTCATCATCTGTGTACGCATCTGGGGTGACAAAGAACAAAATGAAATATCGTGATGTTCATTTTATAGTAGCTTATATGAAATAACACCAGGGTGACGAGTGACATGCAGTGAGAACACACTGAAAAAACGTTTCTCTTTATCTAACCTAATGCAGTTATGTGAAATCTGTTGACATAATACATTTAATTAAAGTCAACGGTTCAGTTTTTTCAGTGCATGCTCCACAGTCTCTAGCAATTTAACATTTCATTGATCTAAAACATGACAAGGAGAAATATCTCACTGCTTCTGCAGCTATGACAAGACTTTACAGCAGTCACAGGAAGGATGTGAGGGGTGACTGCAGAGGAGAGGGAAGGCCACATGGAGCTGATCACAGCCGTCACTTACAGCTCTCGATCTCCAAAGAGCATGTCTGCGTGTCCAGAGGGAAGCGACTCAGGTCCATGCTGCACATGGATGTGACTGTCACCCTGCAAGACAAAACCAAGCTGTAAGGATATGACACACAAGTTTGGGGTGTGAGTAAAGTCATATTTATATCATTAAGATTAAGAATAACAACTTCTCTGTAACTATATTTGTGTATGACCTGTACAATAATAAAATAAAAAAATGAATATGAGAGTATATACTTATACTTGTACATCCTTATGTGAATGAAGGCCTCCAAACCCTAAACCCCTTTAGCTTCTTGCTTCTTATGTTTTTTCAAAAAATGTTAGGGACTGATGGCTTGCCAGTCTCTTTTATTCTTTTTGTCCCTGTTCCTTTCTCTGTGCTTTTGGATGTGTGCTTTGGGGCTTTTTGGTGCTGGAGGACCCATGATCATGACAACAGGGACTAAACTCAGAAACTAGTTATCTTTGCATTTCTGTTCGCCTTTCCACTGTATGTGAAGACTCATAAAGATAAGGTGAATTAGCGTTGGACAGATTAGAGAAGACTACATCAAAACGTCGTTTATAGCTACCCTATGTATGGTCGATGTGCTGAGTTGTGGCTAAATAGTTGCAAAGACGGTCAGTGGTAGATTCCTAATGTTCTTGCTTTCAAATGTTTATTTGAAATGTTCTGTAAAGCCCAGTAACATTTGTTTTTGAAGTGTAGCCCACTGAAGTAGCATCCCACACATACATTTATACCAACCAAAGCTTGAACATTATTGCAAACAAATGTGCGTGCATAGTAAGAAAAGCAGTGGACAGCTATGGATGTCGTTAAGATGACTGATTGTGACTTCACTCACTCTGTAAATCAGGGACAGAACTGAGGGCTTAAGCCAAAAGTAAAGATTTTTCAAACAAGCAGAAAGAGGATTTTTTTTCTGGTTTGAAAGAGGATTTGAAGTTCCGCTCCAAAAAGTGACACATTTATTTTCTTTTTTGTGTCGGGCTGCATGAACCACAGGTTTTTCTTCTCTGCTCTGCAACAGCTGTTTGCTGTTTCTCTCAATCGCCCCATTCTGAAGCGACTTCACTATTTTTATGACGAAGTAAACAAGCCTTCATGTGTCTCTCTTTATGCGGCGCTATACTCACATCCCCTGGACTGTGAGGGAGACTCAGTTAGAGCAGAGCAGTCTGTTGCTTGCAAAGCCAGGTCTGGAAAATGGTTTGAATTAAATGATTATATTTTAATTTGTATCAACAGTGACACAATCGCGCAGCTAGATGTATGTATGGCTTGGTGCATGTTAGGCCCTGTCTGTGCCTATTGGCAGATGTTACTGTAACAGGTAAAGTGCAGGAGACTGGGGAAGATGTTAACATCTCAAACCAACAAAATGAACAGACCATATTGACTCATTATTGTCAAACTGTATGAAAAAACTGAAACGTCAAATTTAATTAAATGTATTATGTCAAAACATTTCACATAACTGTATGAGGTTAGTTGAAAGCAATAATATTAATTTGAACCTATTAAACTTAATATAAAGGACCATTGTTGACATAATACATTTAATTAAAGTCAACGGTTCAGTTTTTTCAGTGAATAAAGTGAATTGAATTGTTTATATTCTGTATAGGTTTTCATATATAGGTTATTCTATTGACCCCTACATTTGTTTCGATTAAAAACCGTTAAGAACCTTAAGAAGCAGAACAGGAATAATTCAAATCCAAACGATAGCTCCTCTTGTGTTGGTAAGCAGGCTCAGAAATTAAAAGACCTTTAAGATCTCGGATAATGCTCATGACACTGAAGCTGTTTATTATCAGTCATCACTGCAGCATGCTGCTGTTGGAATCTGTGCAGTCATACTGCATCATGGGAAGTGAAATGGCCCATGGGCAAGGTAAGGCAGAGGAAATTGACACATCACCAATCATGAGGGATGAATGATGTTACTAATGGTTACATCATTGCTTCATATTACAGGTCCCTGATGCAGTGTAACCTGCAGAGAATTACCCCTCCGTATTCACAGAGCCTCAGAGTGGGTCAGAGGTTTCAGCAGAGATTTGGTTTTATGGCACAGATGATAAATGAAAATGACTTAATCCAGCTCATAGGATGAGAGGAGGCTCCACGGTCTGCAGCGAGCTCTGACATCCTCACTCACAATCTGCCAACCAGCACCCATCCCACACAGATTAACCCCGGCCATGTGAGGAGCATGCTTATGTCTGACCATAGAGCACAGCAACAGTCAAAATGTGGACATTGTACTTACACATGTTATGTGTACACTATAAACATTAAACATTGACTTCAATTACATGTATTATGTCAACAGGTTCCACACAACTGTATTAGTTTAGTTGAAAGCAATAGTATTATGTTTAACCTATTATTTTTTATTTAAACTTAATTTGATTGCTTTCAACTAACCTAATACAATTATATGAATTGTTTACATAATACATTTATTTAAGTCAACGTTTTTTCAGTGTGTTACAGTATTTCCACCTATTTATTATTATTTTATTGCAGTACAATGTGAACATTTTTAAAGTCTCTAGGTTATGTTCCTTTTTTATTTATTTATTTAAAATCTAAATGGAGCACCTGTTATGAAATCTAACCCTCCAAAGATAATAAACCATTCTGATTGTGTTTCCCTCATACAGTAGAAATTCACACTGAAAACTGAATTGTTGACTTTACTTACATTTACAATACATTTATTAAAGTCAAGGTTTCAGTTTTTTCAGTGCACCAGGTAGCAAATGATTACTGTAATATTCGCCTGCTATGAATCACATATTCAGATATTCCAGATTACAGTGAATGTTGGTGAATGCAGATTTGTAGATGTCATCATATGAATATGTTGTGTCCATCAGCCCTATGCTCGAGCGGTCACAGCAGGAGGCAGATGGCCAGCGCTCCGCCAGGCCAAAATCGACTCTCTGGGTTCTGAGCCTCCTATCGCTCACCAAAATGACGAGGTCCTGCTCTGAAGTAATAGCAGTCGTAATTGGCAGAACGTTATCCCCTTAAATACACATCCTGTGGCAGCTGGTGCCACTGTGTTCTGCAGGACAGCCGTGGCAATTACACTCCTGACCACCCACTGACATCATAACCTGCCCCACTTCAAAAGTAGTACAGTTGCCGGATGTATCAGTGACCGCTATAGTTCATTATTAATGTGTAAACAAAACAAGTAAACACTTAGTTTCTGCATTTGGGACAGAAGACTAGTTTGAGGTTATGCAGGGAGAGATGGAAGAGTCAGCCACACTGAGCTGTCACTGCACACCGATATACAGAGCCCTAAAAAGAGCTACAATAACATCATAATAAAAGGGTTGCACAATACAAGTATTGGACAAGGATTAACATTTCTCCCAAAACAGCATTAGTTTCTTTGTTTAGCACTACCCCTCTAATGTTTATATATTGACTGTTGTACCTTTTTATGTATGCCTCATAATGTGCGTATATGTATACACAGGATATCCACTGCACAGCACCAGATGCAGTCGGTAGGCACAGGCTTTGAAGGGCCTCTTTAAAGGGTCCATTGCACCAAACCTGGCCACCTCAATGTGATGACAATGCAGTCAGGTTTTATTATAAATGCAGCGTATATATTCTGGATAGCTCAGTGATTAGGGCTGCAGCCCATATGTGGTGTGCACTGCAAAGTACGCCGAGCCCACGTCATCCTGTCTGTCTCAGCCTAAGGCACTCTCTAGCCCAATAAAAAAGAGAAAATGTTGCATAAAGTTCCCAGAAAAAGGGCAAAATAACTCTAATGTGAATTGTCTTTCAGGGCTTTAAGGTCAACATCTGGTGGAGAAGATTCTCAGGTGCCATTTCCTCATGAGATTAAGATCAACTTTTAATCATCCCCCAGAGGAACCGGGGGATACAGCAATTACATACAAAAGGTGAGATGACAGCAATAATTCAATGAATGAATTAAAAGAGCTCCTGTCCAACCTCAGGCTGATATGCTTCCTATTCGTCATGATTTATGCACAAAGCCTGTTTCCATGGCTTGGCAATGCCCATCCTTGAAACCCCTGTTAGTGTGTATGTGTTTTATTTTCTTTCTGGCCTCTCTCTCTGCCCTGTTTGCTGGTCTCCTATCAACCACACCTGCCACCTGTTCACCACACGATGAAAGCCTGCTGCCTGCACTCATTCCTTGCCGGATTGTTGCCGTGAACAGTTTGTTAGCACATTTTTGCCTGTTTGCCAGTTGGCCTGCTCTTGCCTCCTCACACTTGTTTTGTGCGTCTCCCATGAGGAACCCAGGGCCAGCCACACTCCCATGACCGGCCAGACCTCTCCTCCCCCTGGAACACCTGTTTTTTACAGCCACCACCAACCAACCTCGACTCCCAGCTCACTTTTCAAGTCTGATTCTGGGTCCCCACATGTGACATTGTTACATTTAGTTTTTACAAAACACTAACTTTTCTACCTCAGCCTACCAGTGTTGGGCAAGTTACTTTCAAAATGTAATACATAATATGACTTATTACTGTTTTTAAGTAATAAGTTACATTACAATATTACTGTCTCTGAAATGTAATGAGTTACACTACTTTTATATTACTTTTGAGTTACTTTACCAAAATAACCGCAAAAGAATGGCTAGGTATTTTAAATGCTAAAATGTAGTTTAGTGCAGCTCATTATACATCCAGTGAAGGGCAAAGTGGTATAGCATAACAACTGTGTAGGCCCTTAAGGCTACTAACAACTTGTATTACACGGCTGAGTTGAATACTCTATTCTGATTGGTCAATTCAGAACATGTGAAACGTTGTTAATACAGTAGTACAGACCGCTGTCAAGGACTATAATGAAGGTTGCTAAAGAGGATCAAGAAAGAGAAAGGAAAAGAGGTTAAAAGACGGAGCGCTGGACGTCAGATAAATGAACAGAAGAAGGCAGAGAGGAAGTAAACAATAACAGGAACACGGTATGGACCACAGACAGGAAGTAAACACTAACAGGAACACGGTATGGACTACAGACAGGAAGTAAACACTAACAGGAACACGGTATGGACTACAGACAGGAAGTAAACACTAACAGGAACACGGTATGGACTACAGACAGGAAGTAAACACTAACAGGAACACGGTATGGACTACAGACAGGAAGTAAACACTAACAGGAACACGGTATGGACTACAGACAGGAAGTAAACACTAACAGGAACACGGTATGGACTACAGACAGGAAGTAAACATTAACAGGAACACGGACAGGAAGTAAACACTAACAGGAACACGGTATGGACTACAGACATGAAGTAAACACTAACAGGAACAAGGTATGGACTACAGACAGGAAGTAAACATTAACAGGAACACGGTATGGACTACAGACAGGAAGTAAACACTAACAGGAACAAGGTATGGACTACACACAGGAAGTAAACACTAACAGGAACAAGGTATGGACTACACACAGGAAGTAAACAGCAGCTTAGGTAAGACAGCTTTTATGTGCGCAGCTCCACTTGCTTGGAACAATCTTCAGCAAGAATTGAAACTGAGCAATCTCATTCCTCTGCATGTTTTTAAAGCTAGGCTAAATGAAATGCTCGTTGATACTATGGGCACTTGTTGATGGCATGTTGATAAATATGTAAATTTAACGGCCCGTCCACACAGCGGCGTGCGTTGAAGCTTCCAACGCTTCTGCCCATTCACTTTGAATGGGGTGACGTCACTTTTAGCCGAACTGCATTTTGGGAAGCGACGTGGAGCGTTGCTGGCGTCAAAAGTTGAGCAATGTTCAACTTTTGACGCCTCGACGGAGGCGTCAGCCAATGAAATCCCGTTTATGCAAATCTGCCAGTACAAGCGCTAGCCAATCGAGCCGCGTGTATGCTGGGAGAGACTACGCAGGTCATTTCCTCATATTCAAAAAAATGGAGGGAAAATTCATTGTAGCGGTAGTGAATCACCCGGTGCTGTATGATCAGTCTCTGTTCATCTACCGGGATACAAACCGGAGGAGCGAGGCATGGAGGGAGGTGGCAGAGACAGTGGATGAAACTGGTAGGTTTTCTCCTGTTTGGGGATTTTATATCCAGTTTACTTCGTTTTAACATTGCTATTGCTTTGTATGTTGGGGGCGGGAGATTCATGTGATTGGTTGTTGGTCGCGTTGCTCGCATAAAATCCCCAAGCTTCAGATACGCCCACCTCCAAGCGTCAACGCACGCTGCTGTGTGGACGCTCCGTAACCTGTAAATATAATGTATGATGTCCTTTATTGTTTCATGTGGAACCTATTTGCTGCAGGTCTCCCTTGAAAAAGAGATCTATGATCTCAATGGGACCAATCTGGTTAAATAAAGGTTTGAAATTAAATGAAACACTAACAGGAACACGGTATGGACTACAGACAAGAAGTAAACACTACAGCCCCTACACACGGCGGCGTGCGTTGACGCTTGGCAGTGGGCGTGTCTTGAGCTTGGGGAGTTTACGCGAGCAACGCGACCAACAACCAATCACATGAATCTCTCCTGTCAATTGCATAAAAGGTTTTACATGTCACACTTTATATGATGAACATTTATGACATTAATGTCTATGGTGCTATTTTACGCAACATTCCATGCTGGCTAAATACTGTCTATGCTTGCTAGCTGTCCATTCAAACGAAGTACACTGGATATAAACTCCCAAAACAGACGAAAACCTACCAGTTTCTGCCACCTCCCTCCATGCCTGGCTCCTCCGGTTTGTATCCCGGTAGGTAAAGAGGGACTGATCATAAAGCACCGGGTGATTCCCTACCGCCACGATAATTTTTTTCTCCATTTTTTAGCATATGAGGAAATGAACCAGCATACACGTGGTTTGATTGGCTAGCGCTTGTACTGGCAGATTTGCATACACCGGATTTGATTGGCTGACGCCTCCGTCGAAGCGTCAAAAGTAGAACATTGCTCTACTTTTGCAGCGAGCACCGCGAGAGAAGCTACACTTTGCTCCCACAATGCAGTTCGGCGAAATGTGACGTCACCCCATTCAAAGTGAATGGACAGAAGCGTTGAAGAGTCAACGCACGCCGCCTTGTGTAGGGGTGTTAAGGACTTGTAGTGGATCAGAAACTGTGAACAGAGTTGGACAGTGCTGCTGTAAAGTTGTTGTTGTCGCAGTTCCATCCATTGGTGCACCGTTTCTTAACGGAAGAAATACATTTTTATGTCAATAAAATCATTTCAATTAATATTGGGAGTTGAGTCGTTAGTTTGTTTAGTATCTGGCAGTGTAATAAGCGGGATAATGTGCAGCGACTTGGTCATTATGGGGAAAAGAACACCCTTCAGGATGATCAACCAGGTTTACTAATCTACCAGCACATTTTTTCTCTGGTGTGGGAATGTCTCACGATGTTGGTGAATTCTTAAAAAACAAAACACCATTTCATTTCGGGATGAAATGTGTTGTAACGTGCGTTACTGAGAATTGTAACGGGTAGTATATAACTCTGTTGTGACTCGACAGATATATTAGGTTTAGTTATGTTTTTATTATAGTTTTGTGTTTTGATCTTGTCACTTCCTGTTTTTATTTTGAAAGTAATCTTTCCCGTCATTCCAGATCCCACATTTCCTGCCTTTGTGTGTTTCCCGCCCGTGAGATTGCTTGGCCCTGCCCTGATTGTTTTCACCTGTGCCCATCCCCCTCACCGATATATAGCCCTGGTGTTTCTTTGTTCCTTTGTCAGTTCGTTATGTTTCATGTCGTGAGCACCTAGGCCTTTTGACTCCTGATACCTACCTTGAGATTTAGCCCTTTTGCCAAGTGAGTTTTTGTGTTGCTGTACAAGTTAGTTTTGGCTGTTTAACTACTTTCTATTTTTTGAAAGTACGATTTAGTTTCTGTTATTAAAGAACATTCTATTTTTGGACAACTGTCTCCGAGTCCTGCTTTTGGGTCCTGCGTCTCGGTTCATAACAAACTCACATTTCATTAGTAATGCGTTACATTACTGTGTTACAGAAATACATTACTGTAACTCCGTTACTTTTGTAACGCGTTACACCCAACACTGCAGCCTACAACATTGTTTGTCAAGTCTTTTTGAATTTCGCCAATAAACATGTAATGCCCAATTTGAAAATGTAAAAAAAGAAAACCGATTGACAGAAACTCACTAAATGCCAGTGGCAGGTGTTCACCAAGGAATTGTTTCAGTAGTTATAATTTAATTTCCCAGAATGTTGGAGCATTCCTTTAAACTGTTCCTGACCTAACAGCCACTTTGAGACTTTACATGTTTCCTTGGGGAGTTACCGGAGGCTGTAGAGGACTTTTCCATCGGGGTAAACTCGTAGCATGACGTTGTCAGTGGTGGTGTCATGGGTGAAGGACCTCTTGGAGTGGACGAAGAACATGTCAGGTACCCAGATCTTCTTCACCAGGCGGCCATCGAACGTCATGCTCAGGTTGTTGTTGCTTTTGAAGGCCAGACGTGCATCTTTCCAGTAGTGCCTTAGATACAAGGTCATGGTAAAGTCCTTAAACAAAAAGGCAAAGTCTGTTACAATATAATCTAAACTAACAACAAACATGCTTTTTCTTAATAAACATGTGTTCCAGACATACCATATCGACCTCTGAAATAGCATCCAAACTCTCAACCTGAACATCCACGCCTACAGAGACGGCAGGACCTGGAGAAATAATTTAGGGCAGTTTACAAAGATGCAATGACCTATACTAATAACAGCAGTGTCTGAGTGTCAGAAACAAGCTGTGACAGTGGGAGTGCAGGTTTAGCTAGGTTCCTGTTTGGATTATCTGTGTTTATTTGGAAGTTGTGACTCCTTTATTGGTGCTGACCCTTTTGCTTAAAACAATGACTTTATCCAAATCCAGAGCAGCTGGGTGCAGATTTCCCAAACACTGGCACAGAGCCAGTGGAGTGAGTACTCTAATCCTAATTGTTGTTGTAGTGCATGCTGGAGATTCAAATCGTTTTACTTTTTTAAACAGGCCTACAGTTGTTCTAAAATGTAGAATGGAAAATCAAAAAATCATGAACCATTTTTTAAATTCTGCTGATGAATTAGTCATTAGACTGGGGGTTTTGTTACTGTGAATAATTTCCTTGTTCAGAGTGCAGGTCTTACTTGAGTCGTGACTTGAGTTATTGAATTACCTTATTGTATTTTCAAAAGAATAACTATACTTTACATGGCTACATCACACTCAGCTGTGTTGATTGGATAACAGGACAGCATCTGTAATTTTTGTAAATTCTTTAAAAACAATACATGTTTACATATTAATGCAAGTTACTTACTTTTATGGAATAGTTTTACTTTTATCCATGACGACAATAGTTCCATCAGGAGACTTATTCTGCTTAGAGAAAGATTTGTATTGACGTGTGCACGAGATGATAGAAATGTGAATAGTCTTTGGCGATAAGACCCCGATTGTCTTATCATATATCTTAAGGGGGAAATGCATCCATAAGTAGAATAAGATGTTGATGGGATTGGATTTGAAGAGGAGATGGGAAGAGGATGCTGAAGATCTGGATTTGATAAGGAGTTCTGATACGGAGGGTGGAGGTGGATGGGAGGAGGGGAGCCGCAGCCTTAGCGCCTGAAATGACAGGAGAACAGATTTAAAGTTCAATAGCAGCGTGATGATTGGCTGTTGGAGATTGTGGCGAACTGTAGTTGGTTAAGAGTGGACGCCTGTAATCAGCTGATTAGATCCAACTGAGGAGTGAGTGAATGTAAAGCCGGTCTTCCTGACTGAACTTACACTTTATCTCTTATATAACCTGATCAAAACCGCCTAACCTAGACACCATAAATCAAAACCAAGATCTTTCCCCAGAGTAACGCAAAGGTGTTCAGAAAGGTGTTCAGATCCATCCCAGTGCCTTCATTAAAAGGTAGGACAAAAAACGCCTGACATCACAGCTGGTTCCAGTCACTGGAGCCAGCTATTTTACGAAAGGGGCTCATTCAATGCGAGATAAAAGAGACACTCATGAAAAAGCCATAGAGCACAAAGATAACATAAAAGATAGGTAATTTTTTCAGTTACTGATTTATAGTCAAACTTTTTATTTAATTACAATAAAAAAAAAAAAACACATTCCCAAAACTCCGGCTTTAGTTTTAACACATTCTTTGCTGCAACACACAAATGGTGTTATCATAGACTCGTCTTTCGGGGGGGGGGGGGGGGGGGGGGCAAGCTCAGTGTTATAGCTGTGCTGCACATTGCAGTGACAGTATGAACTTCCATTCAAAACCCTAACATTTAGTGTAATAAACGTATAGTGTGAGACTAGAGCCAGTATAAACTCATTGAAGTTTGCTGTTAAACAACATAATGCTTTCCTAGAACTCCACGGGGGATTTTAAACTTAAAGGGAAAATGCACGTGTGTGAATATTTATTTAAATAGCGGGAGATATTGTAACCCCACAGCTGAAGACTGTGGCTTCTTGGTAATGAATCAGTGGCCCACAGCAGCATGGCTCAGACATAATCCCGCTCTGTTATGTCATCTCTACAAGCCAGTGCTCCACAGTGAGAGGAGTGTATGGATCAGATGAGGGGGGCGGGGGGCGAGGGTTTAGTGTAACGTCAGAAAAACGTGGAGGATGAGCCTTACCTCCAAATCCTGGGCGCATTGTAAAGTCGTGTTCTTGTATCCTCAGCAAGTGCTCTGACTTCGTACCCCAGGCTTTAGTTTTATCTGGACTCCTCTTAGTCATGGGGCTAATGAACAATTTGGGGAAAAAAACAATTTAAAAGTTAATTTCTAATATTAGATTCTGGGTCACACAGAAATATCTATTCTGTTTACATGTTGCACAAGTTAGTGTTGGGCGTTACTGTAACGCCGTTATTTTTGGCAGTAACTAGTACTCTAACGCATTACTTTTTAAATTCAGTAACTCAGTTACCGTTACTACATGGTGCGTTACTCCGTTACTCCGTTAGTTTTTTTATATAATCAACAGCCAGGCGAACAGAGATGAGAACTTTTGTCGAGCACAAAGAAAATAAAGTTTCTGTTAAATGTAAGTTGTGTCTTGGCGGGTCAAAGATCCTATCTACTGCCCAAACCAGTAATTCAAATCTCTTAAAACATCTGCAAAAACAACATGCTGGGACGAAGCTAGTAGCTAAGACCACAGAGACTCTGCCGACGCCACTCCACCTCCACCTAAGCAACAGCGGCTGGATTTTAACCAAGGGACTGCTAGCCAGGGAAAAGTCGATGAAGCCATTGCACGGTATGTTGTAGAACACATGCAGGCTATTGCTACAGTGGAGTCACCCGCTTTCAGGGAGCTAGTTAGCATGATACCATGTCCGGGCGGCACACGGCATATGGGACGGAACACTTTTTCCAACTACCTGGAGAAAGAATATACAAAAATGGAAAGCCAGCTAATATCGATGCAAACCAGATTGCATATAATGCATGTCAAGTTGATCAACAGATTGTATTATTCTCCAATGCAATAACAGTACTGAAATGAAGGCTATAAGGGCATTAATGGGAGCCCTTTTGTAAGTAACTAAAACGTTACTTTTCACAGTAACGCTTTACTTTTTGGTTTAAGTAATCAGTAAAGTAACTGAGTTACTTTTGAAATGAAGTAACTAGTAATGGTAACTAGTTACTGGTTTTCAGTAACTAACACAACACTGCACATGTCAATCCGAATGTCTACCAAGTTCGTTTCTCTTGTGCAACAAAGGACATTTGTTATGCTGTTTCACTATGTCTTTGTTGAATATTGCACATAGTGTACAGTAGATGCGGATTGGTAAATCACATCAACCCAATGCAAGCACTCAAAACTGAAGTCCAATTACTTACCTACATCCACCCAAAAAAATATTGACATGGAAAATCTGCCTATAAGGATGGGCACGTCCTTTATAAAATGTTATAAAATAATAAAGTCCTCAGTGTCAGAGGCATGTGACCATCATGTCTGTAAACTGAGAGGGAACCAGCAGCATTTCCATAAGATTGACTCTGTCTGTGTTGCTACTACTCGGTTGAGAAGAGAGGGCCACATCAGTACAGAAAACAAAACCAAAAAATGAAACCTAACTGTTGACAGTGGTACAAATCCATGTCACCATTCCTTCCATTATCTGCACATCAAATCAATCAAATTTGAAAATGATAGCAGTAACTTTAACCAGCTGTTGATAATCCAGCCTTGGGAACGCTGGTGTAACAAAGTGAAAACTAACTGTAATTGTCAGGTAATATTGCTTTAAAGCCTTTTTCCAAACAGCTGTGCTATTTAACTTAATAATGAAGCTTCCTTGAATTTGAACATCAAAGGGTTAATGTGACAGTGTTCCATTTTCTGCTCTTTAGCTCGCTGTGATCGTATTAAGTTTATGAAGCAAAGTCGCATAATCTTATGAATTTCCTAACTTTGTGGGATAAGAATGGATTATATTGAGCTTAGTAAAATACATAGAAGCGACCCATGCTTCTCACTAGACCCTGCAGACAATAGTGTGATTAAATTGTTGACCGTGTGCCACTAAGTCCTTGCTGCTTAAATCTCCAAAATGTGATCTTGCTTTCTAGCCCCTGTTATATGTCTAATTGGACTAAATCAATCAAATAATAAAGAAATGCGTCATACCTTACAATCTTTCTGCTGGATCCTTCTGTTACTGGAATTTCTCTTCTACATCTGAAAGGGGGAAAACATTTGATGATTTTATGCAAGCTTTATGCAATGTTTAGAAGCACTTTTTGGGTGATTCTTGATTGAAATCCTAAAGTAAGAGGGACCTGTTGACAAAGAGAATAGAGTTGTCTGTTTCCGTGACATGAATCATTGTTATTCATTTCACTTATTCATTTACAAGAGGGAACATTTAATCAAATAAAGTGAATTTGTGCTATGTGTCTGTTATGAACACCTAAAGTTGCAGGGATAAGGAAACCAGATCATTGACTCCCTCCCAGATGTCTTTGGGTTATTAGATAACACAATCAGCCTCAGTGTCTCCATTTTAAAACCACAGGAGCATCATGAGATGCTGAGTCATCCGCTGGCTTGCGGAGTAACCAATTACGTAATCAGGATACCAAAAAAAAGGTACACATTTCACACAACTGTTTTAAGTTAATTAAAGTCAACGGTTCCGTTTTTTCAGTGTGTTCTGTAGGCTAATACTTTAAGTGTGAATCTATACGCCTACTGCCTGAATCTGCTTTATGGTTTTCTCTTTCTTTGGTTCATTTGTTCCTTTTTAATTCAGTAGGTGAACCTATATGTTCATAAAATAGTGTGTGTGAGCTTAACTGTATGAGTTCAACTTAAACAGAGCATTTTCTTTCAGCTCAGATTTTTCTTTTTAAACTAAACTGTAGTAAATCAAATCGATTGTGTCACGATCGGTCTGTGTTTTATTTTGTATTGTCAAGATCTGTCTTTGTTTTCCCGTTTTACTTTGAAAGGTGTTCACCCCCTGTCTCATGTCTGCATTTGCTTCCTGTCAGTTTCCCCTCCTGTGTGATTAGGATTAGCCTCATCCCGATACCCCTCCTCGACTCCTCCTTTCCCTCACTCACGTCCCTTCCTTGTATCTTAGCTCCGCCTCCGTAAGATGCGAGCGAGAGACACGAGGAGGTGACGCGAGGACAGAGGAGTCCTCAGGTATTAATTCACTTTTAAAAGACGTCTGTTAATGATGACATGTGCACAGCTGTATCCCCTCTCATCGGGCTTAACTGAAGAACCCTTTAGAACCGGCCCATGTGTTGTTAAATATTTATTTAAATGAATGAATCTTTCTTTTGTTAGTCAAGGAATTCAATGTATGATGGTTGGTCCTACTTTTGTGTTCCGTTGTGGTGTAAAATGTAGCCTACATTTAAATACAAATATAATGATAGTAATGTGAAAGCCTTTACTCTGAAAATGTGTGTCCTGTAGATCCCCACATTCACCACAAACCCACATTCAGGACTGTGAATTTTAAATAATGTAACTCCTGAATATCTTAACACAAAACAATACAAATAATTGTTATTTATCAAGATCTAGCCATTTATGAAATAGCTTTCTTAATAGCTATGTTTTAGTGACGTTCAAGATCATTAAACATGACTTAAATTGTTAGTAGGCCTATAACCTTAACCCTCTATGGCATGACTTTTTATTTTGGGAGGAAAAAGATGTTTCACCATGTGTTTTAGGAGCTTAGGGGTCCCTGATATTATATCAATTATAAAATGTGAGTGTGTGTGTGTATGTGTATGTGTGTGTGTGTTTCTGTGTCTGTGTGCCTAACGGCCCGTCCACACTACAGCTTCAAAAAAAGCTTAGAGCTGGGCGTGTCTGAAGCTCGACCAACAACCAATCACATGAATCTCCCGCCCCGGACTCACAAGCAGCGGTTTGATTGGCTAGAGCTTGTACTGGCATATGATTTGATTGGCTGACGCTTCCACCGAAAGCTTCAGAAGCTTCAAAAGTTGAACATTGCTCAACTTTTGCAGCCTGAAACGCCAGGAAAGCTCCGCTCTGCTTCCCACAATGCAGTTTGGCAAAAAGTGACGTCACCCCATTCAAAGTGAATGGGCAGACGCGTTGGAAACCGTTTTTGAAGCTGTCGAAGCTGTAGTGTGGACGGGCCGTAACCCTATCTTTACCTTCACTGTCCTCACTGTCAGACGGAATAGCCCTGACAGCCTGATCGTGTCCCTTCTGCCCATAAAATGTTTTGGTGTCCATTTCCTATAAATATCAGTAGATGGTAAAGTAAATATATTGACTAGGTTTATCATTTTACAGCTGAGCACATTTGCACACTTGTATGATATTGCCTGGAAAAAAGTGGTCCAAGTGGCCCAGTGTTGCCCTGAGGCAACGAACAAAAAAACATAGTTTTAGCTAATTAATAAATACATAATAAGTCTTTAAACAATCAAATATACTTCTTTACGTATTCATGCACATGCATGTATTTTTTATTTTAAGTTGTGTACATTTCTAATATGTTAAAAAGGGAAATGTATCTTACCAAGTGGTGGCCCTGAGTCCCCTGCAGCTTTGCTTGCAGAAAGGACTGCTCCACCCCCAGACAAAATGCCACACCCATATAATTCCCTCATTTTATTGGACACCAGCATGTCAGGTGACATTGTGTATATTTAAAAAAATAAAAATATTTAGAGGGCCAGTGTGAGGTCGAAAAAAGTGGTTTGTTGCCTGAGGGCAACAGTATGCCATAGAGCAGGGGTCGGCAACAGGCGGACCACGGTCCGTATCCGGACCCAGACGCCGACCTATACGGACCTGGGGCCTCATGTATAACGCCGTGCGTAGGATTCACGTGGGAAGGTTGCTTACGTAGTAGAAATCCGAAAAATAGGTCCATACATTTTCCGCCACTTCTCGATTCACCAAACATTGCGCACCGGCGAGGAAAGTGCGTACAGCACTTCCTACGGCGGTTTCCCTTTATAATTCACAACCGACTCGAAATGCGGGGGTTTGTGCATCTCAACCCCACCCGCAGCAACTCTATATCCACCAGTTAAAGGAAATACAACTAATGTGTTGTGTTATATTAGCTGTACAATTTACCACATATGGTGTTCTTAGCTTCCATACCTCCTGTGTTTTACGAGCGACGTATCAAGTCTTGGCAAACGGCATAAAACACGATTAAACGTGATAGTAGGCCTATATAAAACCATGCTCGTACAACCTATAGAAATGCAACACGGCGTCAGTTTAGACGTAATTCTGTCCTCCTGCTTACCGCATCATTTATGAGAAAACATTTCATAACATTAACACAACATATTCGAGGTGGTTTTAAATAACATCCGTATTTATTTATTTCTCCAAGTTATGTTTTTGTGTGCACTGAGGAGTCGCAAACAGGCGTTTGTTTAATCATTTTAAGATTGGCTTTAATCAATGTTTGAAAATGAATTCTTCATATATGATAAATGAGAGGTAACATTTTATTGATGGTATTATTTCCACATATTTCTCTCCATTCTTCCTTCTGCCAACACGGTGTCGCAGTTTCTTGTCTCTCCCGTTTTTGTGCTTAGTGCGTACGCATGGGTTAGAGTTTGCGTGGAGGACCGCACGTTTTCCCGTCAAGTTAGTATTTTATAAATCGCAAACATTGCGTAGAAACTGGCGTACGCCATTTTTTGAGCGTATATCGCTTTATAAATGAGGCCCCAGGACCTACAATCAATACATTAATAGGGGATTTCAATTTTGACGGGGCGATTCTATTTTAACCGCCGACAGGGGGCGAAAGAGACGAGTGAGCGATACAGGGAGAGAAACACAGAAGAAGAGATGAGAGGGCGGCAGAGAGAAGCGGAGAGGAAAGTGAGTGAAGAGAATAATTAGCGATACAGGGAGAGAAGCGGAGAGGAGAGTGAACAGGCGTGTTAGCGGCAGACAGGGAGAGACAAATAATTACACATGGCGCTCTCCAAGAAGAGGAAAGTGGACAGTGAGAACAGTAGGGGTGCAACAACTAATCGACTTAATCGATTAAAATCGATTACCAAATTAGTTGCCAACTAATTCAGTCGTCGATTCGTTGGTGACGTCATCACATGTGTTTTACGAGCCGTTAAGCTCCAACGTTATTGGTCTTTTTATTGGTACTGGAGACATTTAAAAAAGACATGTCATGTATTATTGCTACATAAGCATTATATCGCAGTCTTTGTGTCGCCAACTCGTTTCTAATATGCAAAAAGACAAACAAATGCGTCTATGATGTATTTTCGATCTTTCTCTCCCCGTCTGTGTGCGAGGGGGCGGGGCAGTTGACGCACACGCAGCCGCTACGGCCCGTCCACACAGTAGCTTTGAACAAATCTTGAAAATCTTGGAGCTGGGCGTGTCTGACAGCTTGGGGATTTTTTGCGAGCAACACGACCAACAACCAATCACATGAATCTCCCGCCCCCGACATACAAAGCAAAAAAAAACGGGGATTTTATGCGAGCAATATATATATATATATATAAACTCCCCAAACAGGCGAAAACCTACCAGTTTCACCCACTGTCTCTGGCACCTCCCTCCATGCCTGGTTCCTCCGGTTTGTATCCCGGTAAATAGTTCTGGTCGTAAAGAACCGGGTGATTTGCTACCGTAATTTCTCGTTTGGAATATGAGGAAATGAACTGTGGTCTGGCTCTCCCTGCTTACACGCGGTTTGATTGGCTAGAGCTTCTACTGTCAGATTTGCATAAACGGGTTTGATTGGCTGACGCTTCCAGCTCAGCTTCAAAAGTTGAACATTGCTCAACTTTTTAATCATGAACATCCTGGAAATCCTGGAAATCTTCGCTTCGCTCCCCCACAATGCAGTTCGGCGACAAGCGAGGCAAAGTGACGTCATCCCCATTCAAAGTCAATGGGCAGAGAAGCGTTGGAAGCGGTGGAAGAATCGTCTAAAGCTGCTGTGTGGACGGGCTGTAACGGCCCGTCCACACAGCAGCTTTTGGCGATTTGTCCACCGCTTCCAGCGCGTCTCCGCCCATTGACTTTGAATGGGGATGACGTCACTTTCCCTCGCTTGTCGCCGAACTGCATTGTGGGGGAGCGAAGCGAAGATTTCCAGGATTTCCAGGATGTTCATGATTAAAAAGTTGAACAATGTTCAACTTTTGAGGCTGAGCTGGAAGCGACAG